GCAGTCAGGATTGCAGATTACCACTGAAACGGTAGACAGGATGTGATGTGTAGAAAACGTGCTCACTAATCATTGACCATGACTGTCATGTATGTGCCGTGTCCTGGCGTTTTGATACGAGGTGTGATGTCACCGATCTCCGAGACTTGTCTGACCACGTGTTTATCTAAGCGAGCAGATGGCGTGGGTCACCCCACATTTCCCGATGGCCGACACAGTCTCTATGCTTCTAGCTTCTCCCTCTCCACGCATACCACGCACCATGTTCCTCATCTTCTTGCCTATTTGTCATCCTTCTTATCCTCCCTACAATCTCTAGGATCTCAATCGTGAAGAGAAATGACCGTTGTATCGGGAGATATCCTCAAACCAACCCACTATCTGATCGTTACCTATCCCGCGTGAGTACTCGTACTCGAGTATTTTTGGACAAGTATGAAGGGGTTACAAGAAGACAAAAGCTCACATCAGATGGTCTCACCTCCGATCCCTTCTCGGTCTCTGTAATTCTCTCTTAATACTCAACCCATCCCTTCATCTAACGATCCTCGTACCTGCTAGTCGCGCCTCAGCTGCTGCCCTGGAGACGTCCCAATATCCACCCATTGTGTCCCCGGAGAGGAAGAAGATCGTACATTACGGCGATGCTTCTTACAAGAAGGACGGGTTGTACGGTGTCCGAGAGGGATACAAGATGGAATGTTTGACATGGCTGGAGAGTTACACACAACCTTTGGCTGAGGTGGGTTATAAATCTATCGCTTCAGCTTCTCCATTCCCAAATCATCTTTCATCAGCTAAGTCGATACATAGGAGTCGTACAGCAGCCTGGCCTCATGGTATGGTTGATGAATGGAAGAATACTGAATCATAGTTAGATGCAGTCAAAGATTCTATAACGAAAGAAGACGTACCACTTCATGACATACCTCTTACCGCCATCATCGCCGATCTTAATCTCTGTGCTTTCTCCGTTAGCATCAAGAAAATCATGCGGAGGGAAAAGGGAGAGACACCAATCTTGTTAACTCTGGCACCTTACAACACAGCTCTTCTCGCTGCGTAAGTACCGTTGTTGGTCGCCAAGAACTGAATCAGAGGTTCATGATGCAAGGGTACGGGGATCTATCAGGCAAGATCGACCGAGTACTGTCTTCATCGGGCGACGACCAGGAGTTACAAAAGAAGCTAGGAATGGAAGTGAGTCATGTCTGAGTACAATGTCGCTGATCAAACAGATTATCGGGTCAAGTGACGAGATAGTCAGCATACCTGGTTTATCACCTTATCGTTAGTCGCCGGAGTCACAGACGATTAAGCTAATCATCAGACTTCTATGAGGCAAATCCAGTGGAGACGGGTATGAATCCTTTCTTCCGTTGGACAAAGTTGAATGAGCAGAGTCCATGCTGCATCGCCTCCCGACCATGGCACAGTTCCTCAAATATATTCCTCTCGTCACGGAACGACTCATTATTGGATGGCCCCACGTTCTTGGACAGAACTTACAAGACCAAGTGACCAAAAGGGTCGGTCTTGATCTATATCGCTACACTTTTCGCTGATTTCAGTTCGGTCCTTCTTATCAGATCGGCCCACAGCTTCCTGTTCTTTCCGGAACAGAATGGGTTGTGGAGGAGCGCGAAGGGGAGTGTAAACAGTATCTTGATGCGGCTTTGATAGATGAAGGAGAGAACAGCGTCTTGTATATAAGGAGAGTTGTCGTTATAAATAATCGATTTTCAACGCGCTGACGAACAGTTTCGGCTCGATATTGTTCGCACCGACGAAAGACCAGATCATTCTGCTTCTTGACGTCCTTGAGGAATTACAACGAAAGTATATCATGGTGGTTGGGAATCTGGATCCTGTAGTGAGACCCGGAGTGGAGGATATCATGCGTGATCGCGTAGGAAGAGGAGACGATAAAGGGTTGTTGGTACGATGGGCTCCACAACGTGCCATCTTGAGTCATCCGGTCAGTCTATTCTTCTCCCATCCGCTTCCCTTGTCACGTATACTTCTATCGCGAATCATCGGGCCTGAGTGATGGAACAATGAAACGCTGATCTCCAGGCTACCGGATTATTCCTCACTCATGCAGGTGCCAGTTCCGCCGTTGAAGCCATGACTCTTCGCATACCGATGATCCTCTGGCCAGCGGGATTCGATCAACCTTACATCGCCAACGAGCTCGACGCTTTAGGAGTAGGCTATGAATTGTTACAAATTCGTGAAGGTCCTAATATCGGAAGACCATGCGCTAGGAATGGAGTGGTTGTACGAGGGACGGCGGAGGCGATCAGAGGAGAATTCCTATTGGCATTTGGGGATCTCAAAGGCGGTTTGGTGGGTAGATTGAGGACTCGGGTAGGAGAAGTTGCCGAGTTGTTAAGGGAGGATAGGGAATGCGGGGGGACTTTTAAAAGTATGTGGGAGCTCAGTCGGATCGGTCACGAGGATCTGAATGAGATAGATAGCACATAGGTGGATAAGATCTGATGATGCAAAGGGGAAAAAGATGATACACGTTCGTTATGCTATTTGTTACTTGCCCTTTATAAAGTTCAGGGATAAAAAGTTGCTTCTTTGGGATGGATGAATGGTGAATCCATCCAAAGTCCGACATTGCCAGCTTTATCACCTTCTCTTCTCCTTCCTTCTTCTCCATACTATAAGTATACTCTGGTAGCTTGGCTTGTATCTGTGAAACTCAATCATACAGACCATACTACCATATAAGACGAAATGTCATCTCCTCCACCAGCATACGACCCTCCATCCAGTTCCTACCCATACCGCTCGTCATCTCCCACCTCACCCACTCAACCTACCTCAGCTACATCTAAACCTTACTCTGACCATTCACGACCCCTCTTACCCAGACATAAAAGTCTTCTAGATGAGATCCTCCCCATTCCCACCCCGGCTTACTCGGACCATCGATCAGATTGGCCAGTTTTACGCAGAACGTTGGCAGTTGGAATTATAATGATTTTCTTCAGTAGCGTCATTTTCCTCGCTTTGACAACTGGACATGGTGGATCAGGAATGAAATCTATTTTTTCTTCTTTGAGACCAGATGAGGACTTATTGAGTGGGAGTGTACAGGGAATTGGGGGGGTGAAAGATATGAATGACTCTAGTAAGGGGGAAATAGGTTTGTCATCTTGTCCTTTTTTGCTTATCCTTTACTCATTTGATATCCATTGACTTCTTACGTATCAGTCTTCCCCAACAGTCACACCTGCTTCTTTGCCATTTAATTCCCTCTCTTGACACGCTCCCGTGGTCCGGAGGAAGACGGACGTCTCTTTTTGAGGCTCAGAGGAATGAAGTATATAGGGGTATGGGGAGGGGCTGTGGGGTTGCAGGGGTAAAATCTGATGATCAGATTTCGAACACTATACCATCCTACGTACCCTTCCTGGCGAGCTTCCAGCATTGGGTAAACGACTCATTCTCATTGGTGACATACACGGCTCCATCGATCCCTTGAAACGACTCATGACTAAGATTCAGTATGATCAAGAACACGATAGATTGATCCACGTAGGAGATTTGATAGCTAAAGGAGAAGGGAATGATGAGGTTTTGAGTTGGATGCGAGAGAGGGAGGTTATGGGTGTAAGGGGTAATCATGATCAACCTGTGGGTGTTATTCCTCTGTCCCCTTCGGCTATATCAATGGTCGGATCGACAATCAGTCTCGTGACTCTCATCGCTATCCGGTGTCACTGAAGCACCATCGAGCAGTCTTCAAAAACAAATTATCTCTCCCAGGACTCGTTCAAGTGGCTGACTGGACAACTGTCTGTATAAGGACAGAAAACGATGCTGCTCCCCAATGTGTACAGAATGTCAGGCGGCGGAAGGAATCATCTCAACTGACTCCCAGGTAATTCAATGGCGTGCATGGATGGAATGGGCTGGAGGAAGGAACTGGCAAGATTATGTCGACGGTTTAGAACCTCTCGGTGAGAAAACGGCCTTGAGCGCATTGAGCAAAAATGGCAAAATGTTCCCTAAAGATTGGGAGTGGAAAGGGGAACATTGGCAATTAGCTCGGTCAGTAATGTTTCTCCTATACCACGTTTATTCCGAAATTCCCACTTGCTGGTCTCTGTTGAGACGTGTGTGATCTGTGGAGACATGGGAAATACTTGTACGAAGCTGATTAGACAGAGAAATACAATCAACAAATTATCATTATCTCCTCAACCTTCCTCTCGTCCTTCATCTTCCCGTCCTCCATACTTTCGTAGTTCACGCAGGTCTACTCCCCTCCAACCAATTGAAATCATCCTCCGACCCATCCCAACCCCTGGTACAAGCTTCAAACTCTACAGGTCTATCACGAGCCTCAGAAGAACTTGGTATCTTGTTCCAAGTACCTCAAAATTCCGTCCCGTGGAATCTCTTGAATATTCGTTCTGTTTTGAAAAAGGGAAAACATAGGGGTGAACCGACCAATAGCTCTAAAAAAGGAACTCCTTGGAGCGACATTTGGAATAAAGAGATGAAGCGATGTCGAGGAGAAGGGGCTTGGGCCGATACGAAAACATCTTCGGAGGTGGAGAATGAGATAGAGGATTCTGATATTGAGACAGAGGAAGAAGAAGAGGTGGATGAGTTGAAGAGTGTTACTCCGACTCAGAAAGGCAGAAGTGGTGGGAGACGAGAGTATGCAGGCCATGGAGTTGATCAAGGAGATATGGACCAATTGAGCAAATTACCTTGTTCTCCCATTACTGTCATCTATGGCCATGCTGGTGAGTCTTTCATTGATCACCGTTGAAGTAGGGCTGATGACTTAGCGGGGAGAGGTTTAGATATCAAACGGTTTAGTAAAGGTATAGATACCGGTTGTGTGGTGCGTAATGCTTACTTGTCTGAAAGTGATGAGTACTGATTAGCAGTATGGCAAACAACTCACCGGATTGATTATCGGTGATACGAGTGGTCTGGAAGGAGAGAAAGTTAGGGTGGGTGATCATGAGGGATTATTGGTACATGAACAATGTGGTAAGAACGGGACTTGATGAGTGTGAGTGTGAGTGTCTTGTCGTATAACATAGAAATTTCGTGGTGTTCATCTGGCATTTGTTCGTGAAATGTTGTACCTATGCAAATGTTGCTTCTTCATACAATTCCACCCCTTCTCCCTTCTGACCTCCGGCCTCCCTCTCAATGGCCTTTAATTTATCCCCCGGATGCCCTACCCAAGTCATTGGGCCACAAGTCCCACCTAACCAACCCTGATGTAGTCCTTCTTCTGTTGTTTCTCCATCCTTGCGCAATCAAGAGTACTGGAACTCAAGAAACACATTACAACTCCTTAGCTCTCTCTTCATATCTCTTTCTCTTCTCCTCTTCCCTCCTCTTCCTCTCTTCCTTTTTAGCCTCTTTCTCTTCTTTCACTTTAACAAGTTTCTCCACAATCTTTCCCCTTCTCTCAATTTTCACGCTCTTCTTCGGAGACCACAACATCAATAAACCTTGTCCCACTAATTTATCAGCAGTAGATTTATCCCCAACTTCCCCTAAACTATCTTCTACAAACCTCACCACCCCTTCTTTCTCTCTATCCGTCAATCTATCCTTCGCAGTCTTCTTCCTAGGTGCTAATGCTAACCTAACCATATGACCTTTTTCCAATAAATCTCTAGCAAGTTCAACTTTATGTTTCAAATCCCCTTCTGCTGCAGACCAAGGGATTTGAACTTCTTTTTCACTTTCACGTAATTGATTAGAGATTTGTCTACGATTCTCCGCTTCTAAAGCTTTACGAGTTATCTCTTCTTTGTCTAGTAATTTAGCTATGGGTGGATCATGAGAAACTAATTGAAGAGTATGAGTTTGATGATTATATGAATTGAATATGGAGGTGAAAGGTTGAAGTGGAGAAAGTGTTCCGTCAGGTTGAACTAGATGTATATATCGATGAGGTATTTGACCGTCTGAAGGTAAAGATTGATAGTGAGATAGAGAGGAAGTGATGTGTCGTTTGAATGTTGTTCTTTCAGGTTGGGTAAAGATTTGTGGATGGATTTGAAGTGGGCGTAAGGGCGGAAGAGTGGATGTAAAGTGGGATGAGGTTGATTGAGGGGATGGAAAGGTTCGAAGGAAAGGTCGGAACGTGATCATTGGGGTAAACGCCTTTTTGATACCTTGAATTATTCTCAAGCTCTCAAGAGGTAGACGTTAGTGTGGTGTGTGGGTATATGTCTATGCAGTGGTAGTTCAGAATGAAGAAAGAAGGAATACATTAGAAATAATGGTAACCTAGAGGATCTCTTCTTTACTTAGTTTCAGGCACATCCACCATCAAAACTCTTTTCCCCACTACTCTCACCCCATCCTCCCATCCCATCCATCCATCCATCCATTCATCTTTCATCCATCATCACAACTCTCCATCCCTTTCTGTGTCATCACACTCTTCATTCACATCACTATATACAGTAAAATAACTTTGAGAAGGGAGAAGAAAAACTTTCAGATATACCTCGAGGTGAACAACGTGAGGGGTCTCACAAATATTCGCACGCCGTTTAGACGCTGATGAAACCTTTAGTCGCTTTCACACTCGTTACATAACCACTTTGATACCTCTGGTTTTTGAGGGAAAGACGAGGGTGAATAAAAATGGAAAGGAACAGTATAGATACCAAACAATCGGAAGGTTATTCTTCACGGGGTTATAGTAAGTTTTTATCTCTTTCTCCTTGCCTCACTCCCCTTTGACCTCTCACCTTTAGACCTCTCATGAAACATTGTCCTGTTGTGCAACAGTGATATATGAGATCTATGTTTTCTGTTGATCATTCAATGACTATTGTTTTTTTAAAAACGGTACCGTAAAATGTGGACTGACGAACAAGTTGAAAATGTTCCTCCATCAAGACAAAACTCGGCACCACCCACAAATCCCAGTTCATCCAGTGAAAGGGCTGGATCGGTCTATTCCGTATCTACCACCATACAGAGACAATCGTCAGATGAAAGAAGATATCCTGCTGGTCTCAGTCCGACTTCTAGTGCACCACCAGACCATCCAAAGGAGGTTCCAGAGGCATTTGACGAAGCTATCTTGAGAGGATTGTGTGATATGGATGTGAGTTTTCTTCTGAAATCTTACTATACGACCCATCTACCCTTCTTTTGCTCTCAATCTTACGACGAACAATAATCTCTTGGCGAGAAAGATCATCTCCTCGGGTTTTGGCTGCTTAACATTCCAGCCCGATTTTGGCATTATGTATCGGCGATGACTGAAGCGCTGACGGACGATTGGGCCATATGCTGATACCCAGGGCGCTTTACCACTTTTAGCAGATAGAATCAAACAGTCTGTCTCTTCTTGCAAAGTCAGTCCTAAACTTCGATCTCATTTCACTCCGACTACTCGAGGATCAAACTTATGAAATAGGCTGTCGGAACTTTCTTCAAAGCTCGGGCGGAGCTTGAAGACAAATACGGAAAAGCACTTTCAGAGTTGTGTAAAGTCAGTAGCGACGCGTATTCTAGAGCGGATGGTAAAGCAGGGTGAGTTGACAACTACTCATTCGTCGGTTCACATGACCACCAATGACTAAATGTAACAATCATCAAGATTGAATTTATAGTCCAACTGAGTAAGGAGTACATGTGACTAATGAATAGTACTTTTGTCGACGCTTATCAAGACTCTCTCAAATTACAAGATAAAATGTCCAAAAGTCGGACAAGGTTCGCATATAGACTCGGTGAGATGGCAGAGGAGTTGTTCATGATTGCGAGGGAAGGAGAAAGATTACGAAAGTTGCATAGGGAGACTGGGATGAGGTATCAGACTTTACTGCAGGACAGCGAGATGGCCATGGAGAAGGTTAGTATCAATCTATTTTTGCTTCATCTTGTCTAGTACTACACCCGTCCACTGAAACGCACGACAGTGAAGACGGTATTCATTTAGTATCACGTTAGTCGGACGACGGGGACAGGTTATAGAAATTGACCTATGCTAACGCTCAGGCAAAAGTCCGGTTCGACACAACGGCAGAAGAGCTCGAACGTGTTCTTGTGGCTAAAGAAGGTGAATCGATCAAAGATTCTGGAATGCGATCGTCCATGGCGATATCTTCCAGTCAAACAAATGCAGGTCCTAGTGGAGGCCGAAGAGGTTTAGGTAAAGCCATCAACAAGTTCAAAGGTAAAGGTCCGGCTTCCATGGCGAGACAAGAAGAGGAAGTGAGGAACAGGATGGGAGTAGCGAGTGAGGCATTTAGGAAGGCTGTTCAGGAGAGTCAGACATTGAGACAGGAATATTTCAATTTCCAACTGCCAAAGATAATCCGGGTGAGTGATTTGATCCGTCCCCATCCCCGGATCCGGCCCATATCCTTCTTCCCTGCAACGTATCACCGACAGCCGCTTGGATTGGCTGTCCGACTCACATCAGACAATGATTGGTGGGGGGTTGTTGAGAAGGGGATCAGCCCTTGATGCGGGTAGTCGCTAACGTCACAGCTACTCAAAGAATGCGCAGACGAAATCGACCTGGGAATGCAATATCACCTGGCCCGATTCGCCTACATATACGAATCCGCAGTGGTGGCGGACGGTACGGCTCTCACTCCTTTCGGAACACAGCCAGAGAGTGAGTCTGAGAAAATCGTCACAGAAAAATACTGACAAGAAAGATCCCGGACTGCAAGCAATTTTCGAAGGTATTGATAATCGCACAGATCTCAAGTCATTCATGCAAAACTACGCTGTGGCTAGGGGAGTTCCCAAGGGACCAAGACGTGAAGGACCCTACGACGAAGGATACGTGAGTTCACCTCATTTGTCTCTCATGAAGCATTCGAACAATTCAGATTGTTCAACTTTCTTAAATCAGAAACATCGAGCCAGAGCTGATCTTAGGTACCCACTTTACCCCCTCTCGTCCAGCGTAGCGCAAACATGATGTCGGCTCAAGCGTCACAAATGTCACAATCGTTCTCTAACGGTGCCCATGGTCAGAGCAACGACCAAGGATTTGGCAATTATTGGACTGCCACGGGTTCGGAAGAATATGCTATTCCTGGGATCCCCGCATCAACAGGAGCGACCTTTGGTGTTGACCTAGGGGAGCAATTGGCGAGGGATGGGTCGGAAGTACCTAAGGTGGTTGAAAAGTGCGCGGAAGCCATTGAAGAGTATGGTGAGTACATTGACCACTTGATATTCATACCACATTATCATCTGCCTATTGGTTGTCCTGTGACAATACTCAATGTCATCGATATTGTGATGACTGAGAGCTGACCGAGTAGGCTTAGAATCGATGGGAATTTACAGGTTATCAGGAATAGCCTCCCGGGTCCAAGCTCTTAAACAAGCCTTAGATCGAGGTATGTTCTTTCTTCTCTTCCTGTTTGAACTTTTCGCCATTGCTTGCAATCGTGGGACTTTCGCTGATGATGAGATATCGAAAACACAGACGTCATGTCGGAAGAATGGTCATCGGATATAAATGTCGTCGCCAGTGCTCTCAAGTTATGGTTCCGAGAATTACCAGAACCGTTATTGACGTATGGGTTGTATCATCAGTTCATCGAAGCTGCGCGTGAGTCTGAGCTACGTATCTTCCCTTCCCTGCTCTTCCATCAATATCATATGTAGGTTAGGATCAGGTATTCCAGCTATAGGGAAGGGATACATATCACGTTCATGGATCAGGCTGAATGGTAGGATACGATAACGATCGTCTACGGCATATTCGTCTACACGAACAAGTCAATGAATTACCGGATGCCAATTATGCCACTCTTAAATTCTTTTTGGGTCATTTGAACAGGTGGGTGCTCGGTGTCTCTTCTCTTTCCGTCCCAATTTCGCTTGGTCGAATCGAGTCTTTTCGTATGTCCGCCAGAAGATGTATAGTTATTGAGGGGTACCAAAACTGACGAGCAGAATACGGCAGAACTCTTCAGTCAACCAAATGTCAATATCCAACCTGTCGATAGTGTTTGGTCCTACATTATTGGGTGCACCGCCAGAACAGGGTGGGTTGAATTTAGAGCATATGAGTTATCAGTGCAAGGTGAGTAATATCTCTCTCATTTTCACTTTGGCACAGTATATCCCTCAACGTCAGTGTATTCATTTCACAATCTTTCCCTCAAGAGGTTACCCCGACTCAGGTCGACTGGGGAAAGATTCTGTCATCAGAGCCATAGCCATAATTCACCCTTCATCGGACGCTGCTAACTCATAGGCGATCGAAACTATTTTGGAGAGATACCACGAAATCTTCATTGAAGAAGGGGCCGAGTCTTACTGAACGATTGAGGTCTCCTTTTCGATGCTCTATATGAAACCTATGTCGTGGACGATGGGACGATATTCTACGATATACGATATACGAATTTCTAATTTCCTCTTACATTCCAAGCTGTCAGTCTGGTCAGGGATCGGATTAGAGCGTAGACGAGGAATGTCTGTACTCGAGTACAGTGTGTTTGCCATTCTCATTTCCGGTCATGTCGAATGATCATCACTTTGAAGGGCGTTACTGAGTTTTTCTACTTCTTACGCCCTCGTTGCGTCATCTACCGTTGGCTGTCAGCTTACAGTACCAGTATTGATAGTATCGGCTGATCGTACTTTTTCTCGGTCATGATACAAATACGATCGAATCTCAAAGTATGATCTTAGGGTCTACGAATAGGAGATGGCAAGCTGACAGGCTAATGTCTAATATCACTGACATCGAACATGCTGCATGCTCCATGTTACATGCCGGGCGCTGACAGAAGATGGGGAGATGGGGACAAAGTGGGAGCAAGGTGAAGATCGACGATTGACCGAAGAAAGATCTTCTTTCCCTTATTTTCATTCATCGAATTCTGGCGTTTGAAGTTTTGAAGAAAAGATGAGACAGTACGAGTACGAGTACTCTGCCGCACGGACCGCACCCGATCCGCAATCCGCAATCCCCGATCTTAGGGCCGAGGGGTTTGTGAAAATATGTGGGAATCCGAAACAACAATTAGATAAAAACCCACTAGGCCGTGCACAGGGTGAGAATGTGAATCAAAAGATCGGCCAATCAGCGACTGATGCACACACCTGAACCCCTTCTTGACAGTCTTAACCTTTTTCATAATTCTGACAAAAGTGATTGAACAGATCTTCAACTTTGGAATTCCTCTTCTTTGTATGCTATGATGTTGGGTAGTAAAGAAGGAGAAAACATAACTTACGGTGACGGAATTCCCGATGATCGTCGACAATATACCGTATACGGTTTACGGCGTGGAATGATGGTACAGTGTGAATCGCGGATCGCAGATCAACCAGAAGACCATGGGTCATGGGGAAGTACGAATACATATGCGGAGATGCGGATCATACAATCGAGTAGAAAAACTTTTCGACCCCTACTCAAGGGAAAGAAAAGAGACTAATGATAAAGTAATCCTTGGACAATAAACTAACCATTCTTTCTATTTCCCCAACAAGTATGGAAAGAAAGAAAGATGGGATCCTTTGTCCAACGTGCACCATGGACCATGCACCATGCAACATGCAAACATCGATGATGCAAGTTAAGGGTCAAGGGAAGGGGGGGTACGTATACTTGTCTGATGTGGGAATCATCTCGCTTCCTTCCCACTATACTTTCCCACCTTCTATCTCTTCACAAGTCTCATCTTCCTCTTCTCTCTTTGATCCACTCCTCTTCAACTGTTTCATGCCCAACTGGGATCTATTTAGATATATCCTCAACACACATTGCCTCTCAAATTCTCTTGGTTATCCGGCTATTCTCGGCCATATCGACACAGTGACCATTGGTCCCGATCGTCCCTATCCTCTTGCCCGATCTCCGGCTTGAAGAGTCATAGACCAGACTAAAGGCATACCTCATTGATATATTCTTCATAATCATTCATACTTCTCTACTTCGTCTTCCCTCCCGTTACTCTCACCGCACAAACACATTCCCAATCACACCGACTACACTACACTGGGAGACACGATTCAACATGACCCTCAACCGGAATGCAGCTTCCAAAGTCCATCATCTTCCCGAACTCCGTCGACATATCCTACGTTTTCTATCACCCTCTCAGCTGCTCAAAATACTTCCTGTCAATAGACTCATCTTCCAATCAGCGGCGGAATTAATCTACGCTCGAACGCCTTATGAGATAGCTTTGACCCTGAGAAACAACGAGGTGAGTCGCTCCTGAAGTATAATTGATTCGTTCATTCCGGTCGTCGGATTCCTCTTTCCGTTCGTGCGGGTCTTATGTACTTGAACCCCGAGTTAAAATTAAGGGTCGAATGTCAGGGTGACAGCGGAGGTCGTTTCAACCGACTGGAAGTGGAAGAATGAGGACGAAATAAGCTTAGGACAGGAGGAAGAATGTGGGTCGGAGGTAAAAGTGTCGATAGAGAGTGGGTTTAGCCAATCGGGAAAAAAATAGAGAGAAGGAATGACGAGGAGAAGACATAGTTGACACCCAGTCCGATCGAGCCACTTTCTATAGATCCTGTATCTCGACCATCGACGCTTCTGATTCTCGTTCCCGACCAATGGGTTACTACGAGACTCTTTCGCTCTTCTCCCCTTCAGGCATCGCCCATATTCAAGCCGATTTCCCAAACATTCAATGGATTGTACGGGACGTTCGACCTTTCTTTGCAGGAGAGAGATGGACCGTGGATGTGAAACGACGGAAAGTGAGATATGGTCATACGGTTTTCCTCACTCCTGAGAACCTTGAGATGGGTCTTCCTTCTCTCCTTTCAGCCGAACCCACCTCCTCGTTCTCATGTGTCACCCATATCTCTGCGATCTCCTCCCCAACTTGCACAAAGTTTGCACCTATACAAGTGAACGAACAAGAAGGTAATTGGCCAGGATGGGAAGTCAACGAAGAGATACGGTTGGCTCCATCGTGTTATATCAACTCTCAACATCATCGTACCCTCCTCGACCGTCTACTCAACCCCGCTTTCTTCCCCTGCAACATCACCCGGATCAGTATAGGTAATGCCCCCGTCACACTCTCCGCCCTCGAGGATATATACCGAGCAAGATGTCCGAACGCTGGACTGCAAGAATTGGCGGCTTCGAATTTATTTCCCTTCTCATTGGACCAGTTCAAGACATTCCTGGTTTCGGTGAAGGTCGAAAACTTGAGTTTGGGAATGCATGCGAAACATGAGATCGAAGAGGTGGACGGTATGTTGAAACTTTTGATGGGAGATAGCGGCGCGGGAGCAGAAAAGGAACGAGGCGATGAAGTAAAAGCGAGGATAGGTTTGAAGAGGTTCGAGTTCAACGCAAGGTTGGATGAACATGAAGAATCGGATAGGAGATTGAGTGTGGTGCTTGTCGCTAAGGAAGATGGCTGGGAGGTTAAAGCACACGCGTTGGAGGGCAGGGAAGAGGGACCAAGGTGTTTATCCATGTGTCGGCATCTGTCAACTACCTGATCTTCCTTGTCGACATACGGTATGTATCCCCCTCGTTCCCTCTCATGAACGAGGTGGAACAGTTCAGAAAGCTTTCTTTCGAGTGTACGACAGGTGCGGCCGAGCGAGTCTATAGTGGCATTGAAGATCGCGGGTACTAGTGTTTATAATCCTTTCATGACGAAATTTGACGAGGTTGAATGGGTTTACAGTGTGGCCGATGCTATATTTGATGTATAATGATGGCCTCACTGGAATTCATCCCACATGATCTCTCTGATCCCGTGGTATACCTCAATCAATACCGGCAATCGTGGTCTCACATTCTGACATCAGTCCTTCATCACTTTCACCTTCACCTTAAGAATGCAAGTTGATACAAAGCGGTATGACTGCAAAATGAGAGGTTCACGCTTACTTGAAAAACCACCACAACCCCTTGACCACGTTTCAAGATGATAGCGAGATAAGACACGACTCTCCATCTAACTAATCCCTCATTGATCACCACGGTGGAGATATCTTCGATTGGAATGAACTTTGATGATGTGCTGAGGGATATATGTATTGTATTGTGGTCAGATGAAAATAAGTGAGAGGAAGGAAGAGGAAATCCACGGGAGGTCGAGATTTGTATACCTAATCCAGGTAGGGGTATGACTGATTCTACAAGTCAACATTGAATTTCTTATCAAACCATGTCCAAGTCGGATTAGAGCTCAGTATACTAATCCACCTCGATTCACTCGACCCATATCCCCACGTTTTCTATGTAGATGTACTCCAGCCCGGTATATTTTTCATTCCTACAGAAGTATACAGCACTTCCAACTGATCAGATTACAAAAGACAAAATTGGAGAGGAAGAAAAGGATGGTGGAAGAGAAAAGAGGGAACATACCGTAGATGATAGTGCGACATTTACTAACCACCAATCCTATCATACAACCCAGCCATACCAACAAACCAATCTTTCATCAGCATCAATTACACAATTCATTCTGAGATCCGAGTTTGAAACTCACATGAAATGAATCCCACTTCCAAGATGAGGTCAAAGTGTTTTTTAGGTCATACCTGGTCCAAGTCCAATTCAGCAAGCATATCACCAACAGATCTCCAATGTTCCAACCGTCGTTTCTGATGATACGACCACTACGCAAGGTTTGGAAATTGTACACTTTATATTCGACATAGTTCGATGTACTATCTATTTTCGTATCCAAGGGAATGGAATGTACTATGAACTCTGGTTGGTTTTTCAAGGGAGTTTCTCTCTTCACATGAGGTTGAGATGGAAGTGGATTGAGGTCTGGGAGAGGTCGATGTTGGGATGGGGAAGGGGGTGATCGTGTTGGCATACCATGCCGTGTTGTTGGTGAAAAGTTGGAAAAAAGGTAAGTGAGTTCAGTTAGGCCCGGAGTATGGGCAGTCAGTTGGGGGTTTTGAGTTTCCGACGGAAGTAACTAAGGAATAAGCGAAGTGGGCGAAGAGTGGGGAGCGAGTGGGTGCGATCGTGGGATCTTCGTATGTTCGCAACTTCTTCAACTCTCCTCCTGTCAATCGACTTACTGACTTACTGGGTACATCATCCTTGACCTCATTCATTGACCAGAATTATGCTGGTATGGAAGGGACTACTCCGGTGAGCAGTTTCTATGTCTCACCAACGTCGAATCACAGCTCCGTCTTTTGCGCTTGAACCACCTCACCCGGAGGCTCGAGGTACGAATAAATTTCAATTCACGTCCTTTGGAGAGAACTGACTCTACAGACTGTCTTCCTCCTATCATAATCATACTTTCAGCTGTCTTCGATCAAGCTCTTCATATCCGATATCATTGATACAGATAAAGTGAGAAGGGTCTATATACGGTTCTCACAATCACTTGCTAAAGGGGTTCGCTGCGCACGTTGCACCATGAACCCACTTGCTCCTGATCCTCATACCCACCCTGTCGACATCTTTTCAGAGACCAAACGTCCCACAACCTCAAGTCAAAGAGAATATAACTTTTCGTCTGATCAGCGTCCCAACGTTTCTTCGGATAAAGAGGCAGGGGAAGAAGACTCGGTAAAAGATTTCCTCCGTTCCCTTCCGACCCAAGCGGATCCTGAACGACAAGCATTATGGACTCAATTGATCCAATTAAAGACCCGCAGTTTGGAATTGCAAATTGCTGAAGCTAGGAAAAAAGAGAAAGAAGCTGAGGTGGAATTGGAAAGATTACGACAAGGTGTTCAAACATGGACTGAGGGACAACCTCGACAACATTCTCTCCCTACCACCACTGTAATATCACATACCTCTCCCGGGCAACCTAGTACTATCCCTATCACAAGTCCACAGATAACTTCATCACTCGACTTGACCAATCTAGGTATGCCCTCATCTGTGACTTTACCATTCTCTTCCACCATCCAGTCACCTGTCGTGCCTCTAGTGCCGCTGGCCCACTCCAATCAAATATCTCACGATCCTCACGGCGAAATGGCTTTCGACTTGGAAGCAATGTTACAATCCAATGACCTTGGTCATCTCGATAGTGCCTTTTCGTGGTTATCAGATTTTGTCGATCCCTTCGCTACTTCTTATACTTCTGAGTCGATCTTCAACCCTCTCTCATCTTCCCATGTTGAAGGTTCTCTTCCAATACCTTTCTCTTCTGGTCTTCAACAAGATTATCAATTGAATAACTCATCCGTCGTCAAACCTGAATCGCCCATATCACCAGTCAAGCGATCCCGATCACCTGAAAGTCTCTCATCACCTCCAGCGAAGAAATCAAAAGGTAAATTCGAGAAAAAAATCGTCATTGACAAACATGCAAACTGTATGAGATGTCGAAGACCTATGGGACACGTTATGTTACGCGCTCCCAAGACTCAAATACCAGAACCAATCCGTGTGAATTTTCTATGTACCGGTTGTGCTCATGTTCATCTCCCATCATCATTACCTGATCAGAACATGGGGGGAGGTGGTACAGGGAGTGGTGGACCCAGCATCGGTACGGTAGATTCGAGGAAGCGAATGAGGGCAGCTATGGAACTTCAAGATGAAGGTGTCGATGAGGAGAGGAAGAGGATCTTTTGTGATGTTTGTCAAAGAGTCTCGGGAGCGGGACATGTGTTAGGTTCTCACAAAGAGGATCTGGGGTACATGTGTGAGATCATCTGCGCGGCTTGTGAGAGCAAGTATCAAAGGTTCGTCTCTTTAACGTACCTCTCCTGCAATAATAGCAAACATTAGATGTCAGCTGACGAATCAGATGCACTGATGTGAGTCTAACTTGAAAACGGGGACAAATGTATGAAAGCGGAGTAAATAGCTGACATATAGTGCGGTGGAGGTGGTGGTCCGAGAATAGGGATAGGGAAATGGCGTATGAGGCAGGTGTTTCAACCGGGACGCAAGACTTGTTCACTATCACATAGCCGGTATGTACCACAAAGTCGTGGTTTAAGCTGGATACTGATCCCACAGGATTGGAGATAGACCTTTGGAAATCGGAGTTCATGTTACACCGACTGACTTTACCCCAGAACAACTCAAGGAAGTCATCGCTCGGTGTAAGTCACTGTGGAATGAGAAGACATTGGCTAGATTGGCAGTACCGGAGATGCTAGAGTGAGTTTTTCTTTTCTTCTCTCACAACCTCTGACCTGTCCGCTACACAAACCCATGGTCTTGCATCCGTTTTGAAGCGCGAGACTCAATACAGCCTCGGACAACCTCTCCAACGCCTGATTCTGACATACAGGATCGATCTCCCTCCCGGAGCCAGTAATCCTCTAAGGACATACGAAGATATCGAGAATATAATATCTGGCAATTGGCCAGCCAGGGAGAAAATGATCAGAGCGGACGGTGCCGAGCCTTCCCGCTTCAAACGTCTTCTCGGTTTGGTGGTGAGTATTACTCCTGACTGCTTCGCGATAGGATGACGTTGAAGCTGACTATCAGTGGGCTCATTCTAAGCCAAGGAGGAATGTACGTACTGTCGACTTGGAAGAGGAGTGGCAAAAGACTACAGAAGGGGAAGACGACAATGATTTGAGTACAGTTCTTGCGAATGTCAGGAAGAGTGGGTCTTTTTCCAGGGGATATCATTTCACAGCTGATAAAAACCAGCGAATGTGGTGATTCCACCAGGTACGGAGTTGATCAATATGTGGGGCGGGGAATGGGATATGCAACGTGAGTTTCGCTTTCTATACTATCTTACCCAGACACGCTTTCTCGACTATTTCACCCAGACCCTTTTATGGTCAGCGTCATGCCTGGTATCATATAGGATGAAGTAGGGCGGAGTGGAGGTGCAGAGTCGTTAGTGGAATGCTTGAATTGATATACAGAGGGTTCATTACTCATCTCCACCTTCATTCCCTTTGAAGGTGCCGATGGCGAAGACAGTGTCGCTCTCAGTGTTGGCGAGATGATCACGCATTGTCAAGATCTGAGATTGGAGATCAATGCTCAACTTCAACATTCCGCGGCAGGGGGTGGGATGCAAGCAGAATCGGTGAGGCAGGTGGAACATCTTTGGGTTGTTTCTGGGGTAGGTGGACGTTCTGTTCTCTACACCATTCCCATTGCAGGCCATATCTCCATTACCATGTACCTAGGTATAGCACTACCAGTGTATCATAAAGACTAGAACTACCCTCGTCGCCAATCTCGACAATTCAAGGTTCCTTGTCAGACCCCTGTATAAGTGAGAGAGACTGACGGACAGGGATGGATGCCATTGGTACGAGAGAGAATTGCCGATATATTAGTCAGAAAACGTTCTTTCGTTCATGTTGAAGAATACCTTACTCGACATCCAGATTTCGTAGAGTCGATCAAAGCCAGACCATGTGAGTGGTTCTCTCATTTACACTTTCATGCCTTCACCCTGTCTCACTTCGTCCTCAATCACAATGAGATCGGTGTCACTTTTGACATCTGGCTGGCAGAGGGAGACCAGCTGATCACGTAGACGGAATGCATCCCGACTTACAACGTATCATGTCAAGTGTAGAAAATGGTAGACCACCTCCTAAACCTCTCATTCTCGTCCGATGGTTAGGTAAGGACTTTGATGCTCAGAGGATTTTAGAGATCAAGCAAGCGGAATTTGGGGGAAAGGGGAAGGTGAAACGAAAATCTAAAAGTAAATCGTGAGAGGGTGTGGGATGATTTCTCTTAGCTCCTGGCAACTTGATGAGTTCAAGTCAGTTTACTTGACTAATCCGGTGAAACATATCTTATCTACAAAGTATGACATTATGTAACCTAGTTCAAGTACAAGAAAAGATATTCAAAAGCATCTGAACTGAATTTTACGCTCTACTTTTTGAGTCTTTACACAATAATGATGTATGCATATTTTCGCTTAACATACTTCAGCACGTACCAAACATCTGTCTCCTTGTTTGAGAGGTTGGTAATATCGTAGATGAAGTTTTCGAGCCAAAAGCCATGCTTCAGATACGCTGTCCATGGTGAGACAGAATGTAGAGTATTTGGACCGAGGTGTTCTGGAAAATTAGCGAATGCTTGTTTTCCTCCCCGATTCTCTGATAAGCGGGCAAATCCATCTCCTTCTTGGACTTTCCGTCTGTGGAGATCCATCGCCTAGATGATATCTTCCAACATAACGATTTTTCATACCACACCATCTGCCCCCCTCAAAGTACATCAAGTGACCCGGACCTGATTTTACTGGTCCAATGAAAGAGCTATTGTACGAAGATGAATGACACTATGTCGATACGAACGACACCAATCTTACAAGTCCCAATGGAATTCATTATGTCCATAAGAGAAAAAGAACAAGGGGAAAGGCAGAAACAATCAAGATGACTCACAAAGGTAATCTCTTAATATTCTCTTTCTCACTTTTATCCAATTTACAACCTTCGACCAATTTCTCAATCCTACTTATACTTATTTCTCCAGGTAAACCTCTCAAAACTATTCTCCTACCACTCGCTCTTTTACCCCATTCAAACCATTCTTCACCATCCACAATTATTTTTCTAGAAGTATAACCAGGTACATCACGTTCTGTATCACGCATCACCATGAAACCTGTCCATGCTTCCGGATCACGAGGAGTGAATTGAGCTAAATGATGAGAGAAAGGACGATCTGTAACTCTACCTTGAGAAGGGTTAGAGAATGTCGTTATTGAATAAGGAAATAAAGGTAAACGGGAAGAACGAATTCTTTTTAGAATGAAAGATGCTTTGCCTGAAGAAGGGAATGATAGATGCCAAGATCGAGTTGTATGGAATCGACGAGGATAAGAAGGTGGTGGAGGTGTGACTTGAAGTGAGTATCACTACTGTGCATTTAAGATATACTCTTGCTTAACCTTTTGAAGGGGATGATAGAACAAAAGGGAAGATAATCTCTGTTCAGACATGTTTCATTGGTCTTGACGTTACGGGTTAAGAGGAAGATATGAGGTTGGGAATGATATTCCGGTAGAGCATTCATAACCAATATGAATTGATTGAGGATTCAATCTTCAATGGGTTACGGTAGAGACAGAGTAAGGTTGGGTCTCATGTAGCAGAACCAACAGACGCTCTAAGAGATAGAATGAGCTTTGGGAATCATGCAAACGTGAACGAAAAAAAAACAGTCAAGAGGCGAAACTCACTTTTGACAGGATGATCATCAGTCAAAATCCTACGTTCTCGTAATTGTTTCATAACGTCCGATATCAAAGCCGTGTTGGGTATTTCATGTATGATAATATTAGGATGTTCTTTCTCTGATTTTACATTCGTTCGTTGTTCCTGGTAAGATTTCGATGTGGAATATTTTCGTCTTCTGCTTACTCTGGGAAAAGGGATATGAGGGATTGAAGAGTTGGTGAGTAAAGATGGTTTGGGGGAGTGTTTGGTGGAGGACGATGTTGGGGGAGAGGTTGAGAGTGATCTGGTCGATTGGCATAGAAATACTCTGGTTGATATACAAGAAAACGGAGTCGATATAGAGGGTGTCATCTTGTTGGGATAGATTGACTACGATTCCAAAGAGACAAAATGGAGATTGAAAGGGGAAAAGATTGAATTTTCGGAACAATCTCTACTAACCGATGTTACATAACCCAATTACGAGCCGTGGCTTCGATGCCGTCGACCGTCGACTTTTTGAACAAAACATGAGAAACATGTCCGATGAAAACAACTCAAATCATACATGACAGACGAAACAGAGAAGTAACTACTCCCCACCTCTCTTCCCAGCAGTAGCTAAACAACCCTCTACAACCTGAAGTAAATGTTGATTCTCCAAAGCCGCTTGAACCCTCTCTTTATCATTCAATTGTTTATTAACAGCATGTTCACTTTGATGCATTCCTTCTTTTATCCTTATATCCACTCGGAATCGAGGTGGGAGTGATCTTAATAGTCTGACACGAAGTGATAAACCGATAAGGGTTGACATGGAACAATGGGGGATCGTAGGTGTTAAATAGACCAAAACTCGATTTCCTGAAACGTGAACGTCTTCTGGGGTGACAACTCGGAGTTGTTCCAATGTGACAGGATGTTCAGGATCTGTTATGCTTCTTAAAAGTTCTACAAGTAAGCGTTGGTTCTATCCTCCCCGCCAGTGTCCGCACATCTTCTTACTAAGACAATATCTCATAGACGAAAAACTGGATGATCATTCGGGAAATCTCCAAGCCGTCATCTCTATTTCTGTGTGTGTGTGAGAGAAGCGAAAGGGAGAACGGGAAAGGAGTAAAGAGGAAAGACTCACCATACACCTCCTCAGAATCAATCTCTTCCCTCTCCTCAGAATCTTCCCAATCCAAGATACCTTCATCCCACAACATGGCTCTTGGAGATTTAGTTCGAGAAGAAGACGACGCGGCGGGAGTGTTGAAGATTGTAGGATTAGCATTGTCTAAAGCTTTGACATTTGTCTATTTTCTATTCGACTCTTCCTCTTGAATACACTGCCGGGATGTCGTATGAAGGTAAACGTTTAATCGATGGGATAAACTAGAGTTGAAGGTGGTTTGAACGAGCGATGATTGGGTCGCAGATCGCCACCACTAAGTCTGAGTTTTCTCCGAATAATCCCGTAGTGGCGGTAGGCGGTTCCTCCCGAACCACATCTCGTTCTGACTTTCACCCACTCTCCTCGTATCGCTCCACATTCACACACATCATGGCAGAAGCAGCAAAGTGAGTCCTCTCCACTTTCGCTGATGTCGTGAAACCTGAGTGAGACGATGTTAGCTGACATTCAGCACATACGTCGTAAGTCATCATATCACAAAACCACATTCGATGAAAGAAGCTAAAACAGTCAGCTCCAAACCGCAGGATTCGAGTGAGTCATTTCTTTCTTTACTGTAGAAAGTCTTCAGGTGATTGACATACAAGTGCAAGGTTTCCAAACCAGAATCAGACTAAACATTGGTGTGTTAGTCATTTTTCATGAGGACCTAACTGATATGATCTCTTTGATTTGGTCTGACAGCTGGGTGAGTTCAAGTTGCACTCGTGTCACTTTTACCTTCCGTATCAGCGATCTTCTCGCTTCCGTCTACAACGTGGTAATCATAAGGTAGGAGAGATATGCGGAAAAGTGCCATTATGGGAATGAGGTGACCAACCTATACGGCACATGTCATGCTCATGGCTGAGAGACACAACTTTTCGGAAATGGTGTTTTTATACTGACTGTTAGCAAAATTACGTCGATTATCACAAATGCGTAAATGCCAAGGGTGAAGAATTCGCCCCTTGTCAGCAATTCAAACGCGCTTTCCGGTCTTTGTGTCCTAGTGAGTGACATCATCACCTTCACACCTTTTGTTTCTTTCCATCATCTTAATTTTCTCGCACGATCAAGTTGGTGACATCATGAAATTAGTATTTCTAGACTCTTCTTCGTTTCCTCTCACCAACGTCTGATGAATTGCCAAGGCCTAACGCTGACTTGCAGACGCATGGGTACGTCGCAATGTGACACATCACGGAAACCCCAAGAACTAATGGTCAGGTGTCCTTATGGGATGAACAAGTCGAAGCTGGTAAATTCCCCGCGTCTCTCAACCCCTAGAAATTTATGAAGATATGCAAGAACATCTTCCTGGGGTGTCGATGGATCAAGGATCCGTTCGAAAGCCAAGTCATCAACGAGCCGTTTCCAGGCCTTGTCTACTGACATCTTTCGTGGCAACTGACAAAGCCCTGCTCGAAAATCAACCCTGACACCGGTTTACCTTCAGCCTTTCACAAAAGTTTTCTACAAGCGAAGCACAACAATACATTCGTATCACAGATTATGAACTTGCTCGCGTCTACAATTCTCCAACAACATCGCAAATCCACCGTAGGGGACGATCACCTCGCTTTCCGGATTAATTATTTCGACTATCAGTCGTGCCAAGTCCACGCTCTCAGCCGGATTCGGCCAAGTATCTCCTTCCACCGTCCAACGACGTACGGCGTTGATCACCAACTTCTTGAGTTTCGCCCTCTCCCCTTGTTCTCTCTGACTCGCTGATCCTATCCTTCTGTTTTCTTCACGTTGACGGGCTTCTGGGCTGATGCTTTCTTCGCCAGCGAGAAAAGTGACTTTGAGAGTTTCAAGTGTTTGAATGTGTCTAGTCAATCCCTCAAGGATGGGAAGTACCGCCTCCCGAGCTGGAATACCCAAGGTCAACGTGAGCTCTTGGAGGCCCTGCGCCACTTGCGCGAATTCGAGTATTGGAAATACAACATCGTTTTCCAAGAAAGGACAGCTCACGTCCAGTACTTTTATCGGGTATCTCGGTCTTTTCGCCCATAGCAAGATAATATCGGACAGTGTCAACATAGGTGCGGCTAGAGACAATTGTCGAATATGTGGTGTGTCTATCAACATCTGCACAATACGATTCCGTATCTCCGTCGAGGGCAAAACTGGTCCGTCGAGACGTTGTTCGTCTGTTGAAGGACGCCCTCTCGGAATTTTCTTGTTGATTATCAATCGACAAGTATGTTTCACAATACCTTTCCATCGCCCGACATGACAAAGAGGAGGAAGCGTAGCCATTGGGTATTTCGTAGGATCCCATACGATCTGATGACGAACTTTGATCCTACGTTTTCCGACGAGATTGATCAACCAACTTGTTTGAGTAGCATGACAGGTGACTGGAGGTAAGGGTAGATTTGAGGATTTGAGTGGTTGAGGTAAGTAGAGAGGTGTGATAGAAGACGGGTAGTATATATCGTCAGGGTGAGCACTGGGACATGAGACACGTTGTAAATTTGGGCAACGTAGGAGCAGTCGGGCGAGATGACGAGGTGTGAAATATGTCAGTCCTAAACTCGATTCGTTTGGTTCTGCGTAATCGTCAGAAGGTAGGTTCAGGTACCAAGAATCACGAGGGGTGGAACGGAGAACGACTACTCTCACGGCGAGACCATACATTTTCATTCTCCATTCCGGCGTACGTTCATCCATATGCGTCATTTCTAAATCCCCTTCTCGATCTAGTGGCCCGTCCGATGTCGAAGAGGTTGGGGTCGTAATGGGCGGAGGGAGAGGGGTAAGGGATGAAAGCTTGGGACTGGGCGGGGAAGGTCGGGGACATTTTGGAAGAGAAAAGGCTTTTTTGAGAGTGATGGTGTGATACAGGGAGTTGATTACGGTCAGAAACCATGTTTTGCTGACGGTGAGGGATTTGACTTGGTCGGAAGAGGAGAGGAAGGAGATGATATTCTGTCGGATAGGTTCAACGTGGTATGCTTGGATGGCGGAGGGTAAGTCTGGGATACAGGTGGACATACCCAAGATGATGGTCCTTGAGGGAGGGTCTTTGGAATCAAGATCTGTGTTGATCAGGTATGCTCGGTGAGAGTGTGGTCAGGAGGATCAACGAGGACAGGAGTGGGGCGATAAAATGTGGCGTGAGGTTGACTTTTGGTGTTGGAAATTAAGATGGTTGACGAGGAGATCTCTCAACGAGCAGGGTGAAATGAAGCACGAGTCGGAATGGGAAGACCAAAACTAGGCGGAAAGAGATGGATGGAGATTACAAGGCACAAAAGAAGCTGGTAATGTTACGTGTCGCCGATTAAGAGCAATCTGCGAGGTTCGGAGATGTTCGAGTGATTCGACTTATAATACCGGCAGGGAGATGGAAGTGGACAGTGAAAGAAGCGAACGACGAGGCGCCCCAGGGAACAACGAGGAGATCAACTAACAAGTATAAAGGAAGAGTTATCAATTGTTGCAACGACGTTTCAGGGAGGCAGCTGAGATGAAAGGATATGGGAGAAGACGTACGTATGACAAAGGTGTGATTGATTCTCCCGAAGATGTCCGAGATGAAGGGACGGCACATGAGATCGGCTATATTGAGGAAGATATGATCTGGTGGGTGTGAGAAGGTGGATGAAAGGATCTGATAAATGGTAATCAGCCTTGGTGTTGAGATTAAGGTCAGGGTGGTGAGGGCAAGGGATTGCGCACGGCAATTGACCTGTCTCCGGATACATGAACATTGACGGATAGATCAAGAGGTAAGGACTAGATATACAACTTTTCTGCTAGGAAAAATTGCATCAGGCTCTAGGATAACACTACCCTAAAGTACTAACATAACATGTCCTTCTTGATTCATTCTGTCGGGAATACCAAACTTGCTAATGCGGTTTCCATCTTTATGGGCAGTCGTAATGACCGCACTTATAAGCGAAGTTGACATCAAGTCTTTTGGACGGTCAATTAATCACGGGCTCGCTATTCGTCATTATAGGAATGTCTCGAAGGTTGCCGAAGCTGAAGAATCATGCATATGTACAACATTAACCCTATGATCCTGGTCTGTGAAGTCGACTCGGTCATTCTGGTCTGTTGGTATTACTCTACGGCTAGTATTCCAGTAATTTTCAGTTTCATATCGAAAATCTGTCATTCTAGCCCTTACCTCGATCCACCAACTTCAAGATCATTATATGGAGGCGTCATTGAGGATAGAGAGAATAGTAAAGTACAAGGGAGCAACTCGGGAATCGACCCAGAAAAGGGAGGAATCGATATAGAAGACAGTAGAAAGTTGAGCAATGTGATTTCATGGGAATTGACGTGAAAGTAAGATGAGTAGGGAAGGAGCAAAACGATAAATTCACCGGTGGATGATTGAAGAATTCGCGTGGGATAGAATCGGCGGGATGAGAATAACGACTTGAATTTACTCTCAAAAGCGTCGATATTGAGTTTCGCGTGGTCGAAAATTTTGATATGCGAGTGGAAATGGAATCAAAATTGATTGAAATATGAATTGTGGAGTGTAGGAATGTTCGAAGGGGTCAAGGGAACGTGGACACATGAGGGTAGACATCTCGATAGTTTGGTGACTTTCGAAGATGGGCCGAAGGATCCGTGTTGAGATGATGACATGTTGGGATTTGGGTAAGAGTGTGGGTTGTGACGGGTTGTCCGAGGACGTTAAAGAAGAACAAATGGCTAGCTTACTGTAGACGATGACTGAATCGACTGAAAGTTTCGTCTTTTCGATGATTTTGATGACAGCTTGACTGATACGTTTGACACATTCAAAGTTGAAAGGTCGAGACTCAAGCAACGACTGAGAGCGATAGCAAGAACGTCGAGATATCAGGTCTTCGGGCTGACCAAGCATAACACACAGTGCGATCGATCATAGGCAAGATGTTACTCGGAGCTGACGAAGATTTCCGGTCGGATATCATTAACCTTCGTGGGTTGAGACACAAGTTGTCGTATCGTCGATCGTGGTCGAGGTGTCAAATGGCTATGAATATCGCAGGTCGCACGGTTCTCGTAATGATAGTTCCAGTCGCGAAAAAGATTGATCGGCAAGTAAGATTTGTGAAGAGGAATCATGATGCGATGAACGTTTAGAATGTTAGGTGTATGAAGATCATGATGTTGTGAAATAGATCAGATTGGGTAATTGTAAGGTGTAATGGCGAAAAGGATTGACCGGCAAGTAAAGTTCACGAAGAGTGATTTGAATGAGATGAGCGTGTAAAATGTTAGGTGTATAATGATCATGATGTGATAGGATAGAATAGGTTGAGTAGAGTAAGGTGCAAGGACGGAAAAGATTGTTTGCCGATTCGGATTTCGCGGAATAGGAATTATAACGAGATGAACGTGAACAGTGACAAGTGTATAATGATCATGATGTAGCAAAATGGAGTAGATAAAGTAGAGTAAAGTGCGACGGCGAAAAAGATTGATTGGCGACTCGGGTTTCGCGAACAGGAATCATAATGAGATGAACGTGAACAATGGTAAGTGTATAATGAGCATGATTTTGTGGGATAGGATAGTTGAAGTAGAGTGAGGTGCAATGGCGAAAAATCGATTGGCAAGTAAGATTTCGTGACGAGGAATTATAATGAGATGAAGGTGTGAAATGTCAAGTGAATAATGAACATGATGTTGTGGTTATGAAATAGAATAGATTTGGAGTAGAGTAGAGTAAAAGTAGTTTTATTCAAAGTAAAGCAAAGTTTTAATGAGGTAATTTTCAAAGTATTGGGTGTCTACGGTTACGCCTCGAAAAGGTCATCCCGCTTCCATTTCAACGTACACGACTTTTTAAGAAGATCGTACCGAGGAACGGTCAGATTGAACCTGTCATGACCAACGAAGGATAGATAGAGCAGGCAGGGTTGTCTGGTCTTCACGGGCACGCCTCGACGGGGTCGGCCGGAGATGGGCCCAAGGTATCAGGTGAATACAGCCGTGTAACCTGGTCTGCGGGGACATACACTCGATGAGGTTGCTCCGGAAGTTAAGTGCGGTCACTCTTGGAGGAATGCCAGTTAAGGTGAGAAGATGATATTTTTATTGAGGTTACTCGCGAGAATGAATGGAAGGAGTAAGACTTTGGGTGAAAAGAAAATGTTGAAGTTGACGGGGTTGTGACTCGAGAGGTAGGGGAAGAGCCACATGTTGGTATGAGTTCGGACTAGGAGTAACAGACAGAGTGTGCGGGGAAGTAAGACGAGGTGAAGTACAATGACGAGTGTCGGTGAGACGAAGATGAAAAGATGGATATGAAGGCGAAAGAGGATGATAGAAAAAATGAGAGGGGAGAGGAAAAAAGGTCAGGAAGTTTAGTACGAGGATCGCATCTGAAGCACCGATCTTTCTCACGCGTCCCCCAATGTCCATCGCGTCAACGACATGAGAAAAAATTCTACTTCGCGAAGAGACGGGGACACGACACAGCCCTCCCCTCATCCCCCCCGTCCATGGGTCCACCCGCGAAAGGATTTGATCTGACACCAATCTTTCCTCCCCCCCCCCATCACTCCCGCTTGGATCGGAAATGGCGTCGGGCCTCACCAAGAGACAGGCGGTGTAGCTCGAGAGACAGTAGCTGAGTAAGGCAAGAAGAAGGTTGAGACTCGACCTAGAGCTACAAAAGGTAACAAAAGCGCGGGTGGACAATAAGGTCGTTATGCCCATCGAGCAATCAATCAGCGCCATCAAGGTCCTTTGATCCATCAGTGCATCAGTGCCTCTTCATCAGCACTTGTGAGACCCGCGTTTTACCCTGAAATCACCATGTCTTTACGCGTCGTCCGGGCGCTAGGCCATATGAACAATGCGCCTCTGGGCTCTGGGATACCCCCCAAAATCTTTTCCTTCGCGACCCCATCCCCGTCTCATCAATTCTATATATTACTCAGACCCATCAGTTTTCCCCCCGTCTTTTTCATCTTTTCACTCTCATCTTTTCTTTCGAAATGTCGTCAATGAGGCGGTCGAAGTCTTCGACCTTTCTCATCGTTGACCAACATTCCACTCCTTACAAAGCGATACCCTTCTTGACACTTTTTGCAGGCTCTGTACTGCCTTAATCTTCCATCTTCTCCTGTCGCCACTCTTTTCGAACACTCTTTCTATGGAGCGACGAGATCATCGACTGGAAATATAGATAATGTCTGTTATAGTGAGTACTTGTACATGATCCCGTATGCAATACATTGACTGATGATTGTAGTCTGTGATCCGTCCTATCCTTCCCTTCCTCATTCCAGTCGACCCATGACACATCTGTCAAGGACTCTCCCCTTTCATATCGATGTCGACGTTGTTTACCATGGATGATCATCGAGTGAGTTCTTGTCCATCGCCCCTCATCACCTCCAACCGCACGTTCGACCCTTCCTCTCGCTTCTTCGTTATCATATTCACCTCGGATAGGTATATATATCTCGTTACTGTCCATCATCACCTATATCCCCTCCCATCCGGTCCTCATTCATCCCCATCATGTGTCACATATGTAGGTGGGACGTAGCTGACCAGCAGGCTGGATGTCCTCAAGGGGGAGGGCCTCTTTTACTTAAAGGCGCCCCCCACATAAGCCCACCTCTGGAAAAAGTGCATACTTACCTTGTTTGAACGGATTAGCTGCCATCATCCTGCAGCCCGTTAGGCTTGGCCTCCGCCCATTGTACAGCGACCCACACGTCTTCAGGGGGCGGCCTCGTCTTGTGCTGGCTTCGGCTGGTTCACTCGCTCAATATCTGGATCTGTCTGGAAGTCCTTCCGAGGGCGTCCGGACTACAGCTTTTGGATTTCTGGCGGGCGGAGAATGTAGGGAGTGGGTGAGTTGGGAATTCCGGGTTACGGATTACGGTTGAGGGAATGTACGAGCGAGGCGGCTCGAGGCGGGAGGCATCGGTGAGCACCGTGTCTTTTCTTTCTTCCCATACCTCCTCACGTTTGGGAAGCCGTGGGCATGCAATGAATGAAGCAGGTTGAAGGGGAACGGTCGGGCAGAAGCTGACGAAACAGGTCATACCACTCGTATCGTCCTCACCACTTGCTTCCATCCCTCCTTGTCCTCCGTCATTCGTTGTCTTCGTTTTCCCCTCGAACATACTCTCCCTCCCGCCTTCTCTACTATCACCAACGTCTCACTCGCATCTATATGCTTCACATACGGATGAAGCGCCCGACGCAGATTCAAAGTTCCTCACTTCGCCTCTCTCGTCGATCTCTTTTCTACTTTCCTGCGACACTGCCGTGCTGTTCGTGGACATTCATGCATCAGCGGCACATACCCGTCCTCGATTCCGACACGTTTCATCTAAATGGGCAGATGTTCGATCACTTCAATCCGAAAACCACCAAACATCGTCGCCCACTTGAGCGTCAGAACAAGGACGAAGGGTGTAATGGGATAATTGTTCGCCAGTGACCGGTCGGAATGACTACCGATTCATTGAGAATATTCCAGGCATATACGAATCTACGACTGGATGATGTTATGGTCGACAGTCGAGGACGGTCCGCATCGGGCGAAGATTCGATTAGAAGGATTTGGATGAGAGCGCAGGAAGGGGTCTCACTGGTGTGATGTCTCATCTGTACTCGTCTTCTGACGCAGACATAGGAGTACGTAGTTAGAGTAGGACGGTCTCCGTTGAGTGATATAAACTGCTCAGTTGGTCATCGAGATGATATTACCTGAGATCGTATGGTTTCCTGTTAGGGTTATAGTTGCGTCAATGGGTTGAATGTCACATGCAATCAATCGTTGAAATGAACAACTCGCCTTATTGGTGTGTTAGTCCAAGCAAGCGTGACAATTTCTGACCTATTGCCTCTTTCTTCAAGTGTGACCCGAGTGACACTCACAACTCTTTGTGATCCTCTCACAACTATAACAGTTACCCTGTCCAACTCTCCGTATCTCTTCATCTTCTTGTGAACAAAGTCAAACGAGAAAAGGACAATGGAGACGATCAGTGATCCAACTGAAGTGAGTGCCTTTTCTTGGCTTTTGAGATGTCGTCAACCATCAATTTCGGCCGAACCCCTTATACTCTGACTCCTCCCTTCTTCTTTTTCTCCGTATCATCATCACTCTTTCTCTCTCTCTTATCAGACCAATATCTACAAAAGATGTCTGACCGACAGTTACATATCGACCTTCCTTCTTCTCCTACCACCACCCCTGGCACGCCTCCCGTGCAAACGCCGTCTTTCAAATCTAACTCGTCGCCACCGACCTTGTCCCCTTACCAAGTGACCGTCTCCAACATCGTGGGATCTCTTCCACATCATTCCACCGCGGGACACAATTCGCTCACAGTAGACGATATGGACTTGCCGGAAGGATTAGACTTGAACGAAGAAATCTCAGATTTGTTGAGAGAAGGTACTAAGAGAGCTCATATGAAGGCTGGGGATCATAAAGGTGCTATGGCATTGGTGAGGGGTGAATTGGATATTGCAGAGTATGTCAGATGGTTGGCTATCTTATGGAGAGTATATGAGTAAGTAATCTACTTTACAAATCTCCCACTTTTGTCCTCCCTCCTTTCATATCCTTAGACGTCTCGGACATTGGCTGACACGTTGCTTCATGAGTAAATGAAATGATTTGGAGATAATTGATCAATGCGTGACTGATGAATAGTGCTCTCGAACTTGGTCTAGCGGAATATGCCTCAAACCCTGTTCTGGCACCTACGTTCGACCCCCTTCTCTTATCTCGTTCTTCGGCATTGGCAAAGGATATCACCCATCTCCTCACTCTCGTCCCTCGAAAACTTCACACACCCGCCCCAAGCGGCTATACTTCTACAGACAGAACTACCTCAGCTACTCCTCTTCCACCTTTTCCCCTCCCTGCGTTCTTAGATCCAATTTTCTCCGCTCCTCCTCAACCGCTGAAAGCGTACATAGACCGTCTACGAGAATTGGCAGCATCTTCAGAAACCGCCCCAAGTCTACTGGCGCATGCTTACGTGAGATATCTAGGTGATTTATCCGGAGGACAGGTTATCAGGGCAAGGGTGAAGAAGGCGTATAAGCTGGAAGAGGATGACGGTGTGAGATTCTTCTTGTTTCCACGAGAAGGTGAGGACGGTGGGACGGAAGGCGAGAAGAAAAGGTTAGGAGAGATCAAGGATTGGTATAGGAGAGGGATGAATGAGGGTGTGGGTGATGACAAAGCTCTGAAAGGTGAGTTGTTGTTGATCAGGCTCTGTCCTCATCTCTTTTTTTATTGACGCCCTCGCCTTGACAGCTCCCCAATATCGTCCGTTTCTCTTCGTCTTTCAACATCGCCATGATCGATGGACACCAGACAGTCGTTCGTAAAGGATAGAATGATCAGCTGAAATTCAGAACTTCTGGTCAAAGAAGCCAACCTAGCTTTCGCACTCAACACCCATATCTTCTCTCTCATCCTACCCGAACCAGGTCTAGTACCCCCCATCGCCCCGGCCCCCCAGATGAGATATTACGAACGCATGGCTTTGGAAAAAGCGGAAAAGGCACGAGTCGCAGCTCTGAAACCCAAGACCGGACGTACACTCACAGAACATGTTGAATTCTTCGGATGGTTCGTCATCGCTGCCTTGATTGGCGTTCTCCTCAGTCGTCTGACGGAGGGACAGTTGGGTTCATGGATTGACCTCATGGGGACGAAGACGGTTGGAGGTTTTATCGGTCGGTTTCAAAAGTAAATGTGCGAACATGATACGAGTACGTTGTTGAACTATCATGTCTCAATATCGAAGTTGTAGATTTTATGCATATTTGCTTTATTATGAAAAGTGAGAGATTCAGTTGACCGAAAATCACTGACAGTCCTGGGCTTGCTAGTCCCCAAGTGGACTATCCCGAATATCGTTGTGTAACTACTATAACCGAAAACCGTCATCGGCATCTCACTTCTGAGATCCAACGGCCGATGGTGCGGAAGACAGTGTCTACTGATGATAGGTACTTGTACTCTTCTCCGGGATCTTAATCCCAAGCGAATGAATCTTCTCTTATGATTGTGTCACCCTAGGATATCCGTCCTCAATACCCATTTATCACCACTCAAGACCTCTTCACCTTCATGTAATAAACAGCCACCCCTCGTCACTCCATGCCAATGAAAACAAACTCTACCGGCTTTTGCCTCCACAAGGAGTCTTTCTCGCCTCCCCATTTCTGAGCCCGTTCCGACTTTTCTCTCTTCGGTCGACTTGATTTTCCCCCGCCCACGTTCTTTGTCTCCTCGGACGCCCGCACTCTTCTGCTTGGTGACATTGGGATCTGAGAGGTGAAATACGGTGCTGCCACCTATGGGAGTGGTGAGGTATATCAAGATCGTCCAAGAGCTCAGTCGTCGGGAGGTTGGATCCAGTTGAGGTGTATCGTAGTGCGGTCTGAAGTATGTTTTAGGAGGGTAATGATAAAGACGTATATTCGGTGAGAGCTGAATAGGAGTGGTGGGGTTTAATGATTGGATTTGAGGTGAGAGGAGATTTAAAAGTTTTGACGCTATCTCAGGAGAATGAACAGCTGATCTTCCTACCTGTCAACTTGTACCCCAAACATGTTTATACATGTCATAATTCAAGATAAGAGTCTGACTACAAGTCTAAGTCTACTATCAAATCGAGTGAAGATGTCTTGGTGATCTTATTGCGGATGTGCTCGGGGGCGGGGGAAGATTGAAGGGGGACAGGGGTGATGAGGTTCATAGGAATAACTAGAGAGGAGGAACTACTGACGAGAAGTACGTTCAGCTTCTCCTTTACCGGCTTTCTTAGGACCTTCCATCTCCATACTCTTGGTCCATTCCATTAAGCCCAGCAGCTCATCATGGGTCAGGATATCATCTACTATATAAATCTGAGATTCTAAAACGGTCGATAGTCCAAGATGAGGTTTCGGTTCTAGTTGAGGGAAAGACATTTCTCAAGTTCTAAGCGACTTGACTTTCCTGCATTTCCATCCACTTGGATTTTGACCTTCTCTTGGTTCGTGGGAGAATAATCGTCTAAAGTACTGGTCGACGATGATACTTGCTAAATGACTTATACTGTTGGTTTTCTTTCAGTTGTATGCAGGTAGTGGTGATGTCGACGTTCGAGGTCGAACGTACCGTCGGACGTCGTCTAAGTACACGTTTGTCATTGAAACACCTGCCCCCTCCCTTTCCGCCCACAATGAAAGCATACAAAGACGAGTGGAAAGACCCGAGTCAGGTGAATGGATTCAGTGCTCAATCTCTATCAATCATTTAAAATGCTTGCATGCCTGTATGGATCTATTTGTTGTGTGCTACAATGCGGAACGTGGGTATTTCAATGTACTCGTGGTATGCAAGGATGTGGGAGACTGGGGGATCGACTATGATGAATGACTACGCGCCGCCGCTCTTCCAGCTACCTCTGACTATTTGATCAGCACACGTCCTCATAGATTTATTTTAATTGGGTTGGACGAACTCTTTTGCTAAGCGGTGTCTGCACAAGTACCAGTGGGTGGATGAAAGACTTTGAAAGACTCACATTCGTGAAGCACGTTAGCTTGAGGGGTGTCGGGCCCTTCAGCACCAAAATCGGCCTCGCCTCCAGGGGAGAAAGCGGATATGGGCAATATGAGAACGTCTCCTATTCTCAGAGGATGATCGAGTCCACGAAGCCGATGCCAAGTGACGTGATATCGAGCCAAGAGGAAACTATCGGATCAGCTTGACATCTCGACTTATTTATTTATCGCCCATGAGAAGTCTGGTCGTAGAAGAAAGCGAGACGAGAAAAAAGATGGGAAACACATACGCCATGACCGAATCCGAAAACAACCCAGGTCCAGTCCATTCCATTACGCTCATAGCATGATCCGTATGTTGTCCTCTTAGATCACTTGCATCCTCCCCTGCCTCTTCCAGTTTCACAATCTCCTCGGCTCTCCATATTTCCCATGCCTCAACCACCCGAGTAGAGTTGACCACACGTCTGACCGCATCAAGGAATATGGGATGATTCGGTACTGAAGCCAAAGTCCATTGACAGATGTCCACAGCTCGTGGCCATTCCTTGTCCCATCCTTTCTTAGCGTGTACGTCAACGTCAATGGCGACGATGACTGCAGGATAAGTGGAGAGTTTCGAACGCCAGTCGGAACCGTCAGTGACTGAAATGTCAAGATACTCGACTCGGACGTGTCCCCATTGTTCAATGGGTCGCAACGGGAGGGTCTATATGAGGTCAGCAACGCGAGATGAGTTTGATTGATATGATTCCAAGCTAGGGATTACGATTGGCAGGAATGTTGATAACGTTCCTCGACATTGCTCGATGGCCAATGGCAAAATTAATAGTTACGAAGTGGTGACTCACATCAACGTCCGAGTAAACGCCTCCTTGTACCAAAGGTAACAAATACCTCAAGAAGTCCGCCCTAAGCACTCCTCGGTGCATATAATCCCAAGCCCACTCGATGTCTGTATCGTGAAACAAATCCTTAGTCCAGGCTGCGGCAGCTTGGTCATCCAAGAAGTTGAGAGTCCAACCGTCGGCTTTGTTCATATTCACCCAAGCTCTCGTCTCTTCGGAATTCTTAAACGTCTTGTCGGTCTGATGTATATGTTTATAGGAAATCATTGAAGGAGGTTGAGAGAAAGGTGCCGGTGGTGCTGGAAGGAAATTGGACTTTGGTGGAAGATGATAATAAAGTTCAGCTTGAGCATGTAGTCTAATCATTGTTGGAAGGGAAGAAGCGAATTCGTAAAGTCTATTAAAGTAGGTATGCGGATCTGTAGGTCCTAATCGATATTTCTCCTCAGCTATTGTTCCAAGATCAGCTAGACCTTTTTCGGATGATTGAACCCATCCCATCTCTTCTGTCAAACCCCACATTGGATCATCTATGTCCGAAGAATAGTCAGCTTGACTTTGTGTATGCTCCCATTGCTTGTAAGGGTCGACGGAATGATGGTAGTGACGGTAGCTGAAGAGGGAGAAAATAAGAAGCAGACCGAGACAAATAAGACTCGTTTGAACAAGGCGTCGTCGTATGGGTCCATGTTTCGAGAGGTCGGGTGAAGAGGGATGGGATGTGTTTGGGACTAGAGCATAATCTTTTCGCCAGAATGCCCATGGTGCAGATCGAATTACGTGGGCTAAACGTGCTATTGAGATGCGAGGTTGTCGTGTTGACATGACAGTCGGTTAGGTGGAATGTTTGTCAAAGGGAAAGTTGAACTGGTTTGTTGAAGAGAACAAAGGACTACCACAGGCGACAATAGAGGACCGAATCGTTCAAGACTAGACATAACAATTTGTCCGTTGAAAAGAGTTGAGTTGATTGAGAGCTCTCAATTAAGTCATGACTGCGAGGACTGCGGTTGTCAATGAAATTGGTATCTGGAAGGAGCATGTTTCTCCGTGCTCGCTGTGAGTCGGCGGTGAACGCCGCCACGCGAGCTGGTTACAAGTTTGCAGGTCCGATAACAATGATCATGTTGTTACAAATCTATACACTCCCCACATGGTTCTTTGTATTCCATACTTAGTCCGACGATTCCAAAGATAATCGACGGCGGCATCTTGCGCCTTGACGGGGCTTTAATTATGCGGTGCGCCCCAACGATCCAACGACCGGTCAAAGTTCCAGAATTTCGCTACGTCATCCCCTTTCAACGCCGATCAGGTCGATGACGACGCTGCAAGGAATCGTACTTGTCGATCGTACGATCGTCGCAAGAGGGATGTCACCTTTCCGTTTACGTCACTTTCCCTCAAGCGTAGGCTTTTCCCCTTCCCCTCGTTGCACAACAACCCGGGTTGACACATTGGTTGACGATCGACAGCACAGGGATGCTTTCCCCCTAAGACGCCTTGATGAATTTACCGCAAAAAGGTCTCTCTTTTATCAAGTGAAGTGCGAACAGAGAAAGGTCGTCTCCTCCCGCCTTTGACGGTATCGGTTTGACGAACTGACATTTCACAGCTTACATTTCGAATTCACTGAATTTAAGGTCCAACAATCTGACTATGGGACGACACACAGCTTGATCCGTCGGAATGACACTTTTTTCTGACGGATGTGCAAAAGAAAAAAGACTCCACCTCCGGTTCAGAGGTTCAGAGGGTAAGATGCAATGGGATGGTCTCACCTTTTCCCTCTCCTCATCCCGCACCTGGTCGATGGAGCACCCGTTAGTCGGCTAAGTTCAAACACCGGTAGCAGTTTGAATCGTGGGACGATGTCAACATGAGAACGTTCGATTTCCTCACCGAATGATATATATCTAACCAAGTTTATTGATTGAAAGTATCACCAGTCCTATCTCTATCTCCCTTCACAACTCCATTGACGACACGCCGCTAACAGCCATCTTCCCGTACTATAAAACTCAAAACAAAACGCACCTTAAACAAACAACATGATGAAGACCGCTACTGCCATGCTCGTCCTCTCCGCCCTTGGCGCGATTGCGACCCCTCTCAAGCAATTCCAATCTCGCGCTGCTGCAGGCTACTCCGACACTCAGATCTTGCAGTATGCCCTTACTTTGGAGAACCTCGAGAAGTCGCTCTAGTGAGTGGCCGTCCCCCGTCTAGCTAAGATTCCGAGTCACCGTAGATCATGCTGACATGCCCTAGTTCCGACTTCCTTGCCAAGTACTCTGCTCAGGATTTCGCCAACGCCGGTTACCCTGATTGGGTCCGTAGCCGTTTGACCCAAGTGTCAGATCACGAAGCCGCTCATGTTGAATTGTTGTCAACTGTTTTGGGTAGCGATGCTGTTCAGCCGTGCACCTATTCTTTGTGAGTTTTCTACCTTTTCAACCCTCTACGTCTCTCGTCTGTCTTTGTCATCCCCCTTCGTCATTGCTATCCTGTGTCTTCGCGTACCAGCGAAAAAGGGAGATCATCAACTCATACTCAGCCCTTACACCGACATCCCTTCCTTCCTCGGTCTTTCCTCCACCATCGAAAACGTTGGTGTCTCCGCCTACTCCGGTGCTGCTCAATACATCACCTCCCCCGCTTATCTTTCCGTGGCAGCTGTCATCCTCTCCACCGAAGCTCGTCATCAAGCATGGGAAAGTTCCGCCGTTCTCAAGAACGCGGCTTGGAGCGGACCTTATGACACCGTGTTGGGTTTAGACATGGTTTACACTCTCGCCTCCGCTTTCATCACTTCTTGCCCCGATTCCAACGCGGCCTTACCCGTCAAAGCTTTCCCCGCTCTCACCGTTAACACACCTACTCCCGGTGCGACTTCTACCTTCTCTTTCAAAGGAGGTAACGGAGGTCCTTATTACGCCATCTTTTACAACGGCTTAGGAACTCAGAGCGAACAACTTGACGCCAACAACGCCGCTATGATTCCTTCGGCATTGCAAGGTTTCTCGTACGTTATCATCGCTTCCACCGGTAACGCCACCGCTGTCACCGATGACAATATCGTTGCTGGACCAGCTATCTTGAGCTTCCCATTCAACTCCAAGGCCTCAAACCCTGGTTTCACCGGTCAATAAACGAATCGACGAAGCACCCTATCAGTCGGCAAGACTCCAGCAAGGAATTCAATCAATCGTTAGTTTGTTTTCGGACAGCAATGGTGATCGGAAGATATGAGGAGAATTATGAAACAGACGAGGAAAGAAAAGGGACATTCCAAGGACATTCAAATCATGTAGTATCGTCAGCTACGGACAATCATGTATCATCTCAAGTGCACGCATTTTATGCTGACCCCTTCAACCTGCCACGCGCGGATAAGATATATCTTCCCACATTGAAGCATGCGAACACCGCCCGCTAAAGAGCTGCTTTACACCTTAACGACCTCCCATCTTGCACATCAGCCCTCATGATTACCGTCATACTTCATACGCTCTCCTACCGCTACGTCCGACCGGGTTCCAGCACGTTGTATCACCTCAAACCCGGACGTGTTGTTTGCATCTGATGGTACCTCGGTGATCGCCGAACCGATCGTCCAAAGGAGCCTGTCGCGTCTTTCCCATACTTAGTTAATTTGCATTCTTACAATACACCCCATCGCTCTTCTCCATGCGGTAAGTCGGTTATTCTCTTTGCTACCTCTCAATACCAAGTCCGAACTGCTAGACGAATGGGTCCAATTACGAGTATCAAATGTGTTGTAGTAGGTGATGGGGCCGTCGGAAAGGTAAGTCTTCTTATTAGTCCCTTCAATCAGGGATCGGTTCACGGCCGGGCAGTTATCCTTGCACTATCACCTACAACACCCTATGTACATCTATGAGGGCTGGGATGAAAAAAGAAACTGACAAAGACAGACGTGCTTATTGATCTCCTATACTACTAATTCTTTTCCAGGAGAGTACGTCGGACCACTTGTAATCTCCTCTCTTAGCTCATTTTCACCGTCTTCACCCTAGAGTGAGCCTTGAAGCTTCATCGGGAAGGGATCTTATCGGGAATGTAAAGGGCTTGAAGAGGTGAGATTGGAGGGATATTAGATAAGGAGATAGATAAGGAGGTGGCATTTCTGAGGGACATGACCTGAAGACCGTACCAAAGAGTACAGGCAAGAAAATGGGCGCATGGGATACGGTCAGGACGACAGAGACTCATGTCCAGATACGTACCTACCGTCTTCGACAACTATAGCGCTTCAGTTTTGGTCGATGGAAGACCTGTTTCTTTGGGATTATGGGATACAGCCGGACAAGAAGATTACGAGTGCTTACTCTCTTCCCTTCTCCCTCTTTACCATCTTGTTCTCTGGCGGACAAAACGCTCTTGAATTCATATCCGTTCGGGCATACATGTGCTAGGATGGTCACATGATCTGTCAAAAGAGGACGATAATGTATATAAAGCAGCAGCTAAAATCAATAGTCGTCTAAGACCATTATCGTACCCCCAAACGGACGTATTCATCGTTTGTTTCTCCCTCGTCTCTCCACCAAGTTTTGAGAATGTCCGAATGGTGAGTTTTTCTCATCTTATAACTCCATCCCTCTCATGCCTCCACAGATCATATCGAGGAGTCACCAACACACATTCTTGCACACATGCTGAAACGCTCCATGAATCTTCGTGATTCCTCATTGTCTAGTATAGAGAGGGTCAGAAGGGAAATTTGCTTGGATATTCCTTAAGAAGATCAGTATAAAAGAGGTCATGACTGACATATAGAAATGGATCCCTGAAATCACTCATCATGCAGCCGGTATACCCATCGTGTTGGTCGGTACGAAATTGGATTTACGTGAAGATCCTGTAACTGTCCAAAGATTGAGAGAAAGGAATTTCATACCTATAACATATTCCCAAGGTGTACAATGTGCAAAGGATGTTGGTGCTGTCAGATACTTAGAGGCTAGTTCGAAAACGTGAGTCATCCGTTACTTTTGCATCATCGGAACGTTCAACTTCGGATGTGTAAACATGGTTGGGATTGGGAAATTAGGAAAAGGGAGTTGAGGATTGACGGTTGAGAGGTCAACATTGTGAGATAAGAGATGATTTCTTGGTCAGGATGCAAATCAGAGTAGGCTAGCGAAATGAGGGTCCTCAGCGAATTCGAGAAGAGTTCAAAAGCCAGACCAGTCGATGCTTACATTCAGACAAAAAGGTTTGAAAAACGTATTCGATGAAGCTATCCGAGCTGTCTTGACTCCTCCGAACCAACGAAATCCAGCGAAAAGGAAGAAAAAGTCTTGTGTGATTCTATGACGGATAGGGAAATTTGACTGAGCATCTAGTCCTTAAGGTGTGGTTGTGTGGATAAAATTGGATATATAGACCTCGGAGTGAATACCCTCTACAGGGGTAAGAGTAGTGGGTGCGAGAGGGTCGAAGCTCGAGGGGAATTGGGGTCAAGGGAGATGGAAGATGGGAGATGGAATGACCTCTCCGAGTGTATAGTGTATCATAAACGCTATTGTTTTTCTTGATTCTCGGGCGAATGAGATGCATCTTGGATCATTTCATCATGTTCATATATGACTATAAACGTGTTTTTCGATAATAAAAAAGTTTGATACGTAAAGTGGATACATCATCAACTTTCACTATTCCTTCATCTACTCAGTATTGTCTAGACGTGTTTCCGGTTCATGTTTGAGTCATATCACGTTTTCGTCGAAGGGGAAGTAACGTTCGTAACCTGATTTCCCAAATCAGCTTCTTTCCCCTTACTATATATTCTGACATAATTGCGGAGAAAAAAGTTTACTCACTCGTCTTATCCACCCTCTAGCTCTGAGCCACTCAACAACTCTAGGTGTCCAAGCCACTGTCAATCCAGCTCTGACAGGTAACATGACAGTTTTATGAATAGTATAAGCTAATAAAATTTCCGCCCAAAAAGTAGGACTTGAAAACCATTTCATTTCTTCTTTTATTTTCTCTCCATTTTCTCCTTTTCCTTTTCTTTTTCCTTCATTTCCATCTTCTTCATGAACATCATTCTTTTCCTCATCTTCTATTTCAGATTGAGAAGAACCCATGAAATTATGATAAATACCTGTAGCCCAATCGACGATAGGTTGTAATCTTTCCGCTCCTACTAAATGAACAGCTAAGAAAGTGAATGGGAATTCTAAACCGGATAATAGAAAGTACATCCCGATTGCCCATATACCATATTTCTTAGTGAGGTTTTTGAATTTGGCGTAAGCTGATTGTGTGGGATCGGATTCGGATGAAGAATGTGATTCTGTATCAGCCTCGGAGTCAGGATTCGAATTTGGATTTGGATTTGATTGAGTGGGGAGATCAGAATTGGAATGTGATTGTGGTTGAGGCTGAGATGATGAGGTTTGGTCAGGTGGAGTGATTTTCGTGGAAGCTGAACGGATAAGTGGGAATGTAGATGATCGAACTAGAGGTGATATGTTGGACTTAAGAGAAAAAGATAGCAGGGGCGAGTTGAAAGAGGTGGATAAATTTGAGCTTGTGATATATGACGAATAAAGTTTATTTGAAAGAGTGAAATTTGGTGTTCGAGAGATAGTTGAGAGTGCCGATGTGATAGGAACGTTGGGAGGTCTTAGTACGGAAGTTGACAGTGGACGAGGGAGAGAGAGAGGCGAGAGGCTCCGAGGAAGGAACTGTGATGATGACATTGTTCGATTATACGAAAGAAGAGAGAACGTTCTTGTTGTTTGTCTCAGTGGTACACGGGTGATAGTGGACACCCTTATGAGTGGAAGAGACGACATGATGGTGTTCGTTTGACTGACTGCTGATGATCCAGTGGCCAGTGAAAAGGGAAGGAATTCTTCACGACTTTTCCCAATTGACCGATCGCCGAGTGCCGCGTGGCTTCCACCGCCGTCGGCAACGGGTTTGATTCCGTCCCATCGTCTTCATAGTAAGTTAAGTCAGAGAACATGCAGGGTAGTGAGAGGATGCCAGCATGTCGCATACGTGCCAAGGGACAAGGGCTTAGAATCTCAATCATGAATTTCTGATATACATATGTTCTTTTATACTAATCCATTCGATACAATAACTCGATAATTTCCTTCGATTCCCATCTGATCCTTCCCCACTTCCCGTTCGCCCCTCCCCACTCTTGCCACATATCCCAAGACACCCCAGCAATCTCTCAAATCACATCCGCAAAGGTAAACTCAGATAAAACAACACGTAGCCCAGATCAAAGTCCCGATATCAAACTTATTGTTTCGGCGGCCAGGTCTGGAAGAACACAGGCGTTGGTTGTCCATTCCCTCCCATGCTATGAATATCCTGAGCCAAACCAGCACTCGCCACTGGATACAACGGTACTCCTGACCAACCCGTCGCGTCCAAACCCGACGGTCCCTCTACACCATCATCCCCATCCCATAATGAGAAAGAAGCTCTTTTCCCTTCTTGCGACACCAAAGTCTGAGAGGCTAGACGTTTGTTCCCCGGCCGCGCAAACATAGAAGTATGTTTCTGATTTTCCGCGGGCGAGAAGTAATGTCCATTCGGACCGCCATAAGGTGACGGTGTATGCTGTAAACCGAAGGAGGGTAGTCGTTGCGGAGCTAGGGTTTGTTGTAATGCCGAAGATCGTTGTACAGCACTGGCCATTGGTCTGATGGTTGAATGAGCCGATTGAGTGGTCGTGTTACTGATAGGATTGGGAATGAGTCTCGGTGGTAGATTTCCCCCCGATTGACTGTTGTTGGACTGGGCAGAGGAAGATATACTACCGCTTCGGCGCTTGACGTCAAACTGCATGTTGAAAGATGTCTGTCGATTTTGCAATTCCACTTTCCACTTTTGCATGGCTTCTTCCGTAGTCGGAGTGGGTAAGGGCAGACCATTGACCCCATTGGCTGCCGGTCGTGCAGTGAGACCGGGTGATTTCAGATCAGGCATCGAATTGCTTTTGCTTAGTGTGCGTCCGTATCCTGGCCTGGGTGTTATCACTGAAACTCCCAAATCATCGTCTGTGCGAGGTTTATCCCCGAGAGCAAAACCGTTCATAGGATCCGAGATGAATTGCTTCCAAACATCTTGTAAATCGGCCAGGGTCGGTACCTTGGCGTTATCACCATCTGCGATTGGCGCGATCGAAACGGTAGGTCGTCTGGGATCATGTTGCTTCTGCACATGTTGAGCGAGCTGTGACGCCATTAACGGGTTCGTGAACATGGTGGAGGAGTTTGAAGTGTCGCTCGAAGCAAGCTGAGGGACGACATCTCGTAGGGACATTTGGTTGAACGCATTTGCCCACACGCCCGTAGAAGAACGGCGACGATGATGTTGTGCTATAGCCCTTTGAATGGTTTCCTCGTCCATGTTAAGGAAATCAGACGCTATGGCAGAGTCGAAGCGCGCATCTTCTCCCTCACTAGTAGACGAGGACGAAAGCTGGTGTGATGGATCGAAGGTCGATGTTGAATACCATGAAACGTCGTTGGGCATGTTCGGCACGGTGAGAGATCCAGGAAGGCCTGAGTGAATCTGCGCAGGCGTATATGGAGACGCGAGGACAGACTGATCGGAGGTAGAGCTTTGACGAATTGGGACTTTCCCGACGTTCCATATCCCGGGGGGAGTGGTCTGGACATTGCCACTGTTGCGCGGAGGGGAGAGCTCATCGCTGCTACTCGGACTGATGGTGGTGAGGCTAGTGAGAGATGGGGTCGGATCCATGCCAGGTGGTGATGAGCTCGAGGACTTGCCTGATGCGAAGCTGCCTGGCAGCGATCGCATGGGTCTGTTTTGAGGAGCGGGGGGCAGTGGCGGGTTCATCTGACCGGGAGAGGCGTAGATGGACGTAGATTGCAAGTTGTGGGATCCTACGAAATGCTGGTCCACCATGGCCTGATGTATAGGCGGCGTCGACCACTGGCTGGTAGGAAGCGGAACAGGTTCGGAGACATAATATTCCTGTGACCAAGCGCCTGATAAAGGGTCGGCCGTTTGAAGCTGATTCGAATCACTGTACTGACCAGGAGCAGCCATAGAGCCGTTCTGTCTGACGGACCTAGGGGGGCTATATTTCGGGGCAGACTGAACGGGAGAGGGAAATTGGGTCAATGGGGAAGAGTTGGTGGATCCAGACATAGGAGTCGCAATGTTGTTCACCGCGGCGTTGATTGGAGATACACGATTTGCGAGAATGGGAGTGACGGTACGAGAGCGGGGCTTGTAGTAAGTGCACATAACATTACGATGAGAACAACGAGCTAACAAGTTAGCCTTCACTCCCCGACCCAATTTGAAATAAACCAACCACAGGGCTCTTGGAAGTCGCAACGGACCTTGGAATGATTGCACTGGTCACACGCTCGTTTCTTGAAACCAAACTCGTAACCCACACTCGAAAGGCTGGATAGACTTCCATTCCTACCCATGGGAACAGACGTCATTCCTTGTTGTTCGGGCTTCAGTCCGCTCAAGTGGGAACCGAGAGCTCCGCCTTGAAATCCCATTCCCACGCTGAGATCGGGCATGAGATGGTTCAAGTCGCCGCTGGGTCCAATGCTCATCTGCCCGCTCGTCCAGCCCGCAGCGCCAAATGGGAGTACTTGGGAAGGTTGAGGAGGATTAGCGAGTAAGGGATGGTTGGGATACATTCTCTGAGCTTGTAATCCGGGTTGATCAAACGAAGCTCGGCGAGATGATTCAGGTTCAGGTTCGACAGGACTGTCAGATATGACAGAGGTGGCAATAGATTTACGACGACCCTTCTTGTTTTCCTTCTTCGTCGTAATTTGATCAACGCCATCGGGGGATTTGTGAGCCTTGTTCACATGTCGAGATAGTAGATCACTAGGCTTCAGCACCTCACCCTGATGAACCGAGATTCAAATAAGGCAGATAAGGGAAGGCCAGGCAGAAATGAACCTTTGACTCACCTTCTTGCAAAACGAAGTGGACACTCTTTGCATTCGTATGGTCTATCGCCAGTATGTGCTCGAAGATGTCTTCCGACATGTTGAGGTCGTGTAAAGGTGGCCGAACACAACTAAAATGTCAGCAGGAAGTCAACCACAGGTGATCCCGACTCACAGGACATTTGTGATCACCAGCCATGATTGTGACAAGCACTAGGCGTAATCCTCTTTGACCTACCTGTTAAGGAAATTCGTTCGGTACTTGGCGAGGTAGCGTGCCAGACGTGGGTGAGTTATTTGTTTCTCGGTGAGTCGGTTTCCCGGAGGATCGGTCTTGAAGACGAAATGTGAGAGAGTCGAGTACGTGTTCGACTTTGACGTCGGTGCTTTTATCCCCACAGTGACCGAGAGGAGTAGAATTCTCTCTGTTAGAAAGAAGAAGCGGTCTTTCTGTCCGTTGCAAATTCCAGTGTATGTGATCGTGGGATGATGTGAGTTACAATGTCGGAATGTCAAAGACTTGGCAAGAGAGAGGAGTGAATGACGTCGTATTCAGGTTCAAGACGACATTCCCGTACACTTCGGGTGATGGGCAAGTTGAATTGATAAAAGAAGACTGAGGAATAAGTGTATGACAAGGGGTAAGCAACGTCACTGAATCTGAAGTGGAGGGGACAAGACGTCACGGGGTGTTGTCGTTCGTCGGCGATCTTGTACACATGCTGCGCACGTTGAGTGATATTTGGTTGTAACTGCATAGCATCGCATTTCTGATGGATCTTTCCAAACATGTTTGTGATAGCATTGTGATTTGATCGACCTAGACCACCGGTGGCAGCATTCGCACGCATTTGAGCGCGAGCTAAAGCGCCAGATTGACCAGAACGACCGTCAAGACCGGAGACTTGCGTGTCGAGATCGTTCTTGATCAATCCGTTGCCTGCTTGACCAACACGGGAAGGATCGGCTCCGCCTTCATCGCTAGCGAAGGTCTTACAAAATCAGGAGAACGTCACCGTTCTGAAATGAGACAACTCACTCTCCCTGGTGTGTCAGCGTGTACAGATAGATAAAGGAGATGACTCACATTCGCTCCTCGTATCAACGACTCTGTCGCCAAGGATGGTACCGCAGTCCCCGCACACCTGAGAAGTGAGTGACAGATAAAATGACGGAAGAAAGACTTACCAAGTCACCTTTGGAATATTCCTCAATGATGTTGGGTGGGTTATTCCGACAATTAGGACAAACATGTTTGACATTGAGGTTTGGTACGATGGGTTGGCCATACTTGGGCTATAGTGTCAATAAAGTGATCTTCTGTCCACTTTTCACAGGACGATGAAGTATGATTAAGCGTAGGCATGTATGAGTGAAAAGGGATGTTCATGAACACGAAGCTCACCCCGATGGGTTTCGGACCAAACTGGGGTGTGACTGCCCCCATCTTTCACTGAAGCAATTTATAGAGCTTAAAAGGGTATCTGGTCAATCCTCCGAGCCCCAAGAAGGGCTCGTACCGTGTTGAACGGTGATGAGTGACAGCGAAAGCTGAAGACCCGACAGCTTTTCTCTGTTTGTCAGCGAGACTCTCTCATCGTCTCACCGGAACATTTTGTCTCCCACGGCGTGAAGAAGTCGACGAGATGACGAGAGAACCGTATACACGAAGACAACATATCTTCGGACATGGCACAGATTGCACTCGACCAAACAACTTATTATGCAGAATTATCTTGGAAACATTTGCCACCCGCTCCACCACGCACACACAAAGGGGCTCTCTCAGCACTCATACTACTCACCCAAGTAATGAAGGAACCTTTTCCCCGCCCCTATCCACAGACAATACGCCGTTGATCGCCTTCTCTTACCAGGAAGAGTCGGAAAGAACTCGCAGTCGTGAGAAAGGGGATGGAAAGGCGGAAACACAAACGAAACACAAAGACAGAGAGAGGAAAAGTCCGAATGGGTCTATAAGCGCAACGCGGTGGCAAGATTACGTAATCATGGGAGAATCGAAATGGGAACGACGGTGTTTGTGCTCGTCCTCTTTCTTCCACGGCAACAACCTTCAACAGAGCTCACCTACGTTTTACTGACCTTTTGACCCTTTTCGAGTTTTGTGAGTATATACTGACTGCTGAATAGTCATCCTGGATGAAGCTAATAAAGATAGAGAGATATCGTGACACTCGATTGTCGTCGTTGAAGGGTTGTCAAGAAGATCTGCGCATCGTCGTCTCCCAACCGCCGCAGGGATATTATCGCGTCTTACGAATCGACATCTGTTCGACCTTTTCAATATACTATTGGAGATACATCTCTGAGCTCGTGGGATTATTTTGCGCGTTGTTTCAAGTTGATACGACGTGTTTAAGGTGAGTTACGTGTTTCTGATCATTCATCATTTCTCCTTGTTTTGTAGACGTATGTGTACCTCTCAGAAATGTCTCTCGCATCAAACGGCCTGGTAAATCATGTTACAACAAGCTGACGGCCATAGTGCTTCTTTTAACAACACGAGAGAGTCCATCGAAGGAGCGTGAAAATCAGTGGTCGTCAATATGGCTCAAAATATGAATCAGTTCACGACCGATGAGTATGTGTTGGCATACCACGGTCCGTTGTTATACGAAGCCCGCGTGAGTTTTTCAACGTCTCTCACATGCTGTGGGGCCATTTCTACGTAGAGTATGACCAGATAGAGGGCGGATGCGAATTGGAGTTGTTTGCTGATTCGTAAAAGATCCTTTTGGCCGAAAATTGGAATGAGAGTAATACTCTTTTAGGTACTGTCGGTCCTCATTATTTTATCCATTACAAGGGATGGAAGCAAACGTGAGTCTCTCCACACTGATTCACTGCCAAACTATCCTAAAATCCCCTCGCACCCACTCTTAAAGCCCGTGTTGTCTTGTTATGCACTCCGGGGCGTGAGAAACAATCGCAGTTGCAATTTGTCGATTGGCTCGTCCAACATTGTCAGACAGAGCTGATCACTCAGATGGGACGAATGGGTACCTGAACAACGTTTATTGAAATTGAACGACGCAGGCTTAGCGAAACGTCGTCAATTGTTAGAGCAACAAACTAAGAAGAACCGACCCGCCACTGCATCAACTTCTACACCCACTACTGGTAAAGGCAAAGAAAAGGGTTCTGTGAAGAAAGAAACCGGGAAGAAACGTGCACGGGATTCTATGGTGGATACTGTGAGTTTCACTCCTCCTTCATTGCCTTCATATCAATGTGGTGGGGAAAAAGGATCCTTTGTCCTTTCCAATGTGAATGTCAAAGCGCTGATACAATGCTTCTTTCTCCCTTCTCATTCTCCTCCCTCATACATATAATCGACCTCTCTTCGCTCCATCTGGGTGACATCCGATATCGGATCTTACCGATCTGACGACGAACTTAACGAATATGCATGATACCCCACAGGAAGCGGATTATCTCAAACGACCAGAAGTGAAGATCGTCATACCTGACCTTCTCAAACTTCAGCTAGTAGATGATTGGGAAAACGTGACCAAACATAATCAGGTGAGTCATTCTTTCGCTTTGTTCTCTCATACAAGGTTGTGTGATATTCTGAGGTCTCGACAATGGAGCTGAGAAAACAGCTGGTGTCTTTACCCAGACAACCGAATGTGAGGGAGTTGCTAGACGAATATCGACAATATGTTTTGGCTACGAAAAAGTCGCAGGATAGATCTCCGTGAGTCTAGGTTTTTCTTCTCGTGTCATTGCTTCTTTTTATCTCTTCTCTGTTTCCTCTTTTACCGTTCGCTTTCACGCCATTACTAATGGGACGGGCAACGGACAGGGAGTCTGGATATTCCCGGGAGAGATAGTAAAATAGTCGGCTAATCAGTGCTTCATCGCTAACGGTGCAGCCGCGCAACGGCTTTACTCTCTGAGATCATCTCAGGAATCACCCTCTATTTCGATAAAGCCTTAGGAAATAATCTTTTATATCGTTTTGAACGTGCACAATATGTCGAGCAAAAAAGGGCTAATCCTGATAAACCGATGAGTGAAATATACGGTGCTGAGCATTTACTTCGTTTGTTTGGTATGTTTTTCGTTTTACTTCCTTTCCCTCCTCATCACAACTTCACTTATCTTCATTCCCTTGTCCCTCTCCAATTGGACTTGTGTCTTTACTAAACATCTCCACCTGCGTCTACATCAGTGGTTCAGGCAAGCACCATGCAGCAATTTGACGGTTCTTGTGTTAGAACTGAAGAGAGCAGAATGGAAACTGATGATCTAGTGAACTTTGGTCCATTTATCGCTTATACAAATATCGATCCTGAATCTCTTAATATACTTCGAGAATATATCAACGATATAATGAAGTGAGTCAACCTCAACATTCCTCATCTCTCATCTCTCATCTCATTTCGTCTCCCTCAATCGCTTCAAATCACTTGCTCGAGGTTTACGTATGAAAAGTAGTAAGCGTCCAATGTAAAGCTCATGGAGTAAAAAAGGAAGCGGAAGAGTAAAGCTGATTCAAGGTGGATGATCAAAGAACAAAAACGTCTCTTTGTGAAAGAATACGAAACTACCACTATGCAATATCAAAACTTGTCTAGAACATGACATTCCTTATCCCTCATTTCGAACGAGTGTGATGTGGTATTGATTCTTCTTTTGGATGAGTAACCTCAACAAACCCATGACAGAGTGGATGACGGTGAAATTGACATGAAAGAACTCGCTTTGTAGAGCGGTGTGAATGAACTTCAATGTTGATTAGTCTGGGTTATTATTTCATGAGATGTATGTTTCTGTTTCGTTCAGTGATGCTTCATAATTGCATCATGCACTGCACATAGAGAGACAAAAGTTGTAAATTTGTCATTGATGATTGCTCGTTTGCCCACATTCTCCCTAGCTTTCTCCTGGTTCTTACTACTGATTTGCTTTTACTTCTGCTACACAATTGGGATTGGCTTCCTCATGCTCTTCCCCCCCCCCCCCTCTCCGTGTCTTCTTTGGCGCCCACTGGCCACTGAACCGCCACCGTTGTTATCCTTCGCCTAATCAGCTGAATTTCTCACAATCGTTCGACACAATGGTATATGGAACAGGTATATAACACGACGAATGCACAAAGGTCCCAGATTCTCAGGATATGATATCTTCCATTCTTTTCTTTTCCTTTCCTTTGTTGCTTGGTGGGTGATAAAAGACTCGTGTCTCGGTTGAAGTTGGGTAATGAGAGATTGTTGAGTGAGGATAAGATGGTGAATTGGTGGTGGAAGGGAGAGAGGTATGATGAATGCAATGGGTGGGAGAGGAAGAAGTGGGGAGGTTGAAAGGTGTGTTTGTTACGAAGTCTTCCAGAGGAGGATAGCGATAGGTCCGAGATAAAAGTAGATGAAGTTTTTAGTTTCGTGTGTTACGAAAGAACCGAAGCTGATCATTAGCACCTCGTCTCCTCTTAGCATCTTTCCGCTCCTTCGAGTCCAGACGTCAGGCAAAGTTTGGACTAGCATACTCTCAGAGGGACATACAGGATCAAGCTTTGGTTGATGATGAATTACAAAGAAGAGATAGATCATACATCAAGACCTAGCATATGTTGTATGTACCGGGAGGGATATTTAGTGGGAACGTGACGACCATCGTGATGCAGAGTGGGGTGGTAATGAGGATAGATGGCTTGAGAGAAACAGCAGGGAAAAAAGAAACAACCACTCACTTTTTCCCCACCACACAATGCCATGTAGTCCCGTAAATCCTATCGAATTCTTTCTTGATATACATGGCCATATCTTTCTCGACATTATATTTCTCACCTGCCATCGAAGCCATTTCTACTGCTTTTTGTTGCATTTCCTCTGACACTGATGATTAATCATTATCCCCTTCATTTCTCTCCTCTGAACATCTACGAGGCACTGCAACTCTCCTCTGTATCTTATATTGGGTATTAACGGTGTGATTGGTAGTTACTTGGATTGGTGTTTCAAGATATGAAATTCACCATGTTACGAACGTTGTGAGGAATGAACGTTCAATTGAAACGGGGTGATACAAAAGTTGAGAGGACACTCACTATCAACAGATTTCACTATAGCTTTCATCCCTTGTCCTAAATCACCTTTCTCAGTTAAAGACATCTTCTATTTATTTGCTGGTTTGGCGTGATAGATGGAATGATGGGAGGGAGGGGGAAGTGTACTGTACTTGTAACGTCAGCCAAGCAACCTCATCACAACCGACAACGGAACTCACAAAGTCTCTGATGATCCCTCGGTTGTTACAACACCGAATAGATGAGAGAGAGTTCAGAGGGATGAATTGATGATGTGAGGGAGAAGATGAAAAGAGGAAAAGATGAATAGGAAGCGAAGATAGTCAACGCACGGCCAACTTACTCAAACTCGGCAAACTCCGGCGGAATCAGAAACCGGGGCTCCAGGTTCGTCATTCCACCCTTCCCCCTTCAAGTACACTACAAGTACTCCTGCCACTATCTATCCTCTGTGTGATCTCATCTACTTGTACCTAGACAAGCATCATCGAGTAGCGTCGTGGTGAGTGAGTAGCTCTCAAGAAGTGTAAAATTGTATAACAAGACGAACAGATCAAGTCAAAAATGCCCATATTAGACCAAACTGACTATTCGACCTTGAGTTTGGGTCATCCTCCCGTCTCGAGGAAAGAACTACATATAGTCGGTCTAGAGCTTAGAGTTTATGGGTTGGAAGAGATAAAAGATAGTAATTTACCTATAGCATGTATCGTGAGTCATCTTCCTCATTTCCTTTTCTCATGATAACGACCCTTTTTCTGCTTCACTTCTATATCTTGTCAATTCTGTTCATAAGTTGACTAGAGTACGTTTCTCCCCAGCCGGTCGTCAGAAGGGATAGTTCCCATATTGCCGCACTATGCGTTTATGATTCGTCTGTCTTCCTTTCGGGAAAATGGACAAAGAGATAGGTCTGAATAAGGATTTCGAATGTAAGATAAGACGCTGATGATAGATCGCAACACATGGAAGAGGAAACAATATGGATCAAATGGAACCTTTCGCTCAAGGTGTATTAGGTGAGATTAATAAATTGAAACAAGAGGATCCCCCGGAGGAATCCCCGGAGAAAGATGTCATACTGGTTCTTCTTGTCAGTCCATCTTTCCTCTTCATCCCTGTAGCCTAATGATTCCTTATGATGGTAGGAACAACGTAATCACGGTAAACGGTTACATGATCCAGTCAATAATCAAGCGTATGACAAGAATCCTACGCATTTGTAAGTCAATTCAATTCTTATCCATCTACCTAAACCCCTCTTCGCCCCTCTGCTTCTCTCCTCGTCCTCCTCAGCTCAGACGACCGACAGGTGAATGGTTTTGGCATGTCGCCTATAGAGAAGAGCTGACGGGGAAGATGTGATATGGCAGCAATGATCGGTAAGACTTCCTTTCGCTCGTCGGTTTTTGCTTGCATACCGAGAGGGGTGGGGGGATGAGAAGGGGAGGAGAGGAGGGAGGGTGGTGATTGAGAAGAGTGTATCTGACTTTTAGTCGGAGGTTGTCAAGATGTCTCCTTCGTCATTGATTTTCTGGCTTCTTATCTCTTTCCTAATGGTGAAAGGGACATAGTAGATTGGATAGCTACTGGGATATCTCTTGGTGGTAATGTGACTTGGAGACTTTTGTTGGAAGGTGAGTTTATTCTGCTAACCTTGTTCCTCTTACTTTCTTTTTCCACATTTCCATACTTCTCCTTCTCCACCATACCCAGAGAGAAACACCAGAAGGAACGTATCTCTTTCCTTGATCACATCTTATTTTCTCGTTTTGACGTTTCGTGAGAACTTTGAACAAAATCACATTTGTTCCTCATGTTCTTTCCCTATTCATACACACAATCAGAGGGATAGACCCTTGGACCGTGAGTCACTAAGAATATTCAATCCGTTTGACTGTGATCTTTCATTTCGGTTCATGTCAGACGAGGTAACACAGGTCAGAAGAGGTAACGCAGTCTAGTAGAGGTACCACAATCTAGAAAAGGTATCCCAACCTAACACACAGAACCAAGGATCCAATTCGGTGTCCCACTCATAGGTCTCCCATTCACTTCTCTAGTCCGTTATCTCGGAGCAAGAGCAACGAAATCCGGACTTTCTTTCTCACCTCCAATCTATCCTCCTGCTTTAAGTGCGATAATCGAAAAACCATTCGATGCGAATCCTTATTATGGTAAAAAAATCTTAAGTTTACATGGACAATTAGACACTTTGGTTCCTCATTCTGCCGGAGTAGAAGATTTTAAGAGGATTGAAACGGATCGTGAGATAATAATCAAGACGCAGGGAAACGTTAGACATGCTGTCAGTCCTGATATGGTGGTAAAGGTTGCTGAATGGGTGAATTATTGGGTATTGAGCCCACAATTTTTCGGTCTGCCTTCTTTCACTTCTGGTGAGAATGGGGGATGATGTTTGGGTTTGGGTTTAGGGGTCTGAGGCTTTGGAGTATGAAAAAATGGAAAGTGATATGTAAGTGGATAAAGTATAAGGAAACCGAACAAGACATAAACAGTGCGCTGTGTTAATAGATTATGAAATATGTTGATATGTTAAATACATGTAAAAAGATATTCGTAATTGTATTCTTATTGTCTATAAGTGGGTTACATACCACTACGTTGCATTGCAAGATTTCGGGTGATGGCGTACGAATGTCACAATTCGTCATGTTGTCGTTCCTGACTGTTTCAAGAGATCTTTTAGGGACGTCATGGTACGCTGAATATCAGCCTTGTTCAATTCTTCTACGCCCTTCGCATCCCACATCCAAAAGGTTAAGCCCACACCTTCACTATGTTTCCCAATGGTGTGTGTCTCTCTGACACGCGCTCGGTAGACTGACCTGACCTTTTCACACGTCGTGTCTAGTGAATCTTATGATCGTGATAAAAAGGAGGTCATATAGAAGGTGAGGTATGTCAAATTCACACCACTCACACCAAGTGTCATAATAGCACCTTGTGTTAATCCTCCAATAACATCATCATTCCACATTTCCTCCTTTCTTTCTTTTTCACCATTTGTACTTTTCTCCATCAACGCCGTAGCATGATCGATCACACTCTTCAATCTACCCCGTTCAAAATAATAATACTTCAACTCCTTCTCGAATCCCGTAGGAGGGGAAGTAAGGGCTGCACGGACGAACGAACGTGATAACACATATGCTTTTTCAGAGTATAGACGAGAGTTGAGAGCGCCTTCTCGAGTTCCTTCGAGTTTGGCAAATGCCGGTTCACAGTGATAAGGATGACGAACGAGGACTAGTCCGGAGATGGATACGAATACTTGAAGAAGGGAAGATTTAGATGGACTGACATGTGAGTGTGTGATCTCTTTTCGCAGAGTTCGACATCACTCCCAGAAGAGCCTGTCGCTAAACATAGCATTTATCTTGGAGGCATTTGGTGATTAAGGTAGCGGGAATCGTGAGAATTTCGGATTTGCCGTGCACAGTGGTCCGACCCGACCATTTGCCTGGGTGAGAGAGGGAAAGGGAGACAAGCATGAGTGATCAGTATAAATGGAGTGTTTACTCACCTCCATGACTCTGACTTGTCCCCAGACCAAGTACCCAATATTGACAAACACACTTTACCTTCCTCGTACAGATTAGCTGGACGTTAGTTCTTCTCCACAAGATCTCCGGCAACGCGTTCACTTCCCAGATTCCCAGCATTAAGCTGAAGTATGGAGATCATCGCAGGGTGTTACGAGAATAGAAAATGATGGTGGGTTGAGAATGACGAAAATGAAAATGTGAAGAACTCACGATTACATCTCCCATGTCCATTGGTATGTGAGTGGAAAAAGACAGCAGGAGGTTGGTTAGGGAATGTAAATGGGTTCAGAAAGACGTCAAAGAAGAAAGGTGCGTCAGCGTAGCTAAACGCATTAGTCGAACATCCTGTCCTGAGCTGGGGTGAGATGGACTTACGGAGTTCCTTCTGGACCAATGATGAGAACCCTCATGAGATCAGTTCGGTCTTCGTATGTCCTGACGAGGATGTTATCTGAAGGTCAGTTCACGAACTCAAGTATCTATCCCCTGCATCTGACAAACTCTAAACTGGGTACATGAGCAAAGAGAGAACAGAGTTTGATACAGTGTAGAAAAAGTGCCATAGGAGTGTATATGTTGAGAGGAGGACGGTAAGATGATCAGTCGGTCAGCTCACCTGGCAAAGACGTCATCAATGTCCGATGTTCTTTCTGCAACCTCGAACGATAAGTCTTGTAAGTCGCTTCTCTCCTCGATTCATTGAAATAGTGATGATCTTCTGGTGCCTGTTCGAGCATTTCGAAACCTTTCCAAACTTGATCCATGCCTTGATCGTCCAGTGAATTCTCCTTCTTCGAAGTCGATGGACCTGCTTGGGGTTTCGTATCTTCGACAACTTGACCATCTCCCGCAGCGGGATACGTAGCCTCAACATCCTTCTCATCTTTCACATCTTCTTCCATTTTCTCCTCTTTCATTCTCCCCTCCACCTCCTTGGTGTCTTCCATTTTCTCCTCTTTCACCTTTTCTTCCACCTCCTTGACTTCTTCCATCTTCACATCCTCGTCTGTTTTCACACCGGTTGTGATATCAACAACGTCCACCTCAATAATGTCTTGAGGAGAGATGACATCTTCGCTTACAGTTTCCCAACTTTTATCACTTTTATCATCCGAATCATCCTCGCTCATACCTTCAAACGGATCAAACATTTCAAACCAATCATCAGATCCTGTCATATCATTTAATACTACCAGATTCTTCAATCCTACCCTTCTCTCTTGTCCATTGGGTAAATGAACAGAGACTGTACCATCCAAATGGAGTGATGAAACTACTCCACACCACAAGATTCTGGTCGAGTCACCCAGAGGGGGTTCGAAACGAATATCAAAAGCCTGTATCATCATGGTGACCATTGCCCTGTGTTTCTCCACTTCCATGGAATCGTCTGGAAAAGGTGGTCGTCCTATCGTTGGAACTTCAGGTAAGGGAGAGTGATTATCGGGGGTGAACAATACCCATTGACCTAATGAGACACCATAGTGATCTTCGCCAGGACCACCGGTATCGAGTTCAAGAACGGGAACGGTTTGAGTTTCGTTAGGAGTCACATCGGTGAAGAGGATATTGGCCACTCGATTGTCAGGATCAAAAGTTTGAACAACGGCAGGACGTCTTTCTCCGTTATCACCTTTCCATACGATCCATTCACCGGGCCAACTCTCGTAGCTCATCTGTCAGCATATCATCTGGTGGGAGGGGAGAAAATGACTGACTCGTCGACATTGCGATAAGGAACCAATTCTAAATGAGATTCTTCCGTCTCTTCACCAGTTTGCCATTTTACAGTCAAGGTAGTTCGACAAGCCATGACTCTCATGACGCGGGCCGAGTGTGTGCCGTTATCATGAACGGTACGAATAAGGCCATATTCTATGGATGAGTCGTCCTTTTTCCATGAAAAACGTTTTGAGAGAGATGAACTCACTGGCATCATCTTTTTCATCTAAGAATTCTACACATATGTCCATAGGTATGACAGTACGGAAAGGCGGAATATGCGTAAGATATTTCATATCCGGCCCATACCAGTGTCTGTCAGGTTCAGGGTGTTTATCCTGTTCGGCAGGCGACAGCTGGGCGGTCAGTGCGACCCTTCTAGATAGTTAAATGAAGAACTAACCTCTTGGTTGATAGCTATCCATGAAACTGATATCCCCAAAGGCCAGAAATCAATGACGGTAGTGTTACAAGCTTCAAAGAACCTCTTGTCGGTATGCGTGCATTTAGACGCTTCACACGTATGCTCGACCTGATCCATCAGTCACTTTTCCCTTCACAGTCCTGATCAGTCAGTATGGTAGATGAGGTGACTTACGAGGGGATATCCGTAATCAAGAGTATCATCAGGTTTGATTGCCTTGCGTGAGCGTGTTGGGGTTTCTACCAAGGCATGTTCATATACCTCAATCGTCAGCCTGTGTATTTCCTTATTTGTCGAGGGAAGTCACTCCTTTGGTGCAGTGGGAGAAAGATATGTGAAACGAGCGAAATAGAACTTACATCATCGACAATCCCGATCCAAGGTCCATGTACCACCTTATCCTTCTTCTCTATCTGTACGGCGACGATTACCTTACTGGCGGGAATCCAACCGTCTAATCTCTGATGCGAGATAGCATGTTCCAACTGAATTTGAGATTTGGTAGCGAGGATCACGCCACTTTTCGTATCGAGCAAAGATCGTTTGACCACGTCTCCCACGGAAAATTCACGATGAATGAGCTCGAGTGTTGATTCGGGTACGATGGAACGTCGAGTGCCTCTGACTTCACTTTGATGTCAGTGTTCCTAATCTGACTTCCATGTTTCCTCGGGATGTATATCCTTGACGCAAAGTTCTGGATATCACTTTGGTTTGAAAGATGAGTGAAAGGTGCTCTGGCAGGGTAAAATTGGATGCTCACACTATACCAACTTCCCCACGTAACAAAGGTTTGTTCAGCGGAGAATCGTCGTCAGTGTCAGTGAGATCATCGTCTTCTTCATCTGCCCAGCATCGCTAAACCATTTCAGTTCGTTCATTGACGACATGAGCAGGACGACGTACCAGTACATGAGCGCGAAAAGAAGGTTCTCCTGGTCGAGTGACGAGATCGCCTATGACGAGCTGTCACACGTTAGCACCGGTCTCAATGACGAAGAAGAGACTCACGCGAGGGGTGTAGTCATCCGGTAGTCCTGGCAGAGAAGGAGCTTTCGGAGGCATTGGGTGAATACCAGCTTCAAAGCAGATGGACGGACACGAGACGGTGGTACAGCTCGTACAGCTTGAAGTATTGAAGTAGTGTGTGAATTTGGTAAGACGGGATATGATGGTGTTGTAGAAAATTGCATTCCTTGATGTAAGTACTTAATTCACTTCGGTCATGACCGTTCACATGGTGCACACGTCGCGTCAGACGGTCCGTGCATCATACAAGTATACCACGCGATGGTACTGTACTCTAACATATCTACACATGCATAGTTACAGTACTGATGAAGGCGCGCGTGCAGAGTATCGCGGGGAGAGCACAGCACGTACAGATGGACAAGTACCAGCGCTAGTACCTAGTACCAGCAAGTGAGCGGGCGAGTCAAAGCAAACCCAAAATTATGCACCCAAACTTCATACACACAACCATATTCGTACAAACCCAACCGAAGCTCGATAAGATTCAGCCCGGTCCGATCTGACAATATTAGCTTGATCCAGACGAAGTAGCTTAGACGACTGAAACATACCTTGGGCATATCATTATGATCCCTGAATATCAGCTATCACCCTATGTCAAATCATAAAACCCACGGTATTCTCTCCAATTTGTTATTCAATTCGGTGATTCGATCTTTGTGAGTCGTAGGTGCTGCCTTCTTCGCTCTCTCTTCTCTCTGTCATTGTCAGCGATAAGTCAAACGGTGACAGAATTCACATTTGCCAATCCCGTAGATTATGATTCAAAGTTATCCTGGCAACCAACTATGACATCTAGCACGAAACGAAGGAAGCCAGGTCGTCGCGATCTAGAGCCCAACTGCTCAAATCATGATAGGACCGAGAATACGGTGACTAGTATAGGAAGGAATGGCAAGGGATCAGAATGAGAGGGACAAAATGACTCACTCTTTGTTTCTGTTTCTCATAATACCTCCTCTCAGCTTCCGTCATCCGCATCCCACTTTCTGGCGGAGGTGCCGCCCTAGGACTAATAGACCCACTCCCTTCCCTCTCTCCTCTCAAAGCGGCCACTTTGTCCTTTTCCTTCTCCTTCACCTCAGCAATCTTTGCGGTTTCTTGTAATTTAGTAGTGACTTTATCATGTTGAGTAGTAGAATGTGATTTCTTCTTCTTCCTATGAAAGTCAGTGGACGACAGTTCTTTGTACTTTGTATCAGACGCTTTTCCCTCGTTGCTCAGAGCCCGATCTCCGGACTCTTTCTTCGTAGAGGTCTACTCTACCTACACGTACTTATTGTATGTCACTGGAAAATATCCCTGAAGATCCCTGCGCTTGACGTTGATCCGCTGAACGTGATTGATTGGAAGATCCCACCAACGTTGACTTGTCATGCTGAAGACCAGGGGAAAGGGATGAGGATTAGTTTTACTCGAACTCACTTTTCTCCCTCGCCTTTGAACTTGAGTGACCCACCCGCTACATGAGCATAATCACTCATCTCATCCAGAGACCCTCTGATATGAAAACCTTTTACTTCTCGCTGGGTCAACACTTCATCGTTACATTTAGCACGAATCTCAGTGTGAGAGGGCAGTGAGACGGAACCATCCCTATCAAAGTTGACGTAACTCCACGTCATCTTCAGATCTCAGATCTCCGAGAACATGTCTTGGGATCGTAGGATCTCAGGAGAGACGAAATTTACAGTTGACCTATGGAAGAACAAAAATGTCAAACCCTCAAGTGAACATCCCTCAATTTGACGCAGCGAGCAAAGTTTGTCTTTTCCACTCAATCAATGTATTATGAGCTGAATGGCTTAGAAAGAATTGGAAGATTATATAGACCAACAGTGGGTTTTATAATATCTCCCTTCCCGTGTTCCGTCTTCCCACGGAGATGGTGACTCGATCGCTGGCCGCTGGCTACTAGCTACTGAAATGTATACGAAGACGCAAGACGTTCTCAATTGAAGATGTACTAATGGGGCAGACAGGCAAAAGCCAAGATACAAGCTCAGGTACATGATCTAACTCAGAGATGTGAGCTTAGCGTTTATGACCCTTTCTATGGAGGTCGAAAGCTGATGGAATAGGTTGGAATACGTTTGTCCTTTTTTACCTCCATCAAGTAAGTATTAATTGTCAGTTGCATAACAGGAGGGATATCTTCGAAATTCTCACGGTGAGTTAATATCCTTGCTTCTACCTTCTATCTCCCCCACTTCTGTTCATCTCCAAAATCTGTCATTTTCACCCGATGTTATTCTATATGTAAGGAGATCACTTGCGTTTGAGACATCTTTCTGTGATCTCACTGGATAGATTTGGTGAGAAAGTTTACTTTTCCGTACAAGAACTGAAGGTTGGGAATGGGTGATCAGGGCTGATGAAAAAGGGGTGAAGCTTCATGTTTGGAAAATTGCGTGGATAGGTTTCTCGATAGTAGTCTTTTCCTCGTCAAACAATTAGAAGCTCAACAGACACATTTGTAGAGTAAAGATGTGGCATAAACCATTCATTCTCAACGAACACCACTCATCAAGCATTTGATTTATCACATCGCAAACCAGTTTATTCGTACACATAAGTAACTAACGCCCACCACATAGCAAATAAACAAAATCAAAATGGGTGATACATATCGAATACTTGATCTCCATCATTCTCCACCCATCAGACAGTCTAAATTTTGGGAGGAAAAGTTGTGAAGAGATTGATGAGATGACTATTGCGAGAGAAGTTTGACTAAGAGAGGTAGTTGATATCCAGCATCTTCTTCTCCTATCACACGAGAACGCATGACGATTCTATTCATAAGTGCTGATTCTTCACTAAGAGCTCACTCCGCTTTGACCTGATACCGGCAAACAGTCTATGATCTGATACCGGCAAACAGTCTATGATCAAGTGTCCCATGGACCATATGAACGATAAGAAAGTAGGACGGTTACTTGAACGGGACGATCTGTGAAGAGTGGATGAAGAAAAACAAACTCACGCGGCTTTCTTCTCAAATTGAGGTTTACTAGGTAATTCCTCAAATTTCATACTTCTGATCAAAACGAATAAAATAGCTTTGATCTCGGCTAAAGCGAATCGATAACCAATACAATTCCTCGTTCCTCCTAAGAAAGTCAAAAGGTTTCCCCATACACCCGGAACTTGGTTGGAAGAAGATGGAAGATTATCATATCTATCTGGATTAAAGGTCGAAGCGTCGGATCCCCAAACATCAGTGGAAATGTTTATACACATGATCGCTAAGTCTCAGCTTACTCACCTCACCTTGGTGTTATTACAACACAAGATTCTGTCCTGAAGAGTATGGTTCCACCCTTGAAGACGTTTGGAATGGGAATGTGCTTCAACAAATGCAGGAGACAGGATTGAAGAGATCAAGAGCTTTGAGGAAAAGACGAGCGAGGTGAGAGAAAAGGGTAAGTGAGGGAATGAGATGATAGAAGGTGAGTAAAACACTTACGAACGAAAATCACGCATCCCTTTGGTAGATTCACATGATCGATCATCTTCCCATCTCTTCCCTTTACAGGTTTACTGAGTGGTAAAGTCGTAGCTTCCTCAGCTTGCCGAACGGTAGAAGGTGCAGGTGGATATAATCTTAACACTTCACGAATGACTTTATCCATATAAGGTAATTGTGTCAATGTTTCACTATTCGTCAAATTTTGTTCTTACTAGGAATGTCAGAGAAGGCTCACAAAGAAGGTCTGTCATCTGATACAGAGGTCACTTCTTCTCGAAGACGATCTTGAACATCTTGATGCATACTGAGTACGTAACAGATCCACGAGAGAGCAGTAGCGGAGGTTTCGTTTCCCGCCAACATCTATGAGTCAGTATGAGATATTTGGTGTTCTCCATCTTCCAAGTACAAACGCAAACCCAGTCCAGAATGAGAAAGCGAATGGTTGGAAGAAGGGGAGCAGGGTGTGTGAGGGTGTGGGAACAGATTGAATGGGATAAGCAGATATGAAGGTGTAACTGACAAATGTGGTAATTTGTGCCAAAACCTCAGAATCGGACATACGTTGTTCGGGTTTCAAATCTGATGCCATGTTGGCTTTCACTAATCGTAAGTTGTGCATAGTGGTATGGAAGAAAATGACCGACCAAGGATGGATAGAAGGTCGCGACCGATGTCCGTTCCCTTTTCCAAACCCTCTGAATGGGCTTTACGTACGGCTTGTTTCTTTTCTTCTAAGAGACGCTGTTGTCAGGGTGGGTGATTTATAAGTTGGGAAAGGTAAACTCACCATTCCGATTCTTTTAGTAGTTCGGATAGCTTCGCTGGCTACCCTCATACGTTTGGTAGGCTGCTGTCAACTTTCTACTTCTGAACTGATATCTCGCCGCTCTCATCTTCTTCTTTGTGGAACTTCCGTCGATATGAGAGAAAGAGAGAAAGAGAGAGAGAGAGAGAGAGAGAGAGAGAGAGAGAGGAAAGAAAGAACTCACCAACTTCTTGAATACCGGAAACAAGGCCTGTAAAATCGCCATAGGTGTAATAGTCATAGAAGTACTAAACAAACTTCTATAAGCATCTGCCAACTCATTCGTCGGTGCTTTCAAAGCTTGAAAATCATAATCAAATCCAGCTTTTCCAATCACATCAATAGTAGCTTGTCCTAAATATTTCATAACATCAACTTTTTTACCACCTTCAACTTTATCTTCTTCTTTAGCAGGAGTAGGTGATGCCATAGCATTCGGATCTTCAATTAATCCTTGTAATTTATCCCTCAATTCATATGCTGAATCATAAAAAATAGGTAACATCCCTCTGACTGCCGTAAGCGAGAAAGAAGGGTTTAAAACTTTTCGTTGACGTTTATGATCTTCTCCTTCGGCAATGAGCACACCTCGACCTAAAATAGTTTCCATTTCTCTTCTTGCCATACCTGTTTTAGGAAATGAATCTGAGTGATTGAGGATGTAAGAAAGAGCTAATGGATCCGCAGTGAAAAATCTCCATGAACCGAAGAAAAGTCGATAACGATATGTTGGACCATAGGTTTCTAACCATGCTTGATGAGGTGCTAAGGGAGGTTCTTTGATGATTCTTCTCATCGAACCGAAGAACCAACTGTCAGGTTCGGGACCTATGTGTGTGTCAGTTGGGTTTGACCTACAGTATGACGGGTTAGGGTAGATTTGAGGGAGTAGAGGAAACTCACCTTGAAGATTCTTAAATGGAAGAGTATAAGCTCGGTATGGCCATAGGTATAGATACGCTCCCAATAAGGCTACGCATGAAGTACCAAGAGCGTACAGCGTAATGTCTGCCAAGGAAAGCTCTCTCTGAGAGAGCGCCGCTGAGAGAGTGCGGAAGACGTCAGATGACTTCATCGTAGTGATCGACAGCTGTCGGATGAAGTTTCGATTAGAGAGAGGTATACGTTGACCGGAATTGTCGGGAGTGACGATCAAGATCGGCGGTTCGGAGTGGGAGATGAGATTCGTCAGTGATGATTGCCGTGTGAAGAGAACTCAGTATCGAGAGCTGGGAAATAAAGAGGGATATGAGGGAAGAAGAGAAGGAGGTAGATGTCAGTAGATATAGGAGAGTAGTCCAGAAATAAGATATCCCCTAGAGACGGGCATGGATACGGTGATACGGTGGTACTATACGGTTGGGGTCATCGGTCAGAGACACGGTCAATGACCGTGCGTGGGGCTCCGCGCAGCACCAATGATGACGATGCAAGTGAAAGCATAGCAGTAGGAACGACCATCTACATGATTGTAGCGACTGATAGCCACATTCTATACTCGGCCGTCTCAGTTTCCTGCGCATGTTCGTTTGTAGCTGTTCACCTTATCGCCCTCGGCTCATTTCCCTTTGCTCGAACATGCCCTTCAGGCTTCATGATTATATTCCCCACCTGCTCAACGCTAGCCCCTATTTCTGCACAGTTGTCCTCGCATCCTCTTGGAATTCCACCGAACGTCGCGGAGGCAGGTCCCAGCAGCCAACATTTTCCGCTTCACAACCGCCAACCTCAATCTCTCAAGCACTGGGCTCACTTTATCCTCGAGATTCCTGCGATCCTTCATCAATAGCCTCTGGTCCTCCACGAGTGTCCTGAATTTCTCAGCTCTTCAAGCTCTTTCTCCTCCGCAGGCTCCTCTTCCGTTAAAAACAAGATCGATTACATCACCGGAATAGGTATTGCTTGATTGTTGTCGTCACATGCCATCATATCTATATGATAAGGATCCGTGAGACCAAGGGTAGTGAAGTCGGCCATGGCCCATGCACGCCATTGAGCGGAAGGTAGTCTGCTGTCAGTTCCGAACATCCTATGACCCTTGTAGGTGTGTTTCATTTTCTGCACAAGCGACCGTTCGTCAGTAGCTTGATTGGCAGGCCGTTGGAATCGGTGATAGAAGTGGAAGTGGTTACTCACACATTGGGTAAACCACGTGGTGAACAAGACGATCGTAGGAGAAAATAGTCATTGTGCGAAGGACGTTCAAAGTGAAGGACAAGGTCGAAAATGAATCGAAGCGCTTGGATCGATGGACTTGGTTGACTTATCCCCAAACCAATGCGTCTCGGTCCATCTGACTGGTGAGGCGATGCCTTGCGTATCAAGGCGATATGACAGTCTTTCTCGAGAAGGCCACACAAAAGTAACTCTTCCAACTCCGGACACGAAGATTTGAGAGTCGCAGCTAAGCAGGATGCCCCGGCGGAACTAAGATCGGAAGAGTACGAGATTTTGAGCCGTAACAAACGAAGATGAGAGCCCACCATTTCCAGAAGGGCGGTCAACGAATCTTGAGACCCAAGAGTGACTTTGATGGCTTCAACAGGGGTTCTAGACGAGTGACGCTCCATGTCCAATCTCCCAAGGTAGCCTGGAAGAGCTGGAATTATCAAGGTGAGCTTCGAGTCCGGGTCGTCGTTGAGGCTGCTTGTCGTAGACATTGTTTCAGCAACAGCTCGCTCGTAGTAGTGGGTCTTTAGCATCCAAGGACCGAGGGTGGATATCGTTTTAGGATAGTAATTTATGGCATCGGGCCAGAAGTGTGGCTTGTAGGGGTCTCGGTATCTCATTGGAGCTTCTCTCCACGTGACTTCGGTAACAATGCCTAACGAGAGTTTCATCACCATCTTGGTACGCTCGGAAACGTCGTAATAAATCAATTGTAGGTTCGGACACGACTTGCGAGCTCTTTCGATAGTTGCTTTTGCCAATTGCCAATCCGGCTCCCGGGCATGACCTTTTTCGAAGCCCATGGCCGACAATGGACAATTGATATCCGATTCAGAAGCAAGGAAGAAAAGTGTATTGATGTATTTGTGATACAACTGCCCCCTCGGCTGTTATTTATCAGCACGAGTCTTTGATGAGAGGAGAGTGGGAAACTCACTGAATAAGAAAGATCGGTCCACGATTCAATATCGGTTATGCTGGGATTGCGCCAGTGACATCTGACATATACGGTCTCCCACAGGAAAGGTACGACAATGTGAAAGCAGCTCTTGTCGGTCAAGAGGAGAGATCGTTGATCGTGTTGGCACACGTGCTGGATGATGTTTTCACATAATTCTCGAGTATGAAGTACACTTGGTGCTGACGTTATCCTTGCTGTTTCTTTGCTCTTGGCGGTGCGACTGGTGCTGAGCTTAGGTCGCTTGGGCATGACAAGTGCAATTGATGTTGGTGCTGAACGAAGGGTTGAAGATGCGATTTGCGTGAAATGAAGACAACGTACAAGTAAGTAGCATGAAGCACTCGTACAGAGTTGGATCATAGCAGCCCGGGTCATGTCCTGTCATCTCTGTCTTTTACGGGCGCTGATTGATGCATGAGAGACAGAGGGTAAGTAGAGTTGGAGTAGTAAAGGGATCAAGGGACGAATACGGAGTGGAGTACGTTGGCGAGCCTATTTTTACAGCCCTAGCGCTTGTCCGAGGGGCGCATGCCTAATTAGTAGAGAACCAGTCATCCCTTTCGCTGTCACAGTTGTCACTCGAAACTTTACGACTCTACCTTACATACATACCTACACGTCACCTTATGACATGAGCGACTCGACTTCACTGCAGCTCAAGAGTATCGACAACTTTCATTCCGAAAAATGACTGACACTCAGGATCGCTGAACCATGAACCAATACGTACGTCTCAGGAATCGAGATTGACCATTCTAAAAAGGAGAGCCACTTCGGGCACAACCCCAGTGTAATCGGGGCACAACCTGCCACACTCAGGGTAGTCAGGCACGTACCACCGGCGTTACTAAAACGCCGACCACGCGACGGACATGAACTCGCCACTGATCGGGGTTTCAGTAACCCCGCGATCTCTGATTGCTCACTCTTCTCTTACATCGTCAATGTCATTATTAGCTATACCATGTCATTTCCGGTCATTGTCCATGCATTCTCCTATCTATCAATGTCCAGGAGGATAATATGAGCCATAGGGATGTCTAGAAGACCCCTGGGATGGATAGGGAGGCCAATATTGAGAGGGAAGAGGAGGGAGAGTAGGTGGAAGAGGGGGGGGTGGTAGGTACCTCTCCTCAGGAGGATAAATGTCGAAAAATGGGGGTACCTGTTCATTAGAGACCCCCCATCGGATACAGCCGAAAATGCAGTATTAGAGACTCACATTCGGTTGATATTGGCCATTTCCTGGTGTCTCCTGGACCAATCAGCTTGCAGGAAACTTTTAGAAGTAAGAGACTAAGAGAAGAGTGAAAATTTTCGAGATCGTGAGGCCAATATAGACAGAGACAGAGCAATATAGCCAGGAATGACTGCAGGACACAGAGGGGGAGAAGGAGGGAAGGAGAAATGTCATTATCATATGAGAAACCCACCGAATAACCTGTCCTAGTGATCATTTCTCCTGTCCTCACCATCCTGTCCTCTGTCCTCACTACTACAGGCTGATTTTCCTTCTCCCTTTTATCTCTGTCCTCAATACTCTTAGCCAGGCCGGAAACCATCTCCTGAAGACTCGAGATCTTCTTCTCAAGAGCAGAATTAGTTCCCATTACTGATCCCTCTGTCCAGGTCGTTTCTCCAGCATCATACGCCTTTACCTCGCGATCATAGGCCTCAGGATCCCTCTCTCGATGTTCATTAGCCCTTTTACACTTCTTAGGACCATGACTTCTTGAACCACACAGGGGACAGGGACGACTTTTCTTCTTGGTACCGAGGAATTTTTCCGACTGAGTGTGTAACCGGCCAGTGTGAGAGACATCATCAGCGAGCTGTGTAGAATTCGATTTTACACCCCTTTTAGGAGAAGGGGGGAGAGTAGGAGGAGGAGGTAAAAAGTAGGGATTATCAGCAGGTAGATCGTCGTCATCGATGGTGGTCAGATCGATCTGAGTGGTGGTGAGGTTCTTGAGGTTCTTCTTGGCTAACACCAACCGGTTTCTTCGAAGGTGGGGGTCACGAATTCGGTTGGTATCATTATCGATGTCCCACTCTGGCCCTAAGAGTTGATGAACCCCAGTAAATTCTCCAATGACTGTCGCAGTAACCTGTTCAATGGTGGTGGGCCAGGACATGGGGTTAAGAAGACGCCAATGTCGATGGAGAGGGGACAGAGCAATGGTACCATTGTTTTCAATGACTTCAGCAATATCCTTGGCAGAAGGGAGGCCCATTGATGTCGAATACAGGTGGTGATCATCATCATTTTCGAGGTTGCCTTTGGTTGCTTTATCATACTGCTTTTCCATGAGGAATACCGACCGTTTTGAGACACGATTTTTGACAGAGAAGAAGATAGAGTTAAGGTTCGTCTTCTGAATGAGTCTATCAAGAGACATTTGGTGTATTATCTCTTTACATTGGTCGTCGAAGAAGTCCTGAGTAATGCGTAGCAGTCCGTAAAAGTCGCTATACGAATCCTTGAGCCGTCTCTTGAATGCAGCGTGGTTACCTTCGAGTCGAGAATTTGCTGTCTGTCCAAGATGAGGGTATTTATCGATAAAAGCAGAGACAAAGTGTGTCTTGTGTTCATCCACCAATTGTCTCACATAAGCCCTCGCACCATCCAACTTCTCATGTCCCCACCGAGCCTGCATTGATGACAGAGCTTTACCTAATGACTCTTCAGACTTTGCTTTACAGATATCCACCATGAAATGATCACCAAACTCAGATAACTTCTCCACCCATTCCTCTTTATAAAGGGACTGAAAATTTTTACGACAGTTCACCTTGATGTTTTCTCGGAGGTGCCATCGACAGTAATTCAGATGAACATGAGGGAGGTGGATAGACAGAGCGTTGTGTAAAGCAATCTCGCGATCACATACGATAACTTTGATGTCATTGTTGATAGGACCCATGAGTTCGAGGTAGGTTTTGATCGCGAGGGAATACCATTCGGTCACTTCTCGACTTAAAAATGCGAATGCAGAGGTGTAGGTTTGATTGGTAGCAGTAAAACCTGAGATGTGTAGCATTGGTAGACGATAACGGTTTGTTCGATAAGTACAATCCATGAAGAGAACGGTAGGATACGAATGAGTCATGGCTCTGGCTGACGAGGTGGTAAAGACGAGTCCACAAAGTTCATTTTTACTGTTGGTGAAAGCTTTAAAAAGATCGTTGTTGTCGGTGAGACGTTTGATAGCAGCCTCAGTGGCCGATTGTCCTTGGCGAAGGGCCTTCTCATGACGAAATCGAAAATTTTGCACATCTTGCTTTGTGAGAATAACTTTTTCACCAAAATGCTGCTGGACAGCAGAGACGATACCACGAAGAGTGTGTGGACCTTTGAGAAGATCGGTGATGAACTGGAGAACTTCAGGAGATCGACTAGCCTGACGAATAAAAGAATAATGGAGAAGGGGGACAGGTTCATGGTTATGAAAATTTTCGATGATGTCGGGGATCCAGAGGGGTTCGCGGTTGGCCTCTTGAGCAACCTTCTTCGTCTCTCTTCGCCAGATGATGAGGAAGGGACAATTTGCTTGCTTGGTAGTACGAGGTTGCTTTCTAACATCTTCAAAGTCGTCAGATCGATGTGACCGACCATCCCCTCCAAGAGCACATTGGAGATCGAGTCTCCCCTTCTTTTCAATACTGCGTTTTGTGACAATGCAGACGGTGTGCTCCATGGCTACCTGTTGAGTATGAAGTCGAGCCGCCATCATGGTTGGTTGAGGTTCGAGATCGAAGGGAGGGTGGATGTGGTGAGCCATAGGAGCAAATCTTGTGTCCTCGCGAATGTCGAGATTGATCTCCGCCATGAGATTATCGAGTTCCTCATCATTATAGTCGTGGTCACGATATCGCTGGGTCTCTGGTACGAAACCAGGAGAAAGAGAGCGTCGAGGACTGAATTTTATAGAAGGGGACCTTGAAAAACGATCCAGAATTGGTGATGAGGGTGGCGACGATGGGATAAAGATCGGTGATGACATCTAACTCGTCAGAATGACCACTTCATGCAGTAAAAATGGTACTCACTCGTAGCCCAAGACCAGCAGAATACATGTCGACAAGTTAGAACCCGGGGGTTGGTGTTGTTGAAGAATTAAAAAAGTTTTTGGTCGAGATGTCGGTGGCAAATTTTCGAGGAGTTCGGTGGCGAGGATTTTAATGTTGAGTAGGCCTATTGAAGTCAGCATTTCACTTCTGATAGTAAAACAACTACTCACAGCTCAGGAAGAACAAGGGATCAGTGTCGCTGCATATGTGTTATCGCAGGAAAAAAGTTTGTTCGAGCAGTTTGGTTGTTCGAGCAGTTTGGTGGCGAGGATTTTGATGTTGAGGAGGCCTATTGAAGTCAGCATTTCACTTCTGATGATAAAACCAGTACTCACAGCTCAGGAAGAACAGGAGGACAGTGTCGAGTTATTCTCCAAGGCTGAAGATGTGTTGTTGAAGAGTAAAAAAAGTTTCTCGAGAGGGGTTCGGTGGCGAAAATGATGATGGCGAGAGGGCCTATTGAAGTCAGATTTTGACTTCTGATGATGAAACAAGTACTCACGGACTCGCAGAGAGCAGTAGAACAGTGTCGAGAAGATGAGAGATTACCACGATGGCTCTGTAAGAAGTTATAGCAATTTGATGGGTGGTAGTCAGGAGGGCGCAGGTTGAGAAGGCGAAGGGCCAGAAGTAGGTGAAAAGTAGTCGTAAAAGAGTGAGAAGAGTATCAAAATGATCCTTGAGACGAGTAGAGACAGTGTGTGTGAAAAAGAGCGTGAGTTTAGTAGTAAAATGACGATAAAGAGATTAGTGGTGGTGAGGACAGGTTGGTAGGTAGCGAGCAGACATGTCGCGTCGTTGTGGTGGAGTTCGGCGTTACTGAAACCCCGATCAGTGGCGAGTTCATGTCCGTCGCGTGGTCGGCGTTTTAGTAACGCCGGTGGTACGTGCCTGACTACCCTGAGTGTGGCAGGTTGTGCCCCGATTACACTGGGGTTGTGCCCGAAGTGGCTCTCCTAAAAAGTCAGGATCACCAGATGCTTCCGACGCTCCCTGTTTTCTTTCTCACGCGGGCGTCTCAAATGAGAACCCAACTTCCCGCACAACACAAAATCTCTTCCCGCACAACAAAGTCACGTGACTGCTTGATAGGCATGCATATCTGTAGTTAGGCATGCGTACCACGTGACCTGCACGGACTTCAGTTTCAACTCTTCTCATACTTTCAACCAACATCATCCAACATCAATAAACATCGTCACTCTCTCCAGCCCAAACTAAACAAGTTACAGTCCCAAACTCTTTTCCATCGTTCTCAGAGCACTTGAATACCCCTTTCTACCATTTTCAACCACTAAAATACCTACTGATATTGACATTCTGGTGGGTATCTCCTTCTACACTTCTCCTCAGACGCAAACTGATCCTTTTAGTCCTCTACCTCTCTTAATATCATGTCTTCCTCTCAGCCTATTGATCTCTGCGACTCTTCCAGTGATGATGACTGGTCAATTCCACCTCTCCCCCCGTCACTTTCACCACTTATAAAGGAAGAAACCCCGTCTACCGCGTCCGAGATCATTATACCAGAGACTCAGCAAGATAACTCGCCATTTTCATCCCCCTCGGCTTCAGAGACACCATTACGCGATATACACTCGGTCTCTATGTCCCCTGGTACCGTGGACGAATTTTTTGCTCCTCCCACACCTCTTCCAGGAGATCCAGGCGAAAACAGTGAAGAAAACTCTGACTCTGAACCCGATTTTGAAGAAGACGAATTTGGACCACATACTCGTGTGCCCAAACTTCATCATGCTCCCCTAACTCTTCCCCCTCAGACATCAATCAACTCTGCTCGCCAAAAGCTTGAAATCATGGCTAAGAACAAGGGGTTTGCTATAGTCACAGATTCGAGTAATCAGGTTCGACAATACATGACATTGAATTGCGTATTTGGAGGAGATTATCGGTCTGGTACCTCTGCGAACTATGACAAGATACGAATTCGTCAGCCTCATACGCAGCGACTAGGCTGTCCATATCGATTAGTACTCTCGCAGGTTAAAAGGGATGACGCCTTTGTTGATGGATTTCGACCGATACTGCTTAAAACCGTTTGCAATGATCACAACCACCCTCCTGTCCAAAGTTTACTCATTTCACACATTCGAAAGAACTCGCGAACCCCGCAGATCACTTCTCTCTTACAGGAATACATTGATAAAGGTTTCTCTGTCCACCAGATCATCGATTTACTTAAAGAACACCCCGATAAACCCCTTATCACACCTGCAGATGTTTCGAACTTCAAGTGGCGGTATGAAAAGAACCGAATGAGTGGAAGGACAGCAACCGAAAGTTTGTTTCTACGTCTTGAACAGGAGATAAAACTTTTCAAAGGCCTGGTTAATTCAAAAAACGAAGCTCTCGGTCTCATTTATACGACTCATAAAGCAAGAGCTCTGGTTCATCTTTATCCCACTGTTCTTATGATGGACTGCACTTATAACACCAACCGATATCGTCTTCCAATGCTACACATCACAGGAATGACAGCAACGAACCTCACTTTTACTGCTGCTATTGCTTTTATCAATCGCGAGACTACAGATTGGTACGGGGTTGCGATAAAGAGTTTTCTCGACTTGATAGGTCCCTTAAAACATCGAATTCAAGTGGTAATAACCGATCGTGAGGTAGCATTAGCCAATGCTCTGAAAAAGCACCTACCAAATGCGAAGCAGCAATATTGTACCTGGCACCTGCGAGAAAATGTCAAACATCTATGTGACAAGAAGAATTGCTTTGAGGGAGAGGAAAACAAAATACTGGCTAGAAAGAGGTTTGGGGACATGTGGATGAGAGAAGTGGTTGAGGCTCATGACGATTTTAAGATTCAGCAAGGGATGGAGAAGATAAAAGAGGAATTTTCGAAGCCAGAGCATTCTCCAGCAATTCGGTACATTGAAAACCTGTTAACTTCGAAAGAGAGGTGGGCCTGGGCCTATACGAACCAAAATCGCAATTTACATCAACATACTACCTCCAGGAATGAGGGAGAACATCGTTCCTTCAAAGACTTCTTGAAAAGTAGTACAGGAACGCTTTGGCAGATCGTTCCCCAATTAGATCGATTTCTAGACAGACAATGGGACAGTATTACATTGGAAAATGGCCAACAGAGAACAAGATCAGCAATAGGGGATCGTTTACTCAGTATCATTGGTCGAGATATCTCAAAATTTGCTAAGAAACATCTTACCTCGCAAATTCGACTAGCTACCAAACTTTTACAGCACCCCGATCGAACTCACAATTGCTCAGGACGATTTTTAGCCTCGATGGGTCTCCCTTGCTCTCATATGATCGTGGATATCATGAGAAATGATGGTGTACTCACTATCAACCAGATACATCACCACTGGCGACTGCTCCCTAATGGGGGGTTCGATAAAGTTCTTGAAGATACCAATAACAGAGTTCAACCAACTGCATTTCGGGCTATTGGTGTGCAACGACTTGAAGACGAATTCGAGGTTGCGAACGGTTCAAGAGATTTCATACTGGATCCGCCTGTAAATCTGGGTCTGCGTGCGAGGATGGCTATTCGAGCCTCTGCTACACAGGCTTCCCAATCTTCTCTTGCTTCTCAAGGAATAGCAGTGGTTCGACCTACACCAATGTATTCAAGAAATCCACCTCAGAGGCCTCCCTCTTCAGGTTCGAATATCTCAAAATCGTCAAGTAATCGCCCTCCCCGAGCAAGTACTGGCCGAGTTCTCTCACAAAGCGAGCAATCTGCTCCTTCACACCCTCCCCCTCCTAAATGTGACCTGTGTACCAAGCGTCATGCGAAGAACTACATGTGTGCTGCTAAAAAAGCGGTCGCAGCAAGGGAACAAGAGTTATTGGCTCGATTTCAAGCTGAGAGGGAAGAAAATCGTCAGGGAGGGGTAGGAAGGCCTCTATCAATGACCACACACTCTGTGATGACGAGAACAGAGCCTATGATGATGAATTCAACCACTCAGATGGCTAGGACACTTCCACCGGTACGAATTTCATTGAAATCTGTCCTACCACTTCTGCTGGTTGTTTAATGAAAGTTCATGGCTGATCTATGCAGATAATACCTCAATACCAACCATTTCCCTTCTACCCCTCTCCCCACTTGCTCCCAGGAGCCCCTGGGCCATCTAACTGGTACCAGAGGCCACCTACTGACCCTCCTGTGTCGAATTATTCGAATTTTCCACCTACCTTTTATCCACCCGTGTACCCTTCGCCGTATGTTCAAGAAGGGCTCGGAAATGGCTCAAACTTCGCAGAAAGGAGTGTCCTAGAGGCCAGGCACGGTGGTATGAGACAGGAATTCCCCCCTGCTGAGTATAGGCCAGGACAACAGGATTTTACCGGTGGACAGGGGGGTGGAAGGTAGATCAATGTATCTCGGTGAGTTTCTAAGATTTTAGTGTGAAATCTTTACTGACAGATAGAGGAGGAAGTGCTTTACATGTTCATAAAAAAACCTGGTTGATTATATGCAGATATCATGGACTTTTCAATTATCACGGTTTACTCACTTTGATCAGAGGACAGAGAGGTTGGAAGGGAGGTCCGTGCAGGTCACGTGGTACGCATGCCTAACTACAGATATGCATGCCTATCAAGCAGTCACGTGACTTTGTTGTGCGGGAAGAGATTTTGTGTTGTGCGGGAAGTTGGGTTCCTCAAATGACTCGCATGCCTGAACTATCTGGTCTCAGAGCTCATGGTCGAGCCTTAAATCAAGACGACAGTCCCTGACCATTTGGAGGATGACACACCGCGTCGAAATTGATTTCCTGACACCCACCAAAACGGCTCACAAGATATGCCCTTGCAATAAGATAGTGATACTCCTTCATGTCTATGACATTTCATCTTCAATATCACTCTCTTTCCACCCCCTCTCCCAACAGCTCACCGCCACATCAATCCCTGGCTTCACGATGGACGAGCAAGTCACGATCTCCAAGCAAGTCCAAACAACTGATCCACGAACAGACGACACACGGATGATCGACAAGAACGAGAGTGTCGAGCATATGCCTCGGGCAATAACGTCAGCCCAAAGAGTCTTCCATACCCCCGAGCTATGTCGGATGATCGCCGGTCATCTCTGTTACCACGGGCTACGCAACGTCCTTCTCCTCAACAGACAATGTTTCGACTCCGTAGTTAGTGACCTCTGGAGGTCCCCCGAGATCGAACTTCCAGAACGGGACGCGGATCTAAGCCAACCCGAAAATTGGCCATGCTTTGATTTCAGCCTTTCCGTGAGCAAATTCTACGAATACATGGGCAATCACTGACCCGAACAGCCTAGGGGTGAAGTATACCTCCAGGCGATACAATTGTGCAGGCTTCAGCCTCCGCCCATCGATTTCACCGTACATGTCTCTCCTACTATCTTCAACACCCAGTGGAAAGTCGCGGAGGCTGCCATATCCCACGCGCTGGAGATTTGTCCGAATGTGAAAGAAGTGCGCCGGAACTCCACATTCGGAAACGGAGAGCGGGTCCACGTATCCTCCGGTCACGTCACGAAGGTCGTGTGGAGCAGAACGCCTTACATACACTGGATCCACGACTACCAGCTTCAGGCACTCATTTGGCGGCTCGATGGCAAATATCGCTGGACTGATGCGGTCCACACCTTCGAGTACATTCTGCCGGTAGGCGATAATCACCGACCCCCCCTACAGCAGGGCGATCGAGTCGAAAATCGGATCGTTATGGTGGACGACTTTGCCCGTGCTATTGCGCTGTTCAGCCAGGTTGAGTATACCTTTTCAGCTCGGTGTGTCATGCAAGTGAAGTGCACCTCTTTTGCCTCCGACCCTTTCCAAGAACGCGAGGAGTTCGAAAAGCTGCTCCAAATCGCTGGCACGCATATTCGACGTCTGGAACTCTCGTTTGAGGTCATTGATCCAACGGTCGACGCTTCATCCGTTATGTGATTGACGTCCACACTTCAGCGCGAATGCCCGAACTTGGAGGATCTGTATCTTGGTGACCGAGAAAACTCAACAGCGGTGGCGCTTGTACGGAAAACTCCCTGTCATTGCTGTCCTACCCGACCGGTCCGCATCCGCCTGGCCTACTACTCAGCAACGGTTTCTCAATTGAGATTGATGTTCGACATCGCAGTCGGATTCGGGCAGCCGTCACATAATGATTACTGCTTGGTGCAGAGGCGAATTGCTGCCCATCGACACCGGTAAGTGAACCTCTCATACCGAAGGACCCGAGATGTCCTATCTCTTCTCCCATCGCGACGTTGTATCACAGTATACGTAACGGACGAAAAGAGGCCACCAACAGCTATGGAGGAACGGATCGTGATTGGGGGATATGCGCATGGTGCAGCAGACGCTGACGATAGTCAATGGCAATCCCCTCCCGCGGTCTGGAGAGCATGGGCCAATGCTGATTTTGTTGCCTTGGGGTACGAGCCGGATGATAAGGTCCCAGTTATCAGATGTGACGACAACGGCCAACCGTTACCTAAATCAGTGAATAAAGCTATTAAACGCTTGGTTATTCTCCGGAAAGAAGAAAAAGAACTCCAGGATAGGCTCATCAAATGGGAAATCGACAGAGACCGTCTGGAAGAGGAAAGGAAAAAGTACGAAAAGATCATTTGTGAATCCGGTTTGGCACTCGACTCGTATAACCTTTCGGAGGCCAGAGAAGAAGGTGACAGTGACAGCAGAGATGGGAAGAGTGGACATTGGGACAATCAAAATTGGGAGTAGCAAAATGGGAACAGAATCCGATTCGGAATAAGTAGTGGTTGATAGGGCACTGGATTCCTGCCAAAACTCCCATGTCCATAGTCAGTGTGTCAGTGTACGCAGGAGGCAGATATGTACATACATACAGGCAACGATCATGCACTTATGATGACGGCCACGATTTTATACGTTCTCACAACCATCCTTCCTCGTTCGACTTTCATTCCGACTCTTGTCCTCTTTCCAATATACTATCAGTAGTCATTTCCTGCCACCGGGTCACCCTTACTGCCTGTCATCGATCATCGATCATGTTCTGACACCCAAGATGATTCCTAAACGACGACTATAACCTCGTTCCTCCCTTCTCCTCATCGAGGCGGCTCGTGTCCTCTACTACTATCTCCTCTCTTCTCCGTCTTTCGTCCCCCTTCCCTTTCCCCTATCTGCTATTGCAGTCCCACATCTCACAAAATGGACACCGACTCTACTTCTTCCTCTCCTTCCCAATCAATCACCCCTCTACCACCTCTCAAGAACCCTAAATATCGACACATCTCCCGTTCAGCCGCTAAACGAGAATCCGTTCAGATGCTCGGTTCCATCAAAGATCTCCAACTCCGTTTCTCTCAAGCTGGTTTAGTCGAACATCGTCCCGGTTCTGGAGCTGGAGTGAAAGCATCTTTGGGTAGTTTAGGAGAAGATGATGAATTGGAAAATCGACCTCCTCAAATCACCCCTGCGAAAAAAGATAGAAGACCTTGGAAAGATGTCGATTTACCACGTATGGACCCTTTGGCTGCTCGTAAAGAAGCTCGAGGACTGGTATGGCGTATGAGAATCATGTGGGATCTACCATTACCTTCTCCATCTCCTTCTCCTATATCCCCCAATACACCGATTACCCCAAAAAAAGCTAGAGAAAACATGAGAGATTTACTCATCAAAACTGCTCAAGCTGTTCGACGAGTCAGAACGTTGACTTTATCCATCTCTCATACTCATCCAGGTGAAGGGGGTAGAAGAATATCATCATCATTTCTACATGCTCCTAGATCTGCAAGTAAGATCCGTACTTCCTTTTCCACTCCTTCTAGACCGAATGCGTTGCCTAGAGCCGTCTCGACAGGACAACCAACGAAGAAGAGTAGTCTAGGTCCTGGAGATGTGATACAGGATGAAGATCCATATCTCGAACTGCGGAAAACGGCATTAGATGTTCTAGCTCAATTGAGAGCATTGGAAGAAAGGTTGAGAATCAAAAGTATAGATTCTGAACCTCCCCTTTCTGCTTTGCGACTACGAGAATTAGTTTCTCCCGCTGGGAGGACTAGCTCGGTGGATTCAGCTTCAGTTCAAGAGACAGACGATACACCTCCTACTTCTCTTCGTCCGACCTCTGCAGCATCGGGGACTTCTGGCGTCTTCTCGGAACCGGAGGGATATTACTTTGATGATGAAGAGGAATACAATTTGAACGCTTTGGCGAGAGATGAAGATATCCGACATTTGCTCACGTGGGAAGAGAGGATAATCGCCGAGCAGAGGGAATATAGACAGCTGGACGAGGAGGAATGGGAGAGTGGAGGGAAATTAGCAAGAGAAAGTGTGACAAATTGGGTAACAGTGGTGGAGACACTTTTCGCGGTGGAAGGTGGGCAAATGGTGGACATACCTCCTTGGGCTTTGTCAACCTGGAATGGGGATGATTTGAGTGAGTCTTGATGATGCTTGAAATGAAAGTGCTGATTAAGATAGTACGAACACATTCATTCCTCATGGCTCATCTACCTCTGACATTGTCTCTGTTGCTTCCTCCTACATCTGCCTCGGATTTCCGACGCACATTCCTCCAAGCTTTATCGTATGTTCTCATATCTACCCAAGGCGCTTAGCTGATAGTTAGTGACGGATACATCCTTGTAAGAGCTTTCAATGCATGTCTTCTCTCATCACGGAAAACATGGGGGTTCATCTCGGAGGAAGATGTCCACGACACTATCACCGGAACGGCAGGTACTACTTCACCTGACGAAGTTGATGAAGGCAAGAAAGATTGGACATTCAGACGAGTCGGGAATCTCACTTGTTGGGCTGCGTGAGTGTCGTTCTTCTTCCATGAGGCTACTCCCTCCCTACTCTCAACATATTTTCTCATCGATCTCTCAATAAAAAATGACCCATTCAATCCGGATTGAAATTCGAACCGAACCATGGCAGATTCCCACGAGCTAAGACGCAGAGCTTTGAAAACGAGATACAACATCCCTATCCATCTACCATCCTCTACCACCGCTTCTGCTTTCCTTCCAAAACCTACCAAACTTCTCACCGTCTCCTCTCCAAATCCACAAAGACAAGTATCTCCTCCGACCATTCCCAGTCCACTCTCTATTCCTCTCAATAAGAAATGGAAGAAAGACGAATCAATTTTAGATTTTGACCCTCTTATCGTCGCGCGAAGGGGTGAAGGTTGGGAAGACATGTTAATTGAAATCATGAAACGATGGGTTGATGCAGTAGCGGAGGAAATTAGAGAAAGTGAATGATTATACGAATCTAATGAAATGACGAATATCATTGATGTCTCTGATGACTTATGCTTATATGATAGATGAAAATTATGTTTATACATGAAATGGCTTACACTACAAGAATTGGTCATGAAGAACTTGTGGTTTTACCTTACCAAATCACAAGGGCATATCCTCCATCACCAGGAGTTGACTTTGTCCAACAAGTTTGTTCTCCAAGTTGAACTCTAGTCAATCCAGTTTCTTGTTTCGTTTCTTGTACTTGACGCAATTGTGAAGCCATCACACTTGCCAAACGTGAGACATCATCTTCATTGACCTCGCATTCCAATGATTCTCCTTCATCTTCGAAAATCAAAGTATTATCTTCGTTAGCACTTATCACCTTTCCCATTTCATTACCTTCTCCAGTAGTATCACTCATAGAAGAGGATTTTGGAATACTCTGTAATCTCTCAATCTTGGTATCATTTTTGACCGTGGAAACGACTGTAGTAGTGATTTCAGGATCATTGGGATTGTTTGTGAAACTGACAAGATAAAATTGAGGTCTAGTACTCCTATCTTCCCATTCTGGTAAAAGATCACCTTGTTTGAGAAGAGGAAATCCGGATGGACCAGCGTTAGATACTTGACAAAAAGCTCTCGTGTCCCCAGGTGTGATCGGTTCGTATAGGGAAGCCGCACGGATACCGGTGTGAGTGAGGAATGTCACTTTGAAGGATTCCGACATTGATCGTGTACTATTCCCGGTCATGATTGATTATTGGGACGTGAAGATGGAAGATTGAGGTAAGATTACAAATCCAATCTGGATTGGTCTAAGGGATGATATAAGTAGTATGTCCTATAATAGAGGAGAGGGAACACATTGGAAGTTTGACCATAGGTGACACTTTTGAAGCACGGTACGTATGTGCAACATGTTTGAACATTTGTTACAAGCGAAAGGAAAGAAAATTAATTCAAGTAAATGGAAACTGACAATATGCCTCCCCCTTTTCTCTCAAATTCATCCTGTATGAGTACTGTTTCCTTTACTCCATTCATACCTGTTCTCCATTCTACTCACATGGTCTTCTTGAAGATTGTTTCAAATTAGTGATAAGCTGTTGTGTCATCACCTTTGTCCAAACTCCAATGACAGGTTATCTTTACTATAAACGACCCACCAAACAGTAGATCTAATAACTGACACCCAAGTTTTCCCTATAGGTAAATTTGATTCTGTTGGTGTGGTAGATATATCGTATTCACTGGCCGCTTTGAAATGTTCCACCATCAAACCTGTCAATTTCTCCTTTGTTATGCTTTGTGATCCTGAAGCTGCGAATAGACCTCGGGGACGGTTTTCCGGGACGGTTTCTAACTTGGATGTTAGTATTACACCAAATGCTAAACTATCAGAGAGATCAGGATTGTCGGAGTAGAGTGTTCCCGGGTTTTGACAATATTCAGCTTCCACAAGTGTCACGAGACCAACTAACCAGCATTGGGACGATATAACAGTGCCCTTCAGAGGCAGCGGTCTAAACCACTGTGCTAAAAGGCCTATTAACCGGCGGTTACTGCATACCGCCGGTCGCTGGTTAAATACCCAACCCATCCTATCACTATCACTATCAAACTGTCTTGTCACTTCGTGACAACAAGATAGAGTGGGGAACTAATCAAAGATGAATTGTTGATTTGATCCAAGGCTGATCCAACGGCGGACACTGTCATACTTTGTAGCTGTCTAATGATGCGCTTTTGTGTGATTCCCATTTGGGTATCATAATGAGAGAAGTCGCAGGAGGTCATGTCGTTATGTGATGCCAAGATCTTCTCCGTGGTTCAAAGCAGGTTTGTTTGATGAGTTTAACACTGTAGTAACAATTGATTTAACAGGATGTATTCTGCCAGGTTGTATTGATCAATAGATAAGAAGGAAGGAGGGGGAACAGGACTTATGAATATCAGCAGGGTGGATCAGGGTGGTTTAAATTGATCACATCAACAAGGGGTATATGAATAGAGGAAGAAAGGTCAGGTCAAACGTGTTAGACATCATGATCCATTGTTTCTCTCTCCTTTCAGTCGGAGTCAATGTCATGGCCAGTACTCATAGCGATATCAGTTCTCTCTAGCAGAGTTGATCTTGAGCCTTTCAGGACGGTTTACAATCGTGGGCTCGCTACCTGGTCATAACACCTATACATGCTCTTTCCTTCACTCCGTTTCATACCTCTCGTCCCTTCTACTCAGATGATGTTGACGAAGATCAAGTCGATTAGCAACGAGTTGATGTGCTGTCTTCTGTTACAAACTCCACCGTAAGGTTCTTTTTGCTAAAAACCACCCACCACACTGTCGGACTAACCATTGACACCCAAGTTTTCCCTATAGGTAACTGCAGCCCTGTAGGTTCATTAGAATCACCATTATTAACAATTGCACTGAAACGTTCCACGATCATTGCCTTCAGACATCCCTCTGTTTCTGTCTGTGAGACTGAAGGAGCATACAGACCTTCAGGAGAATTTCTTGGCCTGGATTGCTCGTTGGTTGTCAGTATAACGCCAAATGGTAAACTATCAGAGAGTTCTGGATGATCAGAGAAGAGTTTTCCTGGATATCGACAATATGTAGCTTCCACTAAACTCAGTTGGGAGTCAGTCAAAAGTGAAGTGTTGATATCAACTAAAGCTGATCTAACGGCTGATATCGTCATACGTCGTAGCTGTCTGCAGATTGAATATTGGGTGGCTTCCCGTTGGGCCTCATAATGATAGAACTTGACCACTTGACGAGATGTCATGTTGTTATGTCAAGCTAAGAGTTTGTCTGTTGTTTGTAGTAGGTTTGTTTGATGAGTTTGACAGTATAGTATGTATCAAGTAATATAACTGGATGAGTTAGGTAGCAGGTGAAGAGGAAGGGGAATCGTGGATTTTATACATGGTACGATTGTTATCATGTGTAGCTCACATTGATCACGTCAACGAGGGGTATGAGAATAGAGGATGTAAGGTCAGGTCAAACGTGTTATAATCACCATCCATTGTTCTGGCCTTCGAGTCGGAGTCAAGCGTCAATCTCCGTATGGGCTCGAATCCGACCCTTCAGTGGGTAGTCAGTCCACAATAGAACAATCGATGCATAGGTACTCTCTTACTGGTTGTTCACCGTAGAAGGAGAAAGATGATTATTGTCATACATTACCCAAAGCAAAGTATGATCTTCTCCCTTGACCCAAACTTTCCCATTTGGTGTAACAACTTTTGTCATGTTGGTTCCTTCTTGGTTTTGACTCATCCAAGTCAAATGACCAACCAAAGTATACATCAGCTCACTTGTCTCCCCAACAACCTGTATTGTCCCATTCTCCTGGTTAAGGTTGGTAATGGTGAGAGTCTGAGAAGAGTCCTCAGTGATTGTTGAACCGGTGGGAGCTACGGAAGGCCTTAGTCGGGAAGTGGACGAACGTTGAATGGATGCGGTGGGGTCATCTGTCAAGGTGATACCGATTGCCATACCTACTTGTTGATAGACTTCCGCCAGAAAAGGTACGTTGGGACGTCGATCATGAGCGGCACTAAGTAAGAATAGAGGTGCGGATAAGGAAGGGTTGACTAGAGATAAGGCAGTCTCTACGGAGGTGACGGTCGTTTCGAGAAGGTCGTTCATGATTCTACGTCTGGTCCTTGCGTCCATTGTGGAAGTCATCTTGTGTTATGGTCTATAGTGATTGGTTTGACTTCTTGTTATACTAAGAGCTTCTTTGTACTATCAGCTAGGTAAGTGAGAAAGCTGACAGAAAGCTTTACAAGAGAGGGAGTATAAAAGTGCTGGTGAGTAGGTGAGAGGAAACGACGGACATTCATTTGTCACTTGCCACGGAGCTTGAAGAGAAAGGGAGAATATGTTTCAGTCTCTCCCGACTATCAGTACTGTACGTCCCCATTCTTACGTCTCTCCTCACAAACAGTCATTCGTGAAGCTCACTCGAGTCTTGGAGAATCGACCCCAGATGATATCCCCTCGGTTCCCCAATTCCCATAGTGGCAGAAGAAAGTTGAAAGTGCCACATTCGCTCGACCGCCACTAACACCTCCTCGAACAACTCCCCCCCGCGATTTCGGACTCAGAACTACTCTTGACTTTCAACATTCAACCATTTGTGAACCTGTGACAAGTCAGGAATCAAAAGACTAGTAAAGAGTAGATTGTGATCGTTCATTACGGGGCTGAACTATCTAGGGACCTCTACAGGGCCAGAAGAAGATGGACGCTCCGACTTTGACTCGATTTGTTGGAGAGCTCAATGAAGCCAGCGGGAAGAATCAAACGGAGGTGAGTTGTGACTCGGATGGCAGGAAAGAGCTGAAGTGTTAGGACGTAGTGAGGATCTTACAGAAATTACAAGCAGAGGTTATCCCCTCGGAGGAGTTACTCAAGGTGAGTTGACTTCGTTCGTCCTCTCAACTTCCTGATGTGATCTCCTCCAGACTTGTTAGGTGGCCTCTTCCTCTCGTATGGGCCGCTCTGGGGGAGGCAAGATCCAGTCATTTGGATACGCGTAAAACATGAGAAGGGAGATAATGCTTTGTATTCTTCGACCACAAGAGCACATGATTTGTTTCATTTTCTTTCCTGGTGTGGTCGTCATCACGGATCGTCTCTGCTTACCAGTCCTGTAGAGGTAACGGAAGTTTTGGTCGATTCGCCATCCACAGGAAATCGGAAGAGGATGACTACCGAGGTATCATGGAGGAAAGACTTATAATCATGCACGCACTGATAATTAGGCATCAAAAGCCGGTATTGCAGTTGGTAAACTTCGTTCCGTTCCCTCACCGGGAGTCGCGAATCTTGCTAAGGATCTGGTCAAGAAATGGAAAGAGGTGATCGAGGAGAACAAACGGAAGAGGAAACGAGAGGAAGGGGATGGGGTGAAAGAGGAAGCAGGGAAGAAGGTCAAGGCAGAACGTGAGTTCCTGGGTCCCTTTACCTATCTTTCTCCTACCTACGAGTCGTTTCTGCATTCGAACGACGTGTAGCCGTTGCAGGAAAGAGCTTCTTGGAATGTACGGACTAGTTGTATGTTTCTTTCGTGATCGTGGTAGACAATATTCTTGATGGTATTCACGTTGACAACAGCCTCCACATCCGCAATAGTATCCTCCAATGGCACCCCGGCAGCCATGTCTCCCGATCGAAAACCTGAAATCAAGGACATCAAGCCAAAAGTCGAGCAACCGAACTCTGGAGCTTCTTCCTCGTCTCCTCCTAAACGACCACCTTTGTCTACGATTGATTCGTCCCGGACCACACCCCGAGATTCAAAGTCTGACGGAGTCGCCGGGACTCTCAAAGCGGAAGCTGAGACTGGAGGGGACGAATCTGTACGGGACAAATGTGTGGAGATGATATATAATGCTTTGGCAGGAGATAGTACAGCGGGTGAGTAACTGCCTTGTCTTTTATAAGAAGCTGATCAAGCAGAAAAACGGATACTGATAGAACGTAGTGTAGCCATAGAAGCAGCCGTCTTCAAACAACAGAAATCTCAATCTGGAAATGAATATCGAGCTAGTGAGCTGCAGGCTACGTGACAGTCAGTCAGCTGACAATACAGAGATGCGTTCTTTGTTTCTGAATCTGAAAGACAAGGGTAATCCTGGTTTGCGAAATGAAATTGTGTTGGGATATTTGACAGCGGAAAAGTTGGCGTCGTTGAGTAAAGAGGTGAGGAGCTTGTCACTTCCGGAGAGAAAGTCACTGACAATGATAGGACATGGCGTCGGAGAGTATCAGAGCGATGAATGAGAAAATTGCCAATGACAACCTGTTCAAAGCGAAAGCCGTGGGCGAAACACAAGTGAGCTACCGACAGCCCAAAAAAGGACGAGCTGACAACAAAGGCGGAGACGGATGCGTTTAAATGTGGCCGATGTCAACAGCGTAAATGCACGTATTATCAAATGCAAACTCGCAGTGCTGATGAACCTATGACAGTGAGTGTTTTCCTTCCCATAGATGGGATCACAATATGTAGTGACATTGGCTGATGGAAACAGACATTTGTAACGTGTGTCCTTTTCTGATCCGTAAGAGTATTTGGAATGCTGACGACTTCTCTTCTCGGTTACGCCATGTAGATGTACTGTGAGTCAATCCGCATTCCCAATCGAAGGGGTATTCCTGATGAACAGAACTGTGGCAATCGATGGAAGTTTAGTTAAGTCTTTTGACTTTTGGGATGTGGTTCCCGCTGCGAGCCAACATGTTTACTTGCATTCGAGTATGATGACTTTATTTATATTCTACTCTGCACTCCCTGGGGTAATCTGATAGATAAGTGACGTTGTATGATGCACCATACGGCTTTGTCCGTCGGTGAGAGCGACTGTACCCGATCCATGATTTGATAAGCAATTTCCCTTCCTTGAACTTATTCCCGAACTTTGTTCTGCCCTTTCTCGATCTTTCCACCTGGCCACTTACTTGGTATCCCTCACACCTTTTTGGCCACTTTACCACTTCTTCACATACATCAAACTGTCACTCCGTACTCGTTCCCTACTCCTCGCAAGACTACGCATACAAACTATCCCTGTGAGACCTATCAGAAAGATTCATACAGGTCCATCGCAACAAGTCAGACAACCGAGCGTCGTCCCACTTCCCCACTCCACCTTTGAAGACCAACCCTCTCAAACCATCCCATTCACATCATCCTTGCATCCTATCCAGTCAATACAGAGCAAGAAGAAAGTCAACATGGCACCTATACCTATCGGTCCGGAAGTGCGCGAACCCGAACAGCATGGAGAGAAAAGTAAGAAGATGCATTCGAAAGTAGTCATCATAGGATCAGGACCTGCTGGTCATACAGCTGCCATCTATCTTGCTAGGGCTAACCTCGAACCTGTTCTGTATGAGGTACGTCATATCTATTCATAGCTTGTTGAGAATGTCGCTGATACATATAGGGTATGCTTGCCAATGGGTGGGTCGACTTGGGGAGATAGACAAAGGGATGCAAGCTGATGAATCAGGTTCGCACCAGGTGGTCAATTGACAACTACTACCGACGTATGTCATTCTATTTCAATTTTGAGAAAGATGAGCTGATCAGGATAGGTGGAGAACTTTCCTGGGTTTCCTGATGGTGTGAGAGGACCAGAGATGATGGATAAATTCCGGGCTCAAAGGTGAGGCTTCATCGGTTACTCTTCACACCCTATCACTTCATCTACAATTATCACACAGTCTAGGAGTCGTCTCATCTTTGCACCTCTAAAATTCAGCGTTCCTCTATCGCCGTCCATATGTCCTGTTGTAGAAGATAGGGAATAAAGGAGTTGTAAGATGTCATGTACGCCTTAGTGGGGAGGGGGACACGAGAAGAAAAGGACGGAGTACAAAGATGAGAGCTGACATATAGTGAACGATTCGGTACAAACATCATCACTGAAACTATCGCCCGAGTAGATTTCACCAAGAGACCATTCAAATATTGGACAGAGGGAGAAGAGGAAGATGATGAATTCATGACTGCTGATACGTGAGTCGTCAAATTCATCTTTACATCATCCGATATATCAAGTAGAGACCACAGCGACTGTTCCCTTTATCAGCACATTTGTGGTGCGGTTGAGATGAAGATGACAGACTAACGTGTCAGAATCATCATCGCCACTGGTGCTTCTGCAAAAAGACTCAACCTTCCTGGTGAAGAAACATATTGGCAATCTGGTATCTCCGCTTGTGCAGTATGTGATGGTGCTGTACCTATTTTCCGAAACAAACCTTTGGCAGTGATTGGAGGAGGCGATTCCGCTGCTGAAGAAGCGACATGTAAGTTGTTCACTTTTCACCCCTTTGATCCAATTCATACATATCCTCTCGAAACAAACTCTATTTCCTCCGCCCAGAGGGGATCTTCCTATGGTCTTTCTTGCTTTCGTGGGTCACGCCCAACAAGAGGAAGAAGGATTTTCAAGGCTATCCCTTGTGCCAAAGCTATAATAAGGAAGGAGAGTCTGTCATGAAGAAGGATGAGTTTCACAGAGTATGTGAGAACAAAGTCGCTCATGCTCAGATTTGACAAAATATGGTTCTCACGTTTACGTACTCGTTCGTCGAGAGGAACTTCGAGCTAGTAAAATCATGGCCAAACGTCTTATTTCTCATCCCAAAGTTACAGTATTGTGGAATGTGAGTTTGTCCGATTTCCCCAACTTGTCTGTCCTCCCTCTAGCCAACCATTTCGCCTCTGTTCATCTTTCCTCGTATCCACACACCACACACTTGACGTCGTTATGTCTCACCCAGGTAAAAACTGTGAAGCGAGATGAGACGTTTGGTTGATTCTTCATGATCTGACTGGCAAACCACGTCCGATATGTGTGATCTGGATAGATCACTGACGTTGACAGACCGTTGCTACGGAATGCAAAGGTGACGGAGATTTGCTCCAGGCACTCGTCCTTAAAGACACCAAAACTGGTGAAAATCGAGATCTTCAAGTCAACGGTTTATTCTATGCTATCGGTTAGTTCTTTCGTCCCCACGCTCTTTTTCCTATCCACCTTCGTCATAGTCTCACTACTATCATCATTTCACCTTATATCAAGCTATTCTAGGCCTTTTCGCAAGATTAGGAGTGACGTTGAAACAGTAATGAGAGGGTAAAATGGGACAACGCTGACGAAAAGGCCACGAACCAGCCACCGCTCTTGTCAAAGATCAACTCGAACTCGATGCGGACGGTTATATTCAAGTGGTACCCGGTACCGCCCAAACTTCCGTCAAAGGTGTATTCGCTGCTGGTGATGTGCAAGATAAACGATACCGTCAAGCGATTACTTCTGCCGGATCAGGTTGTATGGCTGCTTTAGAAGCAGAACGTTTGATCTCAGAGGAAGAAGCTGAAGATGGTGAAATTGACACTGCTGATGTACACGTTCCTGCCAATGGGTACATGGGTACAGACAAAGAGTGATGATGATCTTTTGACATAGGATTAGACATAAAGATGCATTGATTGTTCTGCTTCCGTCTTTCGTTTTTGCTTTGACCTCACGAAGATGAACTAAAGAATACGGGGTGACGAGAACAGAGGATATAGGGTTAACTGGTGAGGTCGGCCATGATATCTTTGACAGCATCGGCTGCAGCAGCGTCGAGATCTTGTTCTGGTGGTGGAGGGGGAGGTGGAGCAGGACCAAGAAATTCTTCCTGTTACGTTAGTGTACCGCTTGCTTGAGCATGTTATATGAAATTATTAATTAGTCAAAAGGGCGACAGTGACGAGGGGGAGAAAACAGTTATACGTTCACACAAACAGGTGAGCCTACCTCGGAAGAGTATGCACCATCTCGGAGACAACGAAAAGAGAGGTCGTAGATCAGAGGAGAGGTGGAGAAGAGAGGAGAGGGAACAAGACAAGACAAGACCAAACTCACCTCGGGAACATTAGCGACGACAATTGTCCTCCCACCGAATTGTCTTCCACCCAAAGAGTTCATAGCCTTTTCCGTACTAGCCAAATCTTTATACATCACAAACACCCTCCCTACACCAGCTGCCAAATCCGCCCTTCTTGCCCTTTCCTGAGTCACCACAGCCGATTCGCTCGGTTCCCATTTCTTACTCTTCGGTACGGGTCTCGGTACTCTGACACCTTCAATCTCACCGAATCTAGAGCATTCAGAAGTGATATCTTCCAAAATCTCTTGATATTCTTGATCATCGTACAGTTCATCGGCGGTGACCATATTGAGCAAGAGCATGACTCTGGAAGTAGGACCCGATTGTTGATTTTCTTGTGCGAATATGGCTGATTTAGCTAGGAAAGATTCGGATCCGGGGATGGCGTCGGTGGTTCCTGATGCACGACCGACGGCGGCGCGTTGGACGACGAGGATACGATCACCGAGTGAAAAGTTGTTGAGGCCGGAGATGGCCATGTCGGTATTGGAGGGATCAGTGTATTCAGCGAAGGCAAATCCCTGGGAGTCAGCGGGGGCAATTATTCCTCGTTCCCACCCACAGTCGGCTTGTCCCTGTTCTGAAACGTGAGATACTTGTAGAGTGACGTCCCGCAGGATGGACTAAACGATCTCTGAAGTGATATGAGGTGTAGCGGAGGAGCATGTCTTGGGCATCGATTCGAGTGATGCCATACTCAGGCCATATCAGGAGAGAAGACGACTGACACAGTTGGGTAGAAAAACTTGTCAAAAGAGGGAGGTAGAGCAGGCAGATCATACAACGGGCACAGAACTCACTTTATTCTCAGACGAATCGGGATCTTTGACCAGATTGAAACTCCTCAATTCACCGAAACTCTTCAACAACTCCATGACCTGGGCCTCGTCCAGGTACGTCGGCAAACCACCAATGAACAATTTGTTCGGAGAATCGCTCATCGCCTGTGCTCCACCCATGGTATGTTGCAAAGGATCTAAACCCGTATAGTCCTTTGGTCGTTTCACACGCAAGGGCACATCTTCGAACATGACATTGTCCAATTTGAGGGCAGAAGAAGCCTCTTCAGCCGAACGGAACTCAAGGAAGGCGAAAGCTTTTTCATGGTTGACTTGGACGGCTCCGATAGGATCTCCAGGAATTTCGAGCGTGAAACCACGCTCGGACATGGTCGTATTGAAGAATTCCAGAAGAGAAGCGTCTGTCATTGATTCGGTGATACCGCCGACGTAGATTCGTTTGGCTTGACGAAGACCATTTGCACCTGGAGGAGGGAAAGAGCCGGCTATGAGGGCTGAAGGTATGCCGAGCTCTGGAGGAGGAGGGACGCGACCGGGACCGTAAGTGAACATGCCTGATGGTAAGTCTCACAACTTTCGGTAGTGACCAGTCCCTGAAAGGTCATTCCAGCTAGCGCCAGCCTTCGGGATCTTGCTGAGTACTCGCCCCCACCCACGCTTGCCCCAGAGAAGGATACCTGTGATATCTCATGTGATGGACCATTCCTATGCGCATGAGGTCCCACAGCAGATAGAGGGATGGTCAATAGATAAGGACGCGTAAAGAAGGTCCGAAAGGCTCTGAAAGAAGTAAGACTGAGCAACACTCACCAGTCATCTTGGCAGCCATGGCCCCGATCCCCGCAAATTGTACAGGTCTTATGTCCCACAGACTATGTTTCACCTTCCTCTCCTCGAGCGCTATTGTCCCAGGCGGTGTAGGACTTCTCGGTGGACTTTGTCTTCTGCCACCTCTGCCACCTCTCTCCCCACCTCTACCTCTATACCCTCCATCATCCGGCGGCCCATTATCTCTTCGCGGAGAATAACTCCTCATAGGCTGAGCAAACTCGTCTCTGGGAGGTGGTCGACGTTCACGATAACCTCCCGGACCTCCCATGGGTTCTGCCATACCGATAGGATCATCACGACGATGACGTTCTCGGTCATATCGATCCCTCTCACGATCGTCCCGTCTATAGCCCCTGTCTCTATCACGATCATCGCGAGGTCGATGACGTTCTATATCACGGTCGTGGTCCCTCCCACCACCGTTGCGTTCCCTCTCATGTTCGCGAGGTCGACGACGGTCGTATTCTTCTCTATCGCGGTGAGAACGATGTTCCCTACCTGAGCAAGTCAGTCCTGATTAGCACGACACCACTGGTTCTCAAGCAAGCAGGCCTTCCAAGTGATTTTCCTGTGGCGCTGGAGAGTGTGACTAGGGAGAAGCAAAAGAACGCGGAAAGGTGGGAAAGTCTAGTGCGACCAACCGTCGTCCGAGTGACCTCGACTTCTGGCGTACCCTCGGTCTAGATCTGGCACTGAAAAGTCAGTGACCTTTCGAGCAGAGTTATGACCCTAAAATCTCACCGTAGGCGTCCATGATTGAGTTGGTAGAGACGTATACAGAGTAGGTACAAAGTCAAAGTCAAGATCAACGGGGGGGAACTTCTGCTTTTCCAGGAGTGGTTGAGAAACGGAGTTTCCGGCGTTGAGCGATGTGGCACATATAACGGCCAACGGAGTTATGCTCACGCCGGCCCGCCTTTCATAAGTACCATGAACGGCAATACCGTGATGGCCGGGGTATCTTACTAGAAGAATTCACACGTAGTTTTCAAACATATCAGGGAAAGGGTGCAAGCAACTTGATCTGCAAATCAACATTCTCCTTCTGATGTCGACAACACAATCAAATTCCTATTCCGTGTCAACCCACGAGTCAGACAATGATGATAGTCTTCAAGGGACTGTCCTGTTTCTCGACGAAGTCATCGCAATGGACTATATTCCTCGCAAACGCATAGAGCTTACTTGCATCGATGTGCTGCACTTCATGGGCCTAATTCGCCACAATCCGTCCAACCCGGTCATTGTTCAATTGACAGTGAAGGCGAAATTGGATCGGTGGAGTCAACCTGGGAGAAATTGGGTGTCTTCAGATGAGAAGCTGGACAGTTACAAACCTTTCACTAACTTGCTTGTGAAGACTGAATGTGGTCATCCACCACCAATTGCTGTCAAGTTCTTCAAGATGTATGATGAAATGTATTCCAATCTCCGTGAGCCGCAAAGACAAATACTGCATAGTCTCCCCAGGGAAGTTGAGCAACTTTCTGATCAATATGGTGCCTATAACGTTGAGATTGTTGAAGAAGCTTACAACAATTGGCAAACGGAAATGATCATGTTCTTGCGCAAGTCGGCAGAAGAAATGTTCCCGGAATGGAACATCGACATTCAAAGTGTTCAAGGTCCACATACAGAATGGTCAGAGTGGGAATCTTTTCAGAAAGTATTCACTGAAGAAAGATATCGGAGGAACCGCGGTCCAGATGTGTTACCGGATAGAATCCCAATATGACCAACGTTGGGTGAAAGGCGTTGCCGAAGAACGGGAGTTGATGAAGCGTGGGATCTTCACACCCACCGGATATACTTCTCATGACAAGAGTTGGACACCCAGTCAGCCCCAATATGCCCACTTGGTTCTCAGCAGACCAGCCGGGGTAGCTGCACCTTGGGAGGAGCTCCCTCTTCCAAAGCGTTCGTTTCTTGGAAGACTGAGTTGTTTTTCCTTCAAAGGACAACAACATTCGACTTCGGAAGAGGGAGCGGATGCCTATGAGGACTTGCCGATGACAAGCGTGTCCCGATCATTCTGAGCACATGGCAGTGGATACATGTCACATTTGTATATAGTACAATTCATGCAGTTCGTATCATCATGCTTTCTCTCTTTTCTCGTTAATCCCTCCTCGTTGGTTCATGTCCCAACACCTCTACTTGTGGACGTTTATTCGTGATTCTCGATGACTTTCAATCTCCAAGCAATGTCATCTTCTCAATGCACATGCGATGCCCTTCGCCCACCCATCGGTCCTGAGAAAGCGAATGCTGCTGCTCCAGGACCGAACCTCTTTGTCCCTCCTTGTCCAGCTGACAGAGGTACTTGAAGTTGACCTGGTGGCGTTTGTTGAGAATCCCTTCCTGGACCTAGATTGGATGGTCTGAAAGTTGGCGAAGGTAACAGTACGCCAGGTGGTGTGACAGGGGAAGAAAGACCGGATAATGGGGCGGGACGTAGTTGACTGGTTGTGGGGCCGACGAACGTGAGGAAAACATTAGGTGGAATTTGGCTTGAAGCGTGATTGTACTGCTGGTCAGCGAGTTCAAGTAGACAACTGCTACACATTCAGAAGTATGGTGAGATTTTTTGTATGTAAGGGTACAGGTGTATTTCCAACCGCAGCGTTATACCAAGTCAAGAAGGATGAAAAGACTTGAGTGAAATGTCGGTAGGATGGAGTGGACGGAGGTGAGAAGGTGAGAAGGTGAGAAGGTGAGAAGGTGAGAAGGTGAGAAGGTGAGAAGGTGGGATATAAGAAGACAAAGAACCCACCTCAAATTCCAAGCTCACCCCGTCCAATTCCCTCGGATCAGCTTCCATACTAGCCAAAACCTTTTTCCCAAGAGCATTCAAAATCTCCACTTTATCCTTGCTCCTGGTCCAGACTTGTATTCGACTGATACGGGGTTTGGGAGAAGCGACAATACCGCACACTTCGTTATCTGGATCGAGATAACCTCCGACAAGACCCATGACGAGGTTTGACCATGTCACGTCGAACAGCGGAGAAGCGGGTTTTAAAAGGAGAGTCCATTTGCCGCCCTGGATGTCAGTCTTTCGCATGTCAAACATACTGTGTTCATGCGGCTCAACAAGCTCATATCCGGGTGTGTATTTTCAAGTGACTGGAACACGAAATATTAAGTGGAAGGTTATGGTCATGGTTTCAACTTACATCAGCATTGGCCGGATCTTCCCACATCTATCTAGTCAGCGTAAGTCGGAAGAATGGAAAGGAAGATGACGCACGGGTCTGATACCTTGTTTGAACAGATGATAGTTTGACCCTTTGGCGAGAGAGTTTGGGAGTTTGATATTGTTCATATATCTGCAGAATCCCTCCACCTGGTGAGTCAGCATGACCCTTCGAGATGTCCATCATGAAGAGGACGCTATGTTCCGTGTGACGACAGCTGTTAGGGGACCAATTCTCAACTTAGTCCTAGCCTTCGTTTCACCCATGTCAGACGATCAGACGGAGATTGATATGTCTTTGAGTATGGTAGGAGAGGATCTCAGTCAGAAGGAGAAGCTAATGTGAGAGAGAAGCTAATGAGAGAGAGAAGCTAGACTGATATGAAGAGCTGAGGAAGAAAATATATACTGACAGTCTCAAATTTGCCCACCGTCAGAAGGGTTTTTTCGTAGTCGTTCAAGAAAGTATCCCCCTCCTTGGGAACGGCGAGGCTAGTATCGGGTTTATAAGTTTTCGAATCGTAGTATATGACCCTGTTCGGGTTAGTTATGCCTCTCCTTTTCCACGCGCTATCGTCCAATTTCCAAAGCTGTAGGTCACGGGCTATGTTGAGCTTTTGATCTTCAACATGCAGGCAAATGAGCAAAGTCGAAGGTATGACACCAAGGTAGGAGTTGAAGGTATGACATGAAAGTAAGACACCAAGGTATGACATGGAAGTCAGTAACCAAGATATGACATGAAAGTCGGTTCGGATCGTAAGACAAGAAAGATCTTCAACGTCAATACGGAAAGGGAGAAAACACTCACCATTTATGTTCCAATGGGTGTTGTCCATTAATCGACCCACCTATCCCACCACTTTTCTCTCCAACCTCCATCTTCTCTGGTAAAACAACCACAGACGATTGTTTACCATCCGTCTTTCCTTGTGAATCTTTGATATGATCATTTTTGACATGTTGTCTTATTTGATCCAAACTAGGAGTATCTTTATAACCTTTAATATAATCTTGATTTACTTTCTTTCCTCCTTCTTCTCTTCCCTTCGTTTCGTCTTTCTCACCATTTATTCCTGTTTTCGTCATATCCACCTCTCCCTCTCCATTTCCTTTACTAGCTTGAGACACAGAGATAGATTTGATACCAGAGGTATTCCCAAAAACATCAGATACGTCCGATAAAGGGGTTGTCACGACTGATGAATCACCTCTAGCCTTAGTAGGAGAAGGTAATGAAGCTCTGCTTTCAGCAGAAAGAGTTCTCATCATAGCACTCGGAGGTAATTTCAACCTTGTAGAAGGACTGGAAAGGAAAGGTGAAGAACTTGTCATTGTAGGTGTTAATGAAGTCGAGTTTGTTGAAATGTTAAGTTTTGGAGGTGTTATAGGTTTTGTATTTCCTATTGAATTTGATCCAGCTGAAGAAGGTCGAGAAGGTGTATGAAGATGTGCAGAAAGTTGTTTAAGAGAAGGAAGTCGTGTCATTGTTGGTCTATCGTCAAACATCATATTTACGGAATTGAGAATTACTCGAAATGAATGTTTGTTCTTTGTGATATTACAGTATGAGTGCTAAGCCAAAGTCTGGAATGGGATATTTGAGTGATGACGATGATGATGATATATGAGAAATCACGAGGCATTTTTCGTCGATCTGTCTGCAAACTGGATAGATCTCCATACGATCGTCCGACATTCAAGCGATTGCGAGGACATGATCCGAACCATATAAAGAGTGTGTGTGCTATGTTAAGGGTGAGAGAGAAGGGGAAGAGGACAGAAGGTATAATAGTGACAAACAATGTAGGGATTGTTAAAACAGAGGGCAGACTCACGGTGTAGGAACGACAACATTCCCAATATCAGGAATGGGTAAAGTAGGAGGAGGCATCTTCAATCTATCTTTCTCTTTCTCTTTTTCCATCTTCTCTTCGTCCATCCTCTCTGCTTTTACCCCATTCTCCTTCATCTCTTTCATTTGTATTTTCCCCTCTTCGTTTCCTGTCGATCCCATGATGACCTCGTGACCCAAATCTACGGGTGTGAACACAGGTCCGGCGTTATCGACTTTCACTGACATCCTATGATATCAGCTTTGGATTTTACCAATTGTATCGACTATCAAGTGAAGCTATCCAAGTGAAGGTACAAGCTGAAGCCAATGTCTCGCCGCGTGAAATGGTCAAGGTTGTTGATGGGATGGTCGTCAAGGTGAACTTGGGACCATGTACAGTAAGAATTTATCTTGGTGACGGTTGTCCAGTCGTTTCTCTTAACGCGAGTCAGATACAACGTACAACGGGCGACATTGACTAGTCTGGGATATCGGGGATAGGGGAAAGGGGGTGACACTTCAAAGGTCACCAGATTTCTCTAGACTCACTTGGAAGTATCTTGTCTCACTTTAATCACCACCGCCTTGTCGGTAATTTGCTCTCTTCCAAGACTAAGACCAAGAACACTAAGAACGAGAAAGATGGAATAAGGAATGGAGAAATCTCTTTCTTACACAACTAACTCAGTAAAGTAAAGAGGAACACGACAAGACTGATACAAGATGAGACATGAACATTGGAAGTAGAGAGATGGAACATGAAAGACTCGTATGACGGATGAAACGTCAAGTCAGTCGCGTCTAGTATTACTCTCCTTATTACAAACCTTTGTCTTTCCATCCGTCTCATTACATACAAGTATCGTACGAACATAGCACGCGTTTCACCGTATGTACGTCGTGGGAATGAGGAGGATGGTCCGGGTGTGAGGGTGTCAACATGATACATGGTTTGTCATGGGGATCAAACGGGAGTAACTTAGTCGTACAGGGGGAATGACCGCGTGCGACGGTGCACAGGAATTACAGTAAGATTTGAAGAGTCAGAACTCTACTTAAACCTCGGCATCTCATGGATCATGATCATGGAGCGTCATACCTATGATATTTTGACGTCGACGACAAGGCAGATAGATACTGCGCATACGCCAAGAAGCCAAGAATTGATCTGCGCATCGCTAATGATACTTAATGTCATGATGATGAGAATGATCTATGTCTTACTCTACTACCATGGTTTGACCCACGGGAAGAACTCTAAATGTTTCTTCTGATACACCTAATAATTGACGAGCTTTAGCAAGATCAATCGGAGGTTGATTATCTGACATCAGCAAGTGATCATCATTGTGAACAACGGGATGATGTCCACGCAACAGGGATGAGAGTTACGATGCCACAACTCACACGCCTCATCAGACATCAACCAAGTTCCCCAATGTACCCCCACAGCTCTCTTCACACCCATCTGCATGACCATCCTGGTAGCTCCTTCCGGATCCGTATGTTGTAAGTGTAAATGCCATCTGGGTTCATACGATCCGATCGGGATCGCTGCGAGGTCTATAGGACCTAACACTCGACCGACGGCAGTGAACAAAGTGGGAGAGAAGCCGGTATCACCCAGGTGGATGAAGGATTTAGGAGAAGAAGAATGAGATTTGACGTGAAAACCCGCCCAGAGAGTGGCGTTCGTATCTAGGGGCGAACGGGCGGACCAGTGCTGAGTGTTAGGTCATGTACATGGACCTTCTAAAGCTCATCTCCGATATCTGGTATTTGACAGACCGAAGAAAGTCATAGCAACGTTCAGAGACAAAGATACACAGACCGAGAAAGACGAATGATGTGGGACGAACGGGAGTATGGGGAGAGACATCGCTTACCATCAGAGGAACAGCAGTGATAGTATATCTCTTTTCAACCTGTCCTGGTCGTCGAAGAACATGTTGTGTTTCCTGCCACCAACTCTTGATCAGCTCTGAGCTTGGTTGTGCTCAAATAGCTTACTCTAGCTCCGTAACCCTGGTGACTCCTAACTCCCGCAAGAACGACCCCACTCCAATAGGTACTACCCATTCGCAACTGTCCCCCAGTTCTTTGACTGCCTCAGGATCTAGGTGATCAAAATGGCTATACGTCAGCGTTGCTCTTGATCAGAGAAGCACAGCCGATTCACTTATGAGATACGAGGACCACGTCGATCCGCTTGAGATCGGATAAGGAACATGGTGGAGGACGGAGTCGTTGGGGGGCTAGACGGGATGGAAGGGTACGATCAGATAAAGCGGGGTCAGTCAGGATGGTGAGGTTGTCGAGGGTGACATAAGAGGTTGATTGGCCGAGCTGGACATTAGGACATTCTCACTTGATTCCAACATCACCCCATTCCATTGACCTGGGCTCCACTCAAGAATGATGTGTACTCATGGTCTTGTATCAAGAGTTATTCAGACAGACCCTACATTGATGTTCAACACAAAGGCAAGGACATCTTCAAATTACGAATGAAAGGCAGCTAGATGGGATGAGAAGGTTTGGATGAAGATGACATACCCAAGTCAAAGTGAGTTTATCAGTAACATCCACATCCTCACCTCCTTCCCGAGTCCTCCTAACGTACCCGTCACCTTTCTCAACGTCCGACATCTCCTTCCTTTTCTCATCCCTCAAGTCTATTTTCTGCTCCTCACTCAACCTCCCACTCTGTTTCGATGCAGATGGACCGAACAAAAGCTCAAAGTTTGGTTTTTCAATAGGCAAATCATTTATAGGTCTTTCCAATGGCACACCTCTTGTTATCAGCTAGACTCCACGGGTCGGTTCTCATAAGCTAACCCATTATAGAATAATTTGAGAGTTAAAGTGGAAAGAACGACTTTCCAAAACGCCCATTCCTATCCAATCAGCTACATACACTATGAGGGAGAAGATGACTGACCCATGCACCTTGTTCACGCCATTCGATGTATGGGTTCCAATACCTTCCTGCGTATCTTAGGCTGGCGTAGCTGAGAATAAGCATATTTCGCTTCTCAAGTAGTCCATACAAACACCTAAGAGATACCATCCCATCAAAACACTACATTTTAGAAGATGATTTCACCTCTAAGACAGCACTGAAAAGATGATGGGATAAGACGTATCTCAGAAGTCGATATGAAGCAGAGTTACCAATATGAAAAAATAGTATCCTTCCGAGCCGCCAGGAGACAACAGACAAGAGAGGTGAAGTTATAAATGTGAAGAATGACGATTCAAACGTGAAGAATGATCATTGGAAGAAAAAGAAAACTTACCGTCTTTTTAAAGCTTCCTTTTCTAAATCCGTAGGAGCCAAAGAAGAATATCCCTCTGGTAAAACTTTCAATGTATCCTGTAGCTCTTTATTTCTATCCCTTATATGGCTCCTTCGAATCGTATCGGTATAAGCTATAACATCAGTGTCACACTCACTCTTGACCATGTATCAATTGGCAATTGTAAAACCATAAACCTATGTTGATGATATACTTTATATGTGATGAGGAAAACTGGAAGAGTCATGTATGTATGTGAGAAGATTGTTGGTATATGTGTAAAGTAGTGAAGAGGAGGACTCACCGTAGTAGACTAACCAAGCACCTGTCCATGCTATAGGTAAAGCTACCACTGTTCTTTTCCATCCCCATAATCCGGGAATGGAAGGCATGCGGGTGTGTTTGAGGAATGTTCGACGAGCAGGGAGACAAGGCAAGTGAGTGATCACGAGTGAGAAGTAGCTAGCCTATGGTCAAGTAGTACTACGGAGAGGGGGATACGGACTGAAAGAAAGATTGTATGTGTCAAGGATGATTGTGATATTGTGACATCAGTGGGGGGAAAGACGTTGCAGAACGTGTCGTCATTGAACTTTGTGTTGGATCGCGGCGGCGAAGACTGGGTGTTCCATGGCCCATGGCACCCAAGACGTGTGCATCGCACATCACGTCGACGGATCAGTATGACTGCATGGAATGTCTAAACAATGGTATATCTATCGAACACGAGTCAAGTCAGTACGTGATCTCGTACAGCGAGCGTGAAATACGAAAACTCTGCGTGAGGGATCCAAACGAAGGTTGAGAATTACCATCTGCTCTGGTAACCTCCTCCTCCACCAGAATTAGCTCCAGTACCGTACGCTCCACCTCCACCGTAACCACCGCCGCCTCCTCTTCCACCACCACCACCGCGACCTCCTCTACCTCTACCACCACCACCTCCCCCGCCGTACTGCGCCATCTCGGCCAGTTCGGGAGGAATGTCGGCCTTGCTTTCGCGCAGGATCCCGACCAATTCTCGGGCTGACTTTGAGTTGTCAGCGGTGAAGAATGTGTAGGCAGTACCTGGATATCAGCAACCCTCGCTTCTCTCTCTTCTCTCTGACAATGAAACCAGTCCGTATGGCTGAGGAAGAGATGAGACAGCCCATGCAAAATAACGTGTGTGTTGAAGACGGGAGCCACGAGACTGAAGAGCGGTGCGTAACTCACCTGTTTGTCCAGCACGACCAGTACGACCGATTCGGTGAACATAGTCTTCACAATTGTTCGGGAAATCGTAATTGATCACATACTATCCGTTAGCTTGCTTCTCACCGGTGAAAAGGGACTCCGAATTCACCTTGATATCACGGACATCTGCACGAGAAAGTGAAATGTGCGAGAATGGTCAACAAGTACGACAAAAAGGTACGAGCGAACAAAGGAAAAGCATACGCGTCAATATAACAACACCAAACGCCAGACCACGGAGGGTGAGGAGGCATTGGTCGACACGACGCGCCGAGAGAATCGAGTGGACTCTCAGAGCCGCATAAAGGGCAGAGCAGAAAAGATTAGACGGGTGCTGTATTGCGAGCGAGAAAAGGGTTCAGCAAAGCGTCCAAAGAGTGTGGAACTGCCCGCGTTGCCCACGCTGGTGTGCAATGTCGTCTGCGCTGGCGTTAGTCCTCGACGAAAGGGTCTAAGGGACCACTAGACGGGGCTGTTGCTGAGGAACATCTGCCCACGTCGCGGAAGCCGAAGACCCGAAGGCGGCGCTATGTAGAGCGTCTGATGAGACGTTATGACTACCGCTCGCCGAGGACAACTGGGCGTACTTCTCTGATGCGCATGGCTAAGCTCTGGAAAACCTGGTCTCGACAAACTCGACACGCATGTGCCCACAACGCCCGACAGAGATTGTACGTACCGATACCACGAGAGGCAACATCAGTGGCGATCATGATGGGACTGCGACCGGATTTGAACTCGGAGAGCACCCAGTCTCGTTCGCCTTGTTGTCTGGGTATTAGCATCATTCCATCGTCTTGTCGCCAAAAGACGAAGTGTTAGTAAGAGGAGAGTGAGAGGACACTCACTTGTCGCCGTGAATGGCAAGAGCGGGCCAGCCGTCGGTACGAAGGTGTTTGGTGAGATCATCGGCAACACGTTTGGTACCAACAAAGATGAGCACTTTGGCGTTCTCCTGAGAGATCTGTTCGAGGTGTTTCAACATCATATTTCGTTTGTCATAGTTTGTGCAGATTTCGACGATCTGCTGTACATTGTGATTGGCGGTCAAATCGAGAGACCCAATGTTCACCTGGATGAAATCGTGAAGGAAGTCCATGGCGAGTCGCTGGACGTCTTTAGGCCAGGTAGCGGAGAAAAGAAGGGTTTGTCTGTCGGGACGAATTTGAGAAACGATTTTTCGGATCTGAGGTTCAAAACCCATATCGAGCATTCGATCGGCTTCGTCCATCACGAGATAAGTCACACGTTTCAAATTTGTTTTACCTGATTCGAGCATGTCAATGAGACGACCGGGGGTAGCAACGACGACTTCTACTCCTCTCTGAAGGTCACGAATTTGAGGGCCTTTGGGGGCACCACCGTAGATGGCAGTGTTGCGGATACGAGAGGATTTGCCGAATTTGGTGGCTTCCGTTTGAATCTGGACAGCCAGTTCACGAGTAGGTGCGAGGATGAGAACGATAGGACCATCACCAGGAGCCAAAAGAGGTTGAGCGTTGATATGAACCATGGCGGGGAGGGCAAAGGAGATAGTTTTTCCTGAACCAGTCTCTGCAATGGCTACGACATCACGACCTGAAAGCGCCATGGGCCAAGCCTGACATTGAATGGGGGTAGGGGCGGCGAAGCCCATAGCGTGGATTTCAGTCATGATGTAATCGGGGAAACCGGCTTCATCGAAGGTCTTGATAGGACGAGGGACATTTGTGCCTTGTATCTGAACAAATCAGAGAAGTGTTCAAACGGGGAATGAAGAAACATACCTTCATTGTTTTCTCGGCACGGAAATCATTGATCTCCTTTTCTGAGCGACGTGTGACGGCAGGATGTTCGACATAAAAGCTCAAGATCAGCGCGTGTGCGACACGAGTCTAGGTGCAGATAAGCACTCACTTCTTTTCGAATTTGATGAGTTGTTGGTGACCCCAGTCGATGTTTTGAAGACCTTGGCCAAGGCTGGACATACGATCTCCACCTGATCGAGTCAGCGCATCCCACTCTCGACGATACAAGCCATCGTCTGGACATGCCTCCGGAAGAGCCGTAGCCTCCATAGCCACCGTAACCACCGCCAGAGGAAAAATTACCAGCTCCGCCCCCATAACCACCACCTCCACCTCCGTAGCCACCACCACCGTATCCGCCACCGCCTCCACCACCACCGTAGCCCCCTCCACCACCGCCATAGCCACCACCACCACTGCCTCCGTAGCCGTAAGACTGCACATGTCAGCGTCGGTCCTTTGACGACAGAATCGCCACTGAACACTTACCATTTTAGCGAAGCTGTTGTTTTTGTTAGACGTAAGGTCTGAGAGACACGAGTAAGGACGGATGATTTGTCAAAGAGGGAGAATGTGAGAGTGAATGGAACTAAATTTTGTGTGGTCGTCGTAGAAATGAGGCAACACAAAGCAATGTGACAGGGGAAAAAATCTTTGACCGAGACACCGGTCGATATCTCCGACGATGGGGCTCGGCATTATCTCTGTGGCGCTGTCATACTCACCTGGATCCTCACCTCCGTCCTGACCTCACAATGACAACTGTCATGAACAATTCGATATGGACGGACTACTAGCAGAAATCAACTCGAAGAGAAAAGCACTTGAGGTACCTGGAGGAGATGCTGGACCATCAAAGAAGTATTTACGACGAAGTGAGCTTGAAGCTGCTCGAGAGGAAGAAGAAAGAAAAGCCAAAGCTATCGCCGCTCAAGCTTCAGCAGAGAATAAAGCCGCCAAGATGCGTACGGACGTGAGTTATTACATCAACATCAGAGTGAACTCTTACTTTTGAGCTGACTTGTAGGCAGAAAACGCACGAAAAGCTTCTTTAGCAAGATTGGCTTCATCACCTAATCCCGGTGGTAGTACTCCAGAACCATCCTCGTCCACCTCGGCCGCACCGGTCGAAACGGGGAAAGAAACGTTCAATATCTCTCCAGAAGAGTGTGTTCGTCGTCTCAGAGCTAAAGGTCAACCTATACGACTATTCGGGGAAACGGATAAAGATCGAAGATTACGTTTGAGGGCGTTGGAATTACAAGATGATAGAGATAAATCACAAACAGACTTTAAGAAAGCTATGGATACAATGACTTCCGAGATGCTTGAGAAGGCTGCGGAGAAACATGCGAGAAGTGCGCAAGTGGGACAGAAGGATAAAGAAAAGGAAGAAAAGGAAGAGAAGAAGAGGTTTGTGGATTTACCTCTGGTAGATTTGAGTTTGGTCAAGACGGATATCAATAAGTTGTATCCGCAGATTTATTGGGCTTTCAAAGTGGGTCGTTCACTTATCTATTCTCATGCTCTTCCATCTCTCCATGTACCTATCAATTGAGGGCCGGAAAGAGGTAGTGATTATAGAAGAGCTGAGCTGACATGATCAGTCACTTCTACGAGAATGGGGCGAATGGTTAGAAGCTAGAGATGATACCACCAAAAATACTGCAGCTGGGAAGATGGCAGCTGCAGCTCAAGTCCAATCCGCTCAAAATCTCAAACCTTTATTTCGTCTTTTACGTCAACGAGTGAGTTGTCCATGCATCAGTCTGCCCCCTATTCTGTTCTGCTCTCAAGACTCGTCATTCTACCGAGCTTTTCATCGTCTTTGGCGAGGGTTGTACCGTGTCATTCTTAGCACAAGTCGTAAGAATGATCGTCACACAGAGACAAATGTCAAAAGACAAAAAAAGACAGTCTTTCAATTACTCTACTAACTCTTCAGGACATGCCCCCAGATGTCGTTCGCGCCCTCGCTCAGATGGTACACTACATGCAAATCCGAGCGTATCAAAAAGCCAACGATGCGTATTTACGAATGTCTATAGGGAATGCCGCTTGGCCAATAGGAGTCACCAGTGTTGGTATACATGAGAGAAGCGCTTTGGAAAAGATTTATTCGGATAAAGTTGGACATGTGTTGAATGATGAGTTGTCGAGAAAGTACATTCAAGCTGTGAAACGGTAAGTGCGATCTCTCATCTTTTTCTCTTTTTCTCTCCAGGCCTGAATGTCTCCATGTCTCCTTGTCTCGGTCGCCTAATTTCTGGTATCGCACCCCATCCCGTACACCCTCTTTTTGATAGATTGCTCTACTCTCTTCTCAAATCCCACTCCGTCGTTGCCCACCACAGTGACCTCATTCCAGTCTACCGTCGAGCTGTGGTAGAGAGTCTCATCGTTGCCAATCAATATGGAAGAACAAAATGCTGACCCGTAGTTTAATGACATTCAACCAAACTGTCCGACCTCCGGATGATAACGCTCACGCCGTTGGGTGATTGTTGTACTTCCAAATACCACATATATGCATACCTTGAAATCCCAAAAGTCGCTGTGTTCATATCCAAACAAATTCTACAACCCGTAATCCGAAATCCGAGAACTCCAAAACATATACCGAGGTGAAAGTAGAGACATGACAGTTACAGAACTGTCTCATGAGCACACGTCTAAGAGACAGATGAGCAAAAGAGGAAGGAGGAGGAGGAGGAGGAGGAGGAGGAGGAGGAGGAGGAGGAATACGAGCACATACTAATACAACATCCTCTTTCCACCGGAGCATAAGGATCTTGTCCTTTTCCCAATTCACCCCATAAAGAAGGTAACTATCCGTCAGACACTCATCTCTGAAAGTGAGAAAATAACCGACTAAGGGATCTTTGGTAGTTGTACTATAATGTATTAAACTAATTATCAGCCAAATTGTTTTTTTTTTGGAGTATTCTATCCATCTAAGAGAGAAAGCTTTAGGACCCACTTGAAACTAGCTTCACTAACTTTCACTCTGGGTCTGATCAAATCCGCCCTCAACCTTATATTATGTTCCGCCAATCTACGTAGTTTAAGTTCTGCCATGGATTGTTTATGTGGTCTGATGGTGATCATTTTGTGTGTTCTCTTCTTCACAAGAATTCAAGGGAGGGGAATAGCACCGTAGTAGAGGAGAGGGGGACGAATCGAGTGAGGAGGAAAGACTGGAAGACGATCAGGTCCGATCAATCAAGTCTGGATTCCATTGTTCGTCGCCTCAAACGATAATTCCTTTAAACGCCGAAGAATACACCATACTCGTTCTTTTGTAGCTCCCGCCACACCCGGCGTTATGCATGAAATGAACCCGAAGAGGCTGTGTCGGTCATCACCGCCATTCGATCGTTGCCACCATGTCCACTCCGACAGTCACTCTTCACTTTACTTACCTCATCTCCCACACGACCATCTTACTCATCTCTGTGAATTTATCTCGAGTAGACTTCTTCAGCTGCATACATAATCTGGAGCTTGGAATATTACCGTATCAGAAAAAATGAACAAACCCGAACCTGGACAAGATATGTATCAAGCCAATGGTAAGTTTCTTCAACCGAGTCACTTTTCCCGGTTGGCCGAAGTGGTTCCATGAGGAGATACCCATTCGGAGGTGTATATGAGTGTGTGAGAGAGAGAAAAAAGAGCTGATGAATAAAGATGGTAAATGGTATCCACGAGCACAAATGCCACAGAATTGGCAACAGGGTCAACAAAGTTATTCGTGAGTTATATAATCCAACCTTCTTCTCCTATGGAATGTAGGGTTGTCATAGTGATTCGAGTTTATTCATGTTGTCCCCTCTTTCAATCTTGGGAATAAATAACATCAGCTATCGTGACTCATGTGGGTATCAGATGAACCTATTGTACTGGGACGTCAGGTATGGAGAAGAGAGATTATGACTATACGTAGACTTATCACAGCTACCACTTAACGGTACATGAAGGTTACAAACAGGTCAGAGGGGTAGAAGGAGGAAAGCGAATGAAGAAGGGATTAAGGAATGAGTCGATCTTGCTAATATTCAGAGGTCCACAACAAGGGATGAACCAACCATATGGTTATGGACAATCTTCGAATCCTTATGGACAACAACCATATGGGTATGGTCAACAACCTACCCAAGTTCATTATGTTCAAGATAGAGGATATGGTGGTGGATCTGGAGTTGGAGGAGCTGGTTGTTTAGGTGAGTCTGACGATCATTTATCTCTCTACTCTATGACTTCTGTCATCAGTTTCACTTCTATCTCATACATACATCATCTTTCATCAATTCATCCTTGATGCCGAGTTGAGACATCATGTTCGCCACGTGTAACCATCACCTGCTAGTCACGAAGAGAGACACCTTTGTCTTTCCCCTTAAAAGATACTTCATCCTTCTCACGGTGGAAACTTTTGTTGTGTATTTCGACAAGTGACAGGATACAACTCCACTCGACCAGCACTGACGTACAGCCGCACTTTGTGCAGGTTTACTCTGTTTCGACCTCGGCGCATGTCTGTTCTGATTACTCAATCTTTATCACACCACGTCGGTCGAAAAATACTGTATTTAGTACAGAAGTCAATTGTGTGGTCAGGATGTCGGAGATGTTGTCGTTGAGATAGAAATAAGATGACGGATGATAATGTTTGATTGAACGAGTCGAAACAAAGATGTGAAGAGGTTAGAGGTGTTAAAGGATGAACATGTCCATACACGTGATTGTTGTACCAATATGTAATTTCAATTTTCATCTTAACATTTGAAGATGGTACAACAAGATGACCATGACATTTTGACAATCTGACACTGTTTTGGATTTTCTCCAGACTCCCATCTTCTCTTCTGCCAATCTCACCTTGCACTTCCCCCCCTCCCATAGAAAACGTTTTCATTTCTTCAGTCTCGACTTTTCCTCCCTGATTCATTTCCCTTCCCTTCCCACCCTTGCCCAACCCTCACACCCAAGTCCAATCCATGAGACTCCATGTTCCACCTTAATGTCATCCGTCTTCACCCTACTCGAGTAATTCAAGTTCAAGGCTCTTAAGCAAAGATAGAATCCGCCATCCTAGCCCTCAACTCACTCCTCCACACTCCACCTTTTAAATCCTTTGGAAGAAAAACGACTTCAACATAATTAACAGGGAAAATACCTTCTTTACCTCTATCATCTTTACCTCTCCACCATTCACCTTGACCGACTTTATCCAAAACCATGATTTTCTGACCTTGTTTCAACCCTAAATCTCCCGGATCGGTAGGAACGAATTCGTATAATGCTATAGCTCTAGCAAAACCATCTTCACCACCTACTTCATTTTTCGGTAAATCTGTGAACAATCGATCTTGTTTCATTTCCCAATCCTTTCCCAAGACTTTATTTCTCATATCGTATTGTCCTTCTCTTTCTGGTGAAGAAGAAGAAAAACCATCTTTATCTTTATCCCATTCTCCTGTTATTCCTGGATTTCTATCGATCCCTCTGAGTGAAAAAGGATCATGTTCTATGGAAGTTTCTTGATATTCTTTCATTCTTCCCGAAACTTTTTTAGTTAATCTACTAGGTGAACCTCGATTCGACAAACCCCTTTCTTTTTCCATACGAGGTTTGCCTCTATTTGGAGAACCTAACAAATCCGTAGTATCTTCTTGTAAATCTTGTAAAGGTGGACGTGAATTACTTCTACTTCTTTGACCAAGACCCATTGATAATTTATCGAATGAAGTTGTTAAACCATCACCGTTTGAATCCCAATGACCTAATAAATCTTTCTCTCCTTCGGAATTCTCACTTCCGGTTCCGATTAGATCTCCATTGGATTCCGTTGAACTGAATCCATTCCTATATCCTTTCATTGGAGTTGATCCGATATTACTTGTGAGTTCCCCGAGATTTGGATTGTTTTTGGGATTAGAGCCGTTAACGTTGGTGTTAACGTTGGTTTTGACGTTGAAATGATTTGAAGGAAAAGTTGGAGAAGTCATTTTTGATGTCGATGTTGATATATCTTTAAACACGTTGATTTGATCATCGGGTCTATCACTATTTCTCAAACTCGATAATCCCCTAGGTCTTGTAACAGGTACCATAGGACCATCCGAATCCCATGTTAAACCAGCATTATATTGTTCGCTACTTGACGATACGACATTTTTCTTTGGTGAACCGTTCGAAAAAGGATTTAAAACACTTCCTCTTCTAGGCATATAATCATTTGCTCTAATCCTAGCTGGATTCCTTTCTCTTTCTCTTTCTTTTTCTTTTTCTTTATCTCCTTTACCAGAATGATTCGATAATAAACTTCCTGATCGACTTCTGGTTTTACCAGTACCCATAGCTCCTATTCCTTCTCCGAATACATAACCTGATCCAGTATTTGAACCAGATCTACTTCTATTTCCAATTCCAGGAGGTATAACACTCATTCCACCTCCTTCACCTTCATGATCCATATCACGCCATTGTTGACCTGAAATTGCACCTGTGGCACGTTGTAATTCTTCTATCAGACATTGTGCCCAATCGGGTGGATCGAAAGCTCCAGAAAGGATTTGTTTTGCACTGGGTGAACCACCATAAGCTAAACGATTGGCATCTTGTCTTTCAACAATGACGGATCCTTCGACGGAAACACCACCGAATAAACCTTTGGTCTTGGAATATGAATACATGGCTGCGATTTTACCTTTGGCACTGACGGTACCGGAACCTTCGGCATTACGTCCAAGAGGACCTACGGCGATCTGTAAGTCAGCTACCAGGCCAGATTCTCGCAACCTGCTCGAGTTGCAGATCGTTCCATTAAACCGCGAAAGCAATTGCACGGAAGTCATCTGCATCAAAGGAGGCATGAGGCATGAGGCATGTAGCCGCTTGAAGCAGCAGTCAAAAAACGGGATGAACATGTTCGCAGAGATCCAAAACCCTCGAGGAGAGAAGTGCCGACACTCACAGAGAGATTGCCCCCTAGCGTGAGACTCCCAGCAGACATGAAACTCGTCACTGCCGACTTGGACTATAGATCAGCTCTGATCATCTTCTTCGAAAGACATTTTGAGGAGAGAAGCGTTCACTCACATTGAGCACTATGACAAAATCCGTCACTCTGCAAAGTCAGCTCAGTGATACGAAGTCATGAAAGAGCTCACTCTGCTCCTGCTTGCCCACCAAAACCTACACCACCAAGACCGATAGCGCTAGGAGGACTCCATGCTGATTATCAGCTCTCCCGTTCATGTTCCCTCATTCGTGACTTGCTCAAGACTCCCGCACCCAAGAAGAATGTTCTTTGTCGGACAAAAGAAAGCCGACTTCCACTGTGGATGACGTATGCCTGATGATCCTATCGTCCCCTCCACTCCCGCTCGAGGGTGATGACCAGTTTGATTGAATGCGGATCACCTGAGGGACGCCCACATAGAGCACTAGGAAAAATTTGACGGGCGGATGAAGATTAGAAGGGGCTCGTTGGTGCTGCTAGATGAAAAGTCAGATAGGATCAACTCACATCCATCTTGTGTACGAGCAATAACTACCCCACTCCCCGCCCTAGCACTGAAAAGAAACCCAGCTTTGACAACAGTGAAAATCGCAAAACCTTCCGCTTTTTCAAGTACGGTATGAGGTATGACCTGATGTTTAGCGATCGTTCTCAACTCCACCAAGTGACCTTTCCGAGAATCCCGCAGGTCACAGGACTTTGTTGAGACACCATACTAAATTCGCAAGATAACGAAGTATTTTAGGTTTTTTTCTATCATAGAAGATAGATGACCAGTGGATGGGAACTCACTTTGTCCAATCCATTGTTTTGCCCATCGACGAATGAACGGACTTGATATTAGCTACCGTCTTCTGGAAACCGGCAACCAAGATATGTCGTGACTCCTTCTCCAGTTTTCCTTGATAACTCCTAGATATAGATGTAAGACTGTAAAGCATGAAGAGAGATGTCAAGAAATGATTTGACGGAAGAGGATAAAAGAGGACATACGGATCTTTGCTGCTTTCTTGGTTTCTTCAGGTAGTCGGACTATCATCAGTTTCTTCCCTTGATTCTCACATCAAAGAATTGAGAGATATGTATGTAGAACAATGTGAAAATGGAAACATACCAGGTAAAGGACTGTTGATTCCCATTTCTCCTGCTTATCTTGAACAAAGTGCGATTTGGAGTACTACACTTGATTATGAGTAAGTATATAAGAGTGTATGAAGGGTTGAAGTTGTTGAAGTAGTGGTTGGAGTGATCAAATTTATTGGGTACCTTCAGTGAACTCCCTTTTCCTTCTCGTTCTATTATGAGACTTGAAGATGAAAGTCGGTTGATCAATTCACACTCGCCACTTGGATGTGTGACACACTTATGCGAACAAGTGTCTAAAAGTGGAAAGTGAAGATTATAAATCAATATGAAATGTCTCAAGATGGTACGACCTCGGCTCCACTTTTGGTCACACTTTCGACTTTTGTCCGACCTTCGGGCCGTCTCCGTCGCCGACGGACAAGATGACAAGATGACAAGATGACAATGACGTGACGACTGACTGTCCGGTACAGTACAGGTTTATACATATGGTACGAATGAATACTATGCATAATGACTATTGAATGTCGTAAAGACCTTTCCATGATCATTTTATGATGCAACATGCAGACAATCAACTTTTACGTATAGAGTCATACTTGACATCATTTCAATCGTCCGCTTCCTCTTCATCACTTTCCTCACCTCTCAAAGCTTTCAATTCTTCTTCAGCCCAATGACCCTCTTCAATCTTTTCAGCAAACAAAGCTCCTCCTGCTTCTTTCACAGCTTCCCATGCTATCTTTCCTCCTACCGAAGTACGTTCAACCTCTTTCCTAGGATAATTAGTAACGATCCTAAAGTCTTGAGGTGGTATGAACCCTTCCGGAGGTGAATCCGGATCATCCTCTTCTCTTTGATCAGAAGGTATGAGTAAAGTTTCCGCAAATATAAACAAAGCTTCCGTCGAATCTGATGTTTCAAATTGACGCATATGTCTTTCCGCTCCTAATGGTGTACGTAAAGCAACTCGTATGGGACCGGAAGAAGTAGGTAAAAGATGTTTTCTTGCGTATCTTCTCCATATTGTCCGATTAACTTTGGCTTGTTCAGCTTCTTTCTCTAAACGAACTTCACGTTCTATCCTAAGACGTTCAGTTTCTTGAGCTTGTCGTTGAGCTAAGAGACGATCACGATCACGTTTTTCGGCTTCACGGAAATTACGATCTTGTTCTTCTCGTAAATGACGGGCTTCTTCAAGAGCCAGATGTTCTCTTCGACGACGAGAGAGGAAAGCAGAGACTCGAGGGAGGATAGAGGTGGTTAGTGCTTGGATGATGGAAGAGGCGGATGTATTGGTGGATGGAGGACCGGCGAGGGTAGAGAGGATGGATAGTCTTGGTGCAGATGATGAAGGACCTCCGGGAAGAAGGGATAGGAAAGTGAGAGTAGGGTAGGTTGTGGCTTGTAGGGTTTGAGCGACTGCTTTGTCAACCTTCCTCTTGACATATTCATCGTCATACATTCCTCTCTCACAGATGCATGCCACTCCACGTAAAGTACACGATTGCAATGATAGATGAAAGGGCATGTGGGAGGTAGTCGACGAAGGAGGACTCACCTTGATAACCTTCCCTACTTCGAATATCCGCTCCCCACACCATGATCCCATTCTCCTTCAAAGTCTTAATCAATTCCCCATCGCACAAAACATCTTTCTTGAATTCTTCATCATCTTCATGTTCCTCACAAACGAGAATGACCAAACCGACTTTACCTTGCATCCGCACCTCGGTCACAAAGTCACGATATGATATCGTCCGGAAGGAGGGTAAGGTTCCCGAAGCGACTGAGCAACTTGTCAATGTTTCGAGATCTTTGATGAAGGCTAGGGAGGTAGTGATAGGATCTTGTGGGGCGGGTTTCGAAGGTCGAGAGCGGGAAGATGGAGGACGGAGGAAACGAGGTAGTCTTGGGAGAAATGATAGAGGGATGAATGTTCGGACTATAAAAGTTCAGTTTCTTCTTCACATTGGAGCCGTCTGCACTGCCAGTTTCTTATTCAAACTCGTACATACCGAGTCCAATCATGGAACAAGTCAGGATAGGAGCTAGGAGTATGTGAAAGGAAGAGGTACAGAGTCGAGTTACGACTCACTGAAGAAATACCAAACTCCTCCTACCAAACTGGCCAAAGTGGTCAATGGCCAAGTGATCAAACCCCATAATCCCAATCCGGTTTGAGTAGATGCACTCCCACCTTGAGATCTTGAACCTGAAAGACGTCGTGCACCTCGGGGTATGTTGATATTGGTGATCCTATCATCTATCTCGAAAGGTTCGAAGGAAGGAGGTGGTGGACGAGATGGACCTGCAGGTCTTCCTGAAGTTGTTGATCCCATTGAGAAGATGAAATCTACAGTGCGCTAGGACATCAATTCAACTACATCTTGCTATTCACTAATCATCCGTCTGAGAACACTTGTGAGAGGGAGGTGTAGTTGGGACAGGGATGAAAGGAATGAAGGCTTACTTGAACATCCCAACCACTCTCTCGAAGTAATCTCTCATCCCTCTCTCTGGCAGGACCTGTATCTGAAGCTGTTATAGCCCATAGTTGTTCGAGCGACTCGCGCTGAGCTGGTGTATAAGACATGCTCGGTGATATGGATGAAGATAGCATAAAGTAGTCAGTTGTCAGCTGCACTACCTGGTCGGCCGACCGGGGTTAAGACACTTTCCCAAAGGGGCAAAAACTCGACTAAACCTTAGTCTGACTCAAAAGTCGGACCGGTCTCTTCCCCAGCTATTCAGCGACAGAGTCACCAAAGTCTCGTCTTCCTTTCTACTATATCTTTGTACGCGATACAATGTTCGTCCCAGACTAGAACTTATCATATCTTGCTTCATTTCTTGTTTTTTGTTTTCCTTAGAGGTGTATTTGTGGAGTCAATCAAATCGATAGATCGACAAGAAGCTTATCGCTATCAAATATCCAATCATCTCAATATCCTGTGCATTTCTCCATTGGGCCGGACCGAAACAATACACGAATACCTCGTTTGGAGATAGCCAAACACAAAATCACCTTTCTACCTGTGACCTGTTAGGTTGCTAGGTGCCATTGCATGCTATCTGCTTGATAGAAATTGTCACAAGATAAGAAAGCCTTTGTTACTACCCCCCCAAATCTGTTCAAGATGACAGCCAACGGATTCAAGAGTCCCGCTCCCGTTTTACCCGCTATGGGTCTACATTCTTTTCACAACGATTCGTAAGTCTCCCTCTCTATCAAACATAAAACATCCATCAAACCCCAACACTTTCCCATATCCCAAAAGTATGGATCAATCCTTTTACAAGTCAGCAAACTGATGTAACAGACCTCCTTTCGGTGCCGCCGCTACCGAACCTCACGATCCAGAATACTTCTCGCTTGACCTTCCTTCTAGAGGTCATACAACTTCTTCTTCCGCAACTTCACCATCATCAAGTATTCCTCCACCCATGCAACCTATTCATCCTACGACCGCAATGCCTATCCCACAAAGAGGTTTCAACCCTATTCTCTCCCGAGCTCCACCTTCAGACCAATCGCCAGATCACGATCAAGAACGTCATCCAGAGACGGAAGATGATAGACTTTCTTCTTCTCGTTCAAGACGTTTAGTATCTGGATACATGTTTGGAAACCCGCCTTCTCCCGTTGGACGTCGACATATACCAAGGACCGATAGAGTTCCTACGCCTCCTACTGCGGACCATGATTCACCGCCTTTATCGGAAGTAGGAGCGAATGATCCATTTCATGTCTCTTTACAAAGACAGATGGCAGCTGTGGATTTGAATGATTCTGTCGATGAAGGAGAGACAAGGTTAGATTTGATGAGACAGGTGAGTAGTAAGAGTAGAGATAGAGATACAGGTTATGATGCTTTGGCTGGGTACAATGATGGAGAAGCGGATTTGGATTTGGACGCTCCGCCACCGGATACCAGAGGGACAAAGGCGTATTTACAAGGTGCGAAGGGAGAGGCGGGAGAATATAGGTTTCCACGACATAGATTGAGGACTAAGATGAAGGGTTAGTTTTGGTTCTGTTTTCTTGTCCTTCCTATACCACCTGTGTTTCTATTTGTGAGACAATTGCGGATCCACGCTGATGTGAGACAGATGAATCCAAGATACCTCTTGTCATCGGTACGTTTCCTTTTTCTTTTCTTTACGAATTTCCATCCTTGTGATTACCTCGTCATCCATACACATATTCTCATGTGCGCGCACTCGCATTTTAAGGCTGGAGCTTTACTTGACCTGGCCTAGAACCACTAGCCCCTTCACAGGAAGTGCTTTGACGTGTGATCTTACCAAACAAAAAAGTGAACTAACCTACAGTCGCTTGTGGTTCCTTCTCCCCTCCCACCTACCTCCATCTGAGAATGTTCGAAATGGCCAAAGATGAAATCCTCGAATCTGGTACATACGAAATCATGGCCGGATATTATTCCCCCGTATCATCTTATTACAAAAAAGCCGGTCTCGCACCTGCTATACACCGTGTAAGGATGTGCGAATTAGGTGTGGAACATACTAGCACTTGGCTCATGGTAGATCCATGGGAAGCCGGTCAACCAGAGTATCAAAGGACTGCTGTGGTGTTGGAACATTTTGATGAAATGCTCAATGGGGATGGAGGTATGAGAATGAGTGATGGGAAGAAGAGAAGGTTTAAGATTATGCTTTTGGCTGGAGGTGATTTGATTGAAAGTTTTGGTGAACCGGGAGTGTGGAGTGAACCGGATGTAAGTGTCGTCTTGGACATGTCTCCACATCTTGCCTGTACTTCACAATCTTCCCGTGATACGATGGTGCATGTGACGCATCTTTTGCTTCTGAACCTACCAAACTTTTCCCTATACAAGGTCTGGTCACTTTCCTCTCCAGCGGATGAAAAGGAGCAAAATCCGGGGGGGGGGGGGGGGGGGGGGGCTCACTTCAGGTTGGGCGAAAGAGAAGAACGCAAGACTGACGTGACAGTTACATATCATCTTAGGAAGGTTCGGTTGTTTGATAGTGGAACGTGCTGGATCAGACGTTTGGGCCTTTTTGCTTTCACATGATATTTTATATCATCATCGGTGCGTAATTGTGGTTCCCTTCTACCCGCCACATCTGCTCATCTCCCACTCTCTTTGATTCGTATCCTCACACCAAGTACTCATCTCTTCACATCACTACAGGGGTATTCGGCATATTCATCTCGCTATGACATGTCGTTGGAGGGAATAAAGTGGTGCTGAAGGTCTTCGACTGAGGGAAAGTTAAAAGAGAAGATAGATGAATGACTAATCTTCAGTCGGAACGTTATTGTCATCAAACAACTCATCTACAACGATATCTCTTCTACCAAAGTTCGTCTTTTCGTACGACGTGGAATGTCCATCAAATATCTTTTACCAAATTCGGTTATTCAGTATATCTACGATAATCGTTTATATCGATTCGAGATGCCCAAAGCTGTGAAGTCTGGGTGAGGGCGAATGGGTTGTTCTCACACTCTCTTCTCTTCCACCGTGGTCCATTTCCTCCCAAGTAGCGACTACTAGACAGATTCAACAGCTGTAAAATCAATCCAATATCTGACGAGTGTCGATATGTCTCGCAGGATCATCTGTTGGGGTATTTTCATCGTGTCATCCAAATTAAATAGACGAACCAAAATAGATATTGTACAACCTGTTTATCTCTACTTTGCTACATGCCGATTATCTCGAAAACAAGTTGCATTGTACAATCATATTTATCCTCATCTAACCATTCCCTGGACGACTTAACTTTTATGAGACATGTACCAACTGATCAACATTGCTAATCCCAACATGAACAACGCTCCCAAAGCTGTACCCAACACCCAACCTAATAATCCAAAAAACATTTCCGTTCCTCCTACATCTAACTTACCTACCCTTTTATCTTTCTTCATTCCTTTCCGATATTGATTCCTAATTTCCTCAGGCATTTCATTCCAAGGAATTTGATCAGGTCTAACAACTCTATCTTTTTCCCAACCATTGATAAAAACCCATTCTCTTATCTTTTCTTCTTTAAACAATTTCAAATTATCTAAACCCCAAGCATCACAAATACTTTTCATCCATTCCATTCTTTTCTTTGATTTATCACCACCGATACCAGGTACTTTCTCCCTTAATTCTTTTCTCAAAATTCCAACACCTTCAACACTCGATTCTAATTCTTCAGGTAAACAATCCTCTATTATATCTCTAATCATAGCTCCTACTCTTGGTCCTTTTCCAGAAGTACTGACCATCACTTGTATTAAACCTTTTTTAAATTGTGCACCGAAATAAAAATCACATAAATCAGGAACGTCCGCTACGTTTATAGGTACACGATGAAATTTACACATTTCATACGTTTCTTTAGATATTATAGGATCATCGATAGCAGTTAAGACTATTGAGAAATCTTTTACTTTTATATCATCGGATTCACCTTTATATAAACGTTTTAAATATGTTATTTTGGATGGGAATGGGGATGAATTTGAAGATGATATTAATGAAGATATTTCTGATGTTATAGTTGGTGATATTAATGTTATATGTGAACCACATGAAATGAGATGGATAAGTCGGGAATGAGAAACGGGTCCTCCTCCTATAAGAAGTACGGGACGGGATTCAAGTCGGAAAGCTAAAAGAAGGGAAGAAGTAGGGGATGACTAAAAGTGTGAGTCGTGAAATTCAATTTCGATTTTCTGAAACTTAAACTATTGAGTATGAGGAGTGAAACTGAGTATAAAGTATGGACGACATGGACGTGGTGATGATGTGACTAACTTGAAAGAGCGAGGTAATGAGGAGGGTTAAAAGTGAAACGATAGTACATACCTTTTCTTCAGGTTTTTCCATGATACTTTGGCTCTCTGTGGATTGAGAGGTAGAAATAGTCTCTTCACTCATACTGCAAGCTACTTCTGACGGTTTGAAACTCCTGTAATTAGTCGAAGCGTTGAGGAAGAAAAGGGAAGATAGAGTCAAAAGGCGATGCGAGATCCGATCGACGGGATCAAACAAAAAGTTGCCAATTTCTGGAATTTCAAGTCGGTCTCGCTAAGTACTCAGTATCCCTCCCTGTCTCGCTGTACTCGGTGTCCCCCTAGGCATAAACTTTACCACTTCCTACCTCCTTGTCAATTGCTGGAGAATACTGGAAGGTACACACCATGGGTTACACTCTCGCCGTCCTTGGTGAGCCCCCCCCCCCCCCCTTCCCCCTCCGTCTTCATCCTCATTCCCACCTCCCCTTTCCCCCATGAGTCAAGTACGCCCACTACCTGTACTTGTAGCTTACTTATTCCTTCACAGCTGGTCATACACATATGACTCCATGTGTATAAAAACCATCATAGTCAAGCACTGATCCCAGGATGCGGAACGATGGGCATAGCGATCCTTTCCGGCGTTCTCACCTCCCTCGATTCTTTACCATCCCGTCCCTCAATTTCAGAAGATACAGAACCTCCTTCGGGAATATCAACACCTACAAACTCTCAATTCCTCCATGCACCCGATAATGTCCTCCCGGCAAGATTCATAGCTACCGTCGGAAGAGAAGAGACCGCCAGGAAATTACGTAAGGTATTTGGAGGTATGGGAGAGAGAGGGAAGGGTGTGGAAGTTGTTAGTGAAGGTAATGTTGGGGCTGTCAAGAAATCAGATGTGATATTAGTTTGGTATGTGACACTTCCACATCCTTCATCTTAAAATACTGCCTACTTGGAACTTATCATTTACGTGGGTTTTCTAGGCATGGGATATCTTTCTCATGGGACGCTGTCAAAGTGGGAAGCTAACGCCAAGTTCAAAACCTCAAATAGCAAAATCCATCTTATTAGAAGAAGGTATGGCGGATGCTCTTGAAGGAAAATTACTCGTTTCTATATGTGCTGGAGTCACATTATCACAATTACGTTCTTGGGTTCCAAAAAGTGTTATGGTCGTTCGTGCTATGCCAAATACCCCTTGTAAGGTGAGTAAAGTCAATCTATTATCTCCCTATATTACCTACCCCCTAATCCTTGACATTTGTTTCACCTACTCAATTTATTCTCTACCTCCTCCTTTCCTGACTTCAGCTATAATTGCGCGCTCCGGTATCTCTTCTGCTATGTCCAAATCACCTCTTTCCTATGTTAAACAAGCCTCGTTACCATATCGTCACCCGTGCCAGCACCAGCATCACATCCAATTTTGATAGTTATCGCACGTTCGGTGATCTGGCGGTCATCGGTATTGGTATAAACCAAATGAAAGACGAAAATCTAATTTATCAGATAAGAGAAGGAATGACCGTCGTCACACCCGTTTCCGACCCTCACAACCGGGCACTCATCTTAGCCATCTTCACTTCCTGTGGGAGATGTAGATTCTTAGATGAAAAACATTTCGACGCTTGTACTGCTTTAGCGGGATCAGGACCTGCTTTCGTTGCTTTGGTTCTGGAGGCGATGGCTGATGGAGGGGTCATGATGGGTTTACCCAGAGTAGAGGCATTGGAGCTCGCTGCGCAAAGTGAGTTGATTCAGTGATCTGTTTCTTTGTTATCATCCTCGACAAATCCTTCTTTACTTTCGGTTGTAATATATCCCGACCTCATCTAATCCTTCCAATCATACTTGGCCGTTTCTCTTTCCTTCCTCCTCCACTACTCATCATAAACTTTTTCTGGAAAGGATCTATTTCCTCCACTTGTGACTTCCTTAACGCCAATCAACCTTCCATCTCATACCAGTGTCGATATTGGTATCGGTATTGTACGTCTCATGTGTTTGTTATAGTGAAATCATCGAGCTTACCCAACAGCGATCCAAGGTACAGGTCGAATGGCACTTTACGGTGGTCTTCATCCTGCCCAATTGAAAGATAGCGTCACGAGTGAGTTTCTAATCCACCTTCTATCCTTCATTCCATATACCCTGAAGACCGGCACATGTGGACAATGTGAGGAGCAGAGAGGATTGTGACACTTTGTGATTAGGGAGGATTCTTTTGGACATGCAAGATACATATTATCACATACTTGAGACACTTGCTAATGTCCAGCTCCTGGAGGTTGCACCATAGCTGGATTACTCACTTTGGAAGATGGAAGAGTGAGGTCTACTATGGCACGGGCAATACAGGTAGCTACGAATCAGTGAGCCCATTCCTACCTTATCATTCTCCCCACCCGTTTCTCATCCTATGAGTAGTGTCGATCTTTATTATGAATATAGGACACAGTTGATATCAGTGCTGCTGGTCTTGGACAAGAAAATAAATGATCTCGTACATATCACATATCATGCATCTATCTATTTTTGACCTACTGGATTCCGATGACCACTCTCAACAATTGATGACACCCTCATGTAATTCCACGTGGAACGGCTCACTGGTTGAGACATCTCCCAGCAGCATGCAACAGCAAAGACGAGACACTTCTAAGGTGTACATGAGATTCATGAGGATTCCATTTACATATTTATGACATGGGAGACGTATGCTGTGTGGTCGAGTCTGTTATGCTATACTTTGAGAAACCTATATCTTCCTTCCTGTCATCCTTCCTTGCATGTCCATCTAAACTTCAAACCCTTCATCCTGCGTGGCCCTTCTCTATTTGTTTTTTCACTTTCCTTTCTTGCTCTATCGCTCCCAGAATTCTTCCGTTGCCATGTGATCCATTTCTACTTCCAATCGCTCATAAACTTTTCCAATCACCCACCTTGCCATCTAACCCACGTGGTCTACCCCTCTCCCTCGTTGTACCCGTACTCCGTCTATCCCATCTCCATCTTTCTCTATACTCCTTAATGGCATGGACAACTTGAGCCCCCTGTGCACTTCCTGACTAGTCCTTGACGATGCTCCTTCAGTCATGAAATTACTACCTCTAGCCATAGTCATCTCCTAGCAAACTCGCTTGCCGTCAATTCTAACTCGAACGTCGTCCTGAACGCTTTGGTGGGTACGATGATCTTATCCTTCTTCCCCAACCCTTTTTGTCCCATACCAGCATGAGGCACCTCATTTCTCAACACCGCCCTAGCTAATCCTTGTGATTTTGGCAATATCCCCTGTCCTAGAGGAAGAGCGGTGTTGGTATGTAAAGGAGTCATCGGTAAGAATGCCCTCTGAGAAGTTCTACGAGGTATGTTCGGTCTAGAGTAAGGATGTTGAGTGACATTATGAGGATGTTGAGTTGGATTAGTAGATTCCAACCGACCAGATGAAGGTAAAGGTTGAGTACGAGTGGGTTTTGGTGATACTGGTGGTGTCCAAGGACCATCGAAATTAGGTAGATCGGTCACTTCGTTTTTCTCCGAGTTATCGAGGTTGACATTATCGTCGGAGGACTCGGGGACGTCTTCGCTGGAAGTGGGTGAAGGAGCGTCCGAGTCAAGGTCGGAAGAGGTGAAAGAGGATGAAGCTATACGAGAGAGAGGCTGGGATGTCGGGGATGTGGGGTGAGAAGTAGGAGGTGTGGGTAGATGGTGGGTTGAGGAATGGTACATGTTGAATTTTACGTGGGTGTGTCGTGGGTCACAAAAATGAAGTAGAAGGGGAATTAGAGGATCACTTTAAGTAGTGAGCGGTGTAAGGGGTATGAAAGGAGATTTATCGCAAGATTGTTGCAAGAAGAGAGTCGACTGTAGGCAGTCGAGTGCCGTATGACGGTGAAAGTGTTTATACTGAAGGTAAGCAGAGGATGAAGATGTGTAACGGAGAGAACTCACTTTTGTATTGCTGAGGTCAAGGGTCAAGAAGGAGAGACGGTTTTTGTGGGGAAGGGGCGTGCGTATCAGGGTTACTAGGTGAAAAATTCAGTGGGGAGGAAGGATGAAGGGAGAAGATCCCCACAAGGCCACCAGTGCAAGATCTCAAAAAGAGGGTGATGTGTCAAAGATTGGTATGATGGGCTAGCTTGGGGTATAAGGGTATCTCCTCCTGTGTGAGCATAAGCTGGGAGGTAGAAAAGAAGGAAGATCTGTGTTGAGCATTCCACAACTAAGTTTTAGTCCTTACTGACCGACGTCCGTTTCTCCCCAACGAAAAGTACGACCACGTGGCTGGTAAACCTTAAATCGGTCAGCTGATACCCGATCGCCCGATCCTCTCCGATACAATCCAGTGCTCATGCTACATGCTACATGTTACTGACACATCTCAACCTCTCTGTCTCCATCCGTGAAGCAATCGGACTCACACTCCTCCCTTGGTGCTCAGTCTGATCAGTCATGCCACTCAGACGTCAGGTAGCCACCCCATTGACCAGTGGCCAACGGCAACGGAGGAGAACTCAAAAACGATACACCTTTGACACATCTTCCCCTTCTCCGCTAACGCCTTCTCACATCTCACGCCTGAACGCCTGACTGCTGATCACTTCCCCTCTCCCTCCTCCTCCGTATTCACCTCTTCTAAAGGAACCCCTACACTCTGGGCATTGCTGATCTCCCATCCTTACTGAAGAAAGGATGGTATGGACTCACAGGACCTCAAAGAAGTACGGACCCCAAAGAAACCCTGGGCCGAATAAGGGGGAGAAAGGGAGTCATATGTGTATTTTTCCCATGCTCGGACTGTCTACGGACAAGGGAGGATAGCAAGCTAAAGGATATCTTGGACGAGGGTGAGTATGGTGGATAGAGTGTGGGTATGGAAAGGGACTATCACAGATGACCTTTGTCTAAATGCTTTCTACTCTCGGGCTCCCTTACCCCTCCCACTCTTCTGGTCATCTTGACATTCCCTTCTCATTGACGCCTTTTACCTTCTTGTGATCATTTTGTTTCTCGTTCTTCATCTTATCTCTCAAAAAGTCGAAATACTTCAGATTGTGGTGAAGAGAAAAACTTCTAGTGGGCAAGATCACCAAGTGTACTCACTAATATTGGAATATGCCAGTCGTCAAGATGCCACCGAGTCGAAGAGATCTGTTGGTTAGGGATCAAGCTGCTCAATCTTCCATGACCACTACCTCATTCTTCATACCCGACAAGTGAGTGAACTTCTCGGATGATAGACGAAGTTGAGTATTGATAAATAGCTCACCCATGATTTCGTACGCTTCAGCAGATGGCACATCCCCTTGGACAGCTGGCTATGCTAGACAAAGTGATGGGTATGATGAGACTTTACATCTCACCACTAGTTCGAATGCTCAAGTTTCTTTCAACGTATCCGGTAAGTTGTCGCTCATTTCATTTGAATTCTCTCAAAAATTCCTTCTATCTAGACCAAAGCACTGCTCCATCTGTGATTTTGACCCACAAAGGAGTTCTGCCGGCTCACAGACAGCCTCATCACTCACTTTCCTCGTTCCTCAATTCGACGGATGTTCAGCCACTGTATCCATCAACTCATCCACACCCGTCACTGCCTGTTCCACCCTTTCCTCGACCAACAGCACCATCCCTTTCTCCCTCTACAACCTCCCCGATGGTATCCATCGTGTCAATTGGAACACTAATGTGATACCTCCTGAACAGAATGTCATTTTCTGGGGACTGGATGGGGTCAGAGAGGTGGAAGGGACAGCTACCAATGTCACTATCGATGATAGTTACGCCGCTGGAGGACCGGTCCACGTTGGGTATGAAGGTACTTGGTCTTCAGTGTCGAGCTCTAGCAGTTCGGCATTGAGCGAGCAATCGGAAGTGTCTACATTCTTCAACAAGACGGTAGCCATCACTCAGAGTTCTGGTTCCACATTGACCTTCTCCGGTCAAGGTGAGTTGTCTCTCAAATTTGATTGTCATCGCTGACGAAGAGGTTCCGCGATCTACCTATACGGACCAGTGGGTCCTGATTACGGTTCGGCATCCATCACACTCAATGGTGATGTAGTTGCAGGACATCTCAACTTGACCGTCAGTCACTAATATTTGCATGTGAACGTCATTGACATGCAGTCTCCTTGGGCTTTGTCATACGAATTATTATGGTTCCAAACAGGTCTAGACGACACCGTCCCCACTAATTTAAGCATGACTTCTCTCTCCTCTGCGAAAATGGGTTTAGATTTTATACTTCTCTCTGCCAGTGCCGATGCTTTATCCCAATTGTGAGACATCCCCTTTGACTTTTTGTATTTGATGCTGATGACAGACATGTGGACGCATCCACACCTTTCCAATCGACTCCGGGAGGGAAAGCAGTCCTATACGGTGTCGTTCCATTCACTGCCGTCGCCTTGATAGCATTCCTCACTTGTTATTTCCTTCGACGTCGTCGACCATCTCGTCGTCATTCCTCCACCACACAAACCATGTCTCTTCGTCCTGATCAAATCGGTTCATGGGAGAAACGTGGTACAGTCTATTCTACCAGCTCTTCTCCCAGCCAAGAAGATATGAACGTTTTCGTCTCTTATGAAGCTGGAAAAGGACAACGTCTCTCCGACCGATGGAACGATGGTGTTAGTCCTAAATCTCCCCGTAGTGCGAGAAGTGGACGAGATGGATCTATTCGAAGTGATACCACAACACCTCGTGCTTCACCTTATCCACGCGGAGGAGGTTTAGGTCCATTACAACCTGTAGCGGAAAGTTCTCAAATCTCCCCTGAACTCTCAAGTGGAGAAAGCGCCGCCAGTTGGATCCGACCATTCCATTCGATCTTAGGAAGTAACTATGCTCGTTCTTCCAGACGTGTTACCGCTCTTCCCGCTTATACATTGGAATCAAGTTCAGAGAGTGAATCCCATGGTACACATACCGCTCATAATGATACTTCAACATATCAAAGTGCCGAAGCTGAAAAAGCTATCTTAGCTCGTGAATTCGATACTACCGATACTGAACGAAACACTCCATCTCCATATAGTCACCCGGCTGGACCTTCTTCTCTCCCTATCGATAATGAACCTATAAATAAACCATCAGCGAAAGATCAACTTTTGTCAAGGGTACAATCACTTCGTGAAGGTCATCTTTCAACTCTCGCACCTTCATCAATCATGAGTGTGTTTGGTGCTCCACCATCACTTCGAAGATCATCAACGATTACAGCTATCACTACCGTCACTTCAGAAGTTGAAAGAGCGAGACCTACCATCGTGACGGATTTATCAAGAGTTCAACCTGCTAGACCTTCCGCTCCTACACCTTCAAGAACAGGAATGGATTTACCAAACAGTGGAAGATTAATAGATTTAACACCTTCAAGTATGAGAAGTAGTACTTTCAGTTCGGCTTCATCACCTGGATCGGCGTTGAGAGCTTGGGTAGCTTTACCACCAACAGCATTCACTTTTGCTCAGAAGGGAAGGATTAGAACACAGAGTACAGTTACGGCAGGGAGTGAGGTCAGTGCCGCTAGACCGGATTCAGATGTGATACCACATGATGCGAGTCCTGTGGTGGGGAGGAAAGGTGGATTTGCGGGATGAAGACTTGTTGGAGGTTTGATTCTTTGTGGTATTATACAAGTGAGATAGCTTGAGGGGGATAATCATACGAGATAGGGAATCTGGGTCAATTCTTGTTGTTGTTGAGTATCATGCACCAGATGCTATGCTCCTTTATCTTTTCCCCACGTCACTTACAATGACATAATCGTTTCAAAGCTGACACCCTCACCTGCCCAGGTGATCTCACATCGAGAAGGGGTTTCAAAGCGGTGATGGAAAATGGTCATAATGTGTAGTTACAAAGGATCGTCACACCTGTACATACTCCGATTTTCTGCTTTCGAGATGAGATATCAATTCCGTCTCTTACTCCGATTCACCCTCTCAACATATCGTTCCTCCATATCACACAATACAAACCACTTATCAAAATATCTTCATCTTCGTCTTATCGATCTCTATCTATAACCTTCAAACTTCAGTAATTTCGATTGAAGATGACTCAATTCAATCCCCGCAGTGGTCAAATATCACTGTTACACTCATTGAACGAACCTGACACTCTGAGGCTGAGCGGATCATCAAAGAGAAGAACTCCCAGAAGATCCAGTCCTACCCGCTCATCCAATACAAACACCCGGGCAACTCAAAATCGTCATTCGCACTCTGGAAGACCACAACTTGCGCGGAGCGACGATGAGAGCTTGATAGACTCATTGAGAGAAAAAAGAACAATCAGATGGGCTGATGAGAAGGAAAGTCTTTCTGAAGTTCCAGCCACGACCAATACATCTAGTGAATCCACTTTGAACGGAAGAAGTATTAACGGTTCAACTTCGAATTGGTTGACAAAGTCAGATTTCAGGAGTAGGGATGAGACCAGGGGTAGAAGGATGTTTAGAGAGAGAAGTGCGTTCAATAGTGGAACGGCGACCAATGAGAATTCCCTAATTGGTAGATTAGGGTTGGGGATTGTGGAGGAAGAAAATGAGGAAGAAAATGAGGCTGCAAATGAGGCTGAAGGGGAATCGAGGTCGGAAAGAAGTAGAGAATTTTTGGGAGAAACGTATCTGGAGACTTTGAAATAGGGTTGGATTTGCTCTGATTAAATATCTCATCTCGACTGAGGTGAGGTACAGTAGAAAGAGGCAAGGAAAGTAGTATTCGCAGGTGAGACGGTTTATGTAGAGAAAAGATACATATTCCCTCGATATGAAAATGTTCAACCAAATATGACAAGCAGCAGTAAGATACTGTATGTTTCACACCTGTAGTAGAGAATAGACATGATCATAAAAGATTCGATGGAGAAGTGGAAAGGTGAGTCATACGAGAAGTTAAGAGTTCGAGAAACGATGATATAAAAGGTGATAAGTTGGTTGTGAAGGAATTAAACAAGGTGTATCACTTAATCCTCAGAATAAAGCCATTCTTCCACTTGAACCTTTATCCGTTGACTAATACTCTCCCAATTGTCCAAAGCAGGTCTAACATCCAATGAAAAAACGGGATTACCATCGGGATCGGGAGGAGCCGAGTAATAATCGATCACATAACGAGTGGTGATTTGGGTTTCTTTTGTTGGATCTTGGTCTGTAGTGGTGGTGGGTGGAGATCGGGTGACGATCCAATCATGTCTGTCAAAAGGGGGTGTTGAGCTGTATGTCAGTGAGATATCTTGATTTCTGATTCTTTTGATTTCTCCCTGATCGTCAAGCTTTCTCGACTTTGCCCGTGTTCTACCATCACATTATTTGTATCATTATCATTTCATTGAGGGCCTGGGTAAGACATATTTTCGTTCAATCCTTCGCGTCCGAAGCCTTATCTACTGCTCGTGTAGACTCCCCGATCAGAATGTGAAAGCAGGGAGGTAGAGAGGCCGGAAGAAAGTATATTGTCAGATTGAAGGAGAGTATGAACGAAAGTACAAGACTCACCTAAACCTCGAAGGGAAGATCTGAGATAACCACAGATGCATCCTTGCTTTCGGACTGAGATCTCCAGGACGACCTTCGAACCTTGCCAATTGGGCATTACCTCCTCTATTAGATCAGCTTAGTCATTCTTAAATCCAATTCCTCTTCCATGTTCTAAACCTACCATCTCCGCACCCCAACAACATTCCAAGACGGAAATCCAACCACCTCCAATGAATCAGGGAGCATATCATTCATTGATTGAAGTAGAAATACGAAGACTTACCCAGGTAATCTCTTCTCCCACCTCATAACCTCTTCCCACGCTTTCTCATTCAACCAATTATGTATCTCGACCATTACCTCCACACTATCCTCAGGGGTCGCCCATCCTTTTCTGACTAAAGCATTGTAGAACTGTTGAGGACTGGGATAATCCCATACGGGTCCTTCTCCATACCCTTCCACATGCGCATCGGACGGTCGAGGGATGGTCGATGCCGTTCTGTCTGTTGGTAAATGAACCGCTTGACCAGGCTGAGGTTGGTGAGACAGATCGAGGGGCATGTTGTTCAATGGGTTAAGGGTGGTTTTGTCATGTTGGACCGGACATCTGGCTTGGGGGGCTGCATTGTGTGGGACTGGACATCGGGCGGGTGAGGTGGAAGAAGATCCAGAAGGGTGGACTGGACATTGGGCCGGGGAGAGGGATGACGATGGGATCGGGGGATGATTAGGAGGCAAAGAGCTGGATTCCGGGAGAAAGGATGAGGAGGAGGATGAGATACTACCGATGTTCCACTTCATATTCGAAGAGATGGGAGGGATCGACTGCTGATAAAAAGTCAAATGTTAGTGGAGAAAAGCCCAAGGAAGGGTTTTTGCGCTGACGAAATTCCCGGGGCGTTCCGAAATCGAATATGGTCGTCGCGCCTTCGAATCCGACCGGTGTCACTGAGCGTACAACCGATTGATGCATGCGCACGGAACCGCTGGGTAGAATTTCATCAGAGACTGCCATGTTGTGGACTGCACTTACATCACAGGACCAAATGTCTGCCGTCGCTACTGCGGCCGGATGCCTACCGCCCAGCCACTGCTACCATGAAAGCAAATCGTCCCCAGGCTACCTCCACGATCGAAGCACTGTCATCGGCTGTGTAGCAGAGGAGGGCGTGGAAGTCCCTCTCCCCTTGCAGTAGAAGAACACTTCAGTTAAGCCCTGGTGACCCACGATACGAGCAGAGCCCCCGCAACGGACTGTTCACTAGCTTCCAATCGAAGAGTGGATCAGCGAAAGGAATTTGAGAAAGAAGACGATCCCGGGGTGAGCTTCACGTCCTACACTGCCTCCACAATGCCCCCTGACACCCTGACACCAAGCGGCGGCTTAGCTATGCCACAAGGGCCACCTAAGCAAGTCGTTGTTCGACCCGCTGTCTACAAAAACCCTTTTCAAAAAGGGAATTCTCCGGGAGAGGTTTGAACTCTCGACCCTCAAGAAACGAAAAAGCCGCCGCATAAGCTTGAAGCTCTAAACCACTGAGCTACCAGAGAATTTGGTAAGTTTCGGGGCTGTTTGTTTTGCTTATATACTCATATCTTGTCAAATGATGATGTCACATCGCATTCCAAGTATACAACGGCTTCGGTACGCCTATGTCTTCCCCAATATCGAACATGTCAGTGTGCGGGGAGCACGAAGTGTAGGTCCACACTAAGATGGCTTCGGCTGACATCTTAGACCTCTGCCACCCCATTCGGATCATGTCACCACCGAAGCTACGACCACAGCTACCCCTGTGCGATACCCCCCCTACACCCCTCCGCCAGATGTGATCTATCCCCCTGACAGCGTTCCTAACCCTCACGTAGGGGTCATGGACGAGCAGCCCGTATACGACCCGTTTCCAGCTGGTTCACTATACCGACCTCGTCTTATCCCGCATGACATGGATGAGAGGATAGACAAACGCAGTGTATGGATAGCAGTGGACAAAAGCGGTCAGTGCTCAACTCGCAACTCGCCTGTCACATTCCAACATGGCTCAAGTTAATCCAAAGCAACTGTCAACGTCTGTGTGAGAAGGACATGTAATCTGTGACAGATCATTGCTTATCCACAGACCATGCTGTCTACTTCTTACTTCCCTCTTGTCTCCGTTGCAGTTCTCCCAGCATTGCCCAACTATGTGACCGTTCCCGACCCCATTGTGGTCGTTGTGCAGGTAAAAACATACCTTGCGAATATGGTACTTATTGGAGTTTGATGAAATTACGTTCTTCCCTACCTGTGAAAAAAAGGAAATCAGAGATCAAACCTTCCAAACTTCAACAAGTCACTACCCCAGATCCTCATGAAGAACCTTCACCTCCAATACTGGAGACGGAATTGGTTACCGAAACTGTCGTAACGGAGAATCGTTCCACCAAAGTCCGTAAGAAAGCACGTCGATTATCGGAAAGTCCTTCGCCACCTCCGACTATACCTACGAATAGTGTATACCTGAAACGTCAAATCCGTCCAATTGTTCCTAAATTACACGACGATGAGGGAGACCCGGAAGCTTATGCTAAGCGGGTTCGAGTCAACGCGACTAAACCCCCATTACGAACCAGAGGAGAATGTCCCGTCTGGGCTGAAACATGGGAGGATCTCAATGGAATAGCTCACTTTGCGGAGCTGGTCAGGACAGAAGGTGGAAGGATTTCCATTGCAAGAGGTGGAATGGCTAGAGGTGTTGTTCTTAGTGGTCAAGCTCCAGGTTTACATGGTTGGTGGAGTGTGGAGGAAAAGGTGGGATCGGTGGTCGTGAGCTTGTGAGTGTGGTATCAAATGACATTGTCTGACCTCAGGGGTCAATCAAGGAAGCCATATGCAAAGGATCAGGAGGGTGAAGAATCAGGGGAGATAGAAGCTTTGTTGAAAGCTCATCGGGCGAGATCTCCACTGGCTTTAGCCGTTAGTCATGATTATTCGGCGATACCGGTGCATATTCCAAAACCTATCATCGTTCTAGGATGGTTCTGGGTGACAGATGCATGGGTGAGTGATACTGCATTCTTACGCTCGTAACCTTGATATCGGCCTCAAATCAAAACCATAATAAAGCCGGGAAGAGACAGTTCTCAAGCTGACATCCAGCTTGAACCGGAGTTCAACAACTTTACACCTACGTCTACTAAGTCAGCCCAAGCGGAAGATGTAATGAGGAAAGTGCGATGGAAGATTCACTTCGAATACTGTGCGGGACAATCTCTTCCTTGGTGGACTACGATCTTTCCAGTGTCACTTCCAATTCCCACCGATAATGGCTTGTGGTCAACATCTGACGTAGGCCTCTTCGGATCTCAAACAGTCGTGCGATCTCCTCCTGTCAGGGTCAGTGGAGTAGCCACCATAGCTCAACTGCTAAATCCTATCGACGACACCCCTCCCAATGCTCCGCCTTCCGCTTGCACCCGTCAAGGACGTGCACGTCTGAAAGAAGAAGCTGAAAAAGCGACTCATCGATGTGAGACATGCAATTCGACCACTCGGAGGGTATATGAGCATGCTGAGATGTGTCTAAATGAAAGTTGTCCTGAAATTTTCAAAGATGTATCTCACAGTAATCGTAAGTATATTTGTATGTCTACTGGGTTCTGGCTGACAGATTAGAGCTAGGACCACCTGACAATGTTCCAGCGAGGGTCAGGGCAGAAACTCGTTTAGACCCACTTAACCTTCGCCTAGACTTTCGTACTAAAGTTTCGGATGTGGGTTATGTGGTGAGAGAGACAGCAGGAAAAGAATATTGGGCACCTTCTTTATGTGCAGGATGTGGGAGAGCCAACTCTACTGTTGATACTCTTCAACCCGAGTGTGGAGTATGTGGTGTGAGTGCTCTTTTACACAAGCTCTTTGAACCCAGCAGGTCGCTTCAGCTAAGCATGATGACGGGTGATCGACGAGGAAGGGAAGCGTCTGACGAATAGGAACAAGTTCGAAGACATAAAAAAGTATGGTCCGCTGCTGAACTTCGAGCGCCCATGAGACCCATCTGTACGGGTCAGAGGCAGGACTCCGGATTTCCAACCTGGCCTACGAAGTGACGCGGGATGTCCCAGTGGAAGTGAGTTCAAGTTTCTACTTCTTTGCGTTAACGTTGGTCTGAGCACACGCAGAATACCCCACTTTGTGGCCAAAAATACTTGTGAAACGTATCAAGACATCAAATTTAATCGACCCGTGATATGTTAAGTGTGGACAATATACAATAATAACACGGGCACTTCCCTCCCTCTCTGTGAAATAACAAGAATCAACATAAAAGTGCATGGATTGGAATCGTTCGACATAAGCTATATACAGCATTGACCTGTAATCATCAATATTTCACTATACTCGTACTGATCAAGCCCCAGAAGTCTGCGTGATGCAGCATGTATGATTCGCCAGGCTAGCTGACCGGCAGTTGTGCCTACAGGCGAAAGTCCTAAAGTGAAATGCGCTATTCTCCTCCCACTGCACTACTTTGCCGCGGAGTGTCTTCCAGCACTTTCCTCTCTTGACTCTCCGTCTCTCTTCTGATGATCCTCTCCTCCTCCGGATTTATCCTAAGGGGCGGGAGGGTTATCCCCGAGCTCATGTCGTTCTTGGGGTGCGGACTGTTCAGTAATGCTCCTTGGATGGACATTTTCAGAGAATTACCCCTGCCCAACAGATGGGGAAACATCTCTGGCGGAGTGAGCTTATTGGTCCTGGGCAGGGGTATGGTACGACGATCGGGTGTGAGAGCTGGCGAAGGTAATCCCTGAATTGTGGGATGCACCATTTCTGGTGATGGTCGACGAGGACCTGGCAGCTGATGAATAGGATGTTGTGGAGGTTCGAATGGTCCCAACTCTCTTCCTCGTTGAGTGACAAAGGCAGGTAGGAGTTGCCTGACTCGTGGGTCATAGTAAGCTCCTTGATGAGGCATCGGAGGACGAATCTGAGGTTGGTAAACTTGATGAAGCTGATGAACATGAGGTGGAGGACGAGGATAATTGGCGTAAGGGTGAAAGAAGGGATGAGCACCAAAAGCAGGACTCATATGGGAACTACGAGACGAAGCCATGCTGGGACATGGACTGACGCTACGGGTGGAAGGGATCGACGGATTAGGGGATTGAGCTCCGTAGAAGGATCGAGGGTCGATAGGAGGTGAGAAATAACGTCTTCCATCGAAAGGTGCAGAAGATGTTGAAGAAGTCGAATCACTACGAGCTCGTCCAATACTACCATCAGGGGAACACAGAGTTGAACGTCTCGTGGTGCGTCTCCGGACTGGACCGAGGGAGTTGGAACGTTCCAAAATGTCACATCGATCTGAACGGTCACCAAACTCGGAACTTGTCCCAGAATCAGAACGATCCGAGCGATCAGGTCGAGAGTCCAGATCTGGCCAGATACCAGGAGGTATTTGTAGACTTGCCAAATGATACAATTCATGTGGTCCAGGTAACGGTTTGTCCGCTTCTCCCTGAGGGTTGTGCTTCGACGAGTAGGCTACGATGTGGAAGTTGCTTTGCCTAGAAGTGTGTGGGTCGGTCATTGTTGCCGTATAGGTTTGTTTGAGAAGGGGTTCGGCTATAGTGAGATATGGATGAGATGTGGAATGAGGAGGAGAGTCGGATGACATTCGTATCGGTGGTAAAGAGTCGGACGACCTATCAGGTGAGCATACCTCTAGCGTGAAGAATGAATCGAAAACTTACTCTGTGTAGATGAGAAATCCACCACTGCCTACCCTACTAGCTCCCCATCGTCTTCCATCGGTCCACCGACGCATATTTGTTTCCTCTGGTCATCAGGATCGAAGCCAAGAGCGGTCACCCATATCGAAAGAGAATGAAGATAAGAACATTCTCACTCACGTTCTTCCCAAACCCACACAGTACCCGGTCCGATCAACATCCTCTCATGACTTGTCAAACGTCTCGTTACCCTGGGTACCAGACCTTGACGGGCAGCCTCGAGTATCATGATCCTCCTAATCAGCATGCATACTTGGATCAAAAGAGGACTTACGCATCCCCTGGGGTCTTAAGAGCACAGATGGCGGCTGGTTGTTGAGCAGCAGAAGGGAGAAAGTGGGACATTACTACTTCGTATCAATCGTGAGGAGAATCAAAGTGCGGTCTTATATGAGGAATGAGGAAGGTAGCGCCGTTATGAGTCGTTGCTGGTCGTGGGTCGTCAAAGTTGAGATCTCAGAGAAAAGAGAGGTCGAGAAGTGGATGAAGGTTATAGAATTGCTAAATTGATTCAAGTGGGTTGCGGAGGTAGAAAAGTGTCGAAAAAGACTGCGGGAGTGACATAGTGGGAGGGAGACCATGCATGCCGTTGACAATCGTGCGTCACCAGAGGGTGAGAAGGAGTTTTCGGCGGGTGCTCATGCTTGAATGATGACGGTTATCTATCGTAACTTTCCCGCTATTGAGCATGTCAACGTCACCCGCTGGCCACTGGGAAGTATGATGACGTATGGTCATTGATGTCAAGCTTACCAGGTCGATCGTCAATTGTCATCTTACCTTGAAGCTCAGATGATTGAAGGGGATTCCTCGATAGAGTGGTGTATGTGAACGGCGGCCGCGGGTGCTAAAGAGTGATATCACGGCATGGTGATCGTTGCGAAGGTTCTATAAGGTAGCGTCTGATTGATGGTTGCATATGCTTGTTACCGGCTAGCTTGCTAGTTTGGTAAGCACGTAAGGAGGTCACTGCGGGACTTAAGTCTGCGGGTGAGAAGCTTTGCTCAAAAGGTTCACATGCTTGGGCAGGAGACTCGGATGATAGACATAGCCTCACACCCGGACAAAGGCCTTCCTTTCTGTTATACTTACTGATATACTGGCTGACCCAAAATAATATACAATACTGCAGTGAGGCTTCCTTGTTTCCTGATGATACTATCATCTTGGTGGATGCAAAGCGCGGTCAAACCGCCACGCTCAAAGTGCCACATTCCTTCCGGATCACCTATGCACGATCCCCACCTCTACTACTGTAAGTTATCTTTCGACTGTTTGACTCTGACCATGATGCTGGAAACACTGACATGAGAGTATCATATGGTCTTGAACCATCCCGAGAGAGAGCTACAAATACTTCATGACTTCCTCCGGCATCCGTCAACGCCAACGAGTGAGGTCAAACTTCCGCTCGGGTGGATGAGCTGACTTCCAGTCGAATCTCAACATGCTCCCACCTCCCAGAGGCGACCGTCTCGCAGCGACCTTGGACTCTCATGACACTCCCTCCATAACGAACTTTACAGTCGGTATCCCTGACTCTGTCTCTCGACCGGGACATGAGCTTCACACCAACCCCTCTCGTTGGCGGACCAAGGAGTTCATCTTTTACGCCATGATGTTCGTCCTGGTCGTACCGGTCATGATCTGGATTCCAATCCGACTCAGCTCCCGTCAGCCACTATCTTCCTCTTGTTATCTCACGCTGACACCATAGCCACCAACCCGAACTATCCACTATACGCGCGACGGTTGTCCAAAGGATGGCTCTTCGGTCGGCCCGTCGTGCGTATTTTCAGGAGCACTGAATTCTTAGTTGACGAACAGGACATGAGTGACCGACAATACTCCTCGTTTCGTAACAACCTCTTCCCTCTACTCCTCCTCAGCTCTGTGCACTGTGGCTGTTCATTCATACAAAAACAGCTAGCAGCCTCGCCTCAAGCTCGAGCTCGATTCATCGCAATCTTCTCCATTTGTATGCTTGTCGTTCTCCACGGTGTTTCGGCCTTGAAAATCCTCACTATCTTATCCCTCAACTTTGCTGCAGCAAAATCACCCAAATCTGCCATCGTGACCAAGACCTGGCCGGCGGTGTTGTTTATGGTCAACATGGGCGTACTCTTTCTCAACGAGCGGTTCGACGGGTACAAGCTAGGAGAGCTGCATGCCATGTTTGATCCTCTAGTCAGTCGTCTGTCTTCAAAAGAGGATGGCTAATGATGGTAGTAGGACACTTTAGGGGGTATACTTCCACGATGGCATATCAGCTTCAATATCACAATGCTGCGCATCATATCATTTGCCATGGACTATCATTGGCGCAACACGGTCACCCCGTCCCAGGTCGGTATTCATTTGACTTGTTTCACTTGAGGCTGACAAGAAGATTGCCATGGACCATCGAATCAGAGTGAAGACCCCTCTTCCCCATGATCAGTATACTTTCATTAATTTCCTGGCATATAGCTTGTATCCCCCACTTTACATCGCGGGGCCAATCATGACATTCAATGACTTTATGCACCAGGTTCGTCATCTTTCGATCTGGAATATTCAATACTGACCGCGTAGCTGCATAAAACAGTTGCAATATCGACCCGAGAGAAGGTTTTGTATTCCATCCGCTTCATTTTCTGTCTTCTTACAATGGAGTCAATCCTTCACACCATGTATGTTGTAGCTATCAAAGATTCGAAGGCCTGGGAGGGGGATTCTCCGGCAGAGCTAAGTATGATTGGGGTCTGGAATCTGTTGATTGTGTGGCTCAAAGTGAGTGGCTCGCCCAAATAATTGTGCATGCTGATAAGGTAGCTTCTCATTCCGTGGAGATTCTTTCGGCTTTGGGCCTTGTTGGATGGCGTCGACCCGCCTGAGAACATGGTGAGATGTATGGCCAACAATTACTCGACATTGGGGTTTTGGAAAAGCTGGCATAGGAGCTATAACCTATGGGTCGTAAGGTGTGTGCTAGCCTCTCGTGCAGACCATTCCCGCTTCCTGTGACGAAGCAGCTAAGTACTCCTTCATCGAGAGACTGAAGCATTCATCAATGCGATGCTGACTCTCGAAGATACTTGTACATTCCCTTGGGCGGTGCGAAGCGCCGATGGCTATCGACACTGGTTGTCTTCACCTTTGTCGCCCTCTGGCATGATCTGTCAATGAAGCTATTGGCATGGGGCTGGCTTGTCAGCCTCTTCATTCTGCCTGAAATCTTAGCCAGTTTCCTTTTACCAGCTTCCAAAGTGAGTCAACCCATACTTCCTCACTCTTACTGCGCATTTAGCTCACAACGAATGGCTGACTGGCAGTTTGGCGATGCGTGGTGGTACCGCCATCTATGCGCCTCGGGGGGTGTCGTCAACATGCTTTTGATGACGTCTGCAAATCTGGTTGGCTTCGTTCTGGGCTTGGACGGGATGCGCTACTTCCTCTATCAATTGACCTCTTCTTGGGCAGGTAGGTACCATACTCCTGTCGCTCTATCTCGTACACGCCTTGCCTATTCTCCGCCGCCTTACAATTCCGAATCTTGGTTGACCAAAGCAGGCCTCACTTTTATGCTTTTCGCATGCTTGTGTCTTTTCGTCGCCGTACAAGTCATGTTCGAATACCGTGAAGAAGAACACCGGCAAGGCCTGGATCGTAAATGTTAAACGCCTTCGATATCCTTGGTTCTCGTAACCCACCACCTTCCACTCATCTCTACTTGCCTCGTTTACTCTCTCGTATATCCTCTGCAAGATTTACTCGGACACCGGACACCGCACCGAGGCTAACGACGACGAAATATCCTTCTCGACCAGCTCGCGTGATCAGCGCATTCTTTTACAGCCTTCTGACATGTCGCACACCTCGCATGATCCAACTGTTGCATAGCCTTCAACCGTATCTCTCCTTCCTCCAACCTCTTAGTGGAGTGAAGGCCAAGACGAGAGGGAAAGAAGATAAAGGAGGTCGTTAGATGAGGTTTGAACGACCTCATCGGTCACGTCTTGAAACTCTCCACTGCCACCCGTTCCTTTGTTTCCCGTAGTGTTGCAGATCTTGGAGAGCGCAGGGTGGAGAGAAGAAATCTATATATTATTCTGCGCTGGTTCTTCCTGATTGGTGGTTCGTCGACCTAGCACTCACGACTTTGACTATATAACACAGTCACCCCGTGAACTGACTCACAGACCTCCCACTGACACTCATCCTCCTGTCCTTGACGAACGCCAGCTTGAGCCAATCCCTCGTCTCTGACTACTTTTACATAATCGGTCTGACTCGGATTCTATTGCATATCCGACTTGGTCATCGTCACATTCGGTTTCATATCACTTCTCCTTCACAGAAGTCCGACAGTATCATGACTACCAGAGTTTCTCCTCCTCCTGCCCCCCTACCAGAAACATGGTCTCGACATGATCAAAACCACGGTTGCCCATTTACTCAATTACCAGTATCCCATCCTCCCACTCCTGTTCTACTACCAATCTCGGTACCTCGACCGTACGCTCATCTCGAGGAGAATATGACATCTCAACCTCAAGTCCCTCATGTATCACAAGCTCAACCATACGTATCTCCTCTCATTCAAACCCTTCCACTTGCACACTATCAACAACCTCATGATCCCCAAGGACTACGACAAGCTCATCAAAACACCAAATTAAATATGTCTCTAGGAATGTTATTCAAGAAGACATCTCCTATCCAATCCCCAATATCGGATTCTTCTACCTCACCTTCTCCCGTCACACCTACTCTTCATCCGATGACTTTTGGTGGAAAGACAATGGAGAATCTGGGAATTGACAGGGGGTACGGCATGAAAGAAAGAGATCATCCCGTCAATGATATGAGTCAACATGATCGTTCTATCATCGGTATGACCGAGCAACACAGTGCACAAGTTGGAGACAAGCTAAGTGAATATAGTTCTGAAGGGGTCAGACAAGGTACTATGCGGAACGAAGAAGTAAAGGGAGGACGTAAGAGAGGTTTATCCTTAGGTTCTTCTAACAAAGGAAAGAAAGAAGATACTTGGACTGAAGGTCTTCGAACTGGTTTCTTGTCGTTCTCTTCCACTCTTTGATTCCGGTACTTTGCTGTCATGTCATCCTTACCGTACCATGTGGGATGTGTGTGGTGTGAGGTATAAGGTGAAGGGGATCCACATGTGTTCGTTTGTCATATCTTCCAGTGTCGTCACATGATGTACCGGCGTTGAGTGGTATTTGGAAATATGAGTGACAAGCAAAAGCTGTGAGGACTTGAGAAACCTAAGAATTGAGGTAAACCCAAGGAAGGCGGAAGTGAGTTGAGTGAGTTGAGTGAGTTGAGTGAGTTGAGTGAGTTGAGTGAGTTGAGTGAGTTGAGTGAGTTGAGTGAGTTGAGTTGAGTGGGTTGAGTGGATGAGTGAGTTGAGTGAGTTGAGTGAGTTGGGTGACTTGAGAAACCTGAGAATTAAGATGAACCCAAGAAAGGAGGAAGTGGATTGAGTGAGTCGAGTAAGTTAAGCTAGACAGTGGGGACAACACACGTTGGCTGAAGTGTATGTACGATTACACAACTGTTGAACTTGTACGACCGCCTTATAAGATATGATATGTACGAAGTAACATACATATTGACAAACATGTACCATTATGTATAAATTGAGAATTTGTATAGCAATTGTTCATCTTTTCACTCGATAATTGTTCACTTTAGATCGACTCATTTCTCATCTTTAACCTTTCGATTCTTATCACTCATCATCATCTCATGAATTATTGGTCGATCAACGAAAAATGTCCATTTAACGCTTCAAGCAATCCTCTTGCCTCTTGGACTCTCACAACCTCTTTTTCCCCTTCCCCCCTTCAATAGCCCCCAAACCGTAAGCGACACTCCAGGTGTCTTATCCTCATCCAGAGAAATTTGCTATTACCACCAACACACAATCAAAATCGCTCAAATAACCCATCTTCTTGGGGAGGCACTTCGAAGTTTACGTCCTAACCAATTCCTCAAACCTTTCTTTTCTACTTTTTTCCCTTCGTCCCATCCACACTCTGAAGTTTGAGATCCAACTGATCCACTTGACCCATTAGAGCCGTTAGAACCTACATGATCCTCCCCTACCACTTTGACTTCTCTTACCATGTCGATCCCTATCTCCATTTTGGTCTTTGAGGTCTCATTCTCATGTGAATGAATTAGATCAATGGATTCGACGTCTGGGGTGGTCAGACCTGTATTTGGTGTGTATAGATCATGTTGAGTATCAGAAGTATCGGGGGTGTTAGATCCAGAAGGTACCAATTCAGGTGTTGAAGGTGATATAAGATCAGAGGCATGGGTGACGGTTGATAATCCGCTACGTGAAGAACGATGTCTTCGTGTCATACTTAAACCTCCTACATTACCCATCGATTCTGTCGGTACGAAAGTAGGAGGATTGTAAATACGTGATGGTACCCAATCACGTGTGTTTTCACTTGTCGAACGGGAAGACGTAACGGATGTATCGAGTGAGAAAAGCTGAGAATGAACCTTCCTTTGCGTAATGGTGGTATTGGAAGATTGAGAAGGAAGACAAGTATCCCATCGAGTTAACAAAGCTCTCGGTTTGATCACACTTCCGGGTACGACGTTGGAACGTAGACCGCCGAAGAGAAGCGTCTCCGCACCAGAGAGGAGACCTTCATCTAGACTTCCGTCCACATTGGGTGAAAGCCAAGCCGAGGTACTTGTTATTGCCGCCCATACTCGAGAAGGATAAGAAGGCATCAAAGAAATCAAAAACGATTCCAAAACCCCGGGTAAAGGTTGAGGGATTCTTCCATTTGTCGAATTGGGAGAAGGAAGGATATGAAGTAGAGTGCGGGTGATATCTGTCTTTGGTATTTGTGTGGATGATTCTGGAGAAGTTCGAGATAAAATGGGAAGAACACCAGTAGTTATCACTACAGCTCGATGTAACATATCTTTCAAAGCTCTCTGGTCGTCACCTCCAGGAGAAAGGAAATTCAAAACCGCATCGAATGGACTTTCAGGTTGAGACTTGGTTTCGGAGAGTTTGTTCAAACCGAAAGACATGGAAGACATCCGAGAGCGCAATGTTGGCTTCGATGAACGGAATTTTGACATGTTTAAATCCCCTTCAGATTGAACTTTGACGAGGGATTGGCGAGGGTTGACCATACTCTTAGGCTGTGCAGTGACATCATCGTCAGATTCGGTTGAGGTATGAGAGTCGGTACTCAAGAGGGACAAGTTGCGTTGACGAAGAGCGGGGGGAGTGAGAGGAGGTGTTGGGGAGGCTGATGAATCTGACGAATCTTGTCTTTGGCGTTGACGCCGGGATGTACGTCTTCCGACTCGGAACGTCTTGGCATGAACGGCCGCCTGCTCGAGTAAAGCGGGGAGAGGGTGTGGATGGGAAGAAGAGGAACGGGGAGTGAAGACTTGTACAACTGGAAATATCGAGTTCGATTGCTGACGTGGAGAGGCGAGGTCTTCGATAGTTGGTAGAGGGTCACGGGAGCCGACGAGGAGGAGAGTGTCGGAAAATGATGGGTTATGGAGGATTGGAGCGAGGGAGGACAACGAAGGTTCTAACAAGTCAGCACTTTGTCAAGGTGAACGTTGTCGATTAGAGTCAGAGAGAAATTTGCCATTTCGTGGACAGCAGATGATTCAATATGAAAGCAATCAATACGAAATATGTGTAACTCACTGCCAAGCACCAATATGACTCTTTCTTTATCTTTCCACTTCTCTGCACCCTTTTGACCTTGAACCACATCCACGATCCAATTCGCTCTTTCCCTCGCCACCCCACTCACCCCTGATAAAGCAGTGAGAGGCATACTCAATCTCCTTTCCTGTATCTCAGTGGTGTGTCGATTATCAGAGATCATCGAATGTCTTCTATTTCCTACCAATGACACGGTAGACGCTCTACCCTTTCCCTTGATCGAAAAGGTGTTTGTGGGTGACGCTGAATCGTAACTTGACAACCTGAATGATGAAGGGGGTAAACTCGTCTGTTGTGGTATATTTGTCTCAGATTCTGACTTTGATGTCGGAGGTAAGTCTGTCTGTTGAACAATGGAAGAATAAGAAGATGAACTTGTTCTTGCTTGGTTTGTAGATCTACGAGCTTCGTTGATTCTAGCAGCTAAGAAATGATCGTGAATCGGTGTTGAGAGGGATTTGGAAGAAGGAAAGACTGTTTGAGTGACCATTGTATATATAGATAGATAGATATGTATATTCTGATTCAATCCTACTTGTTTTCATGCCAAGGCGGCCAAGCGGCGAGGCGGAAGGACTTGGTGGAAAGAATGCACGTTTCGAAACGAATTCTATTCGGATTGACGCACTAGTTCCAGGAGGATCTCACGATGTTATGACACGTCTTGGCGAGGGCAAACATTCAGATGGGTGAGGCTGTCGACCAGAGGCACCTCGCAAGGCGCGGATTTCTCCCGGTATGGGAATAGTGGGGGAAAAGGGCCGGACGTTTTTCCCGGCCTGGGATCAGTAAGGGAATAGTGAGGGTTGGACACACGAGTTTCACCACGTCACCATGTAGCGCCATGTGGCGCCCGGGCAGCGGGCCTATCAATCTGCCACACGAATGATGTCGCGCCTACCGCCTGCTGCCCTTCAGATCCTCCAACTGTTCGAATTTCACAGTATCGATATCAATACTGCAACAATTTCTCTTCGAGAATGCCTGCTACAGTTAGTCTTCCCATGCTGCCCAATATTTGTACTGACCACCAGCTTAAAGCATGTCGCTGCTCTGTCTGTCGCAATGGTACACACGGTTTCATGATGCAATACACCCGCACCATCCGCAGCCACCAAGAAGCTGATACTCGACGAGTGACTGAACAACAAGTACCTCAACATACAGCTGATCACTGCGTTCCACCACAAGCTCTAGCACTGGAGAGTCATGAAGCGACCAACGCAATGGATGTAGACACAAACGATGATGTGTTATATCTGTGGGACCTCCCGGCATCGGCTGTTGATTCTGACGACGGTATCACGCATGAAAACAACTTAGAGGATTCACCGATGGAGGACAGCCTATTCTTGAGTGAGGGGGTGGGATCTGAGGGAAGAGGAGGATTGACTGAGAGTGAAGGAAGTGGGAGCGACTCTGAGGAACACAACATATACGAAGATGAAGATTCAAGCGGAGATGAAGATGACACGAACGATATGTTCGCCGACATTCAACCCGCAAACCACATTTACGCGACTATCCCCCATCATGTACGACCTTCCCTTCGACTACTCGACGAACTCAATATCATGCCCCCTTTCATCCACAGGTTTGTACACCAAGATTTGAGTGCAGCAGAACGCATCGCTTATATCCAAGCCGCGGTCCTGTCTGTCGGAGGCGGCTCGTTCGACCAAGTCAGTATTGGTCTTTCCTGTGCTAACTTCATGCGCCAAGCTCATGGTGGTACCTCCCCCCCTGTGACTACCGACCCCATCGAAGCCTATGCTCGCTTAGGGATCTCTCCGGATGATGTTATCAAAAGATACGCGGTCTGTAACGATGAGAAGTGTTGTTGGCTTCTTCCACTCAAAGAACTCCCAAGTTACCAGAACTCAGGTGGTCACCAGACCGACCCCCTACGACCGATGGACCACCGATGCGGTGCCCCTCTATTCACGCGCAAAGGAAAACTGAAGATGCCGTGTAAGGTTGTTGCCTTCACCCCGCCCTCAGTAATGATCCAAAGCTTCCTTCGAGACCCAAGATTCGTAGAGATGATACAACTCTGGAGACGAAAATCTGACAGTGACTCCATAATGACCACCGCTCCAATACCCACATCGATGGCAAGAGACCCCGAACAACTTATGACAAGCATATTTGATGGTAGTGCATGGCGGTCAATAGATGCCAATATATATCGTGATTTTGTTGAGTCAGACAACGGATATCATATCCTTCAGGACCACAGATTTGGGGAACCTCAGCGCCTTGTGGCTTTGGAGTATGGTTTGGTGGCGGCTATAAACATTGATTGGTGAGCTATCGCTCAATGTTGTCCGCTGAGTCCGCTGATCTGATCCGCTGATGTCAGGTTTGGTGTTCACGACGTGAAGAATTGTAGTATAGGGGGTGTTTATATCACCATCCTAAACCTCCCCCATTCCTCGGTAATTAAGAAAGCTTGGACAATATTGGCCATGATAATCCCTGGACCAAAGATTCCGACTCAAGTTGGTCTAAATAACCTACTTCGACCGTTAGTGGAAGATCTGAAACAATTGGAAAGAGGAGTATTGGCATTTGTTGCCGGAAGAGACCAACCTCAACCGCTGTACATGCGAGTTTTGTTCACTGCTAGTGACATGCCGGCTGCGCGAAAGATAGTAGGAGTCAAAAGTCATTCATCCAAGTGGCCGTGTAATCACTGTCGGATCAGGCAGGCTGATCTACAAGAGGATGCTGGGTATGAGTGGCGAGGTGAGTCTCATCCTGCTCATGGATCATGGGAGTATAGCTGATAGTGCAACAGAACTTCAATTATTGGATCCTCATACCCTTCTTTCTTCGGCGGCCTACCACCGAACTGCCTCCTCAGCTCAGCAGAAGAGAGTGGAGAAAGAGGATGGTGTTCGTTGGTCAGAGGTAATCCAGATCACGGGATTTGAACATTCCACCTTTGCTCCTCCGGATACCATGCATGGAGCAGCTTTAGGTCAGTGCTCTCACTTGCCCCACTTTGTTCAAACGGCTCAAATCTGACACACAGGTATGACCCATGCCCTGGTATTATGGTTGATACGCTCAGGTATCCTGGACGAACCAGACGGAGAAGTGGACCGGTATGCCATGTTCGAAGACGGTCTCGAAGCCATCACATGGCCATCCCATGTAGGACGTCTAGCGAAGGGCGTGGTTCACATGGTCACATCAGGTAAAGATGCCAACAACGTCAAAGCGGATGAATGGACCAGGGTACGAACAGCACTGCCTCTTGCCCTGTGGTTGGCGTTGCGGGATCCCGAAACCGACAAGATCCACCCCTCCCCAACCTGCAACCGGGTCGAGATATATCGCGCCGTAGTCGATTTTACCGCTTCATTACGGGTTCTTCTGGCCCGTTCCATCTCAATGTCCGCCGCTGAAGAGGCTCAAGATATGCTTGCGTCAGTGTGTAGGACGTTACTACGCAATGGCTTGAATATGACCATCAACTGGCATATATCAATGCATTACTACCAATTCATCAAGCTTTATGGACCCGTGTCCTCGTTTGCTACTTGGGCGTTTGAACGTAATAATGGGACATTAGCAAAAGCTAACTACTTCAGGGGAGATCATGTGCAGATGGTTGGAACGGCGGCGCGTCGTTGGGTGAAGGAGCAATTGCTCTGGGGAGTATTACAAAATCCTGATCAAGAAGCACCTGAATTCGAGTTGGACTATTTGCAAGACCTCAAACATCGCCTGCATCGACAACCGATACAGGGAACCGTTCTACTCACTGAAAGGGCAGAGACAGACGAACAAGATATCATATTGCCTCAAGCGGTGAAATCCAATGTAAATCTCCGTACACACTCGCCTAATCTGTATCAATCGGTCCTCCAATTCCTGCGTCATCAATACCCAACAGAGTCCTTCCGGATGCAGACAGCATTGTATGGGGATGGACACGTTGTCAAGCAAAACAATCACTTTGAGTATCCATACATCAGATGTCAAGGCTACCGGTAAGTCCCATCATTCGATTGATAGTTTGTTTATGAGGGAGCTTTGTTTCCAAGGCTTACAATCGTTCAAGACGAGATCGATGGGCTTTAGCGTATGACTACCCAGATAGGACGTTAGGACCTATGCCATGTCGAATAGACGCACTCATTGGCTTGAGATACCCGGAGACGCTCGAAAATACGAATGGGAACGGGAGTGTATTGGCTGTGGTAAGATTTTTGGAGTCTGCTGATGAGGAAATTGTGCCATGGTCTTTCAGGTGAGTCACGTCTATCATCACAGACAGTAGGTTGTTGTGCTGTTTTGAAGAAATGCAATGTTAGGGCAGCGACTTTGTCATGTTGTGGATGAGGACAAGCCGCCTAGTGTCATTCCTGTGGAGGTTCTGATTGCACCTCTGGCGGTCAAACGCATTCAAACCATTCGGGGTGATAGAGTGATCACTATAAGTTACTATAGGGTGAGTGAGTCCAGTAGGTAAAGCTGACCATCAGGAATCTGTGCAAGGCGATATGGAGATTGACGAATTTGATAATGGTAAGTGGATGCATGTCTGATCCGGTTGATGCTGATCTGCAGATGACGATGACGATGCATGAAAATGAAACAATCACAACATATTTGTTCTACCAGACATGGGTTATACGTGATGAGTCTCTTTGTTTTCTCGATACATGTGATATCTATCCATCCAATCCCTATCTCTTTGATCTCCTGTGTGTTCATGGTAACGGGGTTGGCCGTTTGGAAGGCGAGCGTGAGGCGCTTGTTCGTCCCTGTGGTCTTCCTGGTCCATCATCCAAACCACCTGAAGGATCATTGTCATCGTCATACTCCTCCAATTCAGTCGCATCCCTGGTTCGTTTCAAATTGGTAGACGCTGCTGATGTGGACAATGGAAGACCTGACTGACGTTTGGGGTGGTTGACGTACCAGGGAAGGCTGCGAATGACCACAAAAGGGGTCGGTCTATCCACAGGTACTATATCCCAGTATCGCGTGTTGGTTTGAGCCTCATAGAACTCATTACTCAGCTGCCAACGTTGAAGGTATCTATCAGGGTTCTTCATAGGCCAGCTGGGCCGTTCAACCACCGAAGTTTCCGAAGTCGGCTGACCATTTCTGGAGGAAGAGTGTAAAGAGGAGGGTGCAAGATTGTGAGGGAGTGAAGTTGTAAGGATTATCATTAGAGCATGTCGGGCCTGGAATCAGAACGAGATGGACCACAATAATAAAACTGTGACGTACTTCTTCGGACATCCATCGCTCCTGCACAAACACCCTTCCTGCCCCAGCACCTTCCTCAGACACCTGACTATGAATCTCATCCAAGATCTCGTATTCTTGCCCCTTAAACGCTTCTACATGAGGACGGCGATTTTTCACAACATTAGCCAACTGAGTCATGAGTTTACATTCTGCGACGTTCTGATTGTACCAAACTCACTGCAGATCTTCTAGCTCGTAAAGACTTCACATTCAAACCAGTGACTCCCCCCAAAGCGGCTACTCGTCCTTTCCCCTTAACCGAACTTCCAGCACCAATAGACGGCTTTCCAACAGATACTTGGGAAGGCATATCATTTGGAGGATGTTCAAAATCTTGTAAGGTAAGTGAGTTTACCTCGTCTTGATTCTCCCACTGTCCATTCTGTTCAAGAATCCCCAATAGCTGTTGTGAATCCACTCCTGAGAAATCACCAGCGAATCGTCGATTTTCATCTTCCTCCATATCCAACAATTCCTCTTGGTCCACACAATCCCTTCCTTCAAATTCTTCGCTCCTCCCATACTGCTCCTTCGGACGTGATCTCTTAAGGCTGATGTAATAGTTTTTGGCAGCTTCTCGAAAAGCTTCAGGAGGGACTTCACCTGCCATATCAATTTCTTGAACTGAAGCTGGCCATGCAGCCCGATCATTCAACAGAAATGACACAATTCCTTCAATTCCTCTGGCGTTGCGAATGTGATTGACAGGTTCGGTCCAGTCAAAACGAAGGCACTGAGATCCAAGGCTTCCGTCCTCATTGTGGAAACGTGGCCATTCCTCGGGTGTTTCGGGATAGTCCGGTAAGGGTCCACGTTCATGCCAGTCGTATAGAAAGTTAACAGTCTTCCGCACAATTGACTATAGGTTAACACCACTCTATCATCAAACAGTCAAGATTTACTGTAATCGCTCTCCATCTAGCATGCCCATATTGGACCGCAGGACTTCTTACAGCAACGGTGAGCTCTCTGTCTTGTTTATTTCCCACACTCTCCGCTAATTCGCCTATACGATCATTCATTGCATCAAGAGATGATTTTGTCATGTGAGTCGCTTGGCCTAAGTCGTCACGGATGGATGTGATCTGGCTGCTGTTGGTATCGAGCTGATCTTCTATCATACTGACTCGATCCTCTATCCGTCTGATCATTTCAACTAATTCATCTCTCAATGACGAAATCAAGGACTGAATGGCCTGTACATTGGTCTTTTCTTCTGAGTGAGCTCACACAATGACATTTAGTGCGGATATCCAAACTCACTTGGAGGAGAAGTGATTTGTGCAGCACTTCCGAGTATTGAAGTTGGAGGGCGAAATGGCAGGTTCAGGGAGGAGTTGGATTGAGGAGCAGCTGAGACCTTAGGATCTTCACTAATCACTGACGTTCCAACCACGACTCACGAGTGTAGCAGAATTGAAAAGGTGAGTTGGATCCCGATCCGCTCATTCCGGACCCGGAACCGGTAGATGTGGATCCGGCAGTTGTGGGAGCCGGGGTAAATGGAGAAGCTCGTTGAGATGTAGAAATAGGAGGACGTCTGATGGGAGCTTCGGGGCTTTGAGATGGGGTCTGAAAGCGACGGGGGTCTTTGGGTGGCATGTTGAGCGGAAGGTGACAAGAGTAGAAGCTTTAGAAGAGAAGGTGTGGAAAATATTGAACTGAATGCATGTCATCAGGTACAATCTACAGAAACTGTGATACGGAAGCAAATTTGACCCCAAAATGACGTGGCTTAACTTTCCTCGACTATTCCCGGGGCGGGAAAAGGAACATGTCCCGGACTATTCCCTTCTCCGGGAAAATTTTCACCCCCACCCTGGGAATAGTCCGGGAATATATGGTATTCCCCCACTATTCCCATACCGGGAGAAATCCGCGCCTTGCGAGGTGCCAGAGGGGGTGTTGTGTGGGGAAGTGAGGTCAAGGGCGTGATGAAATGGAAATGTGTGAGACTGTTAAAGGTCAGGTCAATGATTCTCGGTGACTGACGGACTTGGCATGACCATGACTAGCGTGGGTTACTAATGATCAAGAGATAAAGAATTGTGATGAGATAACAAGTCATTAGTATAGTATAGAATGGTATGTGTGGTAAGGGATTTGTATGCGACGATAAGTGGAAAAGAGGCGAAAAAGGTGGTTTGAATAAGAGGCTGTGCGTGCGGAGTAATTTGCGGTCTTGTTCTCTTCAACTCGTTCTAGAAGAGCTAGAAAGGATAGTGAGACAACTACTCACCAGTAGAGACTAACCACTCCCGATCCCTAGGTTTATTCGGACAAATACGACAGAAATGCCTAGTGATACCAGTGACCAAGTGGCGTGCTTGGCTATGATCTTCCCGTTGAAAAAAAGATCGGAAGAGGACGGATGGCGGACAAAGGGATCACGATCGTCCCCACCTTGCCGACGGTCTGCCAAGATACAGAGAGATGGCTACGACTTAGGGACGTACGACGTACAAATGTACAACGTGGTAGGGCTATCGATACAAGTTGTTAACAAGATCAAGACAGTTTGAGCATGGGGGTTTATGAGACAAGTTCAAGTGAAAGCTGCGAATACAAGTAGAGTACGACTGCGCTTACTGCGATCCGGTCGGTTGTGCGGTTGTGTGGGCTGTGGACTTACGTGGACCCGTGGACCGGTATGATGTCATGCGCCATAACCTTACCCGTACCTCACCTAGTGTAAACTTTGACGTCAATGTATTAACCCGGTCGTCTCCCGCCGTTGCACTCTAACCCCGTCGTTGCTCCATGGTAAGATACAGACATGAAATGCATAAGTGGTCGTATGAACACATGGTTCCTTGTGTGGTATTTTGAAATATACTTGGATCGTACAAACGTATCACATGTCGTGTCTCACTTCTTCCGAGTCATCGTCTCAACGACTATCTCAAAAACCATGTTGATATCTCGCCGCATCGCTCTTTGTCGTTACCTTGTGATCTTGAGGTCTGGCGGCAGATTCGTACAATATCACTCCCGGACGAGGAGGGATCTGACCATCTTTAGCTGAATCATAGTGGGTGACCGTGATCAACTTACGGCTTGATGAGTCCCTCTGAGACCGACATAGAAGATTCGAGTAGTGTCTTCATTCGGATCTGAGATATTACCGGGGAAGAAGAGAGTGAGGGAAGTGACACCTGTAAATTTCGCTGCTCTGATGACATAAGTCACACTCTCTCGTTTCACATCGAAGGCGGCTTGAGACGGATCAGAGGATGTATCGTCAATCGCCGAGACATTCATATATGTCTTGGAAGATCTGATAAGGTTGAAACGGTCCGAAAAAGGAGTCGACAGGAAAAGAATAACAAGTGCCAAGAATAGACGATCATTCAGAGTGAACACTCACTTTACTTGATACTCTACAACTTGACGATTAGGAACGATATCGAAAATTTGAGTGGGGGTGGCACCTTCACAATCCGAAAAGTCCATTTCGGGTCTGTCTCTAAACTGTTCATCAGATATTTTGATACACCATCCTGCAAATCATCTTTCGATTTCTGGGAGTTCCTCTTTTATCTAATTTAACCGATCTAAAGTTGTGTTACAATTGTTCGCCTCTTATCATCTCTCCGATCTCCGGGGTCTACATGAGGGATCGACCAAATCGAATGAAATGATCCGCTGAGACTATAGCAGGGATATTCAAGATCGGAATGAATGGGTAGGTGAATGAGGAGGATGTGGCGATAGATTAATTCGATGAACTGACAATTTGAACAGAGGCCGGTGTGAAACCTAATGGTCCAGCTTTTATACTGATAGATCTTATCGATACGCTTGATAGGAATGGGACTCAAGTCTCAGCTTCTTATATTGAAAATACCTGATCTAACTGACTTTTGAGGATAAGAGTATCGTCTGCTTCTGATTCGCAATACTTCGCTTCAGCTTTGCTTCATGTGACATCTCACCCCAAAAGCTCACTTTACTTTCATCTTCCCTCTCTGACCATGGTCTGGTATCAGCTTTCTTCATTTTCTCACGTCCTGGTTCATCCGTACGTCCATGTATGTCGTAGCTGACAGCCCAACAACAAATCTCACCGGCTCCGGCCATGTGGGTTCATGGACCGGAGAGAGGAGAGAGTCAAAGTCGAATCTTCAGAAGAATTAACAGAGATGGAATGGAAGATGTTTCGATTCACAGGGGTCAAAAGTATACTTTTATGTGTAGGGAAAAGTCGGAGAAAGGTAAGAGACATGAAGGAAGAATAAGTGAGAAGTGAAAATTTCAACTCACTTGATTACCTTCTCCCCTACTTCCGCCCCATCCCTAGCATTCAATCCAACCACATGAAGAACGTCAATCTGACCATATAAACTATCCTGCGGACCAGCTTCTAAAGGAACATCATGTGAATGCCCTTCATGGTCATGTCCCCCATTTCCATTGCCATGTTGATGATGATTACCTCCATTCCCATTCCCATGATGTTCATTTGCGCAATCCATTTCCCTGTCCCCTCTTTTCCTCAGATGTACTTGAATGATCCAACGGCCAACGGGGTGATGGTCCGTTGCTCTAATAAGGGAGGATGGAAGAGTTGGAAAGTGGACGAAAGAGGTGGAGGGAGATGCCACATTTACCTATCGTATCAAATATCCGAAATACCGAATCTCCGTCGGAAACCATCCCAACCGTCATGTTCTGAATCTGGTGGGAAGAGAAAGTAGGTTGAACTTTTCACATTGAATCGATACAGTGAAGACTACAAAGTGTACAAGTGTACAAGGAGAAGAACAAAGAAACAATTGATAATCATGTCAGAACCTAAAAGAATACAACCAACTTATTTCGGACCAAACGACGAATCTGAAAGTTTCACAAAAGGTTTGAAAAGTTTTTGGAAAGATCAAATTGTCGCTCCTCAATATTACGATGATAGTCTCAAGTAAGTCCTTCTTCTCATCTCTTCACTCTCAATCCAATTTTAACCCTCCATCCAATCTTGTTAAATCTTCCCTAATTCTCGTTACATTTCAACGAGGATTGAGTTTAACTTCCTGGGTAAGGGTAAAAGTCAGAAAAACGGGATGGGAATCGGGAACGATTAGATTGGAAGATTGGGTCGATCTTTCATGTTGAATGAAAGATTGAGATAGAGAAAGGTGGATGATGAAAGTGAAGAACGAGTTTGTGTTTTTCGATGTGATATATGATATATGAAATTGAAAGTAAAGGTTGAAATATGGACGAATAGTAATAAGATCTTTTCCGAGGGGATTAAATGGAGATCCAAACGATTTCGTGTGGATTTTCGGAACCAAGATGAAAGCTGCTAATACGTAGAATCGCAAGAGCAATAGGCTTGTTCGCTCTTGGTATAGTACTCGTTCGTTCTAATCTAGGATCAGTTCTCGTACCTATGTTTTAAAAGTGAGTTCTTCATTCTTCTCTTGCCAACCGACTAACAATCAGAAGTGTCCATCAAGTTTTTGCCATATCGCTGTAAAATAATGCATCATCACTCTTCTATCCATTCACATTCACTACTGTAAAGTCATCAGACCATTTCCCCTTCTAAGATCGTATTTTCAACTAACCCACTTCTGAACTCGTTGTTTCGTCATTTCAACATCTAGTCGTTTCCTCCCCATGTGAGGAATGGATGCAGGTATCAGTGGGGATTATCTACTAAATTATTGATGGAGAAAGGTTCAGAGGTTCAACACAAGTTGTAGGAGAACAAGATATTCATTTTACATCCTTTAAGCAAAATAATTGTGGTATATTCGTACAAAGACAACTTTAACTTTCACACCAACAAGAATAACGACAACGGCGGCGACAAAGACAACACCTATTCCCGACAAGTAAGATCTTCCACCGAGCCCCCGAAAATAAGAAGGCCGTCCAATCAGTTCATGTCGATTATCGCGACCAAAGCCTTTTCGTACTTCCCCGTGGTCTCACTTTCCACCCTGTGTCTAAGAGTTCGACCATGTAAGACTTGATATTGATTTTTAATGGCTCCGAATCGAGGACGATTCCAGTGTGCACGGATTATACGATAGATCCTGATGGTCAGCATGACCGTCTCTTCGTGTTCTCCTTCCCACTCTTCCCACCACGTCACCTGTAAGGGGACAATACAAAGTCTCATGTAAAGAGTGCCAAGTACTGATCTTGTCCCAAGTAGTGAGTTTTTGTAAAATCGGCAGGAAAGGGGAATGTCGTGAACTGACATTCTCTCATCCTTAGTTCCTACACCAGCCATGGCAGCTTCTAGCATATTGGCATCTCTGTTGACTCCATGTCCATCTGCCTCGGCACCATGAGCAATATACAATAATGAATCTCTCATGTGGCCTGAGAACTCCGAGTGTATCCTATTCATTAGCAAGATTTCTTACCCAATGACGAGTATGAAACATTCAGTCATTTGAACATGTCACGAGGCATCCTATAGAAGATGGTGAAATGTTGAGATGGGTGACTCACATTTGTGAAAGTGATACCCGATGTCTTTGAGGAAACTGTTGTGCGATAGCTTGTAAATGTGCATCCGAACGAGATAAAAGTATTCCACAAACAGAAATCTCATCCTAATCATTATCAGTATCAATCAAATCTCATCTTCTCAAGAAACATACCGTTCCAATCCGTCCTGGACCAGCTCTGTAAAGCGTTTCCACATCTTGTTGAATTACTTGTTGATTGATATAAGGTGATTCATCCTTGGTTCCACTTAAAGCCATATTGAACATCCTTCACCATCAGTTATTCCGAGATGATGTATGTATGATGAAGAATGACTGACCGTTCCGTTTGCATTGATAATTCTCCTTTGACGGTAGATATCAAATCTTTTCCATATAATCTTCTGAAACCTTCTTTCAGGAAAAACATTTCTTCATTCGTTCTTCCCAATAAGATTTCAGTTAAAAGATCTTCATGTGTTCCTGCACCTTTACAAGCTCTTTCTAAAAGATGAAGATCCCCATGTAAAGGTCCGAGAGATAAGAGAACCAGAGTGTATTCAACCCTATATTCTCAGCGTTTTCACTTAACTCCATGACAAACACATGGAAGGATCGAGGATACATGGTGTGGTGAAGCTGTGAGGGAAGGGAAAGGATAGATAGTATGTAAGGCTGGAGAGAAAGGAAGTGAGAGCCTTACCATCCAGAAAGCTCCTTTTCCAACGTTTTTCGAAGTGACTTTCCTACCATTTGTTCGTACGTACGGGAAAGTACGTCCATCTGAAACGCATCAAGAGGTGCTAGAACATCTATCAATGACTTTTCGTCTGTCCCGAATCCCTATTCATCAGCTCGACTTTAAGTAATGTGAAGATAAACGCACTTTGGTAGCTTTCCTTATACGTTCAGCATCAAATTGAGCATTATACCCTTGTAAGTTTGACAAAGGTACGGCAGGTGGAGGAGAAGGTATGTTCACTCCTAAAAATCGAGGATTCGCTCCTGTCGTTCCGGCCGCACTGGGATGCGGGATAGGGGAAGGAGGGTAGGGTGATGGGGCAGCCCAAGGCTGTGAGGGAGGAGCACCATATGGTTGTGGCGATGGACCATTATGAGGTGGTGGAGGAATGTATTGTCCGGATTGAAAAGGGACACCTGGAAGTCCATAAGTGTTTGAAGGTGGAGCAACACCGTATGGAGGTTGAGATGGAGGAACGCCGTAAGGTCCGGTAGATCCGTATGATTGATCGTATGTTGCGCCTTGAGGAGGACCGTAACCACCGTATCCCTGAGGGGGAGGGTAATTAGGTTGGTTCGAGTTGGGGTATCCGTACATGTTCTATAGCTGAGTGGCCACTTTGAGTACTCTATATACATGAAATAGAAAGGAAGGAATGGATGTGCAGTGTGTATGAAGTAATGCGGTGTACGGTGTGACTTGGTACTTAGTTCCGCTCGGCCGATCGCCGGTGAGATCCACTTTGTTCACTTAACTTACTGGTAATTTCTCTCTCTCTCAAACTACATAACTCACTACGACCGCTATACTTTCTTTCGTTCCACTCTCTCCGTACCCGGCTCAAAAAGCTCACCACGATACGGATCATGAAAGGAAAACTCTGCCATTTGGGTCAATGTCCCACGAACCCCTTGACTGGGGTAAAGAGAAAAGGAGTAACCGTACCGTCCTTTCATCGGTTTATTTGAAGAAACGTCTTTCTACTACCATTCTACTGACCAAGTTTACAGACCTACGGAATGTCTGACCTTTCGTCACCGGTTTTCTTGCTCCACTCTCCACCTGTAGAGTACTGGTTTCAATAACCATCTACGACTCTGCGAGTCAAAATAGCTCAGAAGCAAGTCACAACAAATCTTTTTTCACCATTCAAGTCACTTTTCGTCCGGTAACTAACGATGCTACCACTCTTTCATCTCCTCATCCCCATCCTCCTCTCCTTGTCTGTAAATGCAGGTATCTTCGATTCTTCCACTACCACAACCGCCGCCGCCTCTTCTTCTTCTTCCTCTACTACTTCATCTTCCAACTCGGAAGTTGCATTTCTCCAAACCATTCAAGCGGCTCAAATAACCTCCATGTCATGTCTCATAACTCTCGTCAATATGACTACTCAACCTATCGGTTCATGTCTCGGTCTCACCACCCTAGCAGGTTTGATAGCTGATCCATCACCAAACGCGGCCTTCTCGGATCAATTATCTTCGTATCTCAACACCATGTGCGCTGCTGGAGGATGTAGCGATGCAGATATCGCCGATGCCCAAGGACAATTAGACTCGGGATGTGGGGATCAAGGAGGTACTAGTTTGATAAGTGTTTTGAAAGCAGTTTTAGGGAATTATCAAAGTAGTTATAAAACTTTAGCTTGTTCGGTACATTTGTGAGTTTTTCTTATTCAACCATCTCCAACTTGTCACGAACCGTAACCAGCAACCAGCTACCGCCTCGGTCGTACAAAATACCTTCCATTCCCACAGGACTAAAAGGTCTATCAACCGGTGATGTCTACATTCACCGATCGTTGGTTATATACCTGATACAAATTTTTGTTCCCACAGACGTCGCAAATGAGCCTAAACTTTCCTCCATATCACGACAACTCGTGACACAACTCTTCTCCACGGTTGTATCGAGAAAGAGGTTTCTAAACTCGTACTGATATATAGCAACGGTACCGCAGCTCTATGTTTACCGGCAACGCTCAACACTTCTACAACGGCAGATACCAACACTTTCTTCAATGATTTACTGAGTGGGAATAATCTTGGACAATATGACGATAGCATCTTTGGTCAAGCTCAATGTACCGGGTGCATGTATGAATTGTATAAAGCTGCGTAAGTTATCTTCCTCTGGGTCTCCTGATCAGTACCTGTTCCCTTCCCCCCTCCCCAAATACCTTATCAAACAGCGGACGAAAAGGACCATTCGACAAAATCCCTCTACAACGAATTACTCACTGTCTTGACTATTCCTGTCTCACTTTCCATCCCTTACTCTCTCACCTCGGCCGTGTATGTGTACACTGCCGTACTTCTCACATGATGAGTAGGGTAAAGAAACTAATTCTCAGGGTCTATACAATCCCCGCCATCCGGGGGAACACATCAACTCAGAAATTGGGTGATCACTTGAAGAATGACTGTGGATCTGGACCTCCTAATTGGTCAGATGTGGAGGATCAACAAATACCAGATGCTTTACAAGTGGGTCAAAGTGTCGCTTCTTCCTTGAAAACTCCTCTCTTAAAAGCCTCCCATATCTTCTACATCTTGACGCAATAAAATCAGTATGATCCGATACACCCGTCGGAGTCAGGGATGGATGACAATCCAATTTCGTATCCGAACTCGATCATAGACAGTCAGCTGATATCCCTTAGGTTAGTCAAAATACCGCTGTTGCCAGTTCCGGCACTCGAACCGATTACTCCGTACGCCCTCTGATCACTGTGTTTCTCCTTGTCACCTTCCTTTCCGTTCTTCAGTGGTGATTCGACAATTCCTCTTCTTCTCGACTTACTATAACTGACTCACCCTCTCACTCCGACTGGAGCTTTACAAAACATCACACAGAAAACATATATACCACGGGCATGAATACTATTTCTTTTCACCTGTCAATATCTCCTCCCGATTTACCCCCGACCTCCAGTCCGTTGTCACCGAGGGCGTATGATCACCTTTCACTCGTATCTTCGTCATTGCGGTGCCTTTTCCTACTCCAGGGCCCAGGGATCCAAGCCGGTCGGAATCGTTTCATACCTTGTTGACCCGTGTCATCACCGCAGTCGACCGGTGAGTGGCCATGGAGTTGTGATTGCGTGCGACGTCCGTTGACGCCCTGTTCCCCTGCTCTTTTATAATCTTTGTATCTAAATCAACACACTTTTCTCCCTTCGTCCTCCAATCTCACACTGGACGATTATTCTCCACTGTTCAATCTCGCTCCCACGATCATTGAAAACCCTGGATAGCACATGCACAGTACATACCTTCGAACAGGAAAGGACAATCACTCCTCTCCAGTGAATCCCTCTTTTATTCATTTACGGATCAATCATGATCGGCTTCCAGCTGACTACCCCCATACTCCTGAACTCCTGAATAATTTCGACCTATCTTTCTTCGTGACTCACGGATGTTTATCCTTTCCGGGCGTTTTTTTCTTTCTCCTGACTGTCTGACCGGATGTCTAACGTACCAAAGTGAGGGTGTGTCTAACTACTTACGTCCTCTTTTTCCACCTTCTCTTCTGCTTTTTCGCCTGATCAAATTCGCTTCATCAGAAACCGGGACATGTGTGGAGTTCACGAGGGCGGATCAAAGGAGGATCTGAAATTCTAAATTCTGATTTCTGAAACGTTTAGACTCCTAGTCTTCTTCTCTTCGTGGGTCGTAGGTCGTAGGGAAGACCAAGGGAGAGAATGCTTATCTTCCCCCTTGAGTCTTTCACAATTCCCTCAATCTCTTCTCTTCTCTTCTTTTCTCCGTGGATACCTTATCATCTCTCTTTTCAACACACTTGACATACATTCTACGCTTAATTTTATCGTGAAAAGAAGGAAGAGATCGAGTGAGTCAGTGAGTCATTCTTAGTTTTCGTATGTCATACAGATCATCGTCGTTCAACCCCCACGAGGTGGCTGAGACAAAAGAAATCCGTCGATCTATTTGACAAAGCTGACGTGCTGATGTATAGAATGTCGGACGATTTCGAAATGTTTCTCTCTGGTATGGGGAATTATGGGGGAGTCGGGGAAGAAGAAGGTGAGTTGATTTTGATATCTAGATCAACCCCTCATCCATCTTGAACAAACTTGTCATTCATGTGTTACGTTGAACTCATCTTTCCAGTCAGCATACTTTCTTCTTTGATTATCTTCTCTTCGCGCTTCGTTGTTCTCGTCTCTTCTCTCCCATATCTCTATCGTCCCCACTCGCTCTTCATCTTGTCTTCTTTCGCATCATCCTTCCCTCTTCACTTCTCCCGGATGTGTCTTCTTTTCGAGTACATTCCTTTCTTTGCCTCCAATCGTATCTCGTACCTAATTATCGCTGTCTCATCTTCTCCCCGATCTAGTCTCATTTGAGATATTCAGACCAGCTGAGCTAGGACCAAAGCATCATCGCTGACATTCAGCTCTGAGCTCTTTTGCGCAACCCATCTTTCAATATGAGCCCCTTCGGAGATTCTGGCAGCAAGATGCTATTCAACCGACAAGTCAGTACCTTTCCATCACATCAGTCCCTTCCAAATCCGTCACATCCCTTCACATCGCATCACATCATACGTTATCATGGTACCAAACCGACTTATCCCTCAAGAGGTGATATTGACTTACTGTCAGATCAAACTCTCTTATCTCCCATATTTCTTCAAGCCGCTCCAACACTTCACTTCCCCCCTCATTCCGACAACCCCGTCGTGTCCCCGGCGGAGATCTTCGGATCCGTGACTCCCAGTCCCACTAGGATCGCACGCACTTCAGTCGTTATCGGCGATCTCACTCCCACTTCTGCTTCTCGAACTTTAGGAGTGTTCGGGTCAAATCTTGGAAGTCTGAGGACTTCCGGTCTAGATGTCCAGGTAGAGCCAGAAGATAGAGACTACGGAGACGAAATTGAAAATGCGGAAACAGATGTTGAGTCGGGAGAGTCTGACGAAGACACAGAATCGTATGTCTCCGGTTTCTGGCGTCGGTCAGAGACCCCTTTTCAAGAACCGACGACTACTTCTTGTGTTGTCATGGGTACATCGTCTGTTCAAATCGAAATCAAGCCCTCGGCTGCACAGGAAGGAGTGATCTCCTCTGCAGTGCTGAAAGAGGAAGAGGAGATGGAACTCGGGCGGAAGAAGACAGATGTTCAATTTGAAAAAGGGAAGAAGGATAAGAATAGAATTGTGGGGAAAGGGAAGAAGAAAGGGACAATTACGTCAAATAAAAAGACCAAATCTATCGTTCAAAAAGTTTGTCATTCCCTCTTACAGTACCTCACGTTATCACTATTGGTATCCTCTTTGATACTGGTCTGAACATTGTCTCTTCGTGATCTGAATATCGTATCTTCGCCGAGATGTGTGCTGATACCAGAAATCGAGATCAATGTCATCCAAGAGAGTCGTAAGTGCAAGCGCGCGCAAGACCATTATCATCCCAAACCCTGTCCTTGCGATCAAGGCCAAATCTAAGCCGAAACCTCGGCGAGCCCCTCGATTACCATCTTGCAAAATCTCTCAAGCGCAGAAAACCGCCGCTCCTCCTCGTGCGGCACCGTCCTCGTCACTCAGCCCAACCCCTGTACCTGCACCAGCACCAACGCCACCCTCTCCCTCCGTAATACCTGATGACCCTCCTACCCCCATCCTAGCCATCGAGGAAGCACCTAGTCCTTCCTCCAGTGAGGAAGATGACGAGAGCGAATACGATCCAAGTTCTCCTGGATCCACACATGGAGCTCCTAACGGAAGTAGGAAAGGTATGACAAGTGGGAAACGAATGTGGCCGAAGAGAGGAGGACCTGCTAGACAAATGCAAAATCAGAAAGCCCAGAAGAGATATAGGGATAAGGTAAAAGAGACCAATCGAACTGTATGTCATTTCATTGTCGTCTTTCTCTAATTTATCCCAAGACTTCTTCCCCTGGTGGTGTGTTAGGAGGTCTCGTTGGTCGTTCGGAGCGTCTTGACCTTTTACATGCGTTTGAGATGATTTGTTAGATTTGTATAGTGAAGGGTATTCACTGATCATCAGATCCACGAATGTCTTTTAGACCTCTGCCGACAAATCCCTTCCATCACTTCCAACAAAATCAAGTGTAAACTTCATGACACCCTCCTCCATCATCTAGATATAATAGGAGGTACGTGAACCTTTCACAGAGATATGAAAGCTGATGATACTGTAGATTGGGATCAAAACAAAGCCGATGAATTGCGCGCGGCGGCGTTTTAGAAAATCTGGCTCGTTCTTCTTTTCCGGGTGTGACGATATACCATGATCCATGATAATTTCTTGCGTGCGGGGACGACCCTGACTGGTTAGACCATTTCGTATCGTTGTGTCCCCGTGTCCCGTATGTTTCATGGATGAAGATTTTCTTCGTGTCAGTATGTGTGTGTGTGTGTGTGTGTGTGTATAAATGTAGTATGTGTGTCAAAAAACAATATCTCAAGGGAATATGTATATGGTATATCTGGGATATCTTGACTTTCACTCGATAGAGTACGGGAGAGAGATTGTTACGATACTTTCCACCCTTAGTATGTTTATCAGTTCATGTAAGGGGTTAACGTGTAAATAACCACAGTGGAGTATGATAGAATGCATGACAGGTGAATGAGTGAATATGACAAAAGTCCTTTGTGATCACAAAGACTGCACTGACATGGGTTCTCATCGTTGCCAGAGAATGTGATGTGAATAAGTGAATTAGTTTTGATCTTCTACAAGAAACTTGGCGCTAGCGACATCTGCTAAGACCTGTACATTAGTATCAAATCACAGAGGGGAACGGGGGGAAACTGAAAATTTGGTGTATTGTTGATGCTGCAAATGGAAAAATCGGAAGATTACTCACCATCTCCCTCACTAATTCATCAAATGATACGGTCCGTTTCCAACCTAGTTGAACTCTGGCTTTGGTGCTATCACCAAGTAGATGGTCTACCTCGGCCGGACTGCTGTCAGCTGCTTCGTCCGGCAAGCAGCCGGTGGGGAGTCTCGAGGGTGAATAAGACTGCAGGGACGGGAAATCATTCGTCGAAGACTCACCGGAAATACTGCGGATCCACCCTCACCACAACCCTACCTCCATCTTCCACACCTATCTCATCCACACCACACCCTCTCCAGGTTATACGCATACTTACGACGGCAAAACTCCTCTCGATGAACTCTCGCACAGAATGTGTTTCGTCGGAAGCTAGGACGAAGTCGTCCGGATTTGAATGTTGGAGGATCCGCCACATGCCTTCGACATAATCGCGGGCTGAGTTTAGTCAGCCGGGAGAAAATTACGCTTATCCATCACGAGAACTTATTCAGAAGTGAGCTTTACCATCTCCAGAGCTCTTTTGGAAAGTAGGTAAGCAGGAGGTTCGAAAGAGATTGAATTGCCGTGAGTTCATGGCTCAACGGAGAGGGACGATATCACACACGCAAAAGTGAAGGGCATGACAGCGGATGACTCACCATGTCCCCAATCCCTCTTAGCATCCAAATTTCCCATGTACATACATTCTTGCTTTCCCAATGATATTTCAGCCACCGCTCTGGTGATTTTACGTGTGACGAATGTTCTTCCTCTCCTGGGCGATTCATGATTGAACAGAATGCCATTTGATGCGAACATACCGTAGGCTTCCCTGGTCATTAGCCTGTCTTCGATCCGAGAGTGTAAATTGAGGGAATTTCAGCCAGGGCTTAGCAAAAGGAACACTTACCGATAATTGACCGTGATGAAAAACCCGTACAGCTTTGCTACCCCATAAGGACTCCTGGGATGAAACGCCGTTTTCTCATTCTGCGGTCTTTCCTTCGTATCGCCATACAACTCACTCGTACTCGCCTGATAAAACCTGACCAAATTCGCAAGCCCACATGTCCTCACAGCATCCAGCAATCTGAGAGTACCGAGACCATCCACATCACCGGTGTATTGAGCCATTTCGAAGCTCACTTTGACATGTGACTGAGCGCCGAGGTTGTAAATCTCACTAGGAGCTACTTGAGCGACGACATGGACGAGATTGGTGCTATCGGTCAAATCACCATAGTGAAGGATCATACGTGGTGATGGGTTGAGATGGGCGTCGGTATATAAGTGGTGAAGTCGAGAGGTGTTGAAGGAGGAAGATCGACGGATGATCCCGTGAACTGTGTAGCCTTTGCTCAGGAGGACTATATGTGAGCGATATCTCTTGATTTATTGTACAGTCTGAGATTGGACATGAATCTCCACGGTTGAACGGTTGTGGTGGTTGATGGTGCACGGCCGTTAGGGGGAGGCGTGGCGAGACAGAGTGACACGAAAGATGAAGTTGAAGATGAAATGTTACATACGTTCGGTAAGGTAAGAGCCATCTATTGTATCAGCTTTCGAAGTATCTTACAAAGTTCGTCATTCAGGTGGATATACATGGAGCGAGGAAAACAAAACAGAAAGAGTACTCACCCTGTCCAGTGATTCCAGTGATCAACGCAATCTTCCTCCGTCCCCAACTCTCCCTCGTCCAATTCTCCAAGCCAGGCAAATGGAAAGGATTCCAGATCGGTGGTGGGATAATCCCTGCATTTTCCAAACCTGCTGGGTGCTGAACAAGTCCACTACTCTGTCTGTATTCGACATCTTGATCGACTTTTGGACTTTCAGGAGGAGAAGCGGGTTCGTACATCCTGGCTTTGGGGGTCATATTGAGCAGATCATTGGATTGGAAGTCGCCCATCGTAGGGAAACGGGCGTTTGGGAGGATAATCCCTGTAAGTCTTGTAGGTCGGAGTGAGTAAAAGGGGGATGATCTGTTTACTTGTAGAGTTGTTAAGATCTGAGAAGAACGAGTGAGGATGGAGGAAGGGTCAGTAATCCTGAGAAGAGTGGTATATATACCGGTGAGAGAGTGGGAGACTTGGGGGAAGGGTAACGAGGTGAGAAGACGAAATGGGCAAGTACCACCGTGACGCACCATACGGGTAGTGCGATGGACGAGTACAGTACATCATAGGGACTAAGCGGGGCGGTGATGAGAGGATGGATGACGAAGAGATGTACGAGGGAGAGAGGGTACGACCAAGATTCCGAACCGCGAACCGGGTAATGAGATGAGGTCCAACCTGTCTTGATGCTGGCAAATTAGCGTGTATGGGAATGCGTACATGGCACAGAGCTATATTAGGTTCGTAGCTTGGAGGACCCTAAGTCAGCTTGGATGGTTCTACTAGCTAGTGAGTGAGTGAGTGGTACGAGGAGACAGTTACTTAGCTGCTGAGTAGTTAGCGTTGTAACAGTAGTTGGTGAGCGATTTGTGGCGCGCACGCGACGAGGCCAAAGTTGGCGCATGGCGCAAAAACATCCTGGTCCGATGATATTGAGGGGTAGTCTACTTAAGATATATGGGCATGCACAGCTAATATCGTCTGATACATCCTTGTCCCCCCGCACACCATACCTCCCCACTCGATGCTATCACTATACTCTCCACTGATTCAGCTTCCCAACCTGCCAACTCGTCTGTCTCCTTCACCGTCCATCCCTCCTTCCATTCGAATCGTAGTCGTGCTGGAAGTCCAGCTGCCGTCCCGATGTACAGATTCAATATCTCTACATCCTCCACAGTCTCATTAACTGTTTTTCCCACCACCTCTAGAAGTGGAGAAGAAGTGGGAGGGGTCGAGCGAGGTGTTTGTTGTTGTCGAACCGCTAAACTATATATCGGACTTTGATTTCTCCTCATACACCACCCATTTTGAAGATCAGACAACCTCCTCAAGATCACTGTCCCATCCGTATGACCCGTCACCACCGTTTCTCTCCCATCGTAGGATATACAATTCAACTTTCCAACACCTTCCATAGCCTTTATCCGTCTTCCCTCCCCCGACCAAGGGAAAATTTCCAGTTCACCATCTTGTAGTCCAGTGATGATAGCTTGATCTCCTTCCACCCCAAGGTGTCTAATGAAAGGAGCATCAATGACAACAATTCCTTCAATAGCTGTTCGAGGTTGAGTATCCCATCTCCTCACTTGTTGTGATTCTCCTACGTGCCATAAACGGATGGTGCCATCTTTCGAAGCGGACAATACCTCCCTGCCTACACTGAGAATGTGGAGGGATGTGATGGCGCGTGTATGACCACGTAGAATTCGAGGATTGAGACCGGTATCGCTATAGATTCGCAAGGAGAGATCGGAAGATGCAGTGAGGATTACCTGAGAAAGTCAGTCGATAGAAGAGATCAGAACAGTACAGCAAGAGTGAAGAACAACCACCGAGTCTTCAGGAGGACGATACACGTGTTTAGGGAAGTGGGTAAAAGACAGCATATGAGGAGTGGTAGACGAAGGATGAAGGCCTACTTTACCAGAAGGAAACCATTTGACGACCAACACATCCCCAACATGTCCTTCCAGCAATACCGGCTCGCCTTCATGTGGGATTATAGCGGCATATCCATCTGATCCACCGACGACAACATTGCCAGAATGTTCGTCCACAGAGTTTATGTGTAGTGAACTCTGGAAATCAGTCTACAGTTCAGGGAGTTTTGGCGTCAAGAATACTACACCCGTCTTTCTTGATAGTGAGGATAAGGTCAAGTGATGCTGAGTCGTTTGGAGAGTTGACGATGAGCAACTCACATATTGAGGGTTTTGGTTTTTGGGAGGAGATACGACATGTTTTGGGAATCTCACCAATCGATCGTGTACTCCTAAAGCGTGGAAAGAAACTTTGAAAGAGGTCTTTGATCAGCTTGTTGACATCATCTTTCTCTTCGGTAGATCAAAGTGATAGAGAATGCGTCAAGAATCGGTTAAGAAACATGTAGTGGATGAAGGAGAGGTGCGAGGGATGAAGTCTGTAGAAAGTTAGTACTTACATTGGTCAATCTCTCAATTTCTACACCGTCTCGAGGGAGTAATTTCAGTTGGCCATTTGATTGGTATACCTTCACTTTACCATGTACGGAACTTGAACCTGCTTGGTACTTATCATCAGCTATAAAGTCCGTACATCATAGTACATGACCCGGGCATTTTACATTGAGACTGTTCCGAATGTGAAGAGTATTCAAAGCTTAGTTCGAGAGCGTACCATCAAGAGGACACCTTAGGAGGGGGTAGTAATAGGTGAAAAGGGGTGTAACTTACAAGAACTTGATGAGTGAAGCAAGAAAGCAACTCACACATGATACCCATATATCTTCATCCACCACCACTCCCTGTTCTACATCATCGATCACAGTAAGTGTGTTGTGCTGTAAGTTAAGTCTCGTCTATTTATTGCCCATCATACAAGCCTTGGTCAAAGTGTCTGCTCCCGTCACTATCCGAGCTGATCACGAAGACACATCTCTCAATAAGATCGAGCCTCAAATCCCAGGTCTCAAGTTAAGGGTGAGCGTGAGACGAAGAGATTTTTTAGGGAATGAGAGACGCGGGATATTAATGTGGAAGGAATTTAGATGCAAGAAGAGAGAAGGAAAAGAAACGTAAGTTACTTACTTGTATATCCACGTATGATAGGGAATGCACTTGCATCGTTGACATTGACCCGTTGTACGTTGTACTTGCCCGTTCAAGTCGAAGGATAAGCTAAACTTGGTTGAAAATTGAAAGCAGAGTGAAAGTCAACATTTCCCTCGACAAACTGAGTATGTGCGATCAAGTCTGCCTAGTAGGTTATGTACATAGTTTGACCCCGTAAGTTACTTGAACATGCTAATGTACAGTACATGCAACATGCTACATGCTACATGCTACATGCACTATGAATACCAGTACTCACTTGTCACTTGACTGGGATGATACAAAACATGTATGCGCATACTACAACCGTCAGCGGGCGTCACACCAGAGCCACTCATCTCAATGCACCTTGATATCGACTTGAACTTTGTAACTACCATATGTCAAGATGCATGATTATATATCTCTTCGTATCTCAAGATCGTGTGTTCGCACTAGACAGCGTTCGTAGTAGTGACGCAAAACAAATCGTTATATCAACCCTCGCTAGATGGTTTCCTCCTGATTGGAGCTAACATGATAGGCGGACTGGTCCGGTCAAAACCGAACGCAGTACTTGAACTTGGTGCTGAGGCAGGAGCTTGCCCTCCTATCTGTCCTCCAGCTCCACCCCCGATCTCCACTCCATAGCCAGATCCAGACCCGGAGCCCGAGCCCGAGCCAGTCCCACGGGCCACGGGTCGCTCTGTCATTCGATGTGACCCCAAGAGCGCCGATACACCAGAAGGAATGAAGTTTTCACTCGGGAGAGGTAACCTAGGTATACCGTCGTGACCGTAGATGGACTCGCGCCTCATCCTAGGTAAGGTCGAGTGAGAGATTGAACGATCCGAGAAACTTGAGGATGTTCGAGAGGTGGAATACCAGGAAGAATATGAGGAGGAAGCTTCAAGAGAGGGAGAATGTATATAAGAGGCCGACTGAGCGAGTGGGACAGGTGGAGGTCGACGATCGGTCGGCGTGGAGAGGGAGAATTCGGAAAGATCGAGGGATGGTGCTGTGACTTTAACAACTGGAAACAGTGATGAAGGAAGACAGAATAGGAAAGAAGGGTCGACTCACAGCTCAGACCGATCCGACTAGAAGAAATGGTTCCGTCATCTCCTGTTCGTCTCACTTTCCTTCCGACATCGAGAGGTGAAGACGACGGAGACCTTGTTGCAAAGCTTGACAATCTCAAACCTTCTTCCTGTCCCAGATTGAGGGACGGTCGCCATACTAAGGACCTGGAATGTCGCACCCCCACAGCTGGTGGTGGAGGCAGAGCAGGTTGATGAGCCTGTTGCGAGACTGGAGAATGAGGGTGGTTTGACGACGATTGAGAGGGGCTCCGTTCCTCGGAAAGTGCACGTGAGCTGATAGGGACTTGAGCTTGAGATTTCCCCTGGCGACGACTTTCAGATCTGCCATTAGCTTTGCTCTGCATTGTATTATAACGCTGTGGTCAGGTGCATGTGCAGGACTACGACGAGACTCCGAACATATGAACCTGCAGGGAATCGAGATCGTAGGCCGGGAAAACTTACCGCCTTCCCACGGTGGTATCCGTTCGCAACTTCACCTTCAGCCCTTGTGCTGCCAGATGACGAGTCAGCGGGGTGGATTCCCGCATCCCTTTGAAGAGTTTCGGGGAGAAAACCTCGAAGGTATCGCTGACACAGCATGCGACTTGACTGATACCTTGCCTGCCTGTCAGCTCGGTTCCCTGTATTCCTCAGTATAGACGGTGAGAGTGAAGGCGAGGGAAAGTGTCAAGCCACATTTGACCAGGTTGGTCAATATTGACATGGGACAAGACTTCCAGAGGTGCAAGGGCACTATTATTGTACATATATGGTGAGGGTCGAGGACCAGTTTTGGAATCAGTAGGAGATACTAACTCGCTCGTTTCGAACAGAGTGAACTTCAGTCGGAAGACCCCTGGAACTCTGACGGAGAGTTTGGCGAAGATGCACACAGCGGCCGGTCGTCCATCCAACCCCTTGACTTTTTGAGGGTTCTGGATACTCTCACCGGCGGTGGCATCTGCCCCTGTGGGAGTTTTGACGGGAGGGAAGAAGGGGATGGAGGGGTCACGTTCATCTGCGATGGGCGTGGCCTGAACAATAGAAGCCCTTATGAAAAGAGACGTGGAGTCGTATATGTCGTTTCTGATCATTGGTCAGCCTACCATCAGGTCAGAGCTGTCCAGGACACCGGATTTGCTTCTTCGCCAACGATCGCCAAGCAGATTCACATGAGTCAACCACGCGGACTGCCGACCGCAGCTGGATGGCGACGAGCCTGTGACGTATGGGGAAGGAACAACAGGCAAGTGGCGTCGGAGAACTGATCTGTGTGAGACTTACTGGTTGCCCGACTCCGGATAGCCCTCCAGTATCACTACTGGAGGTGGATCGACAGGACGACGATCGACTGAGGGTGAGCATCGTGATAAACCGCTCATCGATCATGACATGTTCGGTGCGAGCCATCGAGAGACGTCAAACGATGAGAGATGATCAGCGTAGGGGATCATGAGGCAAATAGCAGGACCCACTTGTTTCATTGACCTCTTTGTATGAACACAATCGTGCTCTTTCGGGTTGTTGCCAGATACGCATTACATATCCACTTTCCATCAGCTCATTAACGGGACGGCAGCTGCAGGGTGAGGTTTGATAGAAAAGATGTCGACTCACGCAGAATTCTTCTTATTTTTCATCTCTCTTTTTCTTGTGTCGCCTCCAATCAAAGATCTATAACCCAACTCTTGCCTCGAAACCGGTCTGTCGCCCATCACAGGCAACAAGACCGCATCCATATCTTCTGTGCTCTACTAAGTAACAACTGCCAGTGGCTCCGGAAAAAAAAATGAAGAAGAAGAAGAAGGTTGTGCGATAAACGATGGAGATGTAGCATGTAGCATTTATAGGAGATGAGAGGATGTCGCTAGTACTCGTTCTCGATCTCGAGGCGTTTGAGTTGGGCGTTCCTTTGAGGGGTTTGACCCGCCCGGAACCGTCGTGTACAAAGGAAGACGGGGCGGGCTAAGAGAAGCACGACAGCCGATGGTCGGTGGAAGGGTTCGAATCGGGGCGTACGATAGGAGGGCACAATGAAAGGAATGTGGTGATTCAGTGGGTCGATCAGTGGGATCAGTGGGATCGATGGGACTCAGTGTTTGAGGGAACGGGGAATGGAAACTAATGACTCGGGTTCACGGCGTGGCTTGGAATTGAACACAGGAACAGTCAGTGAAAGAGAAATGGCTTTAGATTATTGATTGATGTTGGCTTGGTCGTCAAGTCACCCGTCATGCCAGTCAGCACATAGCATCCGAGCAAGCAAGGGGAACCTCCGTTTGGCGCACAATTCCAGTCTCGTCGGCGCTCATCTCCGATACCACACAACTGGGTACATGCCGTATACCCGAATTCCGGCGGAACGTTAATTTTCAGGTCGTCCTCCGCCCGTTAGAGGGCCCTTCGGAGATAAAACAGAGAGTCTCATAACGCCGACGTCTTCTCTGCCCAGAGCGCCACTTGGTTCACCACCCGGAAATTGGAGTATTCCCGACATCATCCTCTATGCGTCCGCGAATCGACAGCCTCTAGCATCTTTCATATCTCCAAAATGGCCCCCAAAATCGACCCCAACGAAGTCAAGGTCAGTACTGTCTTGTCGTATAGCCGTGCAGCTGATCCTGTGTTTCCTCTTATCCTCGTTTCCCTGCCCGCTGACCGTTCAACCTCCTCCATTCGCCTCATCTGGATGTTGCGACCCTTCATCCTCTCTTGAATGATCGATGATTTCCACGATCTCCCACGCTATTGGCACCCCGGTCTGCTATGCTGTCAATATGAAATCCAATATATCTGGTCTGGCCTGGTTTTCCCCCTCCGATCGACCATGAATGCCGAATCGCCCACCTCACCTATCAATCTCGTCGTCGCTCCAATACTCTCACGGCGCTTTACCCGGACAGATAATCTACCTCCGAGCGACGGGAGGAGAGGTCGGTGCTTCTTCTGCGTTGGCGCCGAAAATTGGGCCTCTGGGTTTGGTGAGTTGATGTTCTCCCTCCTTCGACCTCGCCTAGCAAGAATGACAAGTCTCTCCGTCTTACGCCTCATTTTGTGGCCTCTCGTGGCCGTTGAACCAACGTGGACTATCTTTCCTCGCTCTTACAGTGGTAAAGCTTCTACTAGAAGGGCGTGTACTGCCTCATTGCTTGCTTGCGGATCTGTGAGACGGTGGAGGCGCTGTACATTGAGTCAGCTACAGGCCAACGCCCGTCCCTTCAATCGAGATTCAAATCGAATCGAATCTATAGCCAGTGCTCCGTTCTTTTAAGAGACTCTGGGAGTCCTAATGTATGTTATGGCCTCACGCTAATCCTCAGTCACCCAAAAAGGTCGGAGAAGATATCGCCAAAGCAACCGGTGACTGGAAAGGTCTCCGAGTCACCGTCCAGCTCACCATTCAAAACCGTCAAGCGGCGGTGTCCGTCGTCCCATCAGCTAGCTCTTTGGTCATAAAGGCTCTGAAAGGTGAGTCTGACTCAAGATTGAGCTCTGGTACCGATTTGACTGATGCCATAGAACCCCCACGTGATAGGAAGAAGGAGAAGAATATCAAACATACTGGCAACGTCTCTCTGGACGAGATCTACAACGTGAGTGCACACATTCTTCCTCACTCTTTCGCTCGCTCGCCTGCCTGCACTTTCTACATTTGCTGGCGTGGCGTTGGCCGTATATCCGTACAAGCTGGATAGTCCCTCCTTCGCGAAGCTGCTGCAACTTTCATTCCCGCATGCTGCGGGTCGTGCCTCTCTAGCTGTTGCTCTCCCTTTTTTCGGGCTACTGTACTACATTGATTATGCTCGGAGTGCTCATTTTCAGGTTGCTCGCAAGATGGCGCACAAATCATTCGCCAAGAACCTGGCCGGTGGAGTGAAGGAGATCTTGGGTACTGCTCAATCAGTTGGATGCACAGTGGACGGTAGACCTCCTCATGATATCATTGAGGCTATTGATGCCGGGGAGATTGACGTTCCTGCTGAGTAGCAAGGGGGGAGATGGATGACATGCATCGAATTGTACCCGACTTGCATGATGTTTTCTGACGCCATATCTTCGGTCCTCTCCGACTTGTTTTTTTCAGCTCACTGTATTTCGTGTCTCTTCTCTTCACCTACTCATGTCTTGATGTCTTTTCCTCTCACCTTGATTTAGCCCCTGTGAGCCTTTGTAAGGTAGTCTGTGTGATAAACTGTGAACATTGGATCAATATACGATGTACACCTCAAGATCCCTCACCCATCTTCGTCCTCCTCGTCACTCTCCTCGTCCTTCATCCAGGTCCGTCACCACCGGCGACCGTCGCATTCCACCTCCTCCTCGACCTTCTCAAGCGTCCTACTCCCCTCTCGCAAATACAGCAAGGATCTTTTCCGATACCTCAAATTCACCGAGAACGTCATTCTATCTCCTCCTATCTTTCTTAGGAACGACAGCACTCGGTTATTCCTTATCTTATCTCCCTCCTCCACCTGAAGATTCATTCCTTTCTAAATTATCTAAACTTCCTTCTTCTCTTTCTTCATTTTTGAATCTATCTTCATCTTCCAACATCATCTCGAACCTTTCAGCATCATCAAATAACAAAGAAGGGAATCCATCAAGTGAATTAGTAGAATCATCACAAGCTAAACAATATTGGCTCTCTCATCCACCCACATATGGTACGAGAGCAGATTATCAACAAGCCATAGAAGATCTTACGAAATATTTTGGTGATCAAGCAGGAGAAAGAATCAGTACAGATCCATCTGATCTTGAAGTTCATGGTGTAAGTGATTGGAGTTATCATGCTGCTAAACGACCTACTGTGGTGGTTTGGGCAGAAAGTACGGATGATGTTGTCAAAGTTGTTCAAGTGGCTCGAAAGTGGAAAGTACCTATTACTCCTTATTCAGGAGGAACGAGTTTAGAGGGACATTTCAGTAGTGTAAGTTAATTATCTCCCTTCTTTCTCTCACCCCTTCTCTCTTCCCTGCTCCTTGTTGTCCTTTCGCTCCTCTTTTTTCTCGCTTCACGCGATCACTCATCAAAAGCATGAGGAGACATTCTGTCATCTGTGAGACCTCAATTGAGTCGTCCAATCACCTGATTGAATGGTCATGATCTCACTTTCAGCCCTATGGCGGGATATCCCTCGATTTATCAAATATGAATAAAATTCTACAGTTCTCCGCTCCAGACGGGGAGATGACCGTTCAATCCGGTGTCAAATGGGAAGATGTCAACGCTTGGTTGAAAGAAAAAGGAGCCCCATTGTTTTTCCCTTTAGATCCTGGACCCGGAGCTACGATAGGTGGTATGGTGGCTACTGGGTGTAGTGGCACGAACGCTGTCAGGTATGGGACTGCTAAGGCAGAGTGGTTTTTGAATTTGGTAAGTGTATACAAGGATTCACTGACTCTGACCTTTTCTTACCCCTCCCCCCTCCCCCCTCCCTCCCCTCCCCCAGGATGTCTTCAGCCGCTTTCACTCCGATCTGTCTGCAGCGTAACTCCTTGTCACTGTCACGTATCTTCGCTCGATCCTCAGCACGAGTTTCCCTATTCTTTCTACCTTTGACCAGACCCATACTTTGATTCCGTTGATTGTTATCGTCAAGAGTCATTGTCTTTTGAACACCTCTCAAACTCCCCTTTGCAGATGGACGACTAATCTCAGACCGTTGTACTATCCACTGGAGAAGTCATCAAAACCCGTCAACATGCCAGAAAATCCGCGGCGGGATTCGATACCACTAAACTTTTCATTGGTGCCGAAGGAACTTTGGGTATAGTCACCGAGGCGACTTTGAGATTAGCTCCGTTGTTACCGACGAAATGCGCTGTAGTGACATTTGACGGAGTGGAAGACGCTGTGAATGCTGCTACGGAGATGTGAGTTACGTACTTCTCGCTGAGATCTCCACACCTTCTCGTGACTCTTTTCCACCAACCGATTTATTGGAGCCGCCCACCTCATACTTTGTCTCCAACTGGTATTCTGCATTGCTCGTACATATCTCTCTCAACAAGTATCTCATAGTCCCAGAGGCAGGCCAATAATGCAATGAGAATCAACTAACAATGAGTGTTACAGCTGGTTATCCGGTCCGTGAGTGTTCCCATCTCCTTAGACTCAGAGGCTGGCCTGATGTCAGAATGCGTCGAGTTCCTTGATGCGAGAACTATGAAAGCTATCAATAGAGGTGGTGCGGTCAGTAGAGAATACAAGGAAGCAGATTCGTTGTTGTTCAAATTCCAGGGGTGAGTCCCTCATACGCATCATGCCGGTTTTCTCCAAGATTACGCCAATACCTTACAATCATGGTGCTTCAAGCCGGATCGCTGAGATCAGATCCGATGCTGCCATGTCTGAAGTCGCTAAAGGAACCAAGGCCGTATGTCAAAAACACGGTGGAAAGAATTTTGAATTTTCCAAGACGGACAAGGAAGCCGAGGATTTATGGCAAGGGAGGAAAGCGGCTTTATGGAGTGTTTTAGCTTTGATTGAAGGGTCGAAAGTATGGACTACGGATGTTTGGTGAGTCTGACATGTCCTGCGACTTCCTCTATCTCTCTGTACTCTCGTCGTCACGAGGGTCAGGAGACACCCTTCAGAGTCTCTTGAGTGAGATGGAAAAACAATTGGAAATGTACTGACGGTAGTGTACCCATCTCCAAATTACCAGCTTTGATCAGAGAGACGAGCGAAGATTTCGAAAAGAGAGGTATCACAGCTTGTCATTTTGGGTTAGTCCTTATTTTCTCCCCCGCCGCTTAGTAACAATCTGATAAACAGCCACGTCGGCGACGGAAACTGTCATTCCCTCGCTCTATTCACAAACGAAGACGAACTTTCTCGTATCCGTGAAGGGGTACACGAAATGGTAGAACGTGCCATCCGATTAGGTGGGACATGTACAGGAGAACATGGTGTTGGGACGGGAAAGATAGAATATCTCGAGACGGAATTAGGAGTTGGAACTGTTAGTCTTATGGAGACTGTCAAGCGGACAAGTGAGTTTCTTCTTCTTTTTTCGAACATTTATGTGATTCTTTATTAACATGTCAGTGGACCCTTTGGATATCATGAACCCTGGAAAGTTATATCCCAATATCAAACCTATCCGACCGGAGTGAACTTGATTTGTTTCACGCTTGAGTGTGATTACCTATCTATCTGCATGTCTTAATCATTGGGTATATCCATGCATATTTCTTGCAGAGCATTTCTGCCTTTGATCTCATGGCTTTTTATCTTCTGGTTAAGAGGGCTACCGTATGAAGGAGAACATCTTCAGGCCGATGGGTGATCAAACGTTGCGCAATGCACATCCGGCGCATGTCATGTGGGTCATTCCGTCAGTTCTACCGAATCCTAAGTAAAACATGATTGCGTTGATCTGTATCAACACAGGTCAGGTCGTCGTGGGGTGACACGATGGTAGGAGTGAGAATGATAAGCGGAAGAGGAGTGTGACTTGTCATATAGAGGAGTACGAATAGAGAGAAAGAAAGACCTCTAAAAACACTCGCGGCGGGCGGCGGTCTGATTTTTGAATCGATTTGTTTCGCTCGTTTCCTAAGTTATAAGTTAAGTACTTACGTCAAAAGTCACCATGCGCCTTCTCTTCTCTTCTCTCCTTCTTTATCACAGGCACGATCCGTATAGAATCCGATCTAGAGTTTCAGATAGGTAATCTGTGGCCTTGTGGATGGGGTAATGGAGGGAATCGGAAAGAAAGTTTGACTCAACAGTGAGGAAAGATCCACACTTCATTATTTGTGGGGTACATGAGCTCCCGATCTCTTCTCCTCGTTTCCGGTTATTTGATCAATAACATACTGATACCATCTGACATTGTGTGAATCACACTTGTCGTATCTTGAACAATGTCCACCAGTGATAGGCTAAACAGGATCGAATTTGACTTGGACCGTCAACAGAATCACACCACGAGTAACTTCACGAAATACTCATAATTCCGTATTGACTGATGCCATCAACAACTCATCTCAACATGATTCGTAAACTACCGAAAGCTCAAGGTTGAAGAGTAGTGATTGACAGATGACAGATTTTCCATATTGCTCAGAGGACAGATCATTGCATTGTTATGGGCTCTGGGCGTTACTCTCCTCTTTTACCGGAAACGGATGGAAAAAAGACTTCACTCTCTCGTCGCTTTAACATCATGCCATCATGCCATCAATAACAACATCCTTTGAAGATCAATCCATCAAAACTTCACCTGCTCGTCACTTTGGAATATTTGTTTCCCCTTCAACAACCCCATACTACCCTCACGCCCTCTTTGATATGTTATAATAATCACAATTGATCTGAACATCCTTCCTCATCTCATCTTTCATAAAAACCAAACGAAGCTTCTCCCGCAACTATCTTCTTTTGCTTCTCACGTATACACAAAAAGACCAACTTGTCAACTTCAACCCCTGATCATATTCCCTCCGGTACATACGTGGCAGGTGGCACATTTCACCCAAATCCTCAGCCTTACAGCGCGTGGTAGATAATCGTCAAACGTAGAAGAAAAGAAATCAACCTTTGTTAGTTCTTTCTCTTTTCCTCCTTTTACCTGTCATTAACCAATCACTTTTACATATTCACTTCAACATCCAATCACCAATTCGTTCAACACCACACTTGACCTTAACTTTTAGAAGATATATACTTGTACATACTTCGTTTAACAAACTTTGCTCATCAATGTCACAGACTTTGCTTCTTTCAACGATCAACGCACGCATCATGAACACTTCAAATTCCGCCCTTGACTTTAACCCTAGTCAACTTAGGATCGTCTCTAATAAAGAGAATAATTCTTCTTCATCAATGATATCATCTCCATTGGGAATCACAAAGATCCCTTTATCGACCATCTCGGAAATCACTTCTTCCTCATCTATCAAACCAAGGATTGGAGGGATCGGCAAAGCACCTGGATCAAAACAAGGTGGAAGATTCAAACCTTATCCTCGTATACCTTCTGTTCAAAGGGCTAAAGCGAAAGCTAATAAACCTGTGTTGGGTAAAGATGTTTTGGAGATGATAGAAGAGAGAAGTAAAGAGAGAATGAGGAATGAGAGAAGAGAAGGTGAAAGGATAAAGTTACCTTTGAGATTACCGATGCCTCGATTTCCGGAGGTGGAAATTGATCAGAATGAATTTCCCGATTTACAAGGTGTGGTGAGTGTGATTTCTATCCGCTGTGTGCAATTTCCATCCGCCGAGTACGGTCTCTATCCGCTGTGTACAGCCTCTATCCACTACCAATATCTCTTCATCAATGATACCCATTATATCAACGTGATGCTAACGAATAGCCGGTGGAATACATCCGAGACACACTCAACCCTCTCCTTCGTCGATTCTTAGCTTGTTCACATATCTACCGACCTGTTCCTCATCTAACTCCATTTCCTCGTCCAATCAAAACCACCGTCGACGGGAAGACCAGTACTCGGTTCACTGCTCCTGAACTGGCTGTAGCTCCAGCTCCAGTGTATCAGACAGATCCTACTTTAGATCGATTCATGGAAACCTTAGGATGTAAACCGGACGTAGTGTTGGCTATTCATAAACGAGATGACAATGGTGATTATGAATCGCCCAAAATCGTTGTTGCTAGGTACGTTTACGTTTACGTTTAGTCTAATCATAACGAGTTCTCGCTAACTTTCAGTAAATTAGTTTTAGCCTCTCAATGTTCTCATTGGTCCGAACTCACCTCATGGGAATCTACAACACCCGTTCCTTATCTTCACTACACAGGATCCCCATTAAATTCAGCTTTACAAAACTATATCTCACCTCATTCATCCCATACCGATACAGAATCCATACCTCAAACCATTCGTCAAAGAAGCGTTTCCCTTCCACCTACACCACCACCTTCAAATCCAGATAATACAGCAGAAACAGAACATACTTTAATACTTCCTGTCATCCCTATATTCTTACCTGATCCTAATACTTTCTCTTTAATATTCGATCATCTTCACAGACCTACAATTTCGTTATTACCTTCTTTACTTGATCTTTCAGCGGAGGATTGTAAATCCCGAGAAGGGATAATGAAACAACTTCGTGAGTTGAGTTTGGAAGATTTGTATAGTAAATTAAGTAAGATACATCGGGTTTGGAAGAATTTATGTGTTTTAGGAATTGGACAAAAAGAAACTTGGTTACAAATGGGTCATGCTTGGGGTTGTGTTTTAGGTTGTATGGTAGGGAAAGGATGGAAAAATGAAGAGATGGAGATGGATGAGTGATATTGGGAATATAAATTAATATTGAAAGTACAAAGACGTAGGTTCATCATTGGGTAAATGATTAGTATGTGTATGAATAAGATGAGAAGTATTGGGATAGTTATAATATTCTTTCACACATCTTGCAATGGGCATATTACTTGCATTCAGTGAGCGCTGAGAAATAACCTGTGGTAAAGCTGTGAAGAACTCATCGTATCTCTCGGTCATATCATTCTTTGTCATAAGTCTGACATGTGAAGGTCACACGCTCGTCGCATGTATCTCGATTGAGAATACCTGTACCATGCATAAAGATGTCTACCTCTCAAAAAGATGACACCTTCACTCATCTTGATCCATCTTGTCCGAATGAGCATCATCAGCAGCTGATACTTTCTCTCCAGCCTGTCCCTCACTTCCATCGGCATCTTCTTCCTTTTCCTGCTCATCCTCGTCCTCGTCCTCTTCATCGGAATCAGGTAAGTCGTACGATAATCCGCCACTGGCGACTCCATTCCGTTGGGCTGCCCAAGCTTGAGCAGCTTGGAAGAATTTATGAGTGGCAGGATTAGCATCCTTCTCGTCGTCTGGGAAGACGAGATCCCAATCTGGAATGATCAGTAGCTGTTCTGTACACTAGACACTTAGACACTCTGAAACCGGAGGCAGTTGCGACCAAAAGCGTCGAGTGAATGACCCAGTGAAGAAAAGGCAGGAGAAGTTGAAAGCACGGTAATGTAGGGAATTGGACTGAAGAGCACGAGGAAAAGAGTCCTGTGAAGCAAAAAAGTGGTTGAAGTTGAACGTACATTCTTCCAAATTCCCACTTGCATCTTCCGCCCTGCGCCATCGTTTCCGAGTGACAGGCAACATTTCCTCCACTTTTGCCCTTTCTTCGTCTGAACCATGTCGCTCCTCGAACGCTTTCCAAGCTTCCAATAATAGAGCGCGCTGAGTGTCAGCTTACACCTGTCCTCGTAGCTGGTATTTGATATATCATTCTGGCTCGTACACCAGGTCACCAAAGGGACCTTGAAGCAACAACCGAAACCACAATGCGGATATATTGTAGTGATTTGAGTCCTCGTTCGGAGATGCAAGTGGATGGACAATCCTAACTTGATTGTGGGGATAGAGAGTGGTGGCAATGATCAAGAAGAATGACAGAAAGGACAATACCCAACTCACATCTTCCTTTTCTCCCCTGGAACGAAGATCCTTATACCCTCTCTCAAACACAGCCCTAGCCATATCCGCATCCCCGACCTCTCCTTCAATCTCATTCCCATCTTCATCCTCCCCACCACCCAAAGCTGAAACTTCCATGAGCGCATAAGATATATACACCTTAACATGTGACGTCCTCTCCAACAATCTCTCATATAGATGTCTGGCCCTCTCTCTTTCTCCTTCTCCAGCTTCGAAATCGATATAAGCTTTCCAAACTATTTCGGGCATATCTAAAGCTTGATTCACAGCAAGTTCAAATATAGCTCGAACACGTTCAAAGTCTTCCACGGCAGATTCCACTTGTGTCCATTGGATCCATGCTGAACTCAAAGATGGGTCGTAAGTCAAGAACTTTTCGTATAATGTACGAACACGATCAAATTCGCGCAACCGCATTTCGAGTTCGATATAACCTGAGAAAAGTTTAGGTTTGGGACACATACCGATACCCGCACCGAGGACTTTACGTGCGGCGTTGACATCATGTTGACGAATTTCGAAATAAGCGTATTGTAACCATAACTAAGTGATTAGCATGATCTATGGCATCAATCGAAGAGAAAAGTACCTTGGCGAAGGTGAAAGTTCGATGTGGGACAAGTTTGATAGCGGCTTTGTATACATCTCTAGCTCGATCATAGTCTTTGATGTCTATTTCTTCAAAAGCGGCGTATTGAAGCCATAGGAAGATGTATCTCCGCCAATATCTGTCATGTCAGTAGCATCAATAAGAAGTGAAAACCATTGAACGTACCTCTTCTCAGTCGCAGGTGGAACATTTGCTACTGCTCGCTCATACACTTCTCTCACTCGGGAAGGATCGGCATTCTCCCCATCTTCCTTCTCGGCTCGGTAGGCATCCTCTTCCAGTCGAGCGAGGGAGAACCAAGCGTCATAGTTTGTTCCGTCGTAGGCCAATTCTTCTTCGTATTGTATTCTTCTCTTACCGAGCACGGTCAGTTCCACTCCTGAGCGATCACCGTCTGCGCGTCAGTCTGGGGTGATCAATGTGAACACTTTGTAACTCACGCTGTTTCTCGAATTTGGTGTATGCGGTGTAGACTGCGCGTCAGCACATCCTATAATTGACGGAAGGCTCACTCACGAGTGGCAGACTTGGACCGTGGTAATCTGGCTAATGCGAACTGACGTCGTCAGCTGACCAAGCCTATGAGGAAGCTACAAAAGAAACGTACTTTGTAGATCACCCTGGCTCGATCAAACTCTTTCAATCTAGTCTCCATCCTGGCAAAGGCAGCAAAGACAGCCTGAGCCTTCTCGACCTGTTCCTCCTCATCTCCAAAGAACTCAAGAGCAGTTTGAAAAACCTCGCGAGCTTTATCTGGCTTCCCTCTGTCTTCTTCGAATTTAGCCCATGTCACCCAGTTTTTAGGGATGGGTCGGACTCCGATCCATCTCTCGTATATTGCTGAAGCACGATCAAGCTCGTTGTACCGTTCTTCGAGCTTGATGTAACTTTGCCACGCCTTGTCATTTGGTTCCCATTGCATCCATCTTTCAAAAATTTGTCTAGCTCCAGCTATATTGAGAAGGAGTTCTTCGAGGTAAACGTATTTGTACCACAACTGAGAGTAAGTCACTGTTATTGATAGACTGCACTTGATGTGTCGATATGTGAATATTGAATGAGAGGGGGATAGAAAGAGGAACAGTGCATTTCAAACGAGTAGGAGGGAAACAACATACCGCATCCACACGAGGTAGTAAAGTGATAGCCCTATCATACAAATTCCTAGCATGATTGATATTTCTCGCTTTCAACTCCATATCCGTATACTTGATCCAAATGTCTACATTTCGAGGATCTATGTCCATAGCCCTTTCAAAAACGGATCTAGCACGTTCAAACTCATTCTGGCTAGCTTCCCATTGAGCATATTTGATCCATGCTATTTGTCAGCTCTGAGTACATTTGATGACCGATTGCAATATGACACTTGGTCTTCATTGGTGTCCCGAATAAGTCCACACCCTTTGACATGATCACATGACCCGATAAGCTGACGGATGAATTGTTGATAAAGTCCCAAGAAAATTGGTAGAAGAGCAAGATATGTGAATTGTGTGTGATACAACAAGATGGGTCGAATGAATCAAAACTTACCTCTAAAATCATCGCGAGAATATCTAATCCTTCCCTCAAATTCATTCCTCTTCCTCCCCTGAAACTCGGAGAGTTCTTCAAGATCTTGAATTCGTTGTTTAGGAGCAGTAAAAGAACGTTCTTGTCTCTCTTGAGCCTCACGAAGCAGTTGTTCAGAGGTGATCTAATTGTTCAATCATGATACAAGTTTGCAGAAGCTCAAAACTCACTTGGATAGGAGCAGGGGCCCTGTTCTTGACTCTTGGTGCCCTCTCTCTGGTATCTGGAGGAAGAGGTAGAGTGTTCATCTTTCAGATTGGGTATGGAGTAGATGATTGACTGAAGAGTATATATATGCAAACACCTTGGATGGTGTCGAATACGAGATGTATGAGGATGGCTGCGGTAAAAAACGACGAGCGTTGTGGCATCCGATTGAATGTGGCACTTTCAACCCATCCTCCATCTGGTCCGTGATCCCTCGTCAACCCTGCAATCTAAGAAATCATCTTTTTCTGCTGCTCTAGCCTGATGTTACATGGCAAGCTTGATGCTAAAAGCACTCCCGAGGAGCTACAGACTGACAGCACAGCCATCTCAAAGGAAGAAAGCGCAAGACGCGCTACCACTGCGCAGCCCCTGTCCAAGAAGAGCTCCCCTCCAAGTCAATGTCCACCCGGCGCCGGCGGGGAAAAGATGAGCTGCTATTCATTTTCAAGGCCGCCCTTCACGATAATCGTGGGCCTGTAGAGACTTGTATCTTCTAAAAGACTCAGTCAAATCATGGCGGAACGAGTCAGGCCTTATTCAACTTCACTCATTCATCATCTTTCTACCTTAATCTGTCAACCCCCTTATCCTGCGTCGTCGAGTCCAACAAGGGTTCACATGATTATAACAGAGCTTGACAAGTGACAGCTTCAATCAGGCCCTCTTCGAGATCTTCTCCACCAGTCTCTCCTCGACTTTCTTCATATAAACATCCGTGGTGACCCAGTCATCTCTGGTCATCTGCTTGCCTTTCATCGCCAAAGCCAGATCTTTAGTCATCACTCCATCCTGATCTATAATCTCCACACATGCAGCCTCGAGGTCTTGGGCGAACGAGGCGAGCTCTGGTGTGTTGTCAAGCTTGGCGCGGAAAGCGAGACCGCGGGTCCAGGCGAAAATGGAAGCTACGGGGTTGGTAGATGTCTCTTCGCCCTTTTGCCATTGACGGTAGTGTCGCGTGACCTGTGGCATTAGTCATCAACTCTTCTATGCTTTTACCACACCTTCCATGATGAAGATCACCACATGCATTTATGACCTTCCCGCTTTACCTCGTTTTGTCGAGATGACAGGATGAGTGTCATGATTAGTCAGTGATCAGCACAGTGGAAGAGATCAGAAAACGCGACGAGAGGTGAGAATGACAAAGAGGGAAAGAGCTCACAGTCCCATGAGCCGCCTCGGACTCCATAGTGGACCCATCTGGGGTGATCAACTCCGAGGTCATCATTCCCAGAGAACCAAAGCCTTGAGCCAGGATATCACTCATGACATCTCCATCGTAATTCTTGCACGCCCACACAAAACCTCCAGATGATTTGATAGCTTGGGCCACCATGTCGTCTATGAGGCGGTGCTCGTAGTAGATACCAAGACGTTCGAATTCCTTTTTGTATGTCGACTCGTATATCTCTTGAAACACGTCTTTGAATTTGCCGTCGTATTTTTTGAGGATAGTGCTGTGGGTGAGTACACAGATCTCTTTCACAATACAGGGGGAATCTATGAGCTTTACATATCCAGGATTTCTGATCGAGTTCGGTTATTGTCTCATTGATCAACCTTACTTATGTCTTTGGGGATTGGAAGAAAAGTGGTAAAGTAGTTTGACGATGTGGAGTGATCTAGTATGGAATGAGGGCACACTCACTTCTTAGTCGACATGAACAGAGGCATTTCCTTACTGATAGCCATCTTGAAACTAGCATGTGCAAACCCTTTGATACTCTCCTCAGTGTTATACATGCTCAACGCGACACCAGGACCTTTGAAATCGTACACTTGCATTTCGGTGGGTTTGCTACTGTCTGCGGGGGAGAAAGTGAGGGTCAGTTTACCTGGTCCTGGAGCGACAAAGTCAGTGGAGCGGTACTGCGTATCAGCGTCCATTTCTCTCCTCTTGTATGTTCGCCCCTCTCTGATATTTCAACATCAACCCCATGCTCAGTGTCATGTTCCATTTTCAAGAGGGATGAGACTGCGTAAACTGTGAGTAGAAACCATAAATTTGTGAAAGTCAAAGGGGGATGAAAAATGCCTCACTTGATCACCAAAAGCATGACGCCCAATACAAATAGGCTTCGTCCAACCTGGCACTGGTTTAGGGATACTCTTCAGTATGATAGGTTCTCTAAAAACCGTACCCCCTAGGATATTCCTGATGGTCCCATTTGGACTCCTCCACATTTCTTTCAACTTGAATTCCTTGACTCTCGCTTCGTCCGGTGTGATAGTAGCGCATTTCACACCGACGCTATACTTCTTGATGGCCTCTGCAGAGTCGACAGTCACTTGATCATCGGTGGCATCACGGTTTTCGATACCCAAATCGTAGTATTTGAGCTCTACGTCGACATAAGGTAAGATGAGTTCTTCTCTGATCTTCTTCCAGATGATACGGGTCATTTCATCGCCGTCAATTTCGACGACTGGGTTTTTTACCTTGATCCTGGAAGGGGTTGCATATCCTCTAGATGATACGGTGAGGAGAGGGGAAAGATGTTTGAGGGCCAAGGGACGGACACGGACATGGACACGGCACAGCTGAGTCTCAGTTGGGTTTCTCGTTGAGTTTCTGATGGCTCGGTTGCTGTTCTTCCGGACACTCCAAACTCCCAGCTCTGACAAGAATGACAGGCTCAACTACCTGAAACAAGCAGTATGGACCATAAGAGCTGATTACACGAGAGACTCACCATAGCAGAAGCAAAGCAAGATGATATGAATACGAGTAATTGTGAAGAAGCAAATTTGAACAGTCGTTAGGGTCATCCGTATACTTAGCCGTGGAGGAGAAACCGGGCCGGTCTGATGCCGTGCGGACATTCTCTCCATCTCCGTTCACCTCCTCTCGTCCCCACCCGATCCTATTACTTTAGCAACGACAATTATATAGACAAAACACGTATCATCGAATATGCCTCAATACCCACCAAGACCTCCCCCCGGTATACGTAGAACATTTTGGTCGTACAGGTAATTACTCGGCTCACCCTTCCGCTCTCCCATCCCTCTTCAACACTCTCGTCGTCCTCGGATCTCAACCCGGACTTTCTGGCTCAAATTACAAAATGGACAACAGAATCCACTACATCTGGAATCGTTCAAGACGTGAATGGAATGCTGATATTCAGAACAAAATTCGAAGTCACATTCGGTTTCTCCATGTTGGAAGCATGGGAAAAAGGCATGATCTGTACGTATATGTCTTCCCTCTCTTTCTCTCCTCTGCGATATAATCTCCTCTGACCATATGAAAAGGAACGACGTTTCTCTCCTGACTAACCGAGTTTCTGACATGTTGAAGGCGATTATTGACCATCAGACATGCTCATGCTCATCATCACTGCCGTTTTCTGGATATCCGTCTTCAATTACACTCCTCGACATCTCGGTTATCTTCACCGACGTTTCTCTTACTATGTATTTGACGATGAGAATGTCGATGTGCGGTTCTTGTTAAGAGATTGGGTATGGGATGGTGTGGACGGTGTTTGGAGTGGGGTCAAGCGGATACGGGGAGAATTATGATTTCCTGTAGCTTCATAGCGTTTTCTAACGTAGTACCCTCGCCCTTCGGGGTACGATCAATATAGATCGCAGAGGATCATTTATGCATCAACCTATTCTTCTGTCTGAACGTACATCACCGCACTTGGACTATAATTTCCCCCGTGGTGTCCGATAGATGACGAACTTGACGAATGCATCGATCTACATATAATCTCAAAATGTCTTTATCCTCCTGAGGTACTCAATCCAAGACGGCCTCTCACGATGAATATAGAACGGAGAATATCCCAGAGATCGGTGGAGTGACCGCTGACTGCTAAGTTACTGCCACTGAGGACGAGCCACAGAATAATCCTTACATCCATCGGCGTCATCGATCACTACTACTCACTTACCTCGTCTCTTTCTCTCTTCTACCAAACAATCATACACTTGAACTTCTCTCCCCCATCAGTCTCAATATGTCACAGTCAGACCCAGTCGATGGGCAAATCACCACCACAATCACAGCAACAGCTCATCTCACCCTCCCCGCTCACCCAACTCCGATGTCCTATGAAGAGCTCAACCCTCGTTCATCAGCGCACGAATTCTTCGGTCCTCTAGGATGTCTCATAGTTACTTTTCTCACTCCGATCACCGCTTATGGGCTCTTCTTCGCTTGCAATGAAGTGACAGGATGTCCACCATCCTCATCTGCGGCGTGGAGAGCGACATGGGAGTTGATCGGTGATTGGCCCAGTTTAGCTGGCAACCTGTGGGATTGGAATGCCATGTGGGTGTATCTGGGATGGTACATTTATTGTGTGGCTTGCTGGGCTGTGCTTCCTGGTCAGACAGTGGAAGGTGGTTTATTGAGAGATGGTAAGAGGAAAGTATACAAGATGAACGGTGGGTTTGTCTTATCTGTCCCTCGAATCATGATCATTCCATCGCCAGCATCTACACGATGAGCCAGCTTACGAGACAGGAACATCAACACTTCTTCTTACTCTAGGAATTACAGTGGGTATCATCCTTCAACCCGGTGGTCCGGAACGTTTCGCTTGGCTGTACGATCATTGGGTACCGCTGGTCTCGGCTTCTTTGGTCATGGCGCTCGCTCAAGCTATATGGGTGTATGTTTGGTCTTTTTACTCTAAAGAGCTGTTGGCTATAGGCGGTAATTCCGGAGTGTTCATCTATGATGTGAGCAAATCTCCTATCATCCGTCTCCTCTCCATCCCACTCTCATGTCCATTCCCATAGCCCCTCATGTCGACCGAACTCACATCGGTCTGCTCATCCTGACTCTCGGATGATACTTGTCCTCCTCACAGAAGATGAAAATTTTACCACGAACTGGGCTTGCAAATCCATCGAGCATCACCTGATGTCCCAGTTCTTCCTCGGCCGTCCCCTAAATCCCACATTTCCCGGGTTCCCCTCGTTCGACATCAAAACATTCAACGAAGTCCGACCTGGGATCATCCTTTGGGTTTTACTCAACGTTTCTTGTGCCTGCGAGCAGTACGTACGGAATGGTAGTGTGTCAGATTCCATGTGGCTGGTCTTGGTTTTCGAAGGATGGTACGCTGCCGATTGTTTGATTTCAGAGGTACGTCGACATGTACCCCATCTCCCCTTGCCCAGCTCACAGTTGCCCTCATCGACTCACCCAACTCCAGTGTTCCCATCAGCCCTCACGTTATCATCTCTTCTCCGATGCTGCCAGCAGCGTCTGTCCGAGTTTGTCCCAAGACACGTTCTGGGTTTCTCCGCTAACCCTCAGGCATCCATCTTGGGTCAGATGGACATCACAACCGACGGATTCGGTTTCATGCTGGCTTTTGGTGATCTTACTTGGGTTCCATTCACATACGGACTTCAAGCTCGATATCTAGCTTTCACCCCTGTACATCTTGGTTGGGCCCGTTCCGCTGGTATAATCGCTTTGGAAGTGATCGGACAGTATATATTCAGAGTTGCGAATAATGAGAAGGATCAATTTAGGAAAGGCAAAAATCCCAAGAGTGAGTCTCGGTCACTCCTATTCTCACTATTTTCTATCCTCACCATCTGTTCCACCCTACCTATTCCCGTCGTCCTCCCATTCTCTGAAGCCTCTCCGACCTACTCAGCGTCTCTCCCTCCTTGAGACGCGGGGCAATGTGTGAAAATGGCCGTATCCGGCCTGAACACCATTTCACGGACCTATAGATCATTTGGCTGCTCTACATCTACGAAGGGGACCAGGGCTTAGCTCACCACAGACCTCACATTCTTGGAAACACAACGAGGCACTCGACTCCTCACTTCCGGTTGGTGGGGTCGGTCCAGACATCCAAATTATTTCGGAGATTGGATCATGGCGTGAGTTTCCCTGCCTCTTCTCTTGAGATCCGCTCTCTCTCTCTTTCTCTGTGTGTGTGTGTGTGTGTTTATATATCACGGTCAGACTGGCGGACGTGGAGGCGGAAGGAATGAAAGTATGAGTACTGATGAATAGCTGCGCTTGGTGTCTCCCCGCTGGTTTCGGTTCTCCATTACCATACTTCTACGTCGTTTTCTTTGCCATCCTCCTGATCCATCGTCAGATGAGGGATGATGAGGCTTGTAAGAAGAAATATGGATCAGATTGGGATAAAGTGAGTCCTGACCTTTTGTCTCGGCTGCATCGTGAGTTTCTAAGCTGACCGAAAGTATTGTGAATTGGTTCCGTATCGAATCGTCCCTTATATCGTGGGTTCATCTATGGTGATCGTGATCAAGCTGACTGTGATAGTATTGAGTCAACATCGCAACAATCGAATATCGATACAGTGACAGAGAAGCAGGAAGGCGAAGGGCGGGATGAAGGGGAAAATCAAGTAATCTTTCATGCTTGAGAATGCAAGTCAGGGAATAATTAATGTGAAAATAATGCCACATCCATCAGTGGGAGAAACCTCAATTCATGCTCAGTAACGCTATCGTACAGTGCCCTGAACCTAGTACGCCTCTGCGCCAGCGGGAATCTCGGGTTGCGGTTGAGGAGGAGGGATACCTTGGGGCTCCTTGTGCTCCGATCTGATCTCGATGATGCCTTCTGGCTTGGGACTGTGGGATCAGCGCGCTCCTCTTCAGATGGACCCCTCAAACGTATGGGTCATCTTCGTAGAAGGTGTCACTGAGCAAGGAGGTAAAGAGGGAGAGATAAGAGATGTCCACTCACTCGACCATGGTAACAGCATCGGGAAGGTTCTTTGCGGGTCCCATACGGCCCTCGGGGTCGAAAGGCCTCATGCTATATGTTAGTCACAGTTGCTCTTTCAAAAGTGAACAAAATGAGTCTCTTGTCTTCCACCGACATCGTCACGACAGGGAGCAGGTGAGATTGTGAAGCTTGACGTGCTCGGAAAACGTTGCTGATCAAAGACAATAGGTAGGAGGGATGAGCTCACATTTTGACCTTGATACCCAGGACACCCTGACGGAGAAGGACGTGACGAACGGCGTAGTCTACATAGTCCTTTGCGGGCTGACCGGAGTGAATCATGAGTCCATCGACGAATTTCATGCTTTTAGCACGAGCGGCACGAAGTTTTCCAGATACGACGACTTCGCAACCTTTGGCACCGGACTCCATGACGAAACGGAGGACACCGTAGCATGCACTGAGAGTCAGCGCTTGTCTTTCGATTACGACTGCATTGGATACAAGTTGTTTCAACAGAGAGTGCAGATTGATAAGAAAGGTAATTACTCACCGACGCATAGCGAGTCCACCGAGTAACTTGTACCTCAAACTCTCCGCCTGAGCCACGGCGCTCAAACCTCTGTACTGGACCCTCTCGGCGTATAACTCGAGACTGTTCTCGGGGAACTTGAATCTTTTCATGACCAAACTCCTGAGTTCACGGATTCTACGACCGTTGGCACCGAGAACCTCTTGAGTGTGAGTGGCGCGAATGATGATTTCGGTCCTAGCGTGTGTAACGCGCACTTCACATCCGGAATAACCTTCATCGGCGAGTTCGTGAGTGCTGCATCGGAGACCACATGAAGGGCAACAGTTTTGTACGTGTGGGTAGACGATTTGCGTAGATTGGGTATGATACAATGGAGAGAACGAAGAGACGATGTCAGCTTATATAGTCAAGATTAAGGGAATCTCTCACAAAAACTCTCCAAGCTCAGCTTGAAAGACACCATCGGCGATGAATTTCCTCTTTTTGGAGATCTGAGCGCTGGAAGCCATGATGTTTATGTATCTACCGTTGTCGAGTTATACAGCGAGTGTTCGATATAGCTGATAGGGGCGGGAGAAGGGATGATAGAGAGGAAAGAGTAGGATCGAGTTTCGTGAATTCATCGGCGTACTTTTCTCTCCTCGGCGTTTTGAATGTGGCATCTTCTGATCCAGCCTTTACTTTCCAGTTTTCCACTCACATCGACGTAGGACATGTCTGTACGTCTGCATAGCCAAACAACTAGGAGCGTATAGCCTCAAAAACAAGACAGCCAAAGCTGGTAACGACGGAGCATGAGAATAGGTTTCAGACCTCTCCGCCCGGAGGCAGTCTTCAGTTCGTTCCTCGGTCTGTTGGATATAAAATTAGGTGGGTGTTCGATACCTCCCGAATGTATGGCCGACTGACCTGTAGGATCTGAGATCATCCTTCTATTCGGCGTGAGCTGGACATCCTGGGTTTTCAACTAAGCTGACATCTAGCTCATCAATAAAGTCGCGGGACTTTACGGACTCATCACTATTTTCGTAGGAGGTAGTTTTCTACAATTACTCTTTTATGCCTATTCTACCGCCACCCTCTTTGCTTTTTTATGGGCTCTGAGGATTGTCAAATCCGTGAGTCATCGTTTTTTCTCTCATTCTCTCAGCTCTATATGCAGCTATGTAGCATGCAGTGATGAGACGCTATGTGTAGTGTAAGAAGGTTGCATCAGGAGTATTGGGGCGCGACCAAGGAGCAGTTGAGAGTAAAGATTGACAAATAGGAAACAGCTGTTCCCACCCTCCTCATCTCACATTTATATACAATCGATCATGCTATCCTCACTATATTCCATTATCTCTTCTATCAACATTACTGGTATTCGGTACCTCATGACGGACGTAGAGTCTCAAATTCTCAAGCACAACAGGACCTGATAAATCTCGCCGCGAGTAGAGGGGAGATTGAAGATCCCGCTTTAACGCAGGATGATCCAGCCACGGAAGAGCTGCGGGCAGCTTTGGCAGGGGAGATATGGCAGACTGAGAAGGTATTTGCGGGTTGGACGTTGATAGCTGGTTGGTTGTTGAAGGTAGGTCCTCTGACTCCACCATGGCCCTCATGTGTGCAATTCTCAGATCCTGTTTCGATCCAAAATTGGTCCTGGATCTCTGCTGTCAATATCCTTATAGGCAAACATGGGTTATTGCTATGCATAGGTACGAGTCGATAGAGGAGGACGGAAACTGATTTGTAGATCTATTTTATCCTAATTCTCTATTCCTACGCGGCTCATCTCCGTTCCTCCACATATCATACCCTCCCCTCAACTGCCAGAGCGAAAGCCACTCAGATCGCCCATCCCAATACGGAACATGACGGACAGATCGAGATGGGACATGACGTAGATCACAATGGCAGCAATGGGCAAGCAGGGAATGGAAGTGCTGTCGCCGGTAAACACCCGCAAGGGGAGGATGAATTCAGCTGGGATTAACTCTGTCGAGATGTATGCATGTAGCTGGTTCCGGAAAACCTGATCATGTACTACATTTTCCAAAGTGGACTGCTATCTTGCTTCATAAAGCATGAGTGAGGCTGTCTTATCACTGCAAAACGGAAATACATTTTGGGAAATGTATGGGTGGGTATGACGTGTGTGGAACAAGAATTTTGGAATATTTGGGTGTTGGTTGCATGTCACACATCATTGGATATACCTTTGTACTTCTACTTAACCTCTCTCTTCTAGAATCATACATATATCTTCGACGTCCATTCGTATGACCAGAACCTGACAGTATCTTCAACTTGTCAACAATCAGATCTATCGAAGAATTTGCCACTCCTTACACGACCAGGTTTCGCCTCGCCATGAAGCTCATCAATAAGCATGTTGAGAAAGACGGTTCGGTAAGTCTGACCTTTGTTCTCTCTCTTTCTTCACACTTGACCATATCAATACTCTCAATGATTTCTACCTAGCCATCTCGACCTCCCCTCATGACCGAGGGCCAGCACCAGACATAATGGTTCGAACGTCTCAGGGCTAATACTACAGGGCTATGTCACGCTTCGACCTGAAGACGACGAAGATATGTGGCACGTTTACAATCTCATCGCTGAAGGGGATCTGGTACGAGCTTTGGCAGTTAGGAGAGTACAGACAGTTTCGAATACTGGAAGTTCGGATTCGTATAGAGTCAGAGTAAACCTCACTTTGTCTGTGACCAAGGTAAGTTTTGCATCGACCCCTTTCTCAACTTCTCTCGAAAACCAAATTCATGAATTTACCATATCATCTACTCTCTATCTAGCCGTGTTGTTCCAGTAGTTGATTTGCGGATGTCATGAAAAGATTACTGTGTCGAGAGGAGAACTGACGAAAAGACTACTTTCTCCCCTGCCGCAAGCAGCTCAACCACAGCTCAGGGAGAGAAGAAAGAACCTACTGCGAGTTTACAGATTTCTGGGAGGGTGGTGAACGAGAATGAGTTCGTGCGATTGGGAGCTTTTCATACTTTGGACCTCGAACGTGAGCCGACTTGAATTGCATCTTACCCAATATCGCCGTTCAGTCATCAGTCGCTCAGAATCACTACAGCAGCCAAGACATGCTTCTCATTGTTATCTCTCAATGAACGTTTCACCTGCAGTCGTATGGCATGAGCGGCGATATATGTATCCCTCGTGGTTTGCCGAAATGCTGACCACGTAGCGAACAGAGATTTTCGTCTGGAAAAAGCACATGGGTGGGATAGTGTGGCGTTAGAACGGGTTGAGGAAGCCGTCAAGGAGGGTAGAGGGGCAGAAATAGGGGCAATCGTATGTGGAGAAGGTAAGTAGGGTTCACGTTCCCCTCACTCTCTTACTTCTCCTACTGTTTACTCCTTGCCTCCCGTTCATGTGCGACGTAACATCTCCCAGATAGCTCATGGACAGGGACCGCGGCAATCTGTCTGTTGTCTGAGCATATGACAACTATACGTCAACGCATTGAGGTTTCCGTTCCTCGGAAGAGAAAAGGTGGAACATCGGGACATGACAAGGTGGGTTGATGGTGCTTCACCACCCCAGCTACTCCTCATGGCTCAAGATTACACCTCAACACGGGCAGAAAGAGAGCATGAAAGCATTAGGAAAGATGGGCTGATCACTAGGCAATGGAAAATTTCTACTCCGCAGTCTACCAAGCCGTCTTGCGATTGATACCCTATCAAACTCTCAAAGCCATTGTTATAGCTTCTCCTGGCTTCACTAGAGAATCTGTAAGAGTATCCTCCGTGATCCCCAATCTACAAGCATCGTCCCATGCAATGGCGGTAAAAGCCTGGCTGATATATAGCTCTACGACTACATCTTCCAGCAAGCAACACTCACGTCCAACAAGCCACTGTTGGCTTCGAGAAGTAAATGGATCAAGGTGCATAGCAATACGCCACATGTTCACAGTCTTGTGGAAGCTATGCGTGCTCCGGAGGTGGCCAAGATGTTACAAGGGGCCAAATTTGCTCGTGAAGGAGTTGGGTTGGACAAGTAAGTGTATTCACCTTCTTCATACCACCTGATGTCGTAATTCTTTGAACTGTATTGTCAGTAGCTCTGCACAAGAAAGTCAAAAGCAAGATACCACGCTGACGGTCAGATTCCACAAGATGCTAGCAAATGACGAGCTGCGAGCTTGGTACGGACCAGAACATGTTGCCCTTGCAGTTGAACGAGGTGCTGTTGGGACATTGTTGATATCAGACGACTTATTCCGGTGAGTACATGCCTCGTTTTCCCCCTTTAACTCGGTAGTTGATCAGTCATGTCCAGATAATCCTGACGAGCAGGTCATCTGATCCAGTCACGCGAAATAAATACGTCGACATGGTGGAAGCTGTCCGAAGTCGCGGTGGTGAAGCCCTCATCTTCTCGTCAATGCATGAGTCTGGTCAACAGCTCAACCTGTTGACTGGAATCGCGGCAATCCTGACGTATCCTCTGGACGTCGAGATGGTCGAACAGGAAGAACGAGAAGAGAAGGAGAGGTTGGCTAGGGAGAAGGGAGAATTAGATAAGGAGAATGCAGATGGTGAAGGTGATAATAATGATGACGGAGATCAAGGGAATGCATGAAGTGCTCTTGATGCTTTTTCTGTTGCTATCGTTAAGTACTTATACAATGAGAAAGTCATTGAAGAGAACATCCCCATCATGAGTGAAAGACGGAGACGGATGATTCCGGAAATTTGCGGTCCGAGACTGACATTTTAACCGATCACCCCACCACCCAAATTTCCATACACGGACCCTTTCTTCTCCCCCTGCCTACTATTCATCTTTTCTATCTCGTCTATCTCGTCTACTGTCTCTCGTTCCAAAACAACATGAGCTTCATCTCTGCTCGTTCGGCTCTCAAGGCGCAAGTGAGTTAGACGACTCTCTTTTGGCTCCTCATAAATCTTGCAATTTGAAAAGAAATCCAATCGGGGTGGGGGTTTGATTGTGGTGGAGGAATGTACAAAGATCATGTAATTGACACTCGCAGCTCCGCCCTTCTCTCGCACGAACTTTCGCTTCTACTCCCGTTGCCCATGCTCAGTCTCTCAAGGATCGCATGACGGAACTTATTCCTAGAGAAATCGAGAATGTCAAAGCTGTCCGAGCAGCCTATGGTAACAAGAGTTTTGGGGAGACGACAGTGGATCAAGCTTATGGTGGGATGAGAGGGATCAAAGTGAGTTTTTCCTGATTTTTCTATCCATGAAATCCGTATCTACATTTATATTTCTTCTTCTTCGTCCATCTCCCTCTTTCTCTTTCATCAGGCCGGTCTTCACTTCCATGGGCGCTCCACACATGTTTTGATTTTGGTCTTCAGACCGATATAGGTCGGTTTCCTTCCAGTATGTTCACTATGCACAACAGTTGCTTGCTGTCTACCAGCTCTCATTCGTCTAGATTGTGTTTCTTATCATACCATATGGACCAACCCTTATCGTGTTTCTTTCTTCATCAATGATGATCCATGATCTGATTCCTCCGTGAACTTCGCTCACTTTCAGGGACTCATCTGGGAAGGTTCCGTCCTCGATGCCGATGAAGGAATCCGTTTCCGTGAACTCACCATCCCCGAATGTCAAGAAAAACTCCCCGCTGCTCCTGGTGGATCAGAACCATTGCCCGAATCTCTCTTTTGGCTCCTTCTCACCGGAGAGGTGCCGACTCCTGAACAAGTCAAAGGTCTCAGTCAAGAATGGGCTGCTAGGGCAGAGATTCCAAAATTCGTAGAAGAGTTGATTGATCGGTGCCCGAACACATTGCACCCAATGTCTCAATTTTCTTTGGCTGTGACTGCTGTGAGTCATGGTCACCTCTGCCATCACCTTCCAGCTGGGGCCAGTGACATCTCAATCCGTCCTTTTCGTCCACGTCGTTCCTTTTCATTGGATTGTGAAGGTGTCAGATTCATAAAGTTCAAGGTCGTGTGACCTTCTTGACTATGACCTCCGTTCTACAGGAGAGGATATGAGAGACAAGGAGGGTTGGCTGTTATCGAACAGATGGTCCAGGACTGACTATCAGCTCAACCACGACTCAGCCTTTGCCAAGGCTTACTCAGACGGTGTTCACAAGCGCGAATACTGGAAGACGACCTTCGACGATTCTATGGATCTCATTGCCAAATTACCTGCTATCGCCGGTAGGATCTTCCGTAATGTCTACGGCGACGGTAAACTTCCCGCTATCGACCAGAACAAAGATTACAGTGCAAACTTGGCCACTTTGCTTGGCTTTGGTGACATTCCCGAGTTCGTTGAACTGATGAGGTTGTACATTACCATTCACTCGGATCACGAGGGTGGTAATGTGTCTGTGAGTATACTGTCAACTCCCTCACTCCACATTTATTTCAGAGGATCAGCCACAGTCATGACAAACTGCCATTAGTGGTCCATCGCGGAGAACACTGAACTGATTTGCAGGCTCACACTGGTCACTTGGTCGGTTCTGCCCTCTCTGACCCTTTCCTGTCCTACGCTGCGGCTCTCAACGGTCTCGCTGGTCCTCTTCACGGGTAAGCTGATCTCCTCGCTGCAACATGGTCCAAGCTTACAAAGAGTCTCGCCAACCAAGAAGTGCTCCGTTGGGTTCAGAAAATGCGTTCCCAAATCGGCGAAACACCGTCGGACGAGAAAGTCGCCGAATATGTATGGTCTACGCTCAAAGGCGGGCAAGTCGTCCCTGGGTATGGACATGCCGTCTTGAGGAAGACTGTGAGTCATCGTGGTTTCCATCACTCGATCAAGTCTCTCTGCCAATGACATTATCTCGAGGTCTTTCACGCTGGTAGTAGGGCTGACCCTCAGGATCCACGTTACACCGCTCAGCGAGAGTTTGCCCTCAAACATCTTCCCGATGACCCCCTCTTCAAGCTTGTCGGTCAATTGTACAAGATCGTTCCTAACATTCTGCTTGAAGCTGGTAAAGCGAAGAGTGAGTCCAAGTCGTTCTCCTCCTTCTGTTGAGGTCTATCCTCATCTGTTGACTCACTCGTGTTCGGGATTCAACCACGCTACCGCGAGAAGACATTTAACATGGCGCTGACCCATAGACCCTTGGCCCAATGTCGACGCTCACTCTGGTGTCTTGCTCACATAGTAAGCTCCGCGAGGGTTCGATGGTAGTGAGCTAATTGGTAGTTACGGATTGCATCAACAAGATTTCTACACTGTTCTCTTTGGTGTCTCGCGTGCATTCGGTGTTGCCGCTCAACTCATCTGGGATCGTGCTCTGGGCGTGAGTCGGACGTCTTCCTTCCCTTCAAACACTCTCATTCACACCGTGACCTACAGTCGGAGCGAAGTCTGTGGTGTTGTAATATACTAACCCTTCAGATGCCTCTCGAACGCCCCAAGTCGTACTCTACCGCAGCTATCAAGAAGATGTTCGAAGGCAAATAAATCTATTGATTGTCTTGTATCTCTCGGTATCACCCATGACTGGAGCGATTTTGGATCTAGTGATAGAGGATGGAGATATGGGAGAGATGTGCGTTATGTCTTTGGGCAACGATCAGAGGTCATATGCAGCTTTTACCAATTGACTTGTTATTGTTTTTCTATCATCCCCGTCTTTGTCTCATTTACAGTTGCTGCATGCTGCACGCTACATTTCGCATAATTCCGTGGATTATTCGGTAATGTGCTGCAGAGGAAAGCTTACAAGCATGAGAATGAGACTGGATTGTACTGGCATAATAGTACAAGACGCAAAATCATCCTTCTACCCAAACATTCCCCAGACTATCCCATTCCCGTCCCACAGCTTGATTATCCATCAACAAAACTCTCAATCCTCCCAATTCACTCAAACCTTCTTTCCAACCCAAATAACTGAGATCAAATTCCACCTGACCTTCCCACTTCTGCATCGGTACGGTATCCTCATATGTCGGACCTAAACGTTCTTCCCTTAATTCAAGTTTATGAAGGGGTAAAACGATCAAACTGGGTCCTAGAAATTTCAATTCTCCTCTCTCCACTTGACCCTCATCATCGGACAAAGGTGAAAGTTTACTGGGAAAAGGTGGAAAACTTTCTTTCTCAACTTCTAAATTCATATTCTGATCCAACGTAATACCTACACTGGTGCCTTTACGCATTTCCATTCCACTTGATCCTCCCGTCAAACCGGAAAGACTGGTAGAGGAAGAAGAAGGTGTCATATTTGTATTTCTCGATAAGGGTGATGTTGATATTTTAGAATTTGTAGCTTGTCTCAATTGAGCACTCAAAGGAGTGAAAGGTCTTGATGGTGTACCAGGTGTAGAAGGTGTTGTAGGAGGAGAAAAAGGTCTTGATCTTGAATCCCGAGATGACATAGGTGTGGAAGTTCTACTAGGTGGTTGAATTGATAAATCTGGTATACCACTCATACCTTGAGTAGATTTTATATCCTGAGAAGGAACGTTTTGAGGGGTTATGGAGAGACGTTGGATAGCTATTTGAGGTAAAGATGGAGGATCTGATATTGAGGAATGAGTGGTATGACGAAAACTAATTCGCCAACGTGTCGTTATAATATGTTCGACATCCACGCTTTGTATGGTGGTCGTATCCAAGGATGATGAGTTCACTTTGAGTGTGGACGACGAGGAGGAAGAAGAGGGTGAAGTGGGGATGGAGATGAGATCAAATTCCCATTCCGTCATTTGATCATCTTTCGTTTGAATGGGAGGTATAGAAGTTTGGTTGGTAGAAATGGAATTTCGTGATACAGGTCGAGGTGAAGCGGGAGTCGTACGTGTCGGTAGAGGAAAAGATGTTGGGGATGAATTAAGAGTAAAACGTTGATTCAAAGTTGATGTTTGTAATCTTCCTGGGTGTCTGTATGGTCCAGAATGCCAAGATAAATCTAATCTACCTAAAGGAAGGACAGTTCCATTAGGATGATTAGGTGGGAAATTTGAGATTTTCTTTTTCTTGATCGTTTCCTCAATTATCCCTTCTCCTTCTTCTTCTCCTTCTGCCTCCGTCTCCGTCTCCGTCTTCTTCTCCACGTCCGTCTCCTTCTCTACTTCGTGGTCGAAATCTTCATTCTGCCGATCTGCTGGAATGACTTGTTGTTCTGTATGATCGGTAATGGTCGTTTGAGAAGTTTTCGAAATCACAGAATCTGACATGTCGAAAGAAGAAGGAAAATCCGGAGTGATAAGAAATAGATATTGTCTAGTATCACCAGGAAAAAGTGTTTCCCCTTCTCCTTTTATACAAGCTCCAACCATGGTTTCTGACGTAAGACCATTTCCAGTTGTTTGAGAGATGATAGATTTAGCAGTCAATCCTTGAACAGCTTCAAGTAAAACTTTATCGAAAAGGATACCTTCTTTAGAAACGTTTTGCATTAGTATTTCCAGATAAACGTCTTCACGTCGAAGAGGGTTCAAAAGGAGATTTGATGATTGAGGAGGTTTGACACGAGTTTTCATAGCTAATGGAGGGTTGACCTTTCATTTAGCATCATGATGAACCCGAATACACTCCGTTTCGTCATGTTTTGTGATCAGAAAGAGTTCCGATGCTCATCACCACTTGATCGTTTACCCCTTTAGTAAACATGAATAAGGGTACAGGGAAAGAAGCGAGGAAGAAGAAAGAAGAGAGGGAGGGGGGGGGGCTTCAGAATAGTTGGATATTCGTAATCATTATTGAGAGTGGAGATTAGATGCGTTTTCTATTCGAGAACAAAGGAAGTAAAAGTTATGAATCTGTACTCACTGTAAACCTATAAAACCGTTGAAAAGTTTTCCTCCCATCTAAAGTTTCCCAAGCTACCGAACAAATAATCATATGATTCCCTAATTCTTTCATCTCGCATACTGAATCTAAATTGACCGCTTCGTCATATTTCAAAACCGAGAAACCTGTACTTTCCTCCGACTCTGTAACATTCTCCAAATCCGATTTGTCCACTGGGGAAGAAGTTCGATGGATAACCTCACCAAGTCGAGTTTTGATAGAAGGAGATTGAATCTCAACCATCATTCTGACTCCGAGTACGTCATGTTTCTGCACATGGGAGTTGCGCAGTTGAAGTCCGAGGGAAAGTGGAGAACCGAGAGAGACGACACCGTTAGGATGAGCGAGTTGAGGGGATTGGGAAAAGGGGAAGGTTGTTGGAGGAGGAGGGATGGGGATGGAGGGTGAGTCGGCTGAAGGTACAGGGTCAAAAGATGGGGAGTCATCGTTGGTTGAGGATAGGAGGGTCAGAGGGGCCAGATGTAGACTGAGATGTCAGTAAGTTCAATACTGTTCGAGCAGATGTGTGGGAAGCTGCTAGCTGCTAGCTGCAAGAAGCAAGCGGTGATCAAGAAGGGTAAGAATCCTGTTTCTGAGAAGAAGAATGACTCACACGCTCAATGTTAGAGGTTCCATGATGACGGTCAAAAGGCAAAAGGTAACCTTGCTGGGAGGTTAAGGTTAAAATGGTTGCCGACGTGCGCGATCCGAAAGCGCACAAACGCCAAGTCGAAATCATTGGCTAAGGTAATTTGCTGACGACCTCGATAAAGTACAGCGAAACGACATGCTTGCATAGTACATTACATATTCCATATTGGTACACCTCTTATATCTTATACAACAACCTTACACACTCGACAGCATTGTAGATGTAATGATAGGTACCGATACAAACCTTCAACTCCGACCTTCTTTGGCCAACTTTGCATCTCGCTTTTCACGAGCGTTCGACTTGATCTTTTCGAACTGACCGTCAGACTTCCTGCTTGAATGTGGAAAAAAAACAAAACTCACTCTTTCCTTGTACTTGTCAATTTGCCCTTTCTACCAGGTCAGCTGTTAAGTCTGATTTGGAAAGGAAAAGTCAACTGACCTGCTTCTCGTTCTCTATTCTCAGCCCTTTGACCTCTTCTTCCAAATCACGTATCCGTTTTTGGAGCGCTAATCAATGAGCACCGATCTATTGACGAGGAAGAAGGAAGACGAACAGGAAGAAGCGCTGTTTTCCGATCCGTCGGTTTCCGCTAGGGTTGAAAGACGGGGTTGTCGGGGCGGCTGAGTAGTTGATGCGAACAATTGTGACCGCATGAGATCTTGGTCTTGTTTCACCTTGACAGCCTGGGATCAGTCAGAATTTATAATCGCACTCATAGAAGAGAGATCTGTGACAGGTCAGGGTGGCACTGACTGGGATTGATTATACGAGATATTATGAGACGTGGAAATGACGAGAAATTGAAGTTAGCTTACCTCTCGACGAACACCAAGCATCACATTCCTCATATTCCTTTCCCTCTCTTCCGCTTGGGCTCGAAACATCTTGTTAGTCTGTTCCAACGTATGAGCGTGAGAAGCGAGTGCGTCCAGAGAAGCTCGCAAGGAGACATTCTCCAATTCCAACTCTTCTGGCGTCTTTCCCTGTGACGTGCTGTATGTTAACCCAGGGGCTTGCACTTTCTGTGGGATACCACCAAATATCCAGAACCCAAAGTGAACCCAAGCGAATCGCATTAAGCGGCGGGACATGATAATGGCATGATAGCGGATAGAAACACACGATTTGTCCTCCGATTCCGGTGCTGAAACAACATAATAACTATCATTCGGCGAAGCAGTCTCTCTATCTTTCCCCTTCTCCTTGCCCTTCTTCTTGATCGATTTCTTCCTCTCTCTATATCCCGCAGGACGAGGAACCCTAGGAACGTCCAAAGGCATAGAAGCGAAAGCCACAGGTTTGCTAACTTCCGTCAAAGCGTTCTCTAACATTCCCCAGAAACGTAAGAACGGATCCGAAGAATCTGGAATCCCAAAATGGACAAAAGATTCGTCTGTACTGGAAGAAGAAGAGGAAGATTGTAAAGTTGACGTTGCCATATCTGTCGGGCGACGTATGGATTGTCCCTGCCCAGGTACGGCTGTCGAAGTGAAAGAAGTGGGACGAATTGAGAATGGAGGTATCCCTCTTGTGGGGGATAGCGTTCGTTCTTTACTATCAACATCACACTTTTGCGAAGTCGATGACGAAATCTTACCTGAAATGGTCGAATCAAAGGTTCTCTGTATATTCGCATTTGATATTTGTGTGTTTTCGAGTGGCAATACACCATTCTTTTCACCCTTATCAACGTATTGTACTTCAGCAGGGACGGTTGGTGATTTCGGAATGTTGGAGATACGTCTTTCTACATCTTTGATGAAATTCCGATGTTGCGCCGTCAAAAGGACCAGAGTTTTCTTCGCCCCTTCATCTTTGACAGTATCGGACGAGGAGGAGTATAATTCTTCTGCTTGTTTGTATAGACTGAGAGCCTGTTCGAGAGATTGGAGAGGTACTTTGAGGGGTTTGACAAGTAGGGAAGCTTGAGCTGAGAGCATATGAGCCTGAATGAAGTCAGCCACATGAACAAGAGCAAGAGGAGGAAGGGAAGGAAAGAAGGGGGAAGGACTTACCTTGTATAAGGGATTTTGCTCGCTCATCCTTCTTCATAGGTACGAAACAGGTCACGATACATACCAACAGATATGTGAAAGATGTCAGAGACGTCGAAGTTGATAAACGTGTGGAAGATGTTGAAAGAGAGGTGGAGAGTCATCCAAGTAGTTATCGGATTTAGGTCCACTACTTATACTTACCGCCGGCTATAACGTTTATTGAATTGCCTATTGTCCCTTGCTTGCCTTTTACCCTCGAGCCTTGAGTCTTTTAGGTCCTGCAGGGCCATGCAGGGGGTGAAGCATAAAGCAGTTTGCATTCCTCATGATTCAACCTTCTTCAACTCTTAACTCGAACGAACTATACCTCGACAAATTGACATGATTCCACTCAATCCGACATTAACACTTCCAACACCTCTAATCCTTGGTATATCCCCATCAACCTCACATACATTGAGTTTCATATTCGCTTCATCTTACGTGGGATGTATCTATTTAGCTACTCATATAACATTTCCATCCTTTCCTTCACTTTCATCACAATCGGAAAATAATCCTACTTCTTCTATCCCACCTATGACAGCAACGGATAAAGATGGATATCCTCTTGTTCCCCCTATCAAATCTCGTGATCATCCGGATACTATCAAAAGACGTATGAAAGCGATTAGTATAACCACTTTAATATCTTTAGGGTCGATTTGGATTATCGTAAAAGATACAAGTCATGGGAAATATACTTGGACTTCTTCAGTGAATTTTCTCTCTCATTCTGAGTATCTCATATCAACACTCACTGACTATGACAGTTACTTCCAACATTACGACTTTTAGGTCTTGATCCAAGTTTGATCTTGAACAGGGGAGGTTCTATTTGGTCCAATGTGATACCATACGTATTGACACCGATCTTATTCGTGGGACCTATATATGCAAAATGGTTGGATTCAAAAGATCAACCTCAACCCAGACGATCTTTCTCACAACTGGTCCAAGAGACGTGTGAGGATTTCGATCTTATAGCTTTACGAAATTATGTTGTGGTGAGTTTAACTTTCCCCTTTGATTGACAGTCTGTGGACTTTTGATCAACACGAAGAGAAATCGGGCGCGGGAAAGAAGTATACTTGGTGTGGAGATAAAATGAGATTGACTGATATACAGGGCCCAATGACTGAAGAACTAGTTTTTCGTTCTTGTATCTTATCCGTCTCTATCCTAGGTGGTCTGTCCTCATCAACATTGGTCTTCGGTACTCCTCTTTGGTTCTCATTGGCTCATGCTCATCATGCATGGGAGAGTTATAGACGGAACGGAAGTACGAGAAGAGCGGCTATACAAGCTACAATGGGTTGTTGTAAGTTTTCCTTCACCTTCGACCTCCCCTCGGACAAACTTATTTCTATCACTGAAGGTCGGATAGCTAACCCCAGTGTTCCAAATTGGTTACACGACATTATTTGGCTGGTTCGCTAGTTATTCTTTTATCCGCACCGGTTTGTTTTCTGCACTTGCCCTGGTCAAATCCTGGTGAGACGAAATAGGCTGATACATATAGGATCCATCTTGCCCCCTTTGGCTTCACATATATTCTGCAACATCATGAGCATCTACCTACCTACCACTGCCGTTGAACGACATCCTAAACGAAAACTTTGTAAGCGTCTCCTTTGACTTTGTGTAACATCTCGCTGATCAAGAGCCATTTGGACCTCATATCTTATCGGCATTGCTGGATTCGCTTGGACTATTCGCTATCTCTGAACAACCTAGCTTCCATCGATTTGTACTTGACTTTGGCAAGCGCTATAGCCGTAGAGGAGTGAATGCCATCATGCCCATTGGGTTGTCTGTGAAATACGGCTACTTCGTTGTCTGTCTCACGCATCGGAGTCGTCCTTCATGCACCACATTCCCTTGGAAGCTCGCCCGACACCTCGCCGAATTGCACTGGTGGCAATGTATACTCCCCAGCAGCTTATGAGCGCTTAGGGTGAGATGCGTCAGTCTTTTCGTCGAGAAGCAGACGTCGGCAGCGGGGTTAGCTGCGATCAGTATCAGGTGATCTCGGCGAGAGCTCAAGGAAGTCACAGCGCATGGGGACATGAATGAAGCCTTCGAAGGATTTGGGACACGTTCATGGAGTGTAGAAGCAGGATGAGGTATCGGCGAAGGTGCCTATAGGGCAATATTTGCAATGGTAAGATGCAAACCGCACTCGATCAGACATGACCGCCGTGCAAGCGGGGGAAATACCATCCATATACAGGTTCATGAGGCGTTGCGGTCGATGATTAATATCATCAAGTCCACGCACCCTCCACGAACACTCAGACGACAGTCCCAGCATTGGACGCTATACGTGGCCACAGGTCGGCGCATTCTTTGGCAACCCTGGAGTGTAAGCAGTGCACCAGCTATCGTGCATCGTAGCTCATGGTTCTGAAATAGAGCATCGGAGTGGATGAAAGGAATGAAACACTCACGGTCCGTTGATAGCACTACCCTTCATCTCTCCCTTGGGGTTGACAATGACACCAGCGTTATCCTCGAAATATAAGAAGACACCATCTTTACGACGCCAGATTTTCCGTTGTCGGCAGATGACAGCAGGCATGACTAGCGGTTAGCTAGATTCATATGATCAGAGCTATCATCCCTCGTGCTGACATGATTGGATGACGAAAACATAACTAACCCTTCTTCCTCAATTCAGGCTTTCCTTTCTTCACGGACGCCATGACCATATCACCAGGAGCAGCAGCGGGTAGTCTGTTCAATCGTGCACCAAAGCCAACCACGGAGATGATATACAGATCTGACAATTAGCGCTGGACACATTTGAGGGTTTCCTTGACATTTAGCAGAGCGAGAGGGAGGGGCCTGGGAGAAGAAGCCGTTGGAGGAGAATGCGAGTTGACACTTACTCTTGGCCCCAGAGTTATCAGCGCAGTTCATGACTGCACCAACGGGAAGACCAAGGGACATGCGGAATTTGGTACCGGCGGCGGCAGCTACATTGTCAGCGATGCTGTCTTACTTTTCCATGAAGCCTCCGTGATCCTCGAATCTTTCAATTTTCCGTGGACGTTGAAAGATACCATGGTTTTGAGAAGTTTCCAAGGTCTGGCCTCCTTCGTCATATGGACAGATAGGACTTACTTTTGGCGGACATGGCGAGTGATGTGGGTGGGTTTCGATACGAGATGCAACTAAGTTACAGCAAAAAGGTGGATTGAGGTGTCGCAATTTCGTTGGAGAAGATAACGCCGCGGGTAAGGTCTGATGTGGCACAAGCGCTCATCAAGCCGCGTGGCAAATCACTGTGGCATGTGGCAGTTGGCGGGCGATGTATGGTTTCGGGATGTCAAAAAGCATGAGGTTTGACTCACAGATCGCTGAACAACTACCTAATAGCTACGGCTGGAGTAGTATAGTATTGAAGAGATATCATGATCTACATCTTTACACCGCGTCATCATGTCGTGGCCTAAACCATCACTACGGTAACTTGGCTGTCCATGAGAGGGTTTGGAAGAGTATCAGCTTTGCGACAACCAGGGTGCATCACCTACTAGCAGAGATCCCCTCTGGCCTCTGGCGGCTGACTCCGTGGATCTGGCTCCCACACGACCATGAAGATGACAGGATTATTGACAGAGGAGGAAGGAATCGGAGTATTGATCGATCAACTTACTCTGGTCGCAGACATACGTTGGTTCATACAAAGCAGGTATGCAGGTAGCAGATTACGTTTCCAGCGCTTCATATCTCGTATCAGTCATCTGAAGCATTGCTCCTCTTGCATGAAGAGGTTGTCGAACTGGCCATGCGATGGTTTACTTTGTACCAGTCGGATGATGCGGAGGGTATTGAAGCTTATCGAACCGGCAAAGCCGAGTAACCGGTTCCCCTCCCCTACATCAAGCGATTCAAGCGAACACATTCCTTCCATCTATTTCACTTCTTTTCATCTCTCCACAACCTCTCATCACATACACGGGATCAAAGACACGAATATCCTTACTGATTCACCAGGAGAGTAAAGTGAACATGGCTACATTGGCAACTTATCGTGTGCCCGAGGTGCATAATGAACCTATGGTACGTCCTTTACACCCCTCCAAGAACCCCTCTCGATATGACCTCTGCCAAGATATTGATATGTGGACAAGAGATCACCTTCAAGACGTAGTAGAGACTCGTGTGTCAACATGCTTTCTGGTCAATCTTTCAGTGATCAAAGGCGGTCGAACAAGGAAGGGTTCATTCCAAATGGAAGTTGGCAGAGAAAGGGATTAGAAAAACTGGCTTGATGGGAGTATGGGTAATGATGTGGCAATGGGAGCAGTGGGAGACAATTTGAGCTGACGTACAAGAGAAGTTATGCACCTGGTTCAGTGGAGAGAAAAGCTTTGGAAGCTGCCTTGAAGAAGCTGCAGCAGGAACTACCTTTCGAGGTTCCTTGCGTCATCAATGGAAAGCATGTGAGTGAACGCTCTCCAAGCGTCCTTCTCCCTTGTTAAACTTCCTTCTGGCAGACCCGTCACGTATACCGGGAGTATCTGTTAGATCATTTATCTTTAATTACTTAGAGAACATTACTTCAGTTGCGTTCACGACGGACATGGGAAGTGGCAGAGCTGATCTCATAGGTCAAATCAGGCGATCTCAAACCGCAACCCATGCCCCATGCTCACGCTACCAACCTATGCACCTACCACGCTGCCACCCCTCAAATCGTCTCCGATGCCATCGATGGGGCCCTCTCCGCTAAATCAGAATGGGAAGACTTACCGTGGGCTGATCGAGCCGCGATCTTCCTCAAAGCGGCAGATCTCTTAGCCGGGAAGTACAGATATGAGGTTATGGCCGCGACCATGTTAGGTCAAGGGAAGAACGCATGGCAAGCTGAGATTGATGCGGCTGCTGAGGTACTTTCCTCTTTGCTCCTCCTTGAATGATTTCTGACCTCGAGGCTTGCGACTTTTTGAGGTTTGGGGTCAAGTATGTGGAAGACTTGTATGCTCAACAACCGCCGCGTAATGCTGCAGGTGTGTGGAAGTGAGTGGTCTGTGTGAAGATGTATTTGAGCTGATATCGTAGCCGAACGGAATGGAGACCGCTGGAGGGGTTCGTTTTGGCTGTTACGCCTTTCAACTTTGTGAGCTGAAACCCACTTTGCCTTTCACTTTCTTTCTTCCACCAACCCCCCCCCCCCCCCCCCTCTCCCCGCTTTGCTGCCGGTATATCTCAGTCATCAGCGCTCAGTTGTCCCCTCAGTACCCAGCTTTACTACAGGCATACGCGAACTTGTTGTACTCCGCACTGCCCTCAGTAATCCTGCGAGGAAGCTGATCCCAGACTGCCATCGGAGTCAATCTAGTCTGCGCCCCAGCACTCGTCGGCAACGTATGCATATGGAAACCTTCACCAATGGCCACCTACTCCAATTATCTCGTCCATAAAATCCTGTTGGAAGCTGGTCTCCCACCCAGCGTAATTCAATTCGTCCCTGGCTCCCCTCCCGAGGTGGTACAACAATGTATAGATCATCGTGCTTTTGGTGGCTTGCATTTCACAGGAAGCACCGCCGTCTTCAAAGATCTGTGGAAGAAGATTGGGGCGAATTTGGACAGATACCGTGGATATCCACGAGTGGTCGGGGAGACTGGTGAGTCTTCGCCATTACTGATTCTTCACATGCTTGCAGAGCATTCACATCTCCAAAGAGCCTATTTCATGATCAGGGAGAAGCTGACGAATAGGGGGAAAGAACTTCCATCTTTATCATCCTTCTGCCGACATCCAATCGGGTGTTATTCAAGCCATCCGCGCGGCATTTGAATATTCAGGTCAGCTTTCACCACCAATACTTCGCGAGCGACAAGCTGACGAGTTAGGGCAAAAATGTTCAGCATTAGCAAGATGTTACGTAGCTCGTTCTTTGTGGGAAGGAGGTTTCCGTGATCTCTTAGCTTCGGAAACGTCGAAAATCACCGTTGGACCATGTACAGAATTCGGACACTTTACAGGACCTGTCATTGGTAAACCTGCTTTTGACAGGATTATGGGCGTTTTGAAAAAGGCAAAAGAGGCTGGAGGGGAGATTTTGGCTGGTGGAACGGGAGATGATAGTAAAGGATGGTTTGTGAAACCTACTGTTGTAGTGACGAAAGATCCGAAATCTGTCACTATGACGGAAGAGATTTTCGGACCTGTTCTTACGGTGAGTCGTCTTCCTCAGTTCTGACCTTGCTTTTCTTCGCAATTTGTCTATCTGCACCAACTCCACATCACGATCCGTACATTGTTATCACCGCCCTCCGTCACTCTGACCTGGCCCAGCTACTGTATTTCTTCGGAGATGGAGGAGATGTGCAGAGGACGAATCTGATCCCAGGTATACGTCTACGAAGACTCTGATTTCGAAACCACTTGCGATTTGATAGATCAAACCACTGACTACGCCCTGACCGGATCTATCTTCTCCACCGATCGAGCCGCTCTCACACTAGCTTCGAGAAAGTTGAGAAACGCAGCTGGAAACTTTTATATAAATGATAAATGTACAGGAGCAGTAGTGGGTCAACAACCTTTTGGGGGTGCTAGAGGAAGTGGAACCAACGATAAGTCTGGTTCTGTCAACATTTTCTATCGATTTACTGTGAGTGACTCAATCTCTATCCCTCGGCCTCGAACAATGACATTTGAATACATCGCCTAGATTTCATTGGTCTTGGAGACCTCGAGCAACTCATTACCAGCTACGAAGAAGGTAGAACATGGTGAAAGATGATGTTAATTCATAGTCTCCCAGATCGATCAAAGAAAACTTTATCGACCCTACAGAATACCACTATCCTTCCAACTTGGTCTGAAAACGTTTCTCTGCCAAATCAATGTCGGACATGGATTTCTTAGCATTGATGAACATGCATTATTTCGTTAAACATCATCATTCCTCTCACCTATCTATACCGGATATCTAATCGAAAACAATTTTCGTGGCTTTAGGAGCAGCCATCACTTCTTTTTGTCTACGTAACTTTGCAGCTTCCCAAGAAGGATGTAAACTCTTTTCTTTCTCTCCTCTGACGGCAACTCCCATAGGAGTGAGATTAGCGTTCCCCTCTTCTCTACCTCTTGAGATACTCGTATTATGCGTTGTAGTTCTTACGGCTCCACCCCAGCCGGTGGTAGTGGGATTTCGACGTTGCTCACGTTCTTGTCTCCGAGCGATTTTGACAGCTTCAATAGCCTGTTCTTCTTCTCTAGCTCGGACTACATGTTTGGCACCTTTACCATATTTTTTCTCCCAGATACTGTCTCATCAGCTCTCCAATATCTCTCTCTCTCGTACAACACTGAAGTGTTCCCAAGCTGTGAACACCCATACTCACCCTCTCTGCCCCTCGAATGGAAGAACAAATCTCATCGGACGATGTTACACAAAGAAAAGGAAATGGAGAGGAACAGTTTACTCAGGTGTTACAAGAGGAGGGAAATGGGGAAAGGAAGAGAAGAGAAGAGATACTGACGCTTGTCTAGCTCGTTGTCCACGTCTATTCTTTCTTTCAACTTTACCTCTCTTCCCTACCAAACCAGAATCATCTATATCAGAATCAAGATCAGGATCTGAGGAATCTCCACTGATGAAACCTGTAGCTAGAGAAGGGAGGAAAGTCGATGATTTTATGGTTTCTTTGGTCTTGGAACTAGTAGATTGTTTGGGTTTTCCTTCATTTATTTGACGAGATTGAGTAGTGTTCATTTCTGATGAAATCTTTGGTGTTTTTTCTTTGCGATTCTTGGGGATTGAAGGAATGTCGGGGATTTTCGACGTAGAGTAGTCTTCGGAGGCAACAGAGATTGAACCTGATTCCCATCCATCATCAATCATATCTTCCTCTATGTCATTCTCCTCTTCGGTTTCCTCCTCGTCTCGAACGATAACCTCCGGATTGATCTCCATCTGCTCCTCGTCCTCATCCATCTCCCCCACTGGGTGGTCTAGACTCGTATTCTCCTGCACTGACGAAACATTTCGACCCGTATGGCCGACTGGTCCCTGTTGCGACGATTTGGATTTTGAAATCAATCGAGCATTCTCATCACCTACCACCCACTCCACAGTAGATTTAACAGACTCCGAAACGATCTTAGAACTACATATCCTATTCTCGACCTTGGTTTTCAATTCATCGCTGGAGCTGCCGAGGTCGCTGGGATCGGAGTGAAGAAGATCAGTGATGGAAGTAGGGAGAATTAGGTGTCGGAGTGAACGATGCTTATGAAGTTTCAATAGAAGGTGTGATTGAATGATGGGATCTAAGGTGAGATGCTATAAGTCAGTCGGACGGAAGTGAAGAGGTTGAAGGGAGGATGACTGACTGTCAGGAGGGCAAGTTGAGCTTCTAGATCTTTGTTTGTGGAGGGTGTGTCAGGTTTGGTACTACTGATCAGCTAATGAAAGACGAGGAAAGCTGAAAGAGGACTGCTGTACAAGTATGCGAATGATGATGTTGGGATTATAGCCGAGTGACAAGCAGGTGAGCGGGAGGTGATGATTAGTATTGAGGATGGATGGTTGATCTGAAAGAGTTGGTGAAAGACATACCGCAAAAATTTGACTTTTTTGACTAGACGTCGAACTTCGAACGTTCTAGCTTGTTTAAATGTCGGACGAAGATGTTTCAATGCCGTGGGCTAAACTCATCAGCTCTTCCATCTACACCTCAACATGCCTTGGCGTCCGACCACTGATACACAGGGATAGGAACGGAGATTGTGAGGTATACTTACGATACGTGTGGCCACCCTTTCCAGATCGACGGTAGCCTCAGCTGACACCACTTCTAGCTCTTTCGGACCATGCGTGACTGCTTCTTCCTCGTTGGGTGAAGAAGACGGGTTGGCTAAAATCGCTTGGGTATTTTTCTCCGCCTGAAATGAGTGAACAGCCTGGGAGTGGAGCAAGCAAGACTCACCTCGATAGCTAAAGCTTTTTTAGCTGCACGTTCTTTTCCCGTCCTCTTACGTTTCTTACTTCCCGAAGCCACTGTGAGGGAGTCTTGTATGCTGTCCATGCCCTTCGATTCGTCGATGTATGCACCGTCACTTACGACTAAGTATCACAACGTTGCAAGTGAAATTCTGGAAGTCGGAGATTGATCACATCTCCGTCCTTCCTCCAAGTGTGGAAAGCAAGAATTGGTGCTGTCCCATCCGTTTCACTAAGTACTTGACCACCATGTTGCGTACTCTCAACGTTCAAAGGCTATCCAGACCAAGAATAAGATTCTTAAATACTGTTCAAGGTGCTCAATTATCATCATCAACGTCCTCCCCCAAGCCCCGTAGTAGAAGACGGGTCGAAATCCCTACCGACCGTGTGGACCTCGTCGCTCCGTGAGCTTCTGTCCTTCTGTGATGAACGAGACCAAGCTGAACCCAATAGTCCAGATCCAGAATCTAATCTTCGTCCTATCATCTATGCCTCTCGTCCTTCATGGCATCAATCGTCAAACTCGCCTTACTCGGCAGATGAATTTCCCTCAGAGTCTGATACTAAGCTACAGACTAAAGAGTTAGAGTGGAGGATGAGGAGAGAGAGGGTCGATATGATGAATCATCGTTTTTGGGTGAGTTTACCCATTCTGTGACATCATCTGCCCCATATCAACTCGTATATCGGGCAAACACCTGTCCGAGTGTTCAGAGCTTGAAATGTGAGATGTGGATATGTGAGAGGCTGACAGGTTCAGGCCGCAAATAACATACAATTCCAGGCTCAACTCGCAAGACGATTGTCTTTCCTTCCTCCACCATCTGATCCTTCTACTGAACGAGATATCCAAAGGAGAGAAGATTGTCTAGCTCGGTTCTATGCAGATTGGCAGAAATCAAATCATACCAAACAGATGAAATGGGTGTTGGAATGGTGGACTGAAGTATGGGCGGGGATTCGAGCACAGGCAGGTATACATTTATTACGTTTGTCGAAAAGATGAGGTGGGTTATTTGTTGAATGTCATTTTTGGATCATGTATTTGTGTATGTACTTATCATTGATCATGACGATCTATCTTGGCGGCAGGTACGAGTACATCAATCATTTGATTTTGGCCACGAGGCGACGGATACCATATGGGCGATTTACCATTTCACCAGGTTGCTTACAATCAATTTAACGTGTTCGCTCAACTCGTGTTTCAGTGTTCTTCACTCATAAGTACTGATAATTTAACAAGGAGTGAACTCGAGACGATATGATTCCTTCTCAAGTACAAGAACAAGGAGCTAGGGGTGAGAAATTGTGGGGATTGATACAAAACTGCAAGATATGTCTAGGATCCGATTCGAACCATTTCATCAATAAATTTGTCAGATTGTTGAGCTGTATATGTCTGGACGAGGATGTAGAAGAGATATAGTGAGTCCTTCCTCCTTCCTCCCTTCCTCTCTTCGGATGCACAATACAGAATGTGGTGTTTGATGTGGAGTAAACTGAAACTCAGTATATCAATCTACGATTGTTCAAATTGGAAAGCTGAAATGGGCTGTATTGTCGCGGTCGCCACTGAAGGTTCCACCGACCCGACCGATTCTTGGGAAGCTTGCAAGAATCCTGTGGTGAACAAAGAACCGTATTGTGCTACTCGTATGTCCTTCTCTAGCTTGAATGAAACTAATGAAATAGACTATCATCTCGTCTTCCGACATGAAATCAGAACGGAGACAGTCACTGCGGATTGGCAAGAAGATTTTGAAGAGTCGTGCTCCGGAACATAAGTAATGTGGTGGAATGACGGAACCACTCGGTACGGTATGGAAGGTATGTACTGCTGGCGAACGTCCCTGATGTAATTTGGCCCAACAGCGTCGTTGACCTTACGTTCACTAAGATCACGTATTCACCCAGTTGTTTCCTCCATCTGCGGGAATATTGATGCTTCTGACTAACAGCTGACTATGGTATCGTAGCCTCCCACCTCATTAGCTTCTCTAAGATTCAAGAGATGCAAGTTAAAAATTATCATTTAGCTCATCACTCCTACTCTCGACCTTTCACGGCACATACCTGACTGGACGATGTCACAATCGTCGTTTCTTCTTCTCTACTGACCGACGGTCGACAAACCTCGGCTAACTACGTCGTAGTGGGGCGTCGATGTCTCACTAAGACAGGGTACTCGTCGAGGAACTACGGCTAACTTCGCCGTAGTAATACGTCGAGTGGTGAATGATAAGATGATCGTCAATGAACTGCGGCTAACTTCGCCGTAGTACGTTGAACTGCTCGGTGGTAGCTCTCCTTAACTCGAAGGTTGTAGCTACTGAATATATCTCTCGCTACTGACAACAATCAAGGATCGCTGAAGAAGTTCAGCGATCTGTAAACTATCTATACTACTCCTCTCTCCTCATAGAACGTCCCTCAACTCCTGCACTGCCCCACGCTCAGTCCTCTTCGTTCAACTTCGCCGTACCTTGCCATATCCCCGATATCCTACTCCGCTCACTTTGACTAACTTCGCCTATTTCCCCTGTTCTGCTCTCCCTCGGTTCCCTTCCCCTAACTTCGCCGTAGTTCTCCGCTAGGCGGGGTTATCGTGACAAATCCCCCCTTGGTTCTTGTAACTTCGCCGTAGTTGGTCTCAGTGGTTCGAGTGGAGGTTGGTGATGGTGAAAGGAGGGTCGGTGATGGTGGTTGTCAGGGATGTTACGACGTAGTTCGTGACAGACGAATAGCAATGTCTTCATCAAGACTCATGGACAGAATGAACGACCAAGAAATGATTTCTCATTCAAACAAGCATGGCGATCGCGGTGTCATACTTTGGGAAAGAATAAAACAACTGTCGACAATATAATCCTGGAGTGAAGACTGATCATGATGATCTTGATATTTTTGACGAAATGGTCAAATGTATAAAAACCTATGTTCACTGTCAAACCTTTTAGTCAATGACTCCAGCCGTGAGAGGAATCATCTGCTTATTTGCTGAACAAGGTCGAAAGATATACAAATACATTATGACTTTAGAGACACAATTGAAGAGTAGATGACAAGCAGCATGAGAAAGATCACAGCTCAAACGAAGGGAAAGGAAAATGGACAGTTTCGGGCTACGTAAACAAGTCATATACCCTGTTGTACTGGAGACTTGGAGGGATAATGTAATGTAGATGAGAAGAGGGTTTGATTCAGAGGTCACACCAATCCCCTCCCTTTTACAGTGTACAGGAAGTCCCAGGTCGGATTTTCCCCTCCGGCAACTCCTTTTCCCAACCTCCATTTCTCAAAAATCACTGATCTTGCACCCCATAGCTCACTGAGAGCTCTAGAAACACCTGGATACAATAGAAAACGTCCCTTGGACCCATGTAGGCGAGTTTCATGCATGTAGCTATCATGGCTGGTTCAAAAACTGACACCAAGTGGTGTTTTGGCATGAATCAGAGAGAAATTCAAAGCTTGCGGCTCAGGACCAGTTTAATCTATGCATCGAAAACTTGCATGAGATAGAGGAGTGTCTCCTGCCTAATCTACAGAAGAGATCTCCTTTATAGGTGAAGAAATGATGGAGATAGCAGGGGAAGAAGAAAGGGGTGAGGCAATGGGGGGTTGGCGGCCGGCGGTAACATCGAAATTTCTCATAACTTACCTTCTTTGTTGTAGTCACTTCTACATACTTCCGTCTGGTACCTTCCACCCTTCTCTGGAACTTTCTATCATTTTCTAGTACTTTCCTTCTACTAGAATGTTCTCTCAGTTCTCCGGTTGATCTAGATTTGAGACGAGGTTAGATAGGCTGTGTCACGAACTATCCAGTTGAATATACTTAGCAAAGTCTAGGAGGTGAATTTTTCATAGGTACACCCCTCATCAGCAGCATGCAGCATGCAGCACGTTTTTAAATGAGTGCCAGTAGCCTCTCTAGCACCCCTATGCAGGTAAGAACAGGTCTAGTTGAGATAGTGGGACAGAAGAATGGATAAAGTGGATATCACCAATGAAGAAGCTGTCACGAACTACGTCGCGACACCTCGATTACTCCACCAACAATGACCCTCCTTTGGCCATCAAAACCCCATCACGCCTTAACCTCTTTACTCTACACGTAACTCAGGACTTCTGACACCAAGTACGGCGAAGTTAGACGGAGTTAGGCTAAGTAGGGACAATGGGAGCAGAAGTACGGCGAAGTTAGACGGAGTTAGGCTAATGTCACGAACTACGTCGTGACACCTCGATTATTCCACCAACAATGACCCTCCTTTGGCCATCAAAACCCCCATCACGCCTTAACCTCTTTACTCTACACGTAACTCAGGACTTCTGAGACCAAGTACGGCGAAGTTAGACGGAGTTAGGCTAGGTAGGGACAATGGGAGCAGAAGTACGGCGAAGTTAGACGGAGTTAGGCTAGGTAGGGACAATGGGAGCAGAAGTGCGGCGAAGTTAGACGGAGTTAGGCTAAGTAGGGACAATGGGAGCAGAAGTACGGCGAAGTTAGACGGAGTTAGGCGAAGTAGGGACAATGGGAGCAGAAGTACGGCGAAGTTAGACGGAGTTAGGCTAAGTAGGGACAATGGGAGCAGAAGTGCGGCG